CGACGACGTCGCCGCGCCTGCGTGTCGACAACGGTGTAAGGCTGTGGCATGTCGGCGGTGGCCTCATGTACAACGTTGACATGGTGGAGCTTTACAATGTCATCTGGCGTCCGCTGGAGAAGGGCAGTGCCACAGCTGCTGCAGCTGGTGTCGTCGACCCGCTGACTTCGGTCCCCACGCCACACCCATCGGCACTGACCTACCTCGGCACGCAGAAGACTCCGTCCAAGCCCGCTGGTGCATACCGCCCCCCTGGTGCGCGCGGCGCTTCCACGCCCCTGCACTTCAAGCGCGAAGACGAGGGTGGAGCTGCTCACGTTGCTAGTAACGGTAGCAGCGGTACGAGCCTTAGTGCGCTCACTGCTAATGGCTTTGGTCGGGCTCGCCGTCAGGTGCCTGGTGCTGAGCTCGTCGAACTGTCACCGGCAGCGCCTGTATTTGTTCCGGGAGCGGAGCCTGCCGACACCGCTGACAATTTGTCGAAGGCCGCCCTAAAGAACAAGAAGAAGCGTGGAAACCGCAAGGCAAATAAAGATGCCGACGGTAACAACGCCGGCGGTGACAACAGCGCCGGCGGTCTGGCCCCACCGACGGCGGATTACGGAAACGGTTCTGCCACGGACGTCGGCCGCAGTCCGGAGCGTCGCAGCCAATTCCAGAACAATGGACAGCACCAGCACTCGCGCAGCCAGTCGCGTAACAACGCGGCCAGCGGCCAGCGCAACCGCAGCAACACGCAGCGCAACCGCGACGGTGGTTACCAGCAGCAGCAAAACGGCGGAGCGCCAGTAAACGACGCGTCCGCGCTTGCCCCTGCCGCACCGGCGTCTCTCGCAGCGAACGACCCGCTCTCGCCTGGCAATAATAGCCCGATTGCGAAGAAGATTCGTAGTCTGCAGAAGAAGATTCGGGCAATTGAGGACCTGGAGATGCGCCATGCCGGTGGCGAGAAGCTGGAGGATACCCAAATCAAGAAGATTGGAACAAAGTCGGCCGTGCTGCGGGAGCTCGACGACCTAGAGAAGCAGGGCTAAACAGCTGCTTTTCTACGTGCCGAGGGTTACGTGGAGCGGGGGAGTTCCTACGTATGCTTGACGCAAACTGAACGTGCGCTGTTAAGAAAACTTGATGCGGTGCCCGCAAACAAGTTACGCGGAACTAGTCCAATTTGTGTCATTTTTTAACGGGAGGATTTCCAATGGACAGTCCAAACGATGATTTACGGCATCTCTCGACGGCTTGGTCTAGCTTGAAAAGAAAAGAAAAATACGAAGCTCGCCATGAAGCGATGGTGACGAAGGGATTTGGGACAAGCTAGAACAGGCATCTGATTTAAATAGAAAACCAATAGAGAAAAATATATTATTTTGTGTTAGGATTTGTTGACCATCGTGATACGAATAATTGTTGAAACAATACGCTGAGCTGCATCAGGTGAATGTATCAAGTACGGGGTTAATTTCTTTCGACCGTTCTCCGTACAATCCGATGAGCAAGAAGTACGATCGTGCCAGCTGCACGAGTATGTCGAATTAAGCTTTGAAGCTAGGCTATAAATAGTAAATGCAAGACCTTCGCATAGTGACCACCACCAGCGCCATACACTCATTTACAGCGCTTTCCTGCCCTCTATTTGACGTGCTTTACAGACGAGACATGCTAGTTCATTTTGTTATCGCACGTGACGATAGTGGATGGTGAAAGCGGGGAGAGGAAATAGGTGCTAGAACGACAGGCGCCAGGTCCACTCCAGAATATAGGGACCCGCCCGTGCTTTACCGCCTTTCTACTGGGCAAGTCGTGAGGCAGAACGAAAATAAGGCCCGGCAGAAAAAAATTAGTGGGAGGAAAATTGGAAGACCGTTCAACCTCCTCTCTGGTCTCCCGAAAAGCCGCCTTGCTCACGAACACCTCACGTACACGCCTCGAGAACGAACGACAAGCATTTCCCTTTCCAATCGCTATTTTCGTTCCTTTAATTCACGGCCAGAGAACAGATCATACGCACCTGGGAGCATTAGTATATAGACAACGATGGCGGGCTCTTCGTTGCAGGTATGTTCTCTTTTACACTTGCGTGTATTTGACGAGGCAGAAGCAGGGAACATCCTACTAACCTCGACCTCTTTCTTCACAGGACCGCCTGCGTGGGCATGCACAGGCCTTTGATGGCCTTCTTTCACTGATTCCGGCCAAATTATACTACGGCAATGGAGACGAGCCAAGTGTGAGTTTCAACCTATGATGAACGTCAAGCTACGGCCACAAGTGGAAGGTCGAAAGGCGAAAAGGTAAAAGAGCAAATCTGTCTGACAAAACCAACTGTAGGAACAATGGCGCCGAAAAAAGCAGACCAAAGAAGAAAAGAACGCTGCCCGCCGGGCCAATCTCGACCCCGAAAACGAGCTCAACAAGAGCGTCAAAGAAGTCATGGAAGAGCATGCGGCTCGCAACAAGCGGAAGCTTGCCGAGATGAGCGGTAGCACCCAGGGCAAAAAATCCAATAGCAAACAGGCCGCGGATAGTAACGACGAGCAGGACGAGGACGAGGACGAGAAAGAGGACGACAGCCAGGCTGAAAATGACGATGACGAAGACAGCATTGGTGGTGACATTGTCAAGGAGCAGCCGGGTGAGGGCTTAAAGAAGGCCAAACCAGAAGCAGCGGCTACGAAAGGCGAGAGTGCGGCCAAGAAGCAAAGAGTGGCCAACGCCGCCGAGAAAGACGACGAAGACGGCGACCTGGGTATCAGCCTCGCCGATGCTAACCTCTCTGCAAAGCAGCAGAAGAAGCTGATCAAGAAGCAAGCCAAGGCTGAGAAGCGGGTTGAGAAGCGCAAGAACAAGTCGGAAAAGAACACTGCCCAGAATGAGGACACCAAGATGACCCATAAGATCGAGGAGGCACCACAACCTTCCAAGGACACCAAGAAGGAGAAGAAAGAGGCCAAGGCCGCAGTAGCCAAAGTTGCCGAGGCCGATTCCGAAAATGAACACGAGCAAGACAATGGCAGTCTCCAGTCGGGCGCCGGCTTCGCTGCCCTTCTTGGTGACGAGGATGTCCCTTCAGCACCGTCTTCGCCGTCCCCTGCCCCTTCAGACACATTCGACACCCCTCTACCTTCCACCGAAGCCAAGGAATCTTCGAGCACGACTACCTCCATCTCGTCAGTTTCCATCCCCGCTTCTTTCTCGACTTCTCTCCTGAACCCCTCTACGGAGACCGCCTCCACCACGTCTGGCACGCCGCCAAAGACCAAACTTCAAGTCCCTGCCGACACCTCGGCACTCCGTGCCCGCCTTGCAGCACGTATCGAGGCCCTCCGCGCCGCCCGCAAAGCCGACGTTGACGAGCTTGACAGCAGTGGCAACGTCATTCGTACCCGTCAGCAGCTCATCGAGGCCCGCCGCCAGAAGCAAGCTGAGCGCAAGGCACACAAGAAGGAGCTGCGCAAGGCTACCCGCCTTGAGGAGGACCGCAAGCGCGAGGAGGCCATTGCCTCAGCACGGGACTCGCCACTTGTTCAGCTGGGCAGCAGCAGCAGCATGAACGGTGCCGCTGCCGCCAACAGCACGGGCGAGATCGAAACCAACTTTTCATTCGGCCGTGTCACCTTTGCCGACGGCTCCCAAATGTCGCGCGACCTGTCGTACGTCAAGGACGCTAGCGCCAAGAAGAAGGGCCCCGCGGCGTCCGATGTCAAGGCCCAGCTGGCACGTCTCGAGTCACAAAAGAAGCGCTTGGCCAAGATGGACGATGTCCAGCGCCGTGAAGTCGAGGAGAAGGAGCGGTGGCTGGCGGCGCGGAAACGTGCTGAGGGCGTCGGGCGAGGCGATGGTGGCGGTCTGACTGCGGCCGCTGCTGCATCGGGCGCAATTTCTACCGAGGGTGCGCGCCATTCCACGGAGCAGCTGCTGAAGAAGGCGATCAAGCGCAAAGAAAAGGCCAAGAAGAAGAGCGAGCGTGAGTGGGGCGAGCGCAAAGACGGCGTGCAAAAGTCGATCCAGGACCGCCAGAAGAAGCGAGAGGACAACCTGCGCAAGCGGAAAGAAGACAAGATGCTGCACCGCGCGGGTCTGTCGAAACGAGCCAAGCAGGGTAGTGGAAAGAGCAAGGGCGGCCGGCCGGGCTTCGAGGGCTCGTCGTTTGGCGGCCGGAGAAAGTAGACACGACGCCCACATCTGTCTTTGTCCTGATTTGCTTTTCTCGCTGTTGTTTCCATCTTTCTTTATTTGTAGTGGTTTTGTATTGTCAGGAGGGCATACCTTTACAGGCGGCGTTCTGGCGTGGTTTAACCATCATTGTTCATCTTGTTTCCTCATTGTCATAGTATTATTTGTCTACATGAGAAGAGCGTCTAAAATATGAAAAGTTCCTTGTTTTTATTTCCTTAACCTGATTCTCATTTACTTGACCGTACGTGTGACGTATGGTCGTGCTCAGTCGTATATCCGCTTCGCTCATTCAACTGTGTAAAGGACCTCGTCGAATAGTTGAATGTGAAAATGGTTGTGAATATGATATAGAAATTAATAACGCCCAGTCCATTTGTAATAAAACGAGAGGTTTGTGTTCTTTTTTCCTTTCCAAAGAAAAAGCAAAACAAAAAGAAACAACAAACAAAAATAAACGCACGAAAAACATAAATAAAATATATGAGAAAAGAAACACCAGCGCGAGAAGGAGAGAGCTGCATCAAGAGATATAAAACGAAACCTCATAAACAGAGCCTCTGACCAGTCTCCCGACAAAAAAAAAAAAGTCTGCGGCACTCAGCTGCTCTAAAACCGCCACCCTCCATCATCCACAGGAGTCATGATACCATTATGATAGCAACAAAATCGATGATTGGATACATTCAATTTGAATGAATTTTGAAGCAAAGCCTTGTAACGAGATTCGTCGGGATAGTGGTTTTGTAGTCGTTGGAGTAGTTTTCTTCTTGTTGTTTTGAGATCAAGCAGTGTGAACAGATCTCCGGAATTTCGGAATTCAACCGCTACAGAATCGAGTCGAGTCTAGTAAAAACATTCAGGCATGCGGCAACGACCTCCAGCTGGAGCTCACGGTCTTTGGCCTTGGCGATTTCCTATAACAGAGTTAGTCGACAAAACGTCATCAGAGAGGAGGAACATGTAAGTCGTTGTCAACCAGAAATAATCGTAATAAAAAGAACCCACCTCTGCAATAACCTGTGGTAGGTTGGCACCGATGCCGTGAACCGTCGCCTTGCGTGTGAACGGCCATACGCTGTACTCGTTAAGCAGCTCGTCGGTCTGAGCAAAGGCACGCTCGCGCGCCTCGTGGCCAAGTGTGCTTAGGGCATTCTCCAAGACGTTCGCGGCGTAGGCCGCACACACCATGGCGATGGTGCGCAGGTTGCGGAACTCGAGGTTCTCGGGCAGGAACTGCGAGGCCGGCAGAACAATGGTGCGCTGGGTGAGGACGTTGCGGACACGGCGGCGGATCTCCTCTTTGGCGCCGCCATCGGCGACGGGGTGGGTAGCCATGTCGAAGAGCAAGAAGTTGCGCTTCTCTGTCCGCAAAATGCCCTTGTCGACGAGACCTTTGGCCAACCGCTCGCGAACCTGCTTGAGTTGGTAGCCTATCTTCATCAAGTTCCAGGTCTCGCCGCTCATCAGATCGATCCACGCGCTGACGCTCATCTTCTCGCTAGCCTTCATCATCTTAAGAGCCTCGTCCAGCAGGACCTCGCCGGTGAGGGTGTCGTCAATCACTTCAATGACGCGGTCGGACAGGGGAAACCGGCGGCGGCCAGGGTCCTTCTGCATGCTGATACGGCCGCGGAAGGCCAATTCGAGGACGATGCAGCCACGCAGGGCGTAGGAGATGTTGTCGTTCCAGAACGAGAGGTAGCCCTGACGCAAGCGTTAGGGAGAAAGAACAAAAGAGAAGAGAGTGTGTGTGCGTGTGAGACAGTCGGACAGGATAAGGCTCCGCCCAATACCTGTCCGTGTCAGCGTCAACCTACCTGCTTATCCTTCAGACCCAGCAGCAAAACCTCCTCCATCAGTGTGAGCTTGGGCTGCTTGCTGCGCTCGGCGCTCTCACTAAGATCGCGCGGGTCGAATGCTATTTTGTGCCCATTGTCGCCCTGTTCATAACTCGTCTCCGGCGCGCTGTCCTTGCTGGGACCGCTGTCAGGAGTCTCTGCGCCATTGCCGTTTGCACCAGAAGCACCAGAAGCGCCACCACCACCACCGCCCCTTCGTCTGGTCAGTCCCGAAGTCGTTGTGGTTGCCGACATGGTATCTGAGTGTCGGTAGTTGGTCGTTGCGATAGTAGGGGTCGAAAAGGGTGGCCAGGCCGGGATCGGAGAAGAAGCGGGATTGAAAGCGTGGATGTTCAAAGGGCAGCTAGATTTAGACGGAAGCGAAAACAGGCGGGTCGTGAAGAAAAGGGGTCGCAACCGAGCAATTGGGTCGTTGAGGGAGAAAGTGACGGTTGAAAAAATTGGAATTTTTGTAGCGCGGGCTCTTCCTCAACGTTGATATAAAGGAGGCGAAGCTGGCATTTGGATCCCAACACAAAAACACGGAGTGGTGCGAAGGAAGGAAGTTTGCTCAAGCGGATAGGGAGAAAAGAAAGCGATGCTCGTAAAAAGACGGTGCCTAGGAGGCACACGAGAGCTTTTCTGCAGAGGAGGGTCAGGGTGGAACTTTGTGTCCCTGCAGTCCCTTTGGTCTGACCCCTGCTGCTCTTTGGCTGGATATGCGCAAATGGGCAGGCTGCACGTGACTTGGTCCACACTAGTCCCAGGGAAGTTGGCGTTCTGCCGAAATATTGAACGCGTTGTCGAATTCCGGGGCTGGCTTTCTTTGTTTTGGGTGGTCCAGGTGGCCATGAGCGGATCGATAGTTTGTTTCCGGACGGTCAAGAAACAGACGAGGAAGCTGGCCGTCGAGAACGGCTGCTTGTTTGGTTGTCAATTGTCTTTATCTCGCTGTTTGATGTTTTGTTCCAATCCTCGGCGAGAGACATCTGCTGTACACAGCGGCCCTGTGGATTCGCGGGGCTCTCAACGACTGAGGAGCTTAGCGAGGTCGATGGCATGCGAGAGGGGGAAAAGGTTGGTGCTGCCCACCAAAGGTGACAGCTTCAGGTCTACCGTGGCCGACTTGGAGCATCGGCTGCCAATATATGCGGTCGCATTCCTCAAACACAATTGTACTGTCCAGGAAGCACGTGCGAGCTGGTTCCTTCCGTTTTCTTACGAACCTGACGATGCTCCTTCTATTTTTGGACTCAAAGCGATGCCTCACGCATCGCTCTTGCCTTATCCTCGTAGCAATTGTTTTTGTGACCATTTATCACGACATTAGGCTTCGCTCGATGTGTCCGCACAATCCCCCCCACCCATGGCCTGATGCCTCGTCTGACAAGTCTGGGATTCGTGCTGCAGCAGCATCGACGCTCTGGTTTCCCGTAGGCAAGACCGTCTGCTGCTTCCCTACTAGCTGCTGCGTGCTGGGTGTGCTGGCGATCCCTTGTCTCTTCCATAACCTCACTTTTCATTGCCGAACAATGATGACCCGTTCCAAAATTGTCCGGCGGAATGAGACGACGCTCAAAAAATACGACCTTCGCCTTGATAAGGAATTGGGGTGTCTCTTTTGCGCAAGTTGCACCCATCTCACCTATCCCATAGGCCCCTCGTCGAAGGCATACTGCCAGCACAGATTAGACTGGCACGAAGAGGCTATTCCGGCCGCCGACTGCCAGCCTATCCAATCTTCGCTTTGTAATTTTGGGCTACGGAATTTGAAGAAGTTACCTCGTGCACCAGATGGATCGTCGCCAGTGAAGGGGCTTCCTATTTTTCAAGCATTCAAATGCGTGGAGTGTGAGTTTGCAACGTTACAGGCTGATAAAGCTCACGCTCACCACCACACGACAGGGCTTAAATTTTGGCAGAGCTATATTCAACCAAAGAGCGACTTCCAGAGACACTCCTGGACGGTGTCTGTTCACGCCAGTCCCCAGTTGGATAGCAATACCACAGCTGAGACTCGATGCTTGCAGTCTGAAGAGGACCTCGGTGAGAATACTCGATTGGAACCGGCCACTTACACCACAACCGGTGACGGTTCATTTGGCTTTGCTCTCGACTGCCTTGTTGAAACCGAAGGATCTAAAAGCCAGCTTATCAACTGCCTTCCTCGAGTTATGAAAGGCGGGTTGAATGAATTCGACGTCGTTCATACAATCCGAAAGCTGATTGATGAAAAGGGTCAGGATGGCTCAATTCATCTTCTTGCACCCTGGGATTACAGGACCCTCCATCAGGCCGGCAGTCAGATTGTTTCGACAGCGGTGCAGTTCGATTGCCACGACCATGTGATATGCCCGATTGTCAAAGGTGAACGCTGGTTTGTTCTGGTTGTTTGCACACGCATAGGCCATACGCTCTGTCTGGACACCTCGCATCAAATGCAGTACGAGCCCGCCTTCTTCCTTGCGAACTATTTCAAAACATGCTTTGCATGTGCCGTGGACAACTTTGTTTGCCCCAAAACGACGCCAATGGCAGCAAATGCATGTGACAGCGGTGTTCTCGTTTTGGGCTTGGTCAAGAAGTTTATCGACGATCCAAAAGCCGCTGCACAGGCAGTACTACGCGACGATGCTAAGTTCGAATGGAACGCAAAGCCAGTTCATATCCGCAGAGCGCTGGTCTACCGCTTGGCCCCGGCATTTTACGATGCGTGTGAGTGTTGTACAGCAGGGATACATGGACTGGACCAAGAAATAGTGCCTCTCTAATTTTTAACAATAGATGATGCTATTGAGGACATCAAAAACGTTTCTTGGCTCATTAACCAATTGGGGAAAGAATGCAAGCTTGCCGAGAGCATTGTTGCACTCAGCCAGCACTACCAGGAATTGGCTCATCACATGGCATCCCTCGCTGGAAGCCTTTTGGTCATGCGCGATGACTACTCAGCTGAATATGATGGGCTGGAGCAGCTCCTTTCCATTGACTCGTTGCCCATTGGGCTCGTACATCCAAAGACACCGTAAGTCAAACATCGGGATGGGAATATGGCGGCCAGAACAACGTCAATTGCTGTAGCTAACATAACTCATTGCAACACATAGTCAAGCCCTCGAGCTTCAGTCGCTACTTGAGGCTTCTCGAGTTTCCGGCGACGGAACATGTACTACAACCAAGTCGCAGCAACCGCCTCGAGATGCAGTTGGCAATCGCGGCCTCTCCCACAACCAGGGGCCCTCTCTTTCGCATCAACATTCTGTGTCCAATATGCCACTGGTCTCATCAGCAATGGATACAGTCTTGGATAAGAAGCCCTGTCCTCAAACAAAACAGACGGTACCAAAAAAGCGCAGTGCTGAGTCTAGCCAGAAGTCATATCAGAAGAGAAAGCGTCAACGGCGCGATAACTCTAAAATGGAGGCGGTGCCCGCCCGAGTTGCAGCCCAGCCTCACGCAGCTCAGATCAACCCCAGAACGCTTATTGCCCCAGCAAGTGTCAAGACGCAAAAGGGGAGAAAACCCCCAGAAGGGAAGGAAAAGACCCGAAAGGGGGATATCACAAGGCCTGGCCCGGTTGAAAGTGACACACGAAAAGGTAAAAAGAAGGTGTAAGGTATTTCGAGGTAGCTAAGCTCATGAATCCAGCAGTGCATGGCAATAGTACATGAACGTGGAGACGGCCGAACTTACAAGCCGGAAAGCTACCAAATAATTTAATGTGTGATGGAACAATATCACAATAGCATAGGATAAATTAGAGAACCAGGACGAACACTAGTAAAGACAGCGAGGAGGGGGTGGACAGTGAGCGAAGACAACAGCGAGGAAATTGTGGCTGAAGTAATGCTTCGCATGACCAAAATGACAACATCAAACGAAGACATTCAGCGAGCAAACTGTGAATCTAAAACGAAAAAATGGGATAATATGAAAATGAAACTATGCAAAAAAAAGACAAAAAATAAATAAAATGGGGCGCAGGAGCGCGCAACGATGTTAGAAGACAAGGACCTAGTAAGGACTAAGAGAGTGAGACAAATATAAAAACAAACAATAAAAAAAATAAGTAAATAAAACAGGAGTAAAAACATATGAAATACATTGATTCATGTTTGGCAGTGTCCGTTAAATAACAGCCACAGCAGCAACACAGACCAAGGCAGCTGCGCGTAGGGCTGCCTTGGAGGTTGCGCCGATGAAGCTGCCACGGCTGCGGCTGGTGCCGCTGCTATGGGCTGCACTTGTTAGCTCAAAATTGGCAAAACTAGCTGGTAGCGAGGACGGCGGACGGGGCAAATTGGCCGGGTTCTCGCCCTTGCCGTCTGCGACCAGCGTTTCCTGGTTGTCGACATTCGGCTCGGCACTGCGCTTTTTGTTGGGGAGGGCGGGAGCAGCAGGAACCGCAGGAACCGCAGGAACAACAGGAACAACAGGAGAAGCAGCAGCCGACAGAGCAGAGTCCAGGTCCGACACCTTTTCGCTCCGCTCCGCAGTCGTTCCCAACGCTCTCTTGGCGTCGTCCTCAAAACCAACGCGAAGAGCACCCGGAGTCTCAGAGGCAGTGTCTCTCAGAGCGTCCCCTGGGTCCCTGCCCCCGTTGCCGCCATCGCCACTGCCCTCGCGCTTCTGGATGGCAATCGACGCCGGCAGAGTCTCGAGGTGCTGCGAGGCGCGGGTGACCGTAGTGTGGTGGGTGGGAAGCACGGGCGTGACCGACACTGCTGGCCTCGTATTTTCGTGGCTGTGCCCCTCCGTCCCTGCATTTTCCTCCGCTTCCTCCTCTTCCTGCGCCGTATTCGAGGTACGCTCGCCGTTCTGGTTGACAGAGCGCCCAAAGTACGTACCCAGGACACGGACCATGTAGCCCTCGGGGTGCTTGGGTGAAGTGCGGCGGACTCCATCGGTCGCTACAGCAGCGGTATTCAGGACGCGTGTCATGGACGACGTCGACGTCGTGGTCAATGTTGTCTCGACGGACGGCGGGTTTTGGTAGCCCGGCACATCAGGCACATTGGGGACGCCAGGTGCGCCGGGTACGCCCGGCTTGCCGGGACGAGTAGAGTTGCTAGGCTGGCAGCCATAGCAGTTGATGGTCGACACCGAGGATGCTGTGGTGTTGCAGATGGATTTGGTGACCGTTTCTATGGTGGTGGTGGACGTGATTGTGTAGGTCGAGCCTCTGGGGCAGATCTCGACAATGTCAATGATAACGACAATTTCGACGCCAATGTACTGGCCGCAGCGGTCTGTTGTTGTCGACGAGGAGGAGGTAATGGGTGAGGATGAGGGCTCACGCGACGACAACGATGAAGGAGGAGCAGTGGTAGCACTATTGCTGTAGGTTGTTGATAGGTTGCTTGATGCCGTGCTGGAGACGGAGGTCACCGAAGAGATGCTGGACCGCGTCGACAGGGACGACCTAGTTGTTGAGCTGTTTAGGCTGGACGAGGGCAATGCACTCGACGAGTAGATGTTCGACGAGTAGGGAACTGACGAGCTGGAGTTGTTTAGGCTAGAAGATGACGGGAAGCTCGACGACGAGGACAGTGTCGACAACGACGTGCTATTCAGGCTGTAGCTCGAGGCGGAGGTGGACGACACGGGCGAGACCGAGTAGGTCGATGAGTTGTAGACAGACGAGAAGGAGCTTGACGGTGCAACGGAGGAAGACGATGAGGTCGAGCTGTGCGGGGACGAGTACGTCGAGGTATTGTAACTGTTGGAAATGCTTGACGAAGCCACCGATGTAGAAGTGAAGCTAGAAATAGAGCTAGACGAAACAGGCGACACTGAGGACGTCGATGTGTTGTATCCCGATGAATAGCTTGACGAAGGCACATGCACGGACGAAGAGGAGGAATTGTAGACCGCCGAGCTATAACTGGAGGTTGTGGGAGAAGCCAACGAAGTTGACGTGTTGGTTATGACAGAGCTATAGCTGGAGGACGTGGGGACAACCGAGGATATCGATGTGGAGGAATTGTAAACGGCAGAGCTGTAGCTCGACGAGACGGTTGGGGCGGACGACGATGTCGACGTGTTGTAGACAGCGGAGCTGTAACTGGAAGAGACGACGCCCGCCGATGATGTTGACGAATTGTAGATGGCTGAGCTGTAGGAGCTGTGGCTGGAATATGTGAAATGCGAGGTCAACGAGGCAGACGAATTGTACACGGCTGAGCTGTACCTAGAAGAAGCAGGACCGGTCGACGAGGTGTAGCTGGCCGAGCTGCGGGACGGAGAAACAGGAGCCGACGACGTCGAGGCGTTGTACACAGCGGAGCTGTAACTGGAGGACAGTGGAAGACGGCTTGACGACGTCGTCGAGTTGTACACCGTCGAGCTGTAGCTGGACGAAACGGGACCAGTCGACGAAGTCGAGGAATTGAAGACTGGGGAACTGTGACTGAAAGACGTCGGTACACTAGACGATGCAGTCGAATTGTATACCGCTGAACTGTAGCTGGACGAAGAAGGTGTAACCGAGGACGCGACAGAGGACGCTGACGAGTTGTACACTGCAGAACTGTAGGTGGAACGGGACGTCGAAGTGCTGGACGGCGACGTCGTTGACGAGATCGGCGTCAGGCTGGAGGACGACGCGGGATAGGAGCGGGAGCTGTTTGCGGAAAGAAACGACGAAGACGGCGACGACGAGAATGATGTTGACGGGGTCGACGACGACGAAGGCGACGAGGAGGAGACACTTGACGACGTGTTGTAAGGAACGGAGGAAAGCGACGAGGACGCCGGTAGTGTCGACGACATAGGAGCCGTCGACAGAGAAAGAGACGACGATGGAGGAGGAGCCGAGCTCGAGTTGCCGTACGGCGCGCTCGATGACAGTACAGAGGACGTAAACGAGGACGTAAACGAGGACGTCAACGATGCCGTAGACAGCGGAATGGACGCGCTCTCGCTTCGTGAGAAAGACAGCCGCGTCGTGGTCGTGGTGGCTATTGAAACGGCCGTCGTGGTGGTCGTGGTCGTGGTCGTGGTGGTCGTCTCGATCGGCACACTGAGAGGGACCGACTGGGACGCCGACGCCGACGCCGACACGGCCGGCTTGGCCGCACATTTCTGGCGCGCACTGTCACTGTCCAGGCCAAAGATGCACTGGCACGTCGACGAACACAGCCCGCCCGCGGCACCGTTTTGGGCCGTGCCCTCGTCGCACTGCTCGCCGCTGCCGCGCGACACCACGCCATCGCCGCAACCCAGCGGCGTCACGCCGCGCGCCACAATGTACGGCACGCCGCGGACACCCCCGGCAAACGAGTGGATGCCCACGGCGCCCGGGGCAGCCGCTGCATCTTCCAGCACGGCCAGCGGGACAAACCCATTGGCACCGCCCGCAGGGTAGCGCGGGATCAGCGCGTGGGCACTGCAGGACCAGTTGCTGAGGTTGCCGTCCGAGATGAGCTGCAGCTGCGGCGCGCTGTTGCTGTTGGCCGCCTCCGGGTTGGCCGCCGCTCGTCGGTCGGATGTCTGCGGCGTGGCCACGATGCGCGCCTCGTCGAAGCAGCTCAGCCGGCCCTGCGCGACAAACGTGCCCAAGGGCGTCAGCGCGTCGACGGTCGAAAACGGCTGGTCGTCGTAGTAGCAGGAGAGCGAGAAGTAGAGGCCCGTCGCCGGGTGAGGGCGATGCGTCGTCTGGTCCTCCGTCCCACCACTGGCCGCAAACCGGATGCCGTCGTTCATGAGAGCCACGGCGCCCGGGCGCGTCGACGCGTGGTATGTCGTGTCGGTGCCCATGACAATGACGTTGCCCACAACGGCGGGGCCCCAGGCCGCCTTGGTGTCGCTCAGAAATTGGATCTGGTCGAGGCTGCCGCAGTCGGCGTCGGGCACCACAATGGCCTTGTACTGGGCAAAGTCGGCCGTCGTCATGGCGTACCACTCGGCCTTGGAGGCAACATGTACTAACACGGTTAGCGATGAACGTCTTCAAGTAGATCGAAATGACATCAAGCTCAAAATGAAGAGCGGTGCAAGGCGAGGCGATGATCTACAACGTACCCGTGTAGTTGAGGGCCAGTGCTTGTCTGTATTCGGCAAAAGTCATGCCCTGATAGAAGAGCAGGTCTGCTGCATGGGCAGCGCCGGCCAGGGCCGTTGTGCCCAGCAGGAAGTCCATGAGCCTCATGATTGTGTGTGACCTGGAGAATGCAGAGAAATAATAAAATGGACAAAAGTATGAAGTGGAAGTCGGAATAAAATCATAAACGAATGAAAGATTACAGTTTCCTCGACATATGCGTAGCAGACAATTCGTGAATAGGGGAGGCAAGTAAACAAACCCAAGACGCAAAAAAAGGATCCAAAGAACAGTAAGATCAGAACAAAGGATGCAGCGGGAGACTTGGAGATTCGTCCAAGGGTCGACAAAACAATACAAAGGAGGGAAAAGGGTAAAGGGAAAAGGGAAAAGAATGCCGAGCAACAAAGGGGTTGAGGAAAGAGAAAAGTAGAGCAGCAGAAAAGAACAGACGACGGAACTGTCACATCCAAAATTGTGTTGAGAAAGGACTGCTGATCAATGAGAGAGGTCAGAAAATGAGAGGCAACGAAGGACCATATATACGGCCGGTATAAAAGGGCCGGTACAGCCAAGGACATCAGGAACGATGAGAAGATTAAACTGATGGGGTAAAACCATGGGGTTCGCACGATAGCACAAGTCTGTCCCAAACCAAGGATCCGCAGCAAAACAGTGACATACAAAATAAACAACAAAGTACAGCCAACCATGTAAAACGGAGGACAGCAAGGCACACGCAAGACATTTCTTGCCGTGCTATCTTTTTCGGGATGAGCAGAGAGGAAAGGAGAATGACGGCATTCACTAGAAATGAGAAAACTACAGGGACTAAGAAGAGACAGAGCCCACTTCGACCGTCTCCTGCCCTCTCCTCCACAGACGTCCGACCTACCTAGCAGTGAGCTACAGAGTGGAAGAGCGTTGGAGAAGTTGCAAACTGTTTGAGGTCTGCTGAGGAGACGGTCTCAGACATGGACTGTATCGGTGGTGATGAGAACAGGAGATGCAGACTGCTGAACCCCTTCGTAAATTGTGACGACAGCTGTGGACCCAGCAGCAAGAACAACACTATTTCGTCCATGGATAGCCGACTCGCCTGCTCTCCTGTCGTATTGAATTTTATTTATATGAAGCTTCTGGTTCTTTACTCCTTCTTCTTACAAGATTCATGGCTCCCTGACGCTGCATTAATGTGTGAAATATGACTGAAAGAAAGGAGTGGATAGCGGACAAGAATACATATCCGAGTTTGGTTCCTGTTTTTGGCCGGGTCGTACAAATTCAAGCCTCCAAATTCAAATCACGCTCAGGAGTACACGCGAGAGACCTCGTTTTCGATAGACACGACAAGCCGTCTGCATGGGTTCGCTTGACATGGGTCAGGGATAAGCATAAATTAGGTCTGCCGAGAAGAAACAAGACGCTGGCGTGTCCAGGAAGCCACCTTTTCACAGTGGAGGTCCGTTTACGTCGAGGCTGGGCAGCATTTCTTTCTACGGACCATTTACGCCGCCGATGCCAACAGGGAGCAGCGGCACTCAAATCACCTCTCGCCTTCCGGCCCGAAAAAATATTTTCCCTTTTTCTCCACATCCTCACACACTGTAAATGGATTTCACTACAACCACATATGCTTGTAAGATAACAGGAGTACAAGAGGACTGGCACGTCTCTCTTTCTCTCCCCCCCCTCTCCCTCTCTGTCTCTCTTTCTCTCTCTCTCTCTCTCTGGTTTGTGAGCGGGCGCGTGGACAGTAGCATGCCATACAGGATACGAGTGCGTGGGTACTTGTGGATTCCTATATAGCACAGAGTGAGACTAGGAGGACCCATGCTTTCGCTACAAAGGACGCATGGGGTGCGTTCAAACGCCGTGTCTTGCTGAAGATTAACTGCCAGGTATTTGAGGATCATGTAGTCCACATTGTGGATGCTGTTGTACATCGTGTGTGAGAGCAATGATTCTAGCAGGCCTGAGAAAGGAAGCGAAAAATGTTGCATTACACCGGCTACGAGTCCATGTCTAGCTTTGGGCTCGTCGGACCTTGTGCGAGCAATGGATTGACAGTTGCAGCTGCCATCGTCCGTTGTACATTGCTGTTCATGCACGAGTGTATGCACGACGCAGGTTCGTCACGCACGAAGTGGCACAGGACCGGGAGAAGGGGCACGTACAGTTACGTCAAATACACCAAATACGATGTATGTCAAATATGTCAATACGGCAGTATGCCAATACGAGTAGTCGACAAAATTGGTTCACTGCGGCGACGGTCACACAGAGTTTCGGTCGTCAGCAGAAGAAAGCTTGTCGAGACGTTCTCCAGCAGCCAGAGCCAAACTTGAGATTTTCAGACATTCAGACATGGTGCAACGCAAACACAGCCTACGCAGACACAGACCCACAAGAAGTCTGCTGAACCGGCGGATCTTGTCTTTGTCCCCCGTCGTTCTGTCTTGGGCGTCGCAAGGATGCAAGGCAGGGGGTTTGTTATTTGCTGTATGTGTTGTACAAGTTTCCCGATAGAGCAGCGAGAGGGTTTGGGAGAACGGATGCCGGCGCACGGCTGATGCCATAGACCTGTCATACAAGAACCAGACAGTAGCGAAGGGATCCTGAGAGGAATTGACAGATTCACACCACCAATCGTCCCAGACGCAGGTACCGTCCAGTAGCCGTTCTTCTCAGTATGCCTATTGCTTCTTTGTTCTCTTTTCTGATGGGTGTTTGTTTTGTGTCCTTTTTCTCCGCGCATTGATATGCAGTCAATGAGAGCAACGAACAACTAGATTGCCAATTGAAGACGAGGCGGCAAGGAGCACTGACCAAAACAAAGACGAGAAGTACCAAAACAAGTCGAAAGAGGCAGGCGAGGATGTGAAGCGGCACAAGACACCGCCGAAGGAAAAATAAATAAAACTGCCACAAGGAGGCACGAGACCATGTTCGAGACGAGACAAACAAACGCGTGAGACAACCAATGTTTGCAGAACTCTTAGAGAAACTGCAACGATGAAGAGCACGAGACACTTGCGAGATGCTGGTTCGCTTTCGAAGAGACAACACATATGCAGGGCAAAACACAACCGGTCGCCGAGCTCGGTCGAGCTGGGCCGACCAGATTCATCAGCCAAACCCATTTGCAACGACCAGAAGTAGTGTAAGACCAGGCTTGATCGCGATCACGGTTTTCACAGCTTGTTACACACCACAAGTGTGAACAAGCCTGAGAGCAACATCAGTGCTGTTCCGGATTTTCTTCGCCTGTTCCGGGCGCTGATATGCATACAGAGTGTGCACATAACGATTGTACGACGAGCCAAGATAGGAACCGGCTATCCTTGCCTTGTCAGAGCGGCGAGGAAGCAAGACGCCGAGTGGTCCCGAGACTGCTGAGAAATTGAAGGAGCGAAGGTGGCGGCCCCCGATGGTATGAATTGCCTGCCGACAGGAGGTCACGATATAACGGAGAAACCCCGTTGAAAAGAACGGGAGAAAAAGAAAACAAAAGGACAACAAAAAAAAATAACGTTCCCGCGTTTCGTTTGGAGAGGTGGCAATAGACCACGGACGGTAAAAACAGCACCATTTGTGGCATTGGAAATTGGAGTTCGATAACCAGACGGGTCCGCTTTGGCGACCTTACGCTAGGATGCGGAGTGTTGGCGGTTGGTCCTTGGTCCGGGCAGACTTGCAGCCGTCGTGCCATTGGTGCTGGTCAACACTCATGTATTGCAACATTGCTTATGTCACTTTTGCCTCATTGCCCACTCTTCCTTTCACATAGCGACGGCACGTCGTACGTTTGTCAGTGAAATTGTACGCGACGTATTATTTCTCTCTTTTGTCTTTTTTCTCTCTTTTGTCTTTTTTGTCTTTTTTGTCTTTTTTGTCTTTTTTGTCTTTTTTGTCTTTTTTGTCTTTTTTTCTTTTTCTTTTTCTTTTTCTTTTTTTTTCTTTTCTTTTTTTTTTCTTTTTCTTTTTTTTTTTTTTTTTTAAATTTGGTTTTGCCTCCGTAAACTGTTATCGAGTCTGTCGGAGGCAGATGTACAGGCAGTGAAAACGCATTCTCTTGCGTTTGCTTATGTCTGCCTGTGTCCTCACAATTGTTATCTCGTGCAGCAGATGTAAAACCGCAAGGTCAAATAAGTAGGTAGTCCGTACTCACTCCATCTGGCCACTCGATTCGCCATTGCACGGGCCGTTCGCCCTCTTTATGCCGTGATGGGCGCAGGCGACGGCAAGGCAGAGCCAAACGAATGCCAGAGTTTGCATGTTGCAGAGCGGCTTAGCCCAAGGCAGCGAACCGGTGACAACTACAAGAGAAAGTCAAGGCATCCGGAGAAAACAAATGGGCGATACGCTCCGTAAACAGACAAATCAAGTACTACGACCGCTCATGTCACGTCGAAATAATACGAATTAACAATTGGATGTTCAAAGCCTGCAGTCTTCCGAAAATGCCCGGAGCAGGTGGTGCTATGATGCGTCACAAGGCGGACATTGTGAGGTTGATTTAAGTTTTCTGTTATGAGTTTTGAGTTTTCGCGACTTTGGACCTGGAGGAGCCGACCAGCATCAACCACACTTATGTAAGCCAAGCGGGTTCCAGAAGCACGGAAATTGTCGTAGGCAGCGTGAGCAACGCTGGGTGGTCCAATTGTCGGGAATGACAAATGTGCCAGGAGAGAATGCTAGAGAACCAAAACATGGCGAATCAAAAACGGACCAGGACCGGACTAACGAGATTACTAAAGAAGCCAAAGGAGTCACCCACTTGCGCCAGGCCGCACATCCGGTCGGCCCCAGCCTCGGGGCGCGCGACTCTAGAAACGCAGGTTAATGGTTAATGGTCAATGGTTAATGGGTGGTGGGTCCAAGAAATGATCAACTTACCCGTTCCAGCATATCCGGTGTAAGTGAACCTGGGGGGGGGGGGGGGAAGTGTCCAACAAAAGGCAAACAATTCAAACAAATGCAGCGGAGATACGAATTACGACGAAAGATGTGAATTCGATGGGACAAGGCACATTGAGCGTGTGCAAGGAACTGCACACGGGAATGCCGTTGTTTCTGGGCTTTTTGGGAGCAACTTGGCATCCGACAGCCGACATCCCACAGCCCCACTGCCCGAATGTGTCAACGTAACGGTCATCTGCTTGTTCAGACAACTTCACCAGGCACCGCCAGTACCGTGCATTTTTCAACTTGTTCCTTTGGGTTTTCGGGCGCCCCTTGCTCTAAACCTTAATTTTCCTGGGACGGTTGCAATCGTGGGATTTGCCCCCTCCTCATGCAGTCGTCGGAGTCTATTTTTTTTCTTTCTTTGTCTCTCTGCCTGATATCACGAAACCATGCAACACATCCTTGTTTTTGTTTATTTTGAATACTCTTTGTTTCGTCTCCGGTCCATCCTCAAGACCCACAAGGCTGCCATGTTCTTCTTTGAGTCTTCTTTGAGTATTCTATGCGGGACGACCTGCCCTTTTTGCCCCTTCTCGTCCAGAGTTTGCCTGCGAGAATAGTCCATGCATGGCTAGTCTCTTCTCGATTCTTCTCCTTTTTATATTTATTTATTTAATTATTTACCTATTTACTTGTCAAGTAAGTTCCGGGTCCCGACGTCACATTTTCAAATATCATTATATCATGCCCACAGGCCAAGGGCTCGGGAGGAAGTGCGTTCTTTGTAGACTACGGCGCCTTGCAGGGCGTCTCCTTTTCTCTCTTATTTCTGCCCGACTTCGACGCCACAGTCCTCGATGAATCCAACTGATGAGGCGAAACCTGTCAACCGCAGGGCGTCCTCGCCGCCGGCAACTCTTATCACCACCTATCGTACGCCGGCACCACGACTTCTCTTCTTCGTTTCCTTCTTTTTTTCTTCTAGGCAGCAAGGGGGAAACGAAAACAGGAACGGCAACTCAAATGCTACGTCGTGGTGGCTACGATCTAGAAGAAACGAGGCTGTGAGAGAGTGAATCAAAACGAGAAGATCCAAACAAGTGTTGAATATGTACGTTGAATATCTGCGTCCACGTTACGTTGCGCTTTTGATCAACCTGCCTATCTGCTACCGTCAAATTATGAAAAAAGAAAAAGAAAAAAAGAAAACACTAAAGCACGGACGGTTCACTAATTGGACAATTTTTATTGTTTTATTTTTACTTACCCTTTAGGTAAGTCTGCATTTATGCGGGATACTCTCGTCTACTACGGACTGTAAACTCTTCTCGTTCCTGTTGCGTCAACTTGCCGATACGCTCCCGTCAACATCACCTCTTATTTTTGTTGACAACTATCTTGGTCAAGATATATATACTCTCATACTATGACGACATTGCTCCATGGTATTTGTCGTGTCTGTTTTTTCTGCACATCACCCCTTCCTGCCCTTTTCACCCTCATACTCCTGATTACTATTTATTGATCAGCACATATTGCCTCTTATACTCGGCTTGGCCGCGCACCACCACTGTGTCACTTCGTACACGGGCCCAGAGTTGAATTGTCCTTCCCCTCCCCCCCTCACCGTCATGGTCGCTGGTGACCAGACACCGACGACGCCGCCGGTCCCTTTGCAGCCAATCCACCCGTTCTTCGATGCGGCCGGGGCCGCAGCCGCAGCCGAGGCCGAAGCCGTCCAATACGGCACGTTCATGACCCTCATCACCAAAAACGACATGCTCTATTCGGGCGTGCGGGAGGACGCCGACGCGTCGCCCAACCTGATTGCCTTCCATCTCGCCACGATCCGCGAGCTCGCCGGATCTGAGCAGCAGATGCAGGCCGCATACCGTCTTCACAGTGGCCAGCAATCGGCATTGCGGCCGGTCATGGAGACTGATTTGCCAATGGAGGGCTATTTCGGCCAAAAAGAGTATGTTATTTTTTTTTTTTTTTGAAGGACGTATTTGTCATTTTGGTGGTTTGACGAATTGTCGTTGGGAGTTGGTCGTCAATTATGTTTTTCTTTGTCATTCGCGGATTGCGGTCTAGACCGAATTTCTCCATTTTGGCCCATTTTGGCCCATTTTGTCAGCCTTTGTCAGACGTCACATTTCCCCAGCCTTGACACTTTTGCTCACATCCACAGCCGCATCAACGAGTTCCGCACCTATTATGCACGCCGCCTTATCAACCCCGGCGCACCACTGCGCGACAACCTCGTCGCCGAGCTGTTCCAAGGCGGCTCCAGGCCCTTGTGGATGGGCCTGTTTGGCTGCTACGGCCTGCCGCTCGTCCACTTGAGCGACTCGTTCGAGATAAAAGCAGCCACCTACGCCAAGCAAGCCCTGGCCCTCGCCGCCAGCCACCTGGACGACAGCCTGTGCAGCTTGTTTGCTGCCATTGCCGCCGACTCCCGCCGCCGGTCGGCGCTCTTTGGGTCGAATGCTGCTGCTGCTGCTGGCGCGTCCCGACACGGCCGGCAACCGCAGCCCAAGTGGACGTGCGATCCGCTGTCGATCCTGCGCGACCTCTCCCGGGACGGCCGCCTGTCCGGGCTGCCGCTCGTGCTGCCGGGGTACACGAGCCATGCGGCGGCCGGGCGGCCCTGGTCCAGCGTGCCGGTTGTGGGACAGGTCGTGCTGGAGAGCGTCTGGCGCTGGGACCTGGCCGAGACGGTCGACCCGCTGGACGCCCTCGAGGAGCTCGGCCGCGTGACGACCGTCGCGCTGGCCTGCGGGACGCACAAGACACCGGGCGCCGCCGAGTTTGATGTCTACCTGTGCTTTCTGCCGACGCTCGTGCTCGCGCTGCGCGTGTTTCTCGCCGCCGTCCGCCTGCAGTACCCGGCCGTCAGCGAGATTGCCCTGGTCCTGGTGCGCTGCCTGTGGGCGCAGATTGTGCTGGTGTACATTTTGCAGCTGCGGCCCAACGTGGCAGCGACAGCGACAGCGACAGCGACAGCGACAGCGACAGCGACAGTGGCGACGCCGACGCCGACGCCGACGCCGACACCGCCCGAGCAAAGCACCGCTCCGTCTGCAACCCCCCCCGACGACGACCACTTTTTGTTCCGCGCCTTCTACGACGACACGGCACTGGACCAGCCGCGGCACCAGGACGCCTTTTACCTGCGGGCGCTGCGCAGCTTTGCCATGCTGGCGGCGACCGAGCGTAATCCGGCGTGGAGGGCACGGATCGACAACGCGGCCGTGAAGCTGCAGGTAGGCTGGCAGCGCTGGCTCGGCCTGGGCCCGGGCGAGGCGGCGACGCTGGATATCCGACTGTAGACGTTCTAGCCAGAGTGCAGAACGGAAACGGACTGCGTTTCAGGATGCCATGAGACATGGACACTGAAAAGAATTTGTGTACTAATTATGTATTAATGGACATGGACAATGAAAAGAATTGTGTAGTAATTATGTAGTAATGTACATGGATCTGATTGTCTAGCCAAGCCAAACCACCGCAGTGTCTGCTCCATAAGAATGTGCCACTGGCGGAGAGGATGGATCGACTGTGGTCGACTCCACCATTGCCGCACCCTTACAGCTGATCGATAATCTTCTCGGCCGCGTAGCTGATGTTGACGCCGTATTTTTCCAGTGTCGACTGCACAAACAGCGTGCCGTCCTCGATGACAACCTCGCAGTAGCTGCCGTAGGACAGCTTGTCCACGATGCGGAAGGCGATGATGCCCTTGTCGACTGCCTCGTTGAAGCCCTCCTGCAGCATGTCGTCCGAGCCAAACTTTTGCGACTCCAGCTGGTACGCCACGCCATCAAAGTACTCGCGCATAAAGTAGCCCAGCTGGCGCTCGTAGTTGTCCTGGTCGACCTTGCCCGCCGCCTCGGGCGACGACAGCTTGGCAAACACCGCCTCAAAGTTGGGCTCCAGCCGAATGTCCTCGCGCGCCAGCGTCTTGGCCATTTTGGCCCGGATCGGCTCAATCTGGCCGTCGTACTCGCTGCGCACGCTCGCGCGCGCGGCAAACGACAGCGTCGTGGCACTGGCCGTGCCCGGGGCGGGCGGCGCGTTGTTGAGCGCGGCCAGCAGCTTGGCCTTGTCCAGGGCCTGGTCTGTGTTGACGCCAAAGTAGGCCTCGTTGAACAGGATGGCGAGTCGGCCGCCCGCTTGGACCTCGCAGCCGTTGTACGTGTTCTTGCCGGCCTCGTCCAGGTCCATGGTCAGGACGTGGGCATGGGCGATGCTGTTGAGCTCGTCGACGCTCGTCTTGTCCTCGCGGTCGACAAACGAGCTCAGCATGTAGACGGCGCCGTCGGCGTAGCTGTAGAGGATGGAGCCCAGGCTGGTTTTGCCCCAGTCGTTCTTGGCATACGGAAAGATGGCAAGAGGGTTGATGTCAAAGGTCCACGCGACGCCGAGCTTGTCGGAGAGCTTCTTCTCCAGTTCTTCCTTTTTGTTCTCCCACTCATCGCGGACTAGAAACAGAGGATTGGTGCATATTAGTATATGGTCTGAGCAAAGAGAACCGTTTGTCAAGGCGGAACCTACCGTTCTTGCGCGTCACTAGACTGAGCTTCTCGGCGGGCGGAAGACGAGGCATTGTAAAGTTCGGTTTCGTGCGGGACGAGAAGAAGGGGACGAAGGAGATTATGCTGGTGTGTGATGAATCTGAAGATGCGAGAGAAGCCAATTTGTTGATGTGGAAGGAGAGTGACGAGAAAGGTCGCTAACGAGAGACAAGCTCCGACTTATATACTAGATTCCCCTGTCCGGCTTGTCGCCTGAGGTCATGAATTCATAACGAGGCTTCTCGTGCCTTGCATTGTGTCCGTTTTGGGAAGAGGATCGCACTGGTGCCTTTCCTTTGGCTAGACATGGCACCTTGATTCCCTTTTTCTTGCGTCTACTTCTAATTGCTTTAGTGTTTTCTGCCCTCCACGGTCAGACCAGTTGCTGTGCCCCTCCGTGTGCTCCGCAAGCTACGCCGTCCACCTGGAGCTTCCCATCCTCCTCTGCTAGGTTATCTTGGCATTTATCGTGGCAAGCCGCTCTTGTGGGAAAAAACGAACGGCCAAGGTCTGTTCGACCCATGAAACGCGCCTGCAGCTGAGAGTGAAAAGAATGAACGGAGACTAAAGGAAATTGCAGCCGGCCCATGGGAGGATTTCAAGCTTGATCGATTCAACCTCGTTTGAGAGGCGGCTGATGCTGTCGGAGGTGGTGAAAGAATTTAGTATTGACTCAAGTTGGGGCGTGTAACATCATTGGACACTTGCTGTTGACCACTGAAAAGGCCCAGACCGCCCACAAGTTGCAGGACAATCGTTGGAAATCGTTGCGCACTTTTCCCAACCAGTCGACGCCTCCTTACCCCTGACGATGCATCAGTCAAGAGCGGGGAGAAAGCTGTGGCCAGGCTGAGAACGTCCAACGATTTAGTGCCACCAGAAACGACCCATCAAGTCGGGCTAGCATTTGGAAGGTAGAGGTTGGGACGGGACTTGACGTCCTAAGTGGGTGGAAAAGAGCTGAATCGGTTGCCTGCCGGCGTTCCTAGGCCAATGTTCCACCCTACCTAACAAGGCGCAGTTTGGCATTTCGCCAGTTTCGATAGTTCGACAATGGAGACGGACTGTATGTTGTATGGCGTAGATTAGAAGCAAATGGGGTGTTGATGCTGCTGCCCACCGTCCAGGTGTTGATGTCACAGGCACAAAGTTTGTGGGTCACGGTCTGGGCCGTTGCGTCCCTTGTTCCAAGGCTGAACACACCCTGGCAGCCTGGACCTGACGAAGAGTTCAGATGAGAGTGGAGCAGAACGGTTCTGCAACAAACAGTTCAGATCGCTCTAAACAATACTCTTGGGTAGGCTGGGGACTGTGCCGATCCCTTTTCTTGGTAGGCTTTGCTTGGCTAGCAAACAACAGCTCCCCCGCTCGCCTCCACCTTCAAGAGATTCACTGTTCTGCCTTGATGTTGGAGTGCCTCGCTAGCTGCCTTGCGTAGTTGTGCATTTTTTGCAAATGGTCTCAATAACAAAACGACTAGGTCGTTCGACGATGTGGACGTTGTCAGTCCCCAACGGAGAGTTCCACTAGAAGCTGCGAAAACGCCTCGTCTCGTTTTCAGGGACCTTATTTTTCATTTCTGGGTCGATTTACTGCAGTCGTCGACAATGTGGAGAAACAGAGCTGGCGCAGCCTCTCGCGTAATTGCTCCATACTCGGGGTAGTGGCATTCCGCTCTCCACTTTAGCTCCGCAGAAGCTCTTGTGCTGAAAGCATGAAAAGAGATAGTCTGCTGCGGCTGGAAAAAGGACTCTGCTTGCTTTTTACGACAGCAGAAGACTGTCTGCGGTAAACGTGGGGGAAGGCTTGGGAAAAGGGGTCATCGCCACGACCCAGACTTGTGAATCTTGAACAGATTTGTTGATTGCTCGTTGACGATATTTCACTGGAGGCGCTTTGTCGAGCCCTTTTTTATTATTTTTATATTTGTACGCTTCGTTGTTGTCGAGAGCTGTCCGACCCTGTGAGATAGTCATCAAAACCTGCGCTGTGCTGCTCCGTTAACAGATTACTCTTACACCACAAAGGCTGAACGTGCGACATCGTCTATTTGACCGAACCATTTTCCATTGCTGCAGCTGCCGGCAAGCATTGTACCACGGCATCCGTTCAACACCGGTCGCAATGGCAGGCAAAATGTAAGTCAGCAGACAAAGTGAATGTTTTGCAAATTGCCGGCATGGCCAATGCTGACTTACCTCCTCCCCCTTCTGCCAGCCCTCTGAAGCTCCAGATCGCCATCCGCGACTTGTGGAACAAGGAGACTGCGCCGGTCCAGGTCGCCCGCGCGAACCTCCACAAGGTCCTGGGCTGCGCCGTCACAATTAACCCGGAGTGGATACAGCTGCTGGGCGACCTGGACAAGGTCTACCCAGACAAGCAATCGCTGGCGACAGCGGTTGCGGGCTGCGTCGAGCTGTGGTGCAAGGTGTTTGCGGAGCTGCTGGAGGGCGTGGAAGATGCGGACACGGCGCAGCAAGAGTGGGCGGAGACACTGATGGACCGGCTGCAGCCGCTGAATGGCCTGCGGCTGCTTGTGACGGTGACGGGCTCGGATGCGTCGCTGCCCGTCGTGAAGGAGCCCGGCACGGCATGGTCCGACGACCGGTCGTCGTTCTTGCTGTACCTCCCGCACAGCCGGCCCGTGACGGTGCCTGGGGAGTTTGCGGCGGTGTACCGCGGCGGCCTGCTGACGTGTTTCAAGGAGAAGGAGCCGGCCGGACCGAGCTTGGCGGTCCGTTCTGCTGCGGCCGCCGGTGGCAGCGGCGACGACTGGGCGGATGTCGCAATGGACGCGGCGACGGGCAAGGCGGGCGTGGTGGAAACGGCCACAGGCGCCGAGGTGGCGATTCCAAAGCTCGAGTACTTGCCTTCGCTGGAGTCGCTGCCCCGGCCCGATGAGCTGTTTTTGCGGCCGCCGTACCACATCATCGTGGCCGACTACGGCAAGAAGAAGATTGTCGTCCAGGGCAGCCATAGTCCCTCGCTGAAACTGCTTGGCGAGTATATGAAGCGATGGTGCCGGATCAACCACCATGACTCGCGCCAGCCGCCGGCGGTGGCGGTGGAGTTCAACCAGTCGTGCTGGGGTACGAGCCCAATGCACGACCAGGTGACGTTGACGTCGGAGGCAAACAATATTTTCCAGTTCAATCCGGCGATCGTGCTGGCATTTATCGAAGGCGTGCTGGGATACGACAAGGTGTCGACAGAGCAAGGTATCTGGACGTTCCGGCGGACGGTGCCGTTCAAGGGCTAGGCAAAGCAATGGAGGAGACAAGGAAAAGACAAAACATAACAACCAGTGCACTGTTCTTTGCAAATTGATATCCATACTTTGATAATTTTGACATCCAAACTAAAAGCCCCCCATTATTTCACCAAAAACACGAAAAACAAGGCAAAGGGTATCCAAACTTATGTGTTGAAGCAGCTGCTACAGGGCTGCTACAGGGTCGAAAATCGACTTAGTCCACGCGTGATTCCGTCGTCCGGGCTGCGTCCGTTGCGGTACTGCCACAGCCGGCTGACGTCCTTGACCTTGATGGGGCGCGGCTGCGAAGCCTGGCGTGCCAGGATGGGACTGCTGGCGTGGATCGCCACGAGAGACGGTGCCGCTGCAGTGCTCGCGCCGTTGGTGGCCGCCTGCCAGTTCCGCTCAAAGGCCTCGTGCACGACGGCGCTCTCGTCGCCGGCGCGGGCCACCTCGACCTCGCTCTCCATAAACGCGTTGCCCGTCTCGGCGCACCCGACAATGGCGTTGGTGGCGGGGTCGCGGGCGAGTGGGAACATGCCGTCCAGGTAGTGCTGGCAGAACTGGTGGCCGCCGCGGGGGGAGGCGCGGGCGAAGACGCGGCCGAGGAAGCGGGGCATGGACCGCGTCTTGGGGACGGAGCTGACAAAGTGGAGGACGCCCCAGAGGGCGACAAAGTCGGTCGTGTGGGCGTAGTGCTCGATGTGGCCGATGGCCTGGCCGGTGAGGGCGGCGGGACGGACGGCAGAGGACTCGGCGACGAGGAGAGGTGTGCGGTGCGTGGTCTTGGCGATGGGGGTAGCGGGGGTGGCGGATGTCGGGGTCGCCTCGGCCGTCTCCGGTTCGGCATACATCGACCCAAAGGCGGCCAACTCCCGGTTCTGGGCATCCACGGTGCGGTGCGGGTTGTTGAAGTGGTTGGCGGCGTTGCCAAAGGTGTAGACCTCGAGCTTGGCCAGCATGTCTTGGGGCAGCTCTTGGAGCAGCCAGTCCAGCACGAGGCCGCCCTCGATGCCGCCTTGGGAGTGCAGAATAAAGACGGCCTTGGTAATGTCGGGGCGGTACAGCGTTTCCTTCAAGATGCCGTAGCAGACGCGGACGTCGCGCGTCGCGTATGTGTAGTTGCGCTGGACAAGGCACTCAATGACATCAAACAGGATGCCGGATCTGACAGTGTTAGGACGTCACAGTCGCATGAAAACGGTCCAGAGGAGTTTGCAGTACATACGTCTTGTTGTGAATGCCGAGGATCGGCCGCTTGAACGTCAGCGCCAGCCGGTCCAGGTTGCTCTGCATCCGGTGCTGGCCTACGGCCACACCATTGAGAAAGACCCACTGCTCGTGGGCGTGTTGAGGCAAGGCGGGCGCACACTCGGGCCGTGAACGGTATTCGATGGCACCGCCGATGCCGTTGAGCAGCACGGTGCACAGCACGTGGTTCACGCCCAGACAGGCGAGCACAAGCCCGGTGGCGACCCATACGGGCAGCAGACACGCGGCAGGGACCAGGCCGACCAAGAACACGAGCTGCAGCACAGCCAGCACTGCATGCACAGAGATGCACCAGATGTTGGCGAGGGTAGGACTGAGTTCCGCGAGAGGGCCGGAGTCGGCCGGCCAGAGGGGCCAGACAATGTAGGGCAGGGCCCAGGCGAGGCGGAAGAAGTGATAGACGTCGTAGGCCAGCAGTTTCCATGGCAAGTCGGTGTAGGAGTAATTGATGACGGACTGGCCACCGAGCTGGGAGCCGAAGAAGGAGGTGGACGAGGTAGACGAAGAAGAGTGCTGCGAGGACGGCTGTGGTATTGGTTTAGGCAGTGTGGATGTCTGAAGAGATGGCAGGCGGTCGCGGCGAGGGTGGCGCTGAGACGGCGAATGAGAGTGCAAGATGGACTCGCCGAGCCGGGGTCGGATGTCTCCATTGGCTGTGGCCGTCGCCGCGGTGGTGGATGCTGGCGCTTGCCGGCGACGAAACGAGGCGGAAAAGGCTGCCATGTTCACACGATATGTTTTGGGTTTGAAATATGCACGTGAGGACGAATAGGGCAAGGATGAAGACCACAAACGGAAGCCGCCCTCAACGACGGTCAAAATGGGAAGGCGCGGTCGTGGTTCTCCAAGGCCTTGTAGACAACCGATGCACGCGACGCAAAGGGAAGGAGCCAGCCTCGTCAATTATGAGGCAGCCGCGACACTTTTAATAGCTGACCTTGGTCGACCCGTATCCTCTTTTCTTGGTCTTGGTCTAGTATTGTCTCGTTTCGTTTCCTGTATTTTTGGACACAGTTGCCGATCATTTGGTCACGCTTCGGCAGTGAGAATGTGGGTGGCGGAGCCAACGGACTGGCTGCGCGCTGAACTCCGCCAAGCGAAGCAGGAAAAGAACGAGGAGCAAACGAAAACACGAGGCAGGGGTGTAATGGAGGGGGTCAGACGAGGCTGTGGGCAAGGCCTGGCCTGCGGTAGGGAGAGGCATGAGTTGCTTGGCGGAAAATACAAAAGTGCTCACACAAAAAGCAAATAAATAAATTACTAAACATGACGAAGAGAGTTTCGAAAACGACAGCACCGACAAGAAGAGGAATATCAGACGAGGAGGAGCGAACACGAACGGAAAGGCTTGCAGGAGGTGGGAGGACAGACGAAAAGGATGATCAGCTTGGCTTCTCAAAGAGAGACGGTCAGCAGGCTGTGCGCAGGCGACCTGCCTCGCGGGGTGCTTTCGGTTAGGCACGTACGACGTACTTACATTGTGCTCTGCCGAGTGCCTTTTTGCATTTGGGGTGCATGAAGGCACATGCAATGGGCATGGCACGCCTTGGGAGCAATCTCGTTTCATTTTCAAGCTGGTCAGCGTGTTGTAGTACGCCTCCGTACTGTCGGCTGCTGCCGCGAATCATGCGGGATCTAAGTCGTTTTAGGACGCTAGAGTCGTCTATTTTCGCATCCGCCATGGCGAACGACCCACGATGGCTTTTTCGCTACTTTATTGGGAAACATCCACGCGATGCAAAATCTCCTTAATTTTGCCTTTGCAGATGGTGCAACAAAGCAAGCCGGAGCGGACGCGTGCCTAGTATTGCAGCCGTGGCACGAGTTCCGTATGACTTGATCCCTTGAGAGTTTCCGAGGGTTTCGAGGGGATTCGGTCAAGGATCTTCGTGGGACACTGGGCGAAAACACACATACGTAGAGCAAGAGAACATTCGAAGGTTCCAAATCCCGTAGGATCTGTTCCTGGGAGCTCTCGACTCGTGTTGAGCCGCATGCCGGGGAGTACAGCGGACTGTTCGTCTGCTGCTTCCGTTGGAGTCACTGAATACAGTCTGTCTTGGCAGCAGGCAGTTTTGCACGGATGCTGACACCTCTGGCTTGCTCAAAGACAATAGCGACTCGACGGTGGTACGGCGAGCAAGTCTGTCTGCCTTGGTGGCGGCCACAGTCGTCTGTCTTCCGGTGAGTCAACTTACGGAGAAGCGCTGACGTTTAGCTCGATACGGCACTATGAGACAGCCACTGCCATTAGGCTGCGGGGCACATGTCCCTTGTGGAGCCCTACAGTAAAGCTACATCACCTCAAGACGGAACAGCAACTTCAAAAGTCAACAATGATTATCAAAGACGTATAAAACGTGACGACACGATCGTGGCAAGGGGATGAGGTGGTGGCCTTTCTAGTTATTTCTGATCAGCATTACCGTCGATACCACCAACAGAATACGACACAATGGAACGAGATACAGCAGTGGACATCGTCGTCGATGTCGACATTGCAGACACCAACTATGCCATCTATCGTGAAGCTCTGGCGGCAGTCCTCATCAACAAGCTAGCAGTGCATGAGGTCCGGCCTAAGAGGAAGCAGCGGAGGCGCAAGGCCAAGAAAGCCGAGGCCAAGGCCGGCTTGGAGACCCTTGCCGAAGCAGAACGCGATGCTGCAGTGGACGCCGAAGATGACTGGGAAGGCATTGCGTCACCAGACCAGAGCACAGCAGCAGAAACACTACCGAAGCCGCAGACGCTCATTCCTTTGCACGACAACAGCAACAGCAATACGGACAACGCCACCAATCCCGCCGACGACCTGGCCGAGTTTGTCGACTACGTCGCCCGCGAGACGTTTGACCTGCTGCCGGCCGAGCTGCGCACGCTGGCCCACCACGTCTGGACCGCCGACGCGGCCCTGCGCGACAAGTACGGCGTCGCCGAGGACGGCAGCACGTCGGCCGGTGTGCCCATTCCGGCCGCGCTGAGCCCGTCCCGCACCACCGAGCTGCTGCCGACCCTGGACCCGTCGCCCGTGGCCGACTCCTTGGACGCCTATGGCGTCGGCACGGCAGCCCATGTCCTGGCCCCGGCGCTCTCGTCGTATCTGGTGGCCGTCACCGCGGCACCACCGCCGCCCCGCTCGACACGCGACCAGGCCGACGGGTGCGAGATTTGCGGCCGCGACTGGATCAACCTGAGCTACCACCACCTGATCCCGCGCTTCGTGCACGCCAAAGTCCTCAAGAGACGGTGGCACCGCGCTGACGAGCTGCAGAACGTGGCCTGGCTGTGTGGCGCGTGCCACCGGCAGGTGCACCGTTTTGCGGACCACGAGGACCTGGCGCGGCACTACTACACGGTCGAGCGGCTGCTGGCGGAGCCGGAGATGCAGCGGTATGCGGCGTGGGCGAGCCGGCTGCGGTGGAAGGCGAAGTAGAGGGGAGGGAGAGCGGCGTAACTAGATGGATCACGTTTCTGCAATGGCAACTCGTAACAGAGTAAATTCATGTTGACCACGCGTACTCATCACTGACAATACTATCGACACGCTATGCGCCTTGAAACAAATGCATCCGTACGTCGCCCATCGTCCACTTAACGGCCGTGAGCCGCCGTGTCCGGGATCGGCCCACGCTCGTCGTCCTCTGCCTCATCCTCTTCCAGGCTGCCGTGCCGGCTGTGGCCCATCAGCAGCGCCCGGTCTTCGTTGGCGCCCTTTGTGCGGTACCGTCCATGTGCCAGAGCGTCCGCATCCACCTCGTCCTCGTCTTGTGCGCGCTCGCCGTACGCATGGCCGGCAGTATTTGGTGGCCGTACCTGTGTCCGTGCCTGCGCTGCCTGGCCGCCCTCGTATTCCTCCGCAATGGTCGCCACCGATCCCACCGTCCGCAGCGTGCTCGTCCCGTCATAATCCTCGTGCAGACTCCCGGGCACCGACGCCAGCTCGTGCTCCACGTTCCAGCTGACGGCCCGGTCGATCACGTCGCGCTGCACCCTCGCCGCCGGCCTTGCCACGACGCCCGTGGCCACGACGCTGTTGGAGCGTTCCACGGCCCCGGCAGCACCCGTACGGCCGGCGTCCACAGCAATGGATCCGGACGGCGGCCGCGCCGTGCCCCAGAGCTCCGTGCTGATGGCCCGGTCGACATCGTCCTTGCTGAGCACGGCGCTGGTGCGGTTCATGACGTAGCTGTCAAACTGCGTGTCGCGTTCGTGGTTGTAGCTGGCGCGGCGGCCATCGTCGGCGAGGACACCAGAGGGCCGTCCGCCCGACGGCGAGCCGCGCAGCGACGAGGCAGCCGAGTGGGACCGGCTGCGGCGGCCCGCCTCGCCGCCGGCGGTCGCCGCAGCAGTCGCGCCCGCGCCCGCGCCATGCGGGTCGTACGCGGTCGGCCTGTCGTTGTACGGCCCCGCACCCGTAGTACCCATGGCGGCGCTGTGGCCCACGAGGCCGCGCATGCTCGTCCGGTCCGCTGGCCCGCCGCCCAGCTCGATCTCGTCGTACCCGCTGCCGAACCCAAAGCCTTTGGCATTGTGCGACGGCCCGTGGTAGTAGTCGTCGTACGACTGCACCAGCCGCCGGTACGTGAAAACGGCATAGCCAAACAGCACCAGCATCGCCGCCACCAGCACCACGTCCAGCGCCAGCCCCACCGCCGACCAGTTGCCCTCGGACCGGTGGATGTACACGACCACGTCGAGCGCGAGCATGGCCGCGGCGCCCGTCAATTTGACAATGTGCGCGGCCAGCAAAAAGAAGGGCGTCAGCGTCTCCGCCAACCAGCGCACCGCCTCCATGACGGTCAAGACCAGAGACACCACGCCCAGGCTGACATTTGTGACCTCCCAGGCGAGCTCGACGCTGGGCACTTTGCCGGCGGCGCGGTTGTCTGCAAAATGTTCGGCCGTGTCGGCAAGGCGGTACGAGAAGACGCCGAGCACGCCGAGCAGCAGGGCCGCCTGGACGGCCCAGGCGGGGAAGAGGATGCCGCGGCGCCAACGGGCACGCACAAACTGCTCCTGGTCGCGGTGGAAGGTCATGTTGGGCTGCGACGGAGGAGAGTCGGGGAAATTTGTTGCAGGTGGTTGTGACGTGAGCTGTCGCAGAGAATGTTTAATCGGAGCTGGAAGCTCCCTCTTCTTCCTCGAGACGGGGAGTGCCGGTTGTTACCGGTGCATATTCTCGAAAACGAAAAGAAAAACAGGGTTTGTTTGCGTGCGTGGCTTGTCTGCGTGGCTGTCTCGGGTTGTCGGTGAACTGTCGGTGAACACAGACAAGCAGGACGACAATGGCCGAGGACGGAGAGACAAGAAGTGGAAAGAAAACAATCAAATAGAAAGAGAAACAACAGAAGAAAGCAGCCCCAGAACGACGGGAAACCAGACTGCCAAAAATACAGAAATCACAGAAATCACAGAAATCATCACGGGAGGTGAGCAATAAAAGCAAGGTGGCGCCATGCCTCTTTTCCATACTTGCCGTTCCATTTCCTTTCTCACTCTTGTCTGACGGTCAGCCATCAGGAGGAGTGTGCATGCACCAGGGTCCGAAGAAACTTAAACTTTCCCAACATAACCCAGCTCAATCCCAATGCAGCATGGCGCAAAGAGGAATGCCTGACCCATCCGCAGAAACGCCTCGTCGGCCTTGCGACTTGCGTAGGAACGAAGTACGAGGACAACACGGCGAGCAGGGGTCGGTCAACTGAAGGAAATCTGAACAGCTTCGAACAAAAGCTGAAAGGATTCTTCAGAGAGAGGAGAGAGGAACCATTGATGTGGAGACAAGGCGCTATGGGGAGACTAGGCCGCTGCGTTGGCGAGGTTGGCTTCGAGGCGCGCAGTGCGGCTGAGTCTTTGGTGGAGGGTCTGTTTGGCACACCATTCGTCTGCATGTTTCGTCTGTTTCCATCAGGAGCAAGCGCATACTGCAATGGGAGAAGACCTGCGGCTCGTTTCGACAATTGAAAGGAAGCATAACGTGAAGCTTGATCAGTATTTAAGTATCATCGCAGGAACACGGAACGTATTCCGTACAGGACAGTAGAGAAAGGCCAATGTTGGCCTGGTCCATATTTACAATAGGAAGCTTCGTTTAGCTGCCTGGAGGATTCGCGCTGGTGTGATTGTGAGGATTCGAAATCAAACTTCTGCGGCATCCTCATGTATCTTACGTCTATGCCGGGAGGATCACAGCGGGACGCAAGCCAGTGTTTCGTTTCATAGACACTTGCGAAAGACGGGACGGCACACTGTCTGTAAAAGTCGGGTGTACGTAGTCTGCTCAGAGAAAGCGTGATGCTTCTACAGTTCGAGCTCTTTCAGGGACAAGGGTCTGGTCGGTCAGCATGGTCAGCTTGGGCCAATTGGCCCCTGGCGCCAAAGACTCAGGACAAAGAACCGCAAAATGTGTGGACACGGCCCAGCCATTCTAGAAGTGGCTGAGCTCGTTTGAAGACAGCAGCAAAACGGTGTGCGCTTGACAGGTCTCACTGCGGATCGTGTGTTTGCAATGCCGTACATTCGTATTTTGTCTTCTGTGTTCTATGGGAGCAGTGGCATTCACCATGACTGCGTTCTGATGAAACAAAAGGGTATTCACACGCCGTAATTGCTCCACAGGTCTGACGGTGCATCTGATCTCGCTTGTGATCTTGTTATCGCGTGTCTCCACAGCGGCTGGCTGTTTGCTGACACTGATTTGGAACGCGTATGCACCACGAACAGTGCCTCTCCCAGAGACACGACATCAGCAGTAGGACGAGAACGACAGCCCGTCAGCTCACGGTGGAGCCTTCGCAATGTTTCAGAAGGTTAAATATAACTTGAGCGACGAGCACATCTGAAGAGAACACAATGAGGCGATCTGAAATAAAAAGATTGTAGTAATTATTCTTTCCAAAAGAGAAAGAGAGGACTTGCAGGGGAAAGCTGTCGAGTCCAGAAACAATATAAAGCAGAACAATATGAAAACACTAGGGTCGTTCGTGGACGCATCACCTCCGTTGTCGAATACAAAGAGCAAGATGGACAAGCGGAATTGCAGGAACTGAAAATGAATCTGGTTTTGAAAAAGGACAGCAAAAAGGAAGAAAAGCAACACACGATCCGTGTCCCATTGCTCCCCTCTCGTCAGCACACATTCCCAGTATTTTCCCTCGGGTAACATACAACTTAAAGCGAGAGAGCGCTGTTGTTGCCGCCACTTTTGTCTGGCGCGGCAGCTGCTTTTGGCGGCCATCGCAGTGTGGTTTGTGTCCCTTCGAAGTACAACATACTATGTATTTACAGTTGTCATTTTCCTGAATGCCCGATTTTGGTAGCCTCTCCCAGCGGCCGAGTAGGACAGGGTAACAAGAAAACAATAGAGATAGTTCTATTACACGTGACATAACCTCTCACCCTGCATAATCAGTCATAACACCATTCACCCGTTTCTCCCTTTTCTCCCATTTCTCATGTCTTTCCTTTCATCACACGAGCTAAGTTCACCTTTTTTATTATAAACGAAAATTGAACGAATTAATTACTCTTTTTATACGACGTAAACATGGTTTTAACGGGGGACGGGCATAGCTCAACGCCAGCGCCGTTCCAATTGGTAAGCGATCTGCACAGCAGTGCAGGCTTTCCTCTTGCGTGTGGCGTTACGAGTAGAACTACTTCACAAATTCTCACACGTGGGATGCCCACCAGGTCGTGCCTCCTGTGGGGCAGCCAGCGACAACGACGACGACGACGACGACAACGGCGGAAGATCTACGGCTCCAGGACCTCAAAACGTATAAGCACTGTCATGAGATCTTCGTGGCCTGCAGCGCCGTACCGTCTAAGACCGGAGAGGCAAACCGTCTAACCACTACCGTCACGCTACACAGCCGGGGGCCCGCTAGCAAAATCGCTCGTCCTTCTGGTTCGCCTCTGACTTCGTATTCGACTTCACCTTCGCCTTCACTTTCGCCTTCGCTTTCACTGTCACAACCACTCGTAACGTTAACCGTACCGCTATCGGTCGCGGCGTTCGGCACGGCCTTAACGGAAGTCGGTGGCTTTACCGACCTCGGCGCGGTCGGCCTCCCGGGCGGCGGCGACGGCGGCGTGGTCCAACTATATACCGTGCCAATGTACGGCGAGTACGCTGCTCTAGGACACATTTTTAGTGACGGCCGCGTGCCTGTATGGAAGTGGGTGAAGCCGGCGGGCCCGTACGGCCACTATGGGGTATGTGGGAGACGGAGCTTGCGCAGACATTGGAGGACGGCCAGTGGCGCGGCGGCACGGACCTGATGCTGTTAGTGGCCGGCGTGTCGGAGGCGACGCGCCAGTCGCTCGTTGGGCGCCGGTCGAGCTCGCTCAGGGTGTTGACGTGCTAGATAATGCCTGCGCCGCCCTTTGTCGAAAGCGTTGTTGTTCTTCCATTCTTTCGCGTGCGAGGTCGTATATTGTTTATTTGGCCTGTTGATGAGGCTTTGCGGGAGACATAATCGTAACACTAAATGCTTGTGTTTTTATATGTCGTATTTAATACGATAGGCAGCGGTATACATAAAGAGGAGGTTTTTAAACTCTACGCGGCAGCGACTTAGGGGTAGAACGGGAGATAAACTGCGGCAATTTCACTGCCCTGTTTTATATGAGTATCTATACATAAAAGGACCGGACTCCTGGAGCAATTCAGGGCCATCCTGTCCACACTACTCCAATAACTAATGCAATGGGCAGTGTTCATCACGCGGCAGAAGAAGGAGGGCCGGCAGGGCTTAATGATCGGTGAATGGACTTGGATGCCCTATTACCCTGCCCGATAATTGTTTACGGTTCTCAATGTTAACGACAGCACGAAAAGTGTTGGGGAGGGGGGGAGGATATAATAACAGCACCACAAGGAAAAGAAGTCAAGAGTACAAGAGAGACGTCGACATAAAAGGGCTGTATTAATTATATACGGTTGTCAAGGTGGCTACAAGAGCGGGCCAACCAGCAACGAATTACGGCTCCATATTACCCGATTGGGACGGCCGCGCACTGTAGCGGCCACAACAGTGTGTTTTGCTTAACTAAAAAAAATCCAAAAGCAGACCAATACTCCAAGAACATAAGCCAGAAGAGACAAAATGAGTGACGAAAAATGCGCGCCGAAAAGGATAAAAAGATAGAATGCCTCGTGGGGACAAAAAGAATGAAGAAAAAAGCAGAGCCGTGCATCGTGAAGTACAGGAGAATATCAACAGGGAAAGTATCGATGCGCCCTGCATGCAAACGCTGAGAAGGCGAGAGTGAGCCAAAACAAAAATGAAAAATTAACTGCCTGCAAATTGGGATATCGGCCCCGTCTGGACGAAGCATGTAGAACACTTTTTTTGGGAAAACAGGTCTTTCGGAACAATATGTCGCTGGATATAAAAGGTCGACGGAATCTAACGTGCCAAGCCAGTGACAGGGTGACGGAGGATGCTGAGAATGGTGCAAGAAGGTCGTTCTGATGTAAACTTTCGTGGGGCACATTAAGTGATGCTGCGAATTGGCCGATGGGCGAATCGTTTGAGAAATCGTAAAACAAAAGACAAGTCGATCAATGAATAGAGACAAAAGTGGGAGAAGCGTGTTTAGTCCTGGTAGTGAACCCACTCGTTCCACGGGTCACCGGCGCCACCGTCCGGGGTACCGATCCGGCTGCCAAACTGCTCCTGCATGGCCTCTGGAGAAAAGCCAGGGACCAGAGTGTGGACAGAATGACATGACGAAAAGGTAGACGTCGGTACGCTCGTAAAGTCCATCGACTGATGCACGGTGTCGTCCATGGCCATGGCCAGCGGGAAGGGCATCTCGGCAGTCGGGTCCGCAGGCATGGGAAATGTGCCGTCTTCAGACAGCATCGACCATAGCATGTGGTCAGGCACGGCCGGGTTGGAGACCGCACTGCCGTGCACGAATTGTTGGGACGCGTTCGGATCCAAGACGGGGTATGTCAGGGCAGCCGTGCCTGCGGCTGCCGCCCAGGCAGCTGTGTCAATGGGCTTCGAGGGGTCGGTGACCGGAGTAACGGTGCGATTGGGACCGTACGTTGTCAGAACAATGCCGCTGCTTTCGCGGCGGATGTGGGGCTTGGGGCTGTGGTTGGCAACTGCCGCCAAGCTGCAGCTATCTATAAGCAGGTGTCAGCCGGGGTGCGGGTGAGAGCTTGCGGGACATTGTCTGTGGTGGCTTACCTTGTGACGCGGGCGTTGAAACAGACGGTGTTCCGGTGGGCGTGCTGTTGTATTTGAGTCCAGGCAACGGGGGTGACAGAGCCGCCTGTGAGAAACGGTTTCCGACGGAAGACTGGAATGTGTCGTGCGCCGTGGCAGGGATAGTAAAGTTGCCAGGAAGCGTGGACATGTCGACCGGCATTGGCTGCGATCCGGAGTTCGAGCCGGTATCGTTGCTGCTGCTCGCGCTGGAAAGGACGGGCATCATTTCCGACCCAGTGGCCACAGAGTTGGATCGAGACGGGTGGCCGCCCCCCATGCTTGCGTGGATGGCATGTGGTGACGCCATGGGGAAGATTCCGCTACCATCGTTGCTCCCCGCGAAGGATGTGACGGAGTCGCGGTGGTGGAAGTAGGACGGTTCGTTGCCGCTGAAATGCTGCTGGTGCGGTTGGGAGGCAAAGGGCTGCGGTTGTCCCTGATAATACTGGCCGGCCGGTTGCTGTTGCTGTTGCTGATTGCGGTACTGCTGTGGCATCTGGTACATCTGCTGTTGCTGGATCTCCGCGGTGTGGGGATCGGTCGCGGCGTGTGACTGCTGCTGGACAGGACCGGGATGCTGCTGGGGCTGCGGGGGCTGCTGGGGCCGCTGGTATTGCTGAGACACGTTCGGAAAGTGGCGCGCGAATAAGTCGTTGATTTCGGCCTCGCGCTGAGCCCGGGCGCGCTGCTCTTCGGCCGTCGACCCCGGCGGGATGTTCGAGATGTCAACACTGCCATAGCCGCGGGTGGCGTTGTTTCGCAGGCGCGGAAGGTCGTCGTCTTCTTCCTCGTACATGTCTTCTTTCAAGACAATCTCCTCGGAAATCTTAAAGCTGCGGCCGGTCCGTCTCTTGTGGATGATGGACGCCATCCGCGCCGACTGGACGCGGGCCTCGATGCTGCGGTCGGCGCGACGAGAGGCCGCAATAAACGCCCTCTCTTGGTTTTCTTCGTGGGACCGCTCGGACTAAAATAGAGGAGAAAAAAAAAAGTTAGCTACCGGTTCCAAATTGATATATCTCAAAGGCTCGAGCACTCGGCGAATCTCGTCTTCTCAGAGTACTGGTGGGCAATGGCCGCTCTACCGGTTCACCACGGACCACCATGTTGTATGCATTGTGAATAGACCGCAGAGATACTGCCGATAGCGAGGATGGTGGGCCAGGCACATGGCAACGAGGCTAGATTCTAGATACATTGGGGGTGCTGTGGACGTACCTTGCGGGGAGGCTCCTGCGTGTGAACACTGCCCGTGCTAGACACCGGCGAGGTTCCCTGCGGAGGAGATGTGGATCCTCGTGCCATTTCGGTGATGTGTGAAAGGAGAGGGGGGGAAAGATATCGGTGGTGATGCAATGTGACGCGGAGCGGCGCTGGGCTCCGGTGAGTCCGTGTGAGGTAGTTGTGGGGTCGGAGATAGGTAGAGAGGTGGGAGGCGGGCGTGGGCAGAGAACGGAGAGGAGAGACAATGCTTGGACGAAATGGCGGGAAATATTAGAGGACTAAAAATTATGAACAAGAACAAGAAAGAAGCATTCGGAGCTCGTGACAAGTGAAACTCGTAATGTTTATCAAGAAGAAAGAGCGAATGGCGATGCGATGGAGAGGAATGATGGACGCGGGGACTCTCTGTATTAGTAGTAATTAAAGAGAGAAGGAACGACCGTCGTTGGGACCTTCCTTGTGGCGTCGATCGATGGGGTAGTTAGGACAGCATACAATATATAGATGTGAAACCTTGTACGGCAAGTGCAAATGATAAAGGGAAGGCGCGATGCAGAATGAGGGTGGGGGGTGGGCACAAAAAAAGTCAATGGTAGTCACGGCCGTAGAAACTCTTTATATAAAGAAAGCATTGGAGGTGTTGTTCTTTCTTATTTGGGTCTTAGTGGAACGGGAGTGCACCAGTTCCTGTTAGTGGAGGGAGCCAAGAAAACAGAAGGAGAAAAAAAATATAGTTCGGGAGCTGCAAGGATAGGATCAATTGGGGACCGCTGGGGAGAAAAATGACGACATGCCTGTGGACGGAGCCGACCTAACAAGAATGGGAACAGGGTGGTGGGTGGGTGGTGGGTGGGATCGCGCGTCTCGGCCCAGCCGTCTGTGGAACAGTTTGGAAGAAAGGCGAAGAATTGCGCAGGATGCTCACAGCTTGAGGACTCTGACGAACGCCAAAGTGGGCAGAGACTGGGAACTCGAAATCGAGATCAACCAGGTTCAATTGACGAGATGCAGGCGTGGCAGGCACTGGACGGCCGTGAAAGAAAGAAAACTCAGAGACGAAAAGCTAGAAGGAGATGTAAAAAGAGCAGTAGATTGTCTGCTGGTTCAATTTTTTGGGGTGTTCGAGAGCAAAGGAGAGCAGCGCGGGGCAGGTACACAACAATACAGGCGTCTAGACAGAGACAGGTGGAGAGGTAGGGGTGTGTCCTTAACGACTTTTGGTGTGGGGAATCGAAGAATGTATGGTTTCGTTCTACAGCATGAAGAGGTTAAAAAGTGGTTGAACCGTAGTAAGGTTGCAAAAGCAAAAGAAAAAAAGAAAGAAAGAATAAAGAAAAAAAGACGAAAATATGTGGGCAATGGCGTGGTCCACAGACAATGACCAGAAAATAATAGAGGACGGAAAGAGACGGAGCGAGGCACGAGTGTACAAGAGCATATGACGAGAGAAAGGCCAACAGCGCTGTTAGTTGAGGTGCTGGTTTTTCTTTTTGGTTTTCTTTTGGTGATGTCCAGAAACGTCTAGGCCTTGGGCTAGTTTGCTAGACAGCCAAGTTGTGAACTGTTTGACGGAAAGACCACACAAGCAAAAGCACAGATGGACCAACCAGCGTCGTGGACGGCCCAGACTAAAAGCAAAGCGAGCAACCAACAGGGCGACGATAACTCATCCCAGGAGACAACTTACAAACGGACATGGTGGGACAAGACACCGACTGTGCGCAGAGCTACGCGTCAGCCCATCGTCTTAAGCTAACGACAAAGACAAGTCATGCTCCCGACCATCACAAGCAAACCTGTAACAAAAGTCAGGCAAATCGTTACTCAGCTTTTCACAGCTTCCCTGAGCAGTCGGGACGAATTGAATACGGGCAGAGAAAAGTTACAGTGGCCCATACAGGCGCATACTCCACAGACATTTCTTCGGGCATGCTCCGTTTCTAGCATCTTGCCAGCGGCCTTTTGCTTTCCATAATGGGTTGGCTCGGCGTGATGATGAGATGAGGGCCGTCGTGAAAAAGTACTTGCTCTCGCAGTCCGTAATCGCATCGATCGGCGCTAAAGCCCATTCCTATTCCTATTCCGAGGCCAAGCACAGAATACATACGTCGTATGGGGAGCCCACTATATCCATACATAACAGGACTATTCCATCGCTGAGTAGCTTGGCCCCAGCGGGCAGCAGAAAAAGAAAGTCTGGTCCGAGTAAGAGAGGGGGAAAGAGAGGGCACGCACTTGCTCGATGGGCCAAAGTAGAAAAACATGTAATCATCGGGGATGTTATTTTACCAGTCAACAAAATATAGAACAAGCCGATCGCACTCAATACCCCCAGTAGGCAAGGAGACAATGGTCCTGGCATGGATTCAGCAGGTCGGTTTTTGCCTTTTGCTTTGGTCCGTGGGCAGTAGCCACTTCCCAGGCCAATTGGACCAAGGGTCTTGTCTGTGTGTGGGCGCATTTGGGCGCATTTCCTGGAGCAAACCCGCCGAAAAGCAAAAGCGGTCCTTGAAAAAGTAGCTATTTTTTTTAAAAAAAAATTGTGGCCTACAATGACCTGTCTCATTTGTCGTGCCTCATGGTATTACGCAGTTTCCACATGCAATAACAATGTGAGTACTTTTTTGATGGGCGGAGTTGAATGAGAACAAAGGCGAAGAGATTGAGCAGAGAAGCACACATACAAAATACGAACCAGAAGCCGGTACCACTTCTATGCTGAGCGCCAGAGTGAACACAAAGTACCGTCAGGCGCCCTTCCTAAACAAATCGGAGCTTGGTGCAGTAGAGTGTCTTGCAGCAGTGAGAGTCGGAAAACAATCATGTGGGGCCGGCCTTCTTTGTTTGAGGGGAAAAGATGTCAAGGACAACACAACGATCGGCACTAATGGCGACCCAGGACAAGCACCATTCCGGAGGGAGAATGCTAGGTGACACGACAACAGGGGCTTTGTGAAAAGCACGTGTTCATAAGATGTAACCCCCCCTTGTATGGGATTAGAACAAAAAGCTAGGATGCTTTGGATGCCAAATCGAGATGCGCTTTTCTTTTTGTCGCCGCTTTGAGTCTTGTTTGTCCCGGTCTCCCGTAAGAAGCCGTCTCATGTCCAGGAGACGCGACAAATAGATAGCGACATATTTGCGCTTTGAATTTGCAAAATACATCAAATATCACACCGCTCTGATGTGATATGGCTTGATCGGTATTGTATTAAGTCGGATAGTCGACATTTGATACAACGCCCCTTGGACATGTAGTATCTTGTATTAATGCGAATATTCCGTCCGCCGTGCTACGCAATTTGGGGAGATGAACCCTGAAATTGACAATCCTCTACAGGTCAGACACACACCACGGCAGATAAACTAGAACGATACGGGCTGTTGGTGCCGGAAATGCTGGGGAGTCTTTGGTGAACTAGATTCGGTCTACTTCGTTTGTGCTGTGTTTTGGTGGCGAAAGAGGGGCTGAAGAAGAAACATGAAGCAGAGAGGCGACAAAAAGCAGGTAAGAACAGAGTCGATTCCCAAAGGGATATGCAGCGACTGATCGACCGCCAACGTTTCCAGAAGGAACAAACAGAGGAAAAAAAGAATAGCGAGGGGAAAAGCACAGACCCTCTGCCACGGAAATCTGCCGCTCAGCGACGATCATTTTCTCTACTAGTACGCAGCGTCAGGTGCAACTGTGGCGAGTGCCTGTGGCTGGAGGCCTTTGAACGGGCGAAAAGAAATCTAGAGCACGGTGGATCGACCAAGGCCCACAGGGCCACAAGTCCAACCGTGCTTATGTATGCCATACATGGCTTTGTGTTTTTCTCTGTTTGTACAAAGCATGTTGTACTTTTTGCATGCAATACCAGAGTCGTTGTTCTCTGCAAGTTAGCAGTGCTGTTTCCCCCCAACAATTGATAAAAGCCCCTGTCGTTTTATGAGCCTAACGTACGGCAGTTCGTCAACGTTTCGCCTTGCCCAGTATACTCTGCAGCCACATTTGTGGAGAAAAATCAGACTGGCCAACGAGAGCTGCGATGCGGAGCATGACGATCAGCGCTTTGCCATGCAGTTGCACTGTTTTCTTATGAACCAAAATACAATCGCGATTCGCGGAATGTTTGCTCCTTTTTCCCTTTTTTTTTGAGGGGCCTGTCATTCCATATCTGACAGGATCGAAAAATTGGACCCTGAACGGGCGAGCATCCTTGTTGGAAACCGATTATGCTGCGCGTATTGAACGTACGATGAACGTCCCATGGTTTCTGCGCATAGGAGGCCATACTAGATTCTGACTTTATCACCGTTTTCACCGGGGCTCTCTGGAGGAGAGGTTTGTCGCCTTACAGCGAGTCGATAGATGGCCAGTTGTAAAGGAGAAGAATATAAGGAATATCACCAATAACCGTTGAGGATTGCCAGGAACATGCACGATAGCAGAGCACAATGCAGACATGCAAAAAACAGGGTCTGATATGCAGCGTGTAACGGAAGGGACCCTCGGGAGACCCCTCGCCCTCACTCTGACACGTCGTGTCGACCGCCACAAGCATCCCTTTCCTTGCAGATCGGCAAAGTCGCGCAGAATCGCCTTATCCGTTGCCCGCGGCATCTCACCCGCGCCCCTCCTCTGATCCACGTTGAAAAAGCATCGCCGATGAAGACATACAAAAGCAGAAGGTAGCTCGCGCATCGGGACAGGGGAGCGTGACGTCAGGGGCAGAGGGGGGTGCAGGCCAGACATGGCCACAGAAGAGGAGAGGCGAGAGCTGCAGAAAGGAGAGAACCTGCCGAGCCTGCCCAGCTGCCGTCGTTGCAACAGTTCGTCCAGTGAGATAAAAGAGGGTCGTCGGGGTCGACGGTTGAAGTATCATGGTGCAACACTCCATAAACTGTCTGGTGGGCCAGCATAGTGCTACAACAGCAGTGACGGGATTGTGGAAAAGTCGGCAACGTTGGGCCGCGCAAGGGTGCGGGCGATAGGGGTTCAGTATCTGTTTCTGTTAAGCGAACGGAGTGCTGTTGATTTCTTATTTTAATATTATATTTTTATATTTTACTTTTTTACTGACATCGAGATAGCACCCCTCAATCACACACACTCGCACGGCAAGAATGATGCAGGTCTGCCACTAATAACATCTGTGGCTGCGTCGCTAGGCGGTCCGAGTGACGCGATTGGTGTGATCCAGACTAGACCCACTAAAATGATCGAGCGATTGCTGTCGTGCGGAGAATTTGCTCCGGACGACCAGGAAGAAGTGGGGCAGAGGACCAAAAAGGGTCGGAAAGGAAGGTACGGTCGTCTGTCGAGGTCAGCGGAGTGTCAACAGGGGAGCTTTCGCGAATGACACTCCACGGAGCTGTCGTTCCTTTGGGGTCTCTTCTCAGCATCTACGCGTAGTCTGTGGACGTGCCACTTGTGTTGGAACTTCCAACAGGTTTCCGTGTTGCGGCGACCAAGCCACTGCGAGCCATCGACGATGACAATGGACTGTTACATCAAACGGCTGGAGGGTAATTTCACCGCATTTGACAACATGGCAGGGTCTCTAACCGCTCACCTTGAAACCGCGCAAGGACCAGAACGTTGTGAGGCGCGCAGCGGCAACCGACATGCGCTCGATACCGGATCCGACGGCATAATTGAAGGCACATGCTAGATGCTGAAAAGCTGCCATGAGGTCTGGCAGGACAAGATGAAAACATTAAACTCACAAAAGAGGTTGTCGTCATATTTGGCTACCTCGCTACGTACAACGATTCGCCAAGTTGGAATTTGCCAGAACCTGGCAATGGGACGACTTAGTTGTCAGGAAAGCTCTCTATCTGCGGATTTACAATGGACATAGGTGGGAGATATGTGTAGTTTGAGGCTTGGCTGAGCTTGGGTTACATACAACAGCCCGCAAAGTAAAGCAATTAATCAAATTAGTGGGTCAGGTTACAGTTGGATGGCATCGGCTGCCATACCAAATCCCACCAAGTACCAGGATGTCAAGAGCATCCGACAATCAGTTCACGGGACGGCCATATCAAGTTACTTCTCGCACACCGACCAACAATAGACAAGATATGATATGAAAACAAGCACGGCTACCAATGACAGCCACAGCTGTCGAGAGAAGTAGGAGAGAGAAACGAAAAAGATCAGGCTTTCCAGGAAACAGGCTTGAAGCAGGTTTTCGCTTACACACGTCGAGGGACGCGAACGACAGAGATGAACGATGCATCTCCGGGGGCATGTTTGCAAACAAGTGTAAAACACAAAGGAAAGGGAACACATTCTTCATATCCTGTTAGGCGCTCCAAAGGAAACAAGACCGCTTCATTGATCCTTTATCTGGCTCAGCATCCCCCCAAAACAGCATTCGCCTGCTGACAGAGGTGACAGCTGTCAATCTTTGCCGAAACGAGACAGTTTGCTTCTAACCTCGAGGAAGCCGATAATTAATGGTCCTTTGTGCCTTGTAGGCTTTGTGCAACAGAGAGTGAGGGAGCCAAGCCCCAAGGTGCCAAAATCTCAGCGTGGTAGTGCCATACAAACCCTCCTGTGTACATTTAGTATTGTCAAAAATTTCTATATCTTGATTGTTTCCTGTTTTCAAATACTAGGGCCGATCACATAACGGACAGTCCGCCTGACGGATCGCGCGAGACGGAGCAGAGGCAGAAAGGACGCCAAAATGTGGTCACTGCCTTTCTTGACAAAAAAAAAAAAACTGAAGGCCCTCCTTTTCGGGAAAAAATGGGACTGACGCAATGAGACTGGGAGATCGTCGCGCAGTGCCGGTCATCTGTGTTAAAGCGTAACGGAAAAAGTGGACTTTGACACACATCCAAACTAGGCTGCATCAAATGCTATCATATTTATGTCTTTTTCACACAAGGTTGCTAAAGGTATTAAGAGGTCCTTTTGACACTAACAAAGGGACAGTAACTCGGAAATAAGCACAAAAAAAATACAAGCACTGGTTTTTTACATTCTAATTTTTTTTTTTTCAAAATAAAAAATCACCCGCATAATTGCATAAGTACGGGCTCACCGCAATCCAATGCTTGTCACCATGTCGATACGTCATGTTTTACACAGCCTTGAATTTGAAACTGTTATCACTTGCCGTTTGCCTGCCCGGAAAAGAAAGCCTCTTCGAGCAGCCTACCAAGGCTATGGCGATCCCATGGCCAAAAGCCCAATCAATGAGGGACGGGAAGAGCGAAGAAGAAACGCAACAAACAACGTGCTGGCGACACGATCAGCGGTTCGCTAGCGCGTTCGTCACAGAGGGAGTGCGCTGTAATACCGACCAACCTACCAGCTACAAAAACCTTCACACCCCTAGCTCCCCCGAATTTGTCCCCAGTGACGTATGATGACGGCCACTGGGAGCCCGCGTTGCCTGTTTAGGAAAAGTGGTTGTTATTCCGCTAAAAAAAAGATGCTGCAACAATTCAATCAAAAAAAATGCAAGAGAGCAATCATTTAGAAACACCGACCGCACAGATCCCGATTTATGGCCGGCATAGTGAGAGCGTATCAGCAGACAGCGGAAAGGCGGACACGATGAGCAGCTATTGAATATTTCCCATTCCCAAAACGCTTTACGTTCCTATTTTGCATGTCTCGATTTCTTGCTTGACCTGTAATTATAACCTTGTCAGTGGGCCTCTACGACCACCAGCCTTTGTCGACTTTATCGCTTCCTCGTCGTCTTGGTTCTCCAAGTCCTGCTAGATTGCTCTCGAACTTGAATGTTCAATCGCCGAAGCAAGCATGACCAAGTAAAAATTGGAGAAGGATGCCAGTTCAAACCCCGAATGCTTGTGCTTGTCTTGCCGCTTGCTTCAATTAAATGACAGGCCCGACCAATGGTGTGGGACACAGGTGGCAAAGCGAGAGCCTGTCTTTCCAAAGGTCTGGGACCTGCTCGACTGGGCTGTAAGCGCATTCTTCCTGATCCATGTTGAGCTGAAAAAAGGGCAACACGACACTGCAATACAACCTGCCAAAGCTGCTAACCAGCCGTGCCAGCTACTCCAACTGCCGGAACTTGCAGCGTCGCAGCAGGACTCGGTACAACCGCACATAAAAAATCTACACACTTGGTCCAATTTAAGCCACAAGCCATGCGCAATGAAAGTAAAACGTTGGAGCGAATGGCGATGGTAGAAGACTCAGGACGCCTCCAAAGGATATGTTTGCTGTTTAATTCGTGCGTGCTTTCACAAAAACCCTGCGGGCTGTTTGCGTATTGTGGGCGGAGAGGGCGTTGACACGACAAGCCTGCTCGCGTGGAATGGGGAGATTTTTACTTTGCGACATGCCGTTTTCCACGTACAAAGTATGTGATTTGAAGTTGCACCGTAAGCTCTGGTGGCTGGTCGTGTCTCGCAACTTGACCGACTCTCTTCCGGACATGTCGAACGTTCTGGCATTTCGCACGTCGTCGCAACTGGACCCCTGCGCTTGATGTCTCCTCACAAGATCTCAGATACACGAGATTCAAGCAAACAAAACAACCACACACCCCTCCCCCCCCATCGGTTTGACCGACCCCCCTGCTACGACCCAGGACCCCTATTTTCAAAACTCCCCCTCCCCGGTTGACATTCCTTCCCGTAACGGGAGTGATAAAAAGAGAGAGGAAGGTGGGGGGGCTGTTTTGGCGCGGCTCTTCCCGAGAGACGCGCGATGACGTCATTGCACTCTTTTTAAGTATGTGCCCCCTAAATTTTTTTTCTCACTGGAAAAACGTGCGTCATTGCGAATCCCCCCAGGGGGACGTGGTGGGTGTGGGGCAGCGCATTCATGCATGTTGACGACATTTTGACGATTGTCAACAGACGAAATAGGAAAAGTAAACAACGGACGAACCCGACGATATGGGGACAGATGGGACCAGCCGTACACGTCAGAAAACCAGAAGACGAAGAAGAAAGAAGGCAATGGAAAAAGAACAATCGTACGACAATTGAACAATCGTACGACAATTGGAACCACATGACAGCAGCGGAAACCATTCTTTGCACGGGGACGGCATGGCGCACAAACTTACATCACGACCCGCTTGGGAACAGGGCAAACAGAATTGAGTCTTTTCGAAACCTGCTGTCGTTGGACAGTACAAGTTTGGTGTGGTGATGGTATTCACGTTGAGATCGTCATGGGCCAATGTGTGAGTTCCATCGCGCAGTCGAGTCTACTGAGCACATTCCTAATTGAGCACCACACGACAGGAAGCTATTCGGCCGGGAAGCCACTGTGAATCAAGGTGGAAGAACTCTTGGGCCCGGGGTGCCACATTGGATGTTCTCAAAGAAGTGGAAAAAACAGGAAAATGAGGCGTATGTGAGGCATATGGTACATGGCATGTGCATAGGTCGTCCTGGCCTCGATACATGTCAATCGTAAAGATCCAGTAACACTGAGACAGACAAGGGCATTCGCACCATGGGTTAAAGACAAGTCATGGGAGAGGAATAAAAATATAGGAGAAAAGAGTAGAAAAGTGTGCAAGGGCCGACACATGCACAGTAGGAAATCCAACACAGAGAAAGGTTCTAGGGGCCAATCGTGTAAATCTAAAAAGCAGACGAAGAAGCTGCTACGAAAGACCTCACAGCCTCACATCATCGTGGAGCAGCTGGTAAACGTCAGCGCCTTTCGAGGCGCACCAGAATATCGGTCTTCGGCGGGTTCCAGTCAAGTCGCCGGCCGGGCTAGGTTATCAACCATTCTGTGCACGCCGACTCTCTGCTTGGTCGCCTTTCCAGACCCTTTTGATTCATTTCTTTCTGATGTAGTTGTGTCGCATTTGATTTTCTCTTCGAGTGCGGCTCCGTGCACGTCACTGTCGTCTTTCCAACGGTAAAGGGGTACACAGTAGATCCATCCGATACCTGTCCGACTCAAAATCCCGAGATTTAGAATATTTATGGAGCCCACAAGGCACGTTGAACATTTTCAGACGACGAACATAAAGCTTCTAGACTCCACAATTTGTCTCGTGGACCTGAAGTTTCGTTGAGCGATTGTACATGTATTCGCTTACTTTTTTTCACGCTACTTTCCTGTTTGTCTCTTTTCGTGTGTCTACACCGTACTGTTCCATCGGCTGGCCCTGTGGGATGGCTCTGAAATGTCGTATGTATGCATTCTGGCCAGTGGGGTCGCCTCGGTGGGGGCCACACAAGCAAAACGAGTAAAAGATTGACGAAAAAGAAGGAGGCTCGGAGGGTCAAGCACAAGGGCAGATGAGACAGACACGACAGAATAACAGATCGTGGTGGTGTGCCCCACCGCTTCCCGTGGCCCTGGGCCTGCGTTTGGATCGGCAAATGTCCATGCCACACTCCTCGTGGGGAGCTGGGGAGGTAGATATTTGGTCAGGTACGAAATATGTCAAACCGGAGAAGGGCGCACGGGTTGATTTTGCTGGCGCAGATCCCAAGTCGACCAGAAGAAATAGAAGAAAAACAGTCATGGTGGGATGAAGACGAGGATGAAGACACATATTTCGAGTCCCTTTCCAACTCCATCCAGCGTGCAAGCTGGGTGCATCCAACTCGAAAACTAGAAACGACGTTGGAAATGTCTCCCGGCGTACAAGCAGTGACTTCCGAACTCATAAACCCAACACGTGTCGACATATCTGCGCAACTTCTGTCGCAGCATTCTCTTTGAAAACGCACATCGCGTCTGGTTGCCGATTTCCTCATGGTCTGCCCCTTCTCACAACCACTTCGGTCATGCGACAATGTGCGTTTAAAATGCTCAACATGGCTCTTTCTCCAGCTTGACGTGATTCTGTCGAAAACAGACCGTTGTGCCGTGGATCCTTGTTTCTATCAAGTGTACCATGAAATGCCACAAGGTTCTTTGGTATGACGATGCAAGACGGCAATGCTGCGAAACTGACCGATTTGGGCTGGCCGATGCCAGTCTTTTTTTCTTTTTTCGACGCCGTGGCTTTCCGTTTTGTGCATTTGGCATTCCATGAAAATATGTTCAGGTCTTTCTTGTTAACGGCTTGGCGGGCTTGTAGGGGGTTTTCAGGCTGTCGATACACGACTCTGCAGTCAGAATGCAATTGCAGTGACAATGACGTCACCGGCCGGATCGAGGGCAGCATTTCCAAGTCGATAAGGATGCCAACACTTCACGTGTCGTCACACGTGCACCTCCCCCACACTCTCCGCGAACAATTCCCATCTTGCCTGTTGTTCCATCTCTTATGTTTGTCGCCTTTTGTTCCTTCTGCTTCCTTTTGTTAATGTGTCGTGTCTTCCGGAGACTTGCTCAGCAAGCCGGGACCAAAATCAAGTCTCCGTCTCGTTGTCATTCATTTTTGCGTCTGCACAGAAGCGATTGAATCACTGAAGTAGAACAAGATGGAACACCGGTTGATCCGGTTTGTTGTGCTCCAGACGGAGTACTGATTCAAAGAACGAGACTGAATCATGCACCCTGTTTTGTTCTGCGTGCAGTTCGTCTCCCTGTGGGCCCCGGCATTTACCGCCCGCAGTGAGTCTTCTCCACACTACACCAATACAAAATACAAAGTCCCGGGTATCGCATTCCGACGCCAAGAATGAGAGGTTCAAATTGAGGGGAAATGCGCACAACGGTCTTTACGCACAGTTTGCGGTGGGAGAGTCGCCAAAGAACAACCTAGAAAGAACACTTGCAGGCCGTCTCCCTCTGCAAGACGTGACAATCGGTCAACGGACAGGGAAGCGCATCAGACACGTCGATATGTCGCCAGTAGCAAAACGCGAGCCATGGGCCAGAACAGATTCCAGACGTGAAGGATACATGCTCGACAAGGCGCAGTACCGAGTTGTATCCTTAACCCCAGACATGGGACGTCGATTGCCCATCCGGCCCGTCACTTGTAAGGCCCTTTGTCCGTCTCTCCAACTCCGCACCGTCCCCAGCAAGGGACCATGCTTGACCCCAGGTCCCGTCTCTGCCGTCGCAAATGCACACTTGGACGACAAAATGAGCATAATGCCGGCAAGCTAGCCCAAGTCGTTTACCTAGCTGCTCCTTTCATTTTCCATCGTGGCCCTTTATATTATTTGCGTTTGTTTTTATATAGCCGGCCACCCTCAACGCGTGGTTGGTCTTGAGCTCCTCTTTTATTTCTTTCTCGGTACATAGTCGTCTTTCTTCGCCTCGGCGTTCATCCTATTCAGCCTTTTTCCCTTGCAGCGTATCCTCATTCCAGTTCACACACATCCCCCTCGCACAAGAACAAATGGCCCGTTTCGCCCCCGATTACTACAAGGCCATTGAGCCCATGATCAAGGCCGCCGAGAGCCAGCCGCCCGCAGCACCCCCAAAGAACGTCTGTGAGCTCACCACTACCCTCAACGCTCTCATGGCAGTCATATTCAAGGATCCGCCTGCACCCGCCCACATCGTGCAGTCCAAGCACCAGATCCCCGTCCCCGGCGGCAGGACCGTCGCCGTCACCCGCTACGCCACCGCGGAGCAGCGGGCTGCCAAGGACCAGCCCGCCGTCATCTACCTGCACGCCGGCGGCATGGTCTGCGCCTCGGTCGACCTTCTCGGCAACGTCATTGCCAACGAGTCGGCCCACGTCGGCGTCCAGTACTGGGCCGTCAACTACACCAAGTCGCCCGAGGTGGCGGCCCCCGTCGCCCTCGAGGAGGCCTATGCCGTGCTGACGCACCTCTCGGCCCACGCCGCCCAGCTCGGCATCGACAACACGCGCATTGCCGTCGGCGGCGCCTCGGCGGGCGGCGGCATGGCCGCTGGCCTTGGCCTGATAGCCCGCGACCGCGGCTTCCGCCCGCCCATTGCCAAGCTGGTGCTGGTCTACCCCATGCTCGACGACCGCACCGTCCAGGCGCATCCGCCCACGGGCGCCCGCCACGCCGGCGCCAACCGCAGCGACGACGACTGGCCCGTCCGCCCGTTCCTGACCTGGAGCTGCGAAAGCAACGCCCTCGCCTGGAACGCCTACCTGGGCCTCGGCCACCCGGCCACCGACGACCCGCTGACCGCTGCCGCCAACCTGGCCAAGGCCACGGCCACGGCGCCCGGCTTCCCCGGCGCGGCGGCCCACTACGCCATCCCCGCGCGCGCGGCGTCGCTGGCCGGCCTGCCGCCGACGTACATGGACTGCGGCGGCCTGGACCTGTTTTTGGAGGAGTGTGCGCAGTTTGCCGCGCGGCTGGCACACGACGGCGTCGAGCTTGACTTCCACATCTTCCACGGCGTGCCGCACGGTTTCGAGTCGGCGCCGGCGACCAATGCCGCGCGGACCGCTATGGAACAGCGCAAGCTCGCCTACAACAGCTTCTAAACGCGCTGGGAGGACAAGCGAAGGAAAGAAGACACGCACATGCCAATGGGGTGCTGTGTTATGACTGTACATGGTAAATGCACAAATAAAGACCTAATGCACTTATGGATGCCTTGCCACTCTGTAGAATCACGTTGAGACAGGTCAGTGTGCAAAGCATGGCTTACCCGATGTAACACGTATTGTGTGCTTGTACCTGACTAGGCCCACAACGACCCAACCAATGGCGTGTCTGAATGACGTATTCTCTCGACACAAAAGAGCGACGTAGGCAGACAACAGCTACGGTAACGTGCATCGAGACCCGTCGATCGATTCAAAATGAAAGACGATGTCCCTTGAAAACGTGGTTTGCTGCCACTGACACACTGGAGGTGGAGATGTCATGCGGGCTATGCAATCTTGGAGCGCGGACAAAAGTACTTGTCCAAAAGTACTTGTCAAGAGGTCCATGACGTTCGTGCCCCTGAGTGCCCCTGATTGACATGCGTCAACTACAGAGACCACAGGTACAGTTGCTGTTGATTGGTGGGCTCGTGATGGAAGCTCGTGTAAGTCAATTTGCTGACTGTGACGTCCCAGTCTCATGTGCGTGCCTTGTTCTGGAGTTTACTTCTTTTCTCTTTTCTTTCTTCACTTTGTCCTTCATTCTTGATACCTTTTTTTTTTAATACAGGAACTACATATACAAAAATAAAGACAGAGCTACTCTCTATTTCGACCTTGATTCAAAATTTAGCTATTGGAAGAATGATTTGATTTAAACAAAAGAAATTATACAAAGCCAAACGATGTGACAATGCCAGACTATTTATGCTATGGACGCCGTCTCATGGACCACTCACTGCTCCCTTGTCTTCTGCCACGCCGCCACGGCCGCGTCGTTGTCCCGCTCCCGCTCCGCCTGCCGCTCGCGCTGGTACCGCTTCCATGCGCGCAGCTTGCGTCCTCGCTCGTACTTGTCGCCGTCGCCGTAAGCCTCGAGCTCCATTTTGCGCTGCGCCTTCATCTCGGCGGCGCGCTTGTCCTTCTCGGCCCGGCGCTCGACCTTCTCGGCCTTTTTGCGCGCGCGTTTCGCGTGGACCTGGTACGGGGCCTCCTTGCGCTTCTTGGCGCGTCGGACCTCACCGCCAGGGGTGTCACCGACAGCCTTGTCCTCGTCCGCATCGTCCGCTCGGTCTGCATCGTCTGCACCGTCTGCATCAGCCGCATCGTCCACATTTTCGGCACCCTCGACCTCCCCGTTCAGACCACTAACCCGTCTTTCAACCTTGTCCGCCTTCTCCGCCTTGCGCTTCTCTCGTTTCTCCTTCTTCCCTTTTTCGCGCTTCTCCTTCTTCATCGCTTTCTTGGCCTTCTTCTCTTCCCTCTTGGCCTTCTTCGCATCCTTCTTTGCCTTCTTTGCGGAGCCATCAACCACGGCCGCGGCCTCGCCCTCTTCCTCTTCCTCCTCCTGCTCCTCCTGCTCTTCCTGCTCCTCGTCCTCTTCGTCAACATCCATCTTGTCCTCGACCTCCACGGCCTTTACCCGGGCTGGCTTCACCTCAACCGGCTTCCCCTTCTTGTCGCTTCTCTTGTCCGTCTTCGTCTCCGCCTGCCCCCGCACCGTCTCCTGCTGCTCCTTCTCGCGCGCCAGACGCTCCTGCCGCTCCCGCTCCAGCCGCTCCTCCTTGCGCATCGGGGCCACCGACAGCTTCAGGCCCTCAGGCTCGCCCGCCTTGGCAAAGTGCACCCACTCGCTGCGCCGCGTGCGCCACAGGTCGCCCTTCCACGCGCGCCACACGGCACGCCCGCACCAGCTCTGGCGGAGCTCGTCCTCGTGGGCCGCCAGTTGCGCGATGAGCGTGTCCTTGAGATGGAAGGGGAGGGAGAGTGCGGCCGACTCGGCCGTGGACGGGGGAACGACAGGGCCGGCGGCGGCGGCAGCGGCGGCCGGCCCCGACGATGATGACGACGGACCCGTCCGCGACGGCGTCTGCACAATGGCCACCAGCACGACGTGCCCCGCCGGCGACGTCGCCAGGGTCATGCAGTGCGGCGCCAGGCGCGCGACCAGCTGCTTGTTGAGCGGGATGCGCGCCGCCGCGCCGCGCAGCGAGGGCGTCGACTGCAGCGCCGCCACCAGGACGCGGGCGCCCGACGGCGCGCCCGTGGCGAGGGCGACCAGCCGGTCGCCGTCCGTGTCCAGCAGCGCGGCCTGGACGGCCGAGGCCGGCCCGCCGGGGATGGCGAGCATGGCGCACAGCAGGTGGCAGACGTGGGCGGCGGTGGTGGCGGCAGCCGTCCGTCGGCCGTGCTTAGGCGGCCGCGTTGGCCGCTGCTCCGGTGCGTCTGCATCCGCCTCGTCGGGCAGGCACAGCTTGACGAGCTGGCCGGGCGCGAGACGGCCGCCGCCCACGGCGGCCTGCAGCGCATTCACCAGATGCTGCACGGTGCGGCTGTCGACGCCGCGGGCGGCGCAGCGCTCAAAGAGGGTGCGCACGACATTGAAGCGGCCGCGGTCGACAAGCTGGCCGACGACGGTGCGGGGCGGCGTGGTGCGGCCACCGTTGGATTCGGGCGGCGGCGCCGGCGTGCCGTCGGCCTGCAATTGCAGGACCTGGTGCTGGACGACGCTCGTCAGGTCATCACGGCCGAGGCGCTCAAGGACACGCATGGACGGGTAGCAGGCAATGTCGTTGCGGAGGAAGACAGCCATGGGGCGGAGGGGTTCGTTTGTGTCGGCGTCCTTGGACGCGGCCGAATAGGCAAACATGCTGTTGTAGAGTGCCTTGAACAGCTTGCCGGGGCAGTGGACGACCAGCGTCTCGAGCAGGCGCGAACCAATCGGGTCGTAGATGAGGGTGCGGACGAGAGTCGACGCCTGGCTGCCTTGTTCGGACAGAGAGCCGGGGGCACCCGGGAGCAGACGCTCTAGCAGGGATATGGAGGGAGGTGCTGCCGCCGCGCCCGCCTCGCCCGCCTCGCCCGCCTCGCCCGCCTCGCCCGCCTCGCCCGCCTTGGACGTCTTGCCCTTGGTCTCCTTCTTCTCGGCCATGTCGAGCTCCAGCAGCAGCTGCAGCGACGGGTTGCCGGTCGGGTGCGTGGGCAGGACGCTGAGCAGCGGTCCGTCGATGGCCAGGCTGACGTCGCCGAGGATCTTCTGCATGGCGAACGTAAACGACGCGGGCACGACGCGGGCGGCCGCTGTCGGAGCGTCTGCAGCGGCGTCGTCGCTGTTGGTCTGCTGAGGGCCCGCGACGGTCTGCGCATAGGCGCCCACGCGCACGTTCTCCTTGCGCTTGCTGCGCAGCAGCGTCTGTGTGGCCAGGCCGTCGAGCGGCCGCCCGGCCAAGACGACGAGCAGCACGCGCAGCGTGTGCGACGCGAAGCGGTGCACCAGCAGCGCGCCCAGGCTCGCCTCGAGCTCGTCCAAGACAAACAAGAAGCTCTCTTCGAGCGACGGCAGCTCGGCGTCGCCCTCCTCCGCCGCCTCGACCTCGTCCGCGTCCTCCCCCTCGGCCTCCGTGTCGTCGTCACGGCCCACCCACGGCGCCGACTGCAGAAACAGCTGCTCGCAGCAGTGGCTCGAGAAACGGTGCGACACGAGCGTCAGGATGTGGCCCCGGAACGCCGCAAAGAGCCGCTTCTTTTGCCGCACCGTCGCCACCTGGATCAGCCGCTCCATGAGCCGCGAGCACGACTGGCTGCTGGCGACCTTGAGCTCTTTGCCGCGCGCCTCGCGGAACACATTGGCAATAAACACGCGGCGCTCCTCGTCGCCGCCGGAAAAGTCGTTGAGCTCGAGCAGCTCGTCGGCGCGGCGAAAGTACTCGTGTTCGCTGTCGGTGAGCAGGCCAAAGAACTCGGTCTCGCCAAGAGCGCCCTCGTCTGCAGCGCCACCGCTGTAGTCATTGTGGTCATTGTAGTCGTAGGCAAAGTCGTCATCGCCGCCTGCCTCCCTATCCTCTCTCTTCCGCTTCCTCTCGGCGTCGCCCGGTTCCCCCGCAGGCATGTTCACGGGTTCGTTGCCGTCGACATCGTCAAAGAAGAGAGCGCCATCACCGCGGGCCGCGAGCGGTGTGTTGTTGGCACCGGACGCACTGGCGTGCACCTTGTCTCTGCGGCGCCGCTTGGGTGCGGGCTCGTCGTTTGGGGCCGGGCCGTTCGCGGTGCTGTTGACGCCGCCGTAGTTGTCCGCGACATCGCCGTCGATGATCTCGAGATCACGCTTCTTCTTGCGGCGCTCGTCGCGCTGCAGCTGGCGCTTGGACTTGCGGGGTTTCGCCATTGTGCGTTGTCGGTATGTGTGGTCGTGTTTTGCTGCGTTGTCCACCCTCTTGGCCGTCAAGCGTAGCAAGAGTGAAGAAACTGTCAGTCAATTTGGTGTGCATTTTAGGCCCTGAAACAGACGTCTGCAAAAGACTCGGCCAACGGGCAGAAAAAGTCGAGAAAAAACGTTGCTTATCTTATCGCACTGATCCTGCACCCAATTTAGCACACCGCTTTCCAGTTTAGGCACTTGTCCACAAATAGAGCCATTGATGCTACAGCGACTGCAGCGCTGCTGCCCCCTGTGAATACAGCACTCTCGTCGACTCCAAAAGCTCCAATGTCCAAAATATCATTAATATATGCTATATGGGGACTGTATGCAGCTTCATCTCTAGATATCGTCTATGCCAAAGTCGTAGTTTTTTTCTTGTCGTCTCGTTTCATATCGTCCATTTGCCATCCTTACTCCACCTCCTTGCGCACCAGCTCCAGCGCTCGCACAAGGCCGTGGACGGTACCCGGCCGCGTCTGCCAGTTGACGACGACGCGGAAGAAGCTGCCATTGTCGCCGGGTGCAAAGTCAATCATGTAGCCGCGGCGGATCAGCAGGGCTACGGCGGCTCGTGTCCGGCGCGAGTTGACAGCCTTGTCGGCATGGGGTGTTCCAGGCGCGCCGTCTGTATAGTAGAAGCAGACCTGGAGGCACGGCGGCGGGTTGGAAGACACAAGCGCAAACGTATCCGACTTCTTTGACAACGTGTCGGCCAGCAGAGTGGCTATGCTGAAGGCGTAGTCCGTCTGGCGCTCGAAGCCGGCGGCGCCCTCGTAGACCCAGGCCAGCGCGAGCTTCAGGCTGTCGCCGTGGCGGCCGCACTGCAGCGTGAGGTCGGCCAGATCCCACACTTCCGTGTAGTCTTCCTCGTCCTCTTCGTCCTCCTTTGGTGCGGCAGCCACGCCGTTTGCGACCGCACCGTTCGCGGCCGCGCCATTGGTGGCTGCACCGCTGGGCTTGTCCTTGGCGTCGGGCGGCGAGTGGAAAAGATAGCCCGCAGGCAGCGTGTTGGCTCTGTGGAACGTGCGCAGGTCTGGGCCGAGCAGAAACGAGCACGTCACCGGCACGTTCATCATCTTGTGCGGGTTGACCGTCAGCGAGTCCGCTAGGTGCGAGCCAGCCAGCTTGTGGCGGTGTGTCGCCGAGAAGATGGCCGGACCGCCCCAGCTTGCGTCAATGTGCAGCCACAGGCCGTGCGCCTTGCAGATCACGGAAATGGCCTCGAACGGGTCGTACGAGCCCATGACCGTCGTGCCGGCCGTCGCGTTGACGTACATGGGTGTCATCCCGGCCGCGGAGGCCTCGACAATGCGCGCCTCGAGGGCCGATGGCACCATGCGGCCCTCGGCGTCGACCGGCACCGTCCACACGGCGCCCGAGCCCAGGCCCGCTGCCTGTGCAGCCTTTTCCACCGAGTAGTGGCCGTGTGCGCTCGTGAACAAGGCAAACCGACGGCCCGCGCCGTTGCCGTGCACCTTGGTCTCAGGGAACAGTGTGTTGCGCGCCACGATCACCGATGTGAAGTTGGACGCGCTGCCGCCCGCCACGGTAACACCGCCAGCGCGCGGGCCCGTGAAGCCGAACTGACGGGCCAGTTCGCGCGCCGTCGTCTTCTCGATGGCACTGAGTGCAGGGGACACTTGGAACACGTGCAAGTTGGTGTTGAGCACAGACAGCAGCAGCTCGGCGGCCACGCCAACGGGCGTGGTACTGGAGTACAGCTTGTCCAAGAACCCCTGGTCCCACGTGTTGACGCTCAACTCGAGGATCCGCTGGATGAGGGCCAAGGCAGCGTCCCGGCCGCCGCCGTTTCCTTGGGGTAGACTGAAATTGAGGCGGGGCACCAGCTCCTGCGGTGAGAGGGACTCCACCAACGCCGTGCGGACCGGCAAGTCCGCAGTGGAAGTACCGGCCGGGCCGCCTTGTGCGCGTTCGGGAAAGGCATCGTCGGCGTCCTTGACGAACGGAACCACCAAGGCTTTGACGGCGTCGATGAGCTAGGGAGCATTAGTATGGGTCGTGGAGAATACTGCACGTTGTGCACCAGACGGCACCCACCTCGGCCAGCTCTTCGGCCCGGTTCGGAACGGACGGTACAGCCGGCTTCTGTGCGGCTCCGTTTGAAGTAGTCATAATGTGCTGCGTGTAACTGGAGAGTGGGTGGAATGTAAATGTAAGTCAAAACCAGATCTATCAAATGTCAACGGTTTTGTCACATGTAAGGAGCTAAACTGCAAGGGAATGGGTCCCAAAACTCTCGAGCCGACTTTTTTGTGTCTCAGTTGGAACAAAATATGTTAACCGGGCGCCGCCGTTTTTAAACCCGGCTATGGAGCAAAATAGTGTTGTGTCAAGGTCAGAGTGGCAGAAATTTTAAAATTGTCAGCTCGACCGTGAGACGCCACTCTTTTTAACTTTTATTTTGCCGCTTGTAGCAATACTTTTGAGAGCGAGTCCGGGTCTCCAATACTCTCAAAACAAAAACCCCCAACCCGCTTCGTTTCCAGGTTGAGGTCATCCAGTTAGTCAACTTAAATGCCGATGGTCTCATCGGGAGCCAATGGCGCGGGTCGCTGGTTGCGTCGAAGATGCGAGGCGACAACTTTGCCGTTTAAAGCGGTTTAGAACAGTGGGCAAGCGCCTGAAAACGAGGCTAGCGACGTTGACGGCCTCAGACAACTGGATGACCGCCCAGTTCTGTGTCTGTATGCATGCAGCCGACACCGGGCACTGTGCAACGGCGTGCAGGCAGACGTGGGACAGGCATGGGACAAGCGTGGGATGGTTCCTTTTTGAAGATTTAATAAAAAAACCAAAGAACCAAGGCCCGACCTTGCCAATCCCTGGTCCATTTTGGATCGCAAAACTGACTTGCATTCTTTCCCCTGCGTCTTGCTGCCTCTCCAAAGCTGCGCACCATTGGGTTGATTGATGAAATTGATCGCCGGCGTTAACGATCGCCCAAGGGACGTTGTCGTCACTTAAGACCTGTTCCACCATGCCAGATTCTTGGCAGTCTCGCAGTCCTTTCAGGCCAGCATGACTTGTTGGAGAAGACGTCCGCGACTGGCCTTGTATTCATCCCCACCACAGGGCCGTGCACGCCTGATCCAACCCCCATCCAACGCATGGCATAGTTCTCCAGAACGACATGCATGCAGGGATTAATAGGGGTCGAAGCACAGGACTTTCGACTCCGAGGCTGTGGTCTTGAAAGGCAAAATGACCAGGGAATCAAGGGCCCTTTGTTTTCGATCAGGTCTTCTTGTCTAGCTTGGCTCGTTCGGTCGTTTGCGAACAATTCGGACCTACTCTCTATTATGCCTCCCACTTATCGTCCTCTGTTAGCACCTGCATGTCAACGGAGCATGTTCCGCAAGACGATAGAAGGAATGAGGGCACGGGCAATCCTTGCAATCTGTGGAGGGAAGTCAAGTAGAAGACTCAAAATGGTAATAAAAGCAACATACCCCTGCATCTGTACTACTCCGTATCCCCCATCATCATTCGCTCTCTGCAACATCGCGTGGCAGTCGGCACGCCATATGCCCCATTTCCCTGTCTGTCGTCAGACACGCCGTCGGTCGTGTTTGCTGCTCTGCCACTGTGATTATTCTGTTGCTCTGGCCCCCATTGGGCTCTTAGCTTTTGGCTCGTTCTCGGGTATCAAACCATCTCGGCCCTAGGTTTTCCGCAGCAAGCACTGGTGGCTGCGTCCGAGAGCGAACGCGTCTCGACATTCCGCATCGTGCAGAGGAGCAGGTCAAAAAGAACTGCTTCCAAGTACGTAGTATTGACGACGCCAATGACAACTGCGTGCCCGCCCATCCAAGGCAAGGTCCTTTCATATGGTCCTTTTCATTCTTTTGTCTCAGTCTATCTTTCGATCTTTCCGTCTTCCCACCCACAAATCTCTTCTCAAACAGCCACCGATTTTTCAATGATTACCTTTCTTAGACCAGTTTAGCGTTGGGCATGGACGCGACCACAGCGCCGGCGAGGCAGAGAGTCGAAAGCAAAAACGACGGCGCTGAAAATGTCGAATAGGGGGTTTTCCGCTCCGCGCTGTTGTTTGTCGCAGTTTGTCGCAGTGCCATGATAGTTTTGAAATAGGGGTGCGCCAGTGTGGTGCCCATGGAAACGTACGGAAAGGGAAAAAAAGAGGCACAGCAGGGCAACGAGGATGGAAAGGGAAGCTTCTCTTATGTCCTTCCTGCACCTTTTTTCTCTTTGCCAACTGACTGTCAGGTAACTCTTAAAGCAGAAAGAGCATACGAATTCGACGGTTGCTCTTGCCGCAGCAGATCGAAAACCTGCAGACACACCAGCCACAGAATCACCCGTAGAAGGAAGGAGCTCTACCAATGCAAGTCGCATGATATGAGCCGTTGGTGCGCATGGTCGTTGCTTCCCTCTGGGTCCTTGCCTTGCCCCGCTGTGATGGTTTTGCGCGTGGTGGCGCGGTGCTCTTTCCCCTTTTGCAGGAACAACCCCCTCCCCTTCTTGGCTCGTGCTTGCCCTTGCAGCAGTAGCCTCCTTTTCCTCGTCCAGACCAATTCTCTTTTTCTCATCTCAACCCCCTTCCTTGAATCTCTCATCTTTCTTCTTCTTCTTTGCGTTCTTTCTTCTCTGCGTCCGTTCTCGTATTACGTCCTCTTCTTCGCCGATCCTTTGCTCCATTCTCGTATTCCATCATCTTGTTCGCTAGTCCTCTGCTCTCTTTTCTTGTCGTGGATCCATAGGTCGCTCGTTCCCTTCCGCGTTTATTTACTTCCCTCTCCCCCGCCTCTTCTCTCCTCTCGCTCTCCAATTTAACCTAATTCTGCATCCTCTCTATTATACCCAGGCGCTCTCAAACCAGAAGCCAGTGTCCTACCAAACCTTGTCCAACCAATCGATCCAACGACAAAACGTTGAACAAGCCGTTGCGTAAAAAGCGGTCGTCAGGAAACCAGGCACTATCACAACAAAAGGCAACGAACGGCGCCGCCAGCAGCCCTATCAGAAGCAATTGCCCCTGTCGCGTTTGTTGGCACCGCCGCCCTACTGCACGCGACCGGCTGCTCTTTCCTTCAACTGCACGTGGCCCCTCATCGACGATCATTTTCCCCCGACGAGCCACTTATTTTTAAGGGTGCTTTCTACTTTGCCGCGAACCCTTGTTCACCATCGTCATCGCGACCCATCGTCTCGTGCTTCGCGCACGCTTGACGGAAGACGACAGCGAAGCCCGACAGCGCCCCTCCCAAGCAAGCGGCTCCGGCTGCCACGAGCAGTAGGTCTGTAGCCGAGCCCAGATCACAGACTTTGATACGTGCGAGACGCGACCTCCTCCTTACTGTCCCGTCCTCCGTCCGCCCTCCAACTCCGACTCCTCACAATGCCGCATTCACAAACCGGCTCTCGCGACCAGCCGCCCGTGCCCATCTCCATCACCATCTGTGGCGACGGTGGCTGCGGCAAATCATCCATCACTCTCCGTCTCGTCCGCTCCCAGTGGACGTCCGAGTACGATCCCACCATCGAGGACAGCTACAGCGTCACCCGCCGCATCGACGGCGTCACGTACCACTTGGGCCTCACCGATACGGCCGGCCAGGAAGAGTACCGCGGCATGTGGGCGTCGTCCAATCTCGGCGCCGATGCGTTCCTGATGGTCTACGACATCACGTCGCGCGACTCCCTGGACGCCCTCCAGTACTTCAACGACCTGATTGACATGGAGGCCGAGACCCGTTTGGACAATGCTGCGCGTGCCCGCAAGGCCGGGGTGCCTCTGCGGGACATCACGTCGGGCGGCAGCAGCGGCGCCCGCGCGGTCGCGCCTGTCAAGATTGTCGCCGGCAACAAGTGCGATCTGCAAGAGAGCCGCGTGGTACCGGCAGCCAAGGGGCTCGACTGGGCGCGGCGGCGCGGGTGCGGGTTCATGGAGACGAGCGCGCGGCTCGAGGTCAACATTGAAGAGACGTTTGCGCTCATTGTGCGGCGCGTGGTGGAGGCGCGGCGGCTGGCGGCGCTGGGCGGTGCAGAACACGACCCGAGCCAGCGCATGGACCGGCGCGGCATGACAAAGCCGCTGAGTCCACTACCAGCAGGTTCTTCGAGCACAGGGCACGATGCATACAGCGGTGGTGACGCCCGCCAGCATTCTGGCGAGAAAGACGCCCACGGCAACACGCTACCTGGGCGGCAGGTGGGCGTGCGGGGTCCACGGATCGACGGGGACCAAGTCGGCCGCGGTGCAAATCCAGGGTTCTGGAAGACGTTGCGGTGTTGGTGAGGTGTTCTCTCAGAGGAGAGCATATGAGCAGCCGAGTGTTTTGAAGAGCCTTATTATGTTTTTTATTCACGCTTTCTGATTTATGTCGTTATATCCCCTGTCCTATTTCATGGCCAACAACCTGTTTTATGGTTTACCTTGATTTTATATACATTTACTTTCTCGCGTCTTTTCTGATTGATGATTTTTCCTTTTCTTAATTTCCTCGTATTGGTAGGACGGAATCATGGCGGCGTTTTGTACCATAGCGAGCGTGTTTCCACGCGTTTTTTATATTTATGACTTCCTTGACGTGTCTGTGCCATCTGCGGATGTGAAGTGTTTGATTTCATTAATTGCACGGTCGAACCGTGAATGCCTACCTGGTCGTTGTCCCGAAATGACGTGAAAACAAAGATACGAATGGATAGAATGCAGGAAACAGGTCGAAACAGATCGAAACACATAAAAGCAGCTGAAAGCACCTCAACGCCTCTGGCAACTCCGAAGCTCCTCCTTTCTATGCCCTGCCGGTCCCAGCCGGCCTTCAGCCGACCCCAGCTTTGCTCCTGTTCGTCTCGCAAAAAAACACCTTCGCGTCTAGATGTCTAGATTCTATTGCGCTACACGACTGTCGCCGCGGCCGCCACCTCTTGCTCGTCCGCCCACGCCCGCCACGCCATGTACTGCTTGTACGTCAGCCGGCGCTTCCGGCCCTGGTACCGCGTCACCCGCAGGTTCACCTTGCGCCACTGGTCCCGCCGCCCGTGCCACCCGGCCTTGCGCATCAGGTTGATGAGCGTCTGCTCCTTGGTCCACCCCTGCTCCGCGGCCACGTCCGGCAGGTACGTTGACCCGTACTGGAACCCGCCCACCGTAAAGGCAATGCGGATGCCGTGCGTGCCGACCTCCCAGTCCTCGGGCCCGCCGCGCGCGGGCTCAAAGTCGGTCAGCAGCGTGACGGCGACCTCGAGGTGGCGCAGCTCGCGCCGGGCAATGGGGTGGAACCGGCTGTCGTCGAGGGCGGCCGTCAGGGCGTAGGTCGCGAGCCCCTCTTCGAGGGGGATCGCGTCGAAGCAGCCGATGCAGCCGCGCAAGACGCGTTCGGTGTCGTCCTCGTCCTCGTCGCCGTCGGCAATGTCCTGGGCCGCGTCGTCGATGGTGTTCCAGGTGACAAACAGCGGGGTCTCGGCGGGCGCCGCGGACTTGGCGGCATCACCACCACCAGCCGAGGCGGCCGTCGACAACGACGTGGCGGACGTCGCGGCCGAGGCGGACGACGAGGCGCCGTTGGACAAGGAGGTCGTGCTGGAGGTGCCCGACGAAGACGAGGACGGCGATGCAGACGCGGCAGACGCGTCGACGAGACGCTGCAGAGCGGGCAGCTTGGGCTTGTCGCCCTTCTGCGCCAGGTATGCGGCGTACGACGTCTCGACTTCCTTGAGCGTGAGCGGTGCACGGTGGTTGAGCGCGGCGTGCAGCGTCTCGAAGCAAAAGACGGCGTGTTCGATTGTGGCCATGGCAGGCGGTTGGGGCGGCACAGTGGGTGGGGGGGATGTGTTGGGTGGTGGATGGCGGATGACGGATGACGTATGTAACGAGTGGGTTGGGTATGCGATACGATGAAGGATTCCGAAGTGTCGGGATCGAGCGGCGGGCGGAGAGGAAAGCAAAGGTCGGTTGCTCCTTCCTGAGTTTGCGTGCGCGTGAAATGGACAAACACAAGGAAGGAGGGTTACGATTGACGAAAGAAGGAAGGAAAGAGCAGAGACGAGAGGAAAGAAAGGAAAGACCAAAAGAGGAAAGAGACGTGAGCTATCTGCCCCTCCTTCCGCCTTTGTCATACCTCTGTGGGTGAGGAGGTCACGCTCAGTACTTCTCCTCTCTTGGACGCCTCGTCACTTACACAGTAATTACATATCGCTCCCCTCTTCGTCATCCCTGGCGTTCGAAGGCCCCGCAATGGCAGCAGTGTCCACAGTGGGCCTGGCCGCAAGTTCCGCGTCCCACGCCCGCCGTTTAAATCCACTTGGCGCCGCTAGATGGCGATGGAGTGGGTTTTCTAGCACGCAAGGCTGGCAGCGATGTGAATGGCCACCTCCATAACGTTGAACAAAATGTCTGCTATTCTTCCGTTTTGAAGCCCGACAACACAATACTGTTACATATTATTGTCCCTCGCCCACGTCAAATCCTAGCAAGAGTACACGGCACTGCAGCAGGTTCCGTTACCACAGCAATCGCCTCCCGAGCACCCGTTCTCGTTGCAGCACTTGTGTCGTGTTAGAAGGGACCTGTCCAGCTGGCACGGCAAAGGTACGATACAATGGGGGCAGCAAAGGCTTGCTTACACAGACACGGGCAGTGAGGTCTTCACACGCTGGCTCCGTCGACCGATCCACCAAAGCGCGCACCGGGTGCGGATTCTGGGCCGACGGGGTCTCTCGGGGCTGCACGCGCGCAGCAACCAGTGTGGCCAGGAGAAGTGTGAGGAGAGAGCCGGCAAGCATCGTGATTGAGGTAGCCAAATAGCTTGGGTGTTTGTGAAGATTTAAAAAGCAGGTAAGAATGATATCAGATCGGGATCAGTGTAGATCAGTGTAGTTTGGTGACTCGGCTTGGTGGCTATGCTTTTGGTGACTATGGCTATGTGATCTATTTCTTGGACGGTCTTTTCTGTTGATTGTAAATCTGCAAACGGCCTCTTATTATACCCAGCAAGTCAAAAGCCAAAGGGCAAAGGACCTGCTGAGCCTGGGCAAGAGCAGGACAAAATCAACTTGCAACAGGATGAAGCCCATATGCCTGAATTCCATTTAGAGTGCCATCCAACAATCCGCGGCGCGATACTATGTGTTCTAGCAGAGGTGATGCTTGGCTAATAACGCCAAATAGAGGTGCCGTGGTGTATCGTGCTTTGCCCCAGCAACTTTTCGACAGGTTCGCCGGCCGAAAAGGTTGCCCCGGCAGCGGTGAGACATGTTGGTCGCTTCATCCTTGCCCGGCTCCGTCACCACACATTCTCCAGATGGTGTACGAACGGGTGACTTGCTCGGCTATGCTCAAGTCGTGTGCCCTTCGATCGGCTGTGCCAACCGTCAACCGCCAACATGCATAAAGTCACTCTGACGGCAACACGGCCACTTTGCGCTACTGCCGGTTGTTTGCCGGTTAAGCGATCGATACGGGCTCACCATGGCTGAACTTGGCTTTCTCTGTTATTGTTTATTGTTCCCATGTCTTCAATTTAAGGACCATGGTCAGTCCCTGTTGTATCGCAAACTTGGTCGTCGCTGGGGAGACGTTTCTCCGGGACGGATACGTGTGTTGTTTCTATTATCGATGTTGTTGCGGATCGGGAATGCCTCGCGCTTGTTCAACTCCACATTGGATTACGACACGACAATGTCCAGCAATAAATACATTTCAATGCCGCTCTCCTCATAAGAAGAGCCCAATGCAATAGATGAAAGCAATCAGATACGCACGTGATGTCGCATAACAGAATACGAGTGACAAAGTCGGCTCGTCGTCAACCTTTCCTCCAAAAAAGGACGACAAGGGCAAACATGGCACAAAACTCAATCTGTCTCAGGTCTTGGCATCCGGTCTCCGAATTTGGGTTTGTTTCTGCCCCCCGCGCGCTGATACACTGTGTCCTGCGGCCTATTCGTACAGTCGCTTCACTTTTCCCCCTGTCGGATGGCAGGGCTCTGGAACACCGGCAACGGATGAGCCGTAGTGATAAAGGAGCTCGAGGAGGCGGCCAGGTGGGTGTCCAGAGCCAAGCTTTTGTTTGACAGCGACTCTACAATTTTTATCTTTAGCGATGCGTTTGTCTCTGTGTTGTGGAGATGGTACTATTTTCGTTGCAGTCTTTCTTTCTTGTTTGCTGTGTATGATCGACGGCCAGGGGCGTTTGTCGGGGCTTGACCGCAGCCTGTAGCTTATTGCAGCTCCTGCAACAGCCTGTAACTATTAACTACTTTGGCCGTCTCAACTTGACCTCTTCACTGTTAAACTCATCACCGCGGAGAAGACTAGAAATGATCTTTGGTTCGTGAACATCTTGAAATACGATTGAATTTCTTCTCTAGATCCTTTTGAGAGCATCAAACGCTGTCCTTTGTCATAAACAACGCAAACTTGGAGCGTAAAGCCTTTCTCGTCCTCTCGTTTTCACTTTTATGGTGTCTTGATGACTTTCTTTGCCAAGGCAAGCAGTGCATGGAAGAATGAGACTCATCCAAGATGCCAGTACAAAAGACCTGGCCAGAACCTCCTGGGTCAGCCTGAACCTGGCCGAGAGTGGCCTCGTTCTCCAGACCCAGCGGTGATGGGCTTGTGCGAACCCTGCAAATGTGTGAGAGCGCGAGCGTGTAAGACTGCGCACTCCAGCCTGTTCCAACCTCCTGCGTCGTTGCAATACAGACCTTGACTCTGAAGCAGGGCTTCTTCCTGATACAAAATAAAGACCCCAAAGATCCCCTATGTATCCGCGACCGCACAGAATTATGTGGTTTGCTGAACTCACCGGCCACTGGTCATGGATGCCCGGTGGCCTGCAATGCCATCCCGTGTCCGTCTGGTTGCCTCTGCCGCCTCCTTTGCTTCATCCCGAGTTCAAACGTGTTTCCATCTGTGGCGACGGGCGTCAGTTCGAACTCATTCAGCTACCTGTCCACCTTTGTCCGTGTATGACAGTGTCGACGTTCTCCACAAATGATTCTCCTGGCGACTCATGCAGTTGGCCTGTCTGTGTCTCTGCTGCCCTCTCTCCCTTTACCGTCCCTTCCATGTCCCTCTGTCCTGAAACACGGCTGCTTCTCATCGCTGGCGATCACGGATGGCTTGGCGTTGATGCGGTACAAATACGCTCGGCGCCCACATTGTTCGTCTCGAGTCCTTTTTTCTTCTTTCCTTTCTCTTCCTCTTCCTCCTTATCATTCTCTCTCAACCGACTTTTCTATATAACCATTTCCGTTGTTTGCTCGTCGCCGGCCGACTTTCTGTGTCTCTCGCTGTCTTTCTCGCTTTTCAAAATTTCTCCCACCAGCTGAACCAGCAAAAAAAATCCTCCACAACCGTCAAAATGAAGTACTCTCTCTGCATCGCTGCCCTCATCTCCGTCGCCCTTGCCGTGACGCACGAGGAGCACCAAGGTATTTTTTTCTGTCCTCGCTTCGCTCGTTTGCTGCTTCTGTCCTCCTTCGCTTGTTCGCGTGCTAACATCTGCAGCCTTCATCCGCCGCCAGAGCAACGTCCAAAACTCCGTCAGCGCCAATGTTCCGGCCATGACGGACCAGAACGGCAACGTCGTCCCCTTTGACGCGTCCAAGGTCTACATGGCCGGCCAGGCCGCAGGCCTCTAAGTTCCAAGTCGTCGGGTCGTTTTCTTCTCCCCTCTTGTCGACAACATTAATTTCGAATACCATTTTTCATTTTACGTTTTATTCTTCAACAACATACTTTCGATCCATAGAGAAACCTTGTATCTTTGCACGATGGAGCGGCAGAAAAAGTCTCACACAAGGAAGAGCTCCTTTTTCAGGACTATAGGGTTGCGAGAGAGAAACAGCGTGTTTATTTACTTTTCGAGGGATACGAACAGGACAGGATGAGAGAATGAGTGACGCCCCAACTGTGAAACTACCTCCCCGATGTGAGTGCGAGGTAGCTAATTCAAGTGGGCAAATTCATTTCCTTGACTGGTTCCCAATCCCTCAAGATAGTAACCGACGATGGTGATCGTTGTGTGGCGTCTTGACTGGCTGCCTGGCGACCTCCAACTCGGAACCAAAAAAAATCCAAAAAGAAAAACAAAACCAAGCACCACAACGCATAAGCAAAAGAAAATGACAAAATGTAATGTGGCAACGTAACAATTATGGTATAATTAAACTAAAGCGCTTCAAATGTCAAAACTGCTCTGGCAGTAAGGAATGTACGGAAAGTGTAATGCTGCAATACGAATACAATAAAGGTACAGCCAAGTATCCCTCCACTATTATTATACTCTTTTCTTTCCTTTCTTTTGTTCTTTGCACCACGTTTCTTTCCTTTCTTCTCTTCTTTAAAAAACGTTTCTCTCCATGCTCCGCACGCCGTCAAGGAACGGACTCGGAGCAGTCGACCAGGTCGTTGATGTTGTTGACGCCCAGCAGCGACAGGCGGAAGTAGGCATTGGCGTAGGCACCGTCCCACGCAAACTGGCTGCTCATGTGCTGCCACGTGGCCGACGTGCCCTGGTACGTGGCCAGGGCCACGTCGCTGGGGAAGCGGTAGACGCCCTTGGGGGCCGTGCGGGCCGCCGTCTCGGCGTAGAACTTGGTGTCCCAGACGCCCGGCGTCGAGTCCTGCGGCGCGCCGGCCTGCGCCGGGTCCGCAAAGAACTGCTGGCTCGTCGAGTGGGCGCCCAGCAGCGCGACGAGGTCGGCCGGCGAGAACGTCTTGGCCTGGAACAGGTCAATCAGCGCGGGCGCGGTGCCGTCGACGGAGGGCAGCAGCCCGTCGGGGGCGGCGCGGGCGTCGTCGGGGCGGCCGGCAAAAAACTTGATGCGCGGGCCCAGCGGGCAGGTGACGGTGGCGACAATGGCCGAGAACTGGATCAGATCGGCCATGCCAACGCCGCGGCTGTGCCACGCGTCGTACCACACCAGCGTCTGCGCGACAATGTCCTGGAGGCCGCGGTTCTCGGCGCGGGCCAGCTCCGACGGGTTGAGCGCGATGGAGCCGTCGGCGCCGCCCCACGCCGACGTGCGGTTCCAGGCGCCGGCGTCGTGGAAGCCGAGACGGATGGCGCCGCGGGCCAGGCGCGAGCAGCCGTTCTTGCCGTCCTGGAACGTCGGCACAATGGCCTTGGCAACCTGCGACCAGACATCGCAGCTGGCAGGGCTCGGGATGGGGCTCGGGCTGGCCGTGGACTGGGTGGACGAGGACTGGGTGGATGAGGACTCGGAGAGGGCAGACGAAAGGGGCGCCGACGAGACGGGAGCAGACGAGGCGGGAGCAGAAGAGGCGGGAGCGGATGAGACGGGGGTGGACGAAGCAGGAGGCGATGAGACCGGCTGGGATGAAACCGGTGCGGAAGAAACAGGCTCGGACGAAGCAGGGACGGCGGACGAGGACGAAGACGAAGCGGGCGCGCTCTCAGACTTGGCCGTCGAGCTCGGCGCTTGAGGACGGCAGGGGTTGTTGCGGCGGACCTGCTTATGCTCCGGCGCGGACTCCCGCTTGTTGACCGGCAGGGGTGCGTGCGGCGACATCTTGCCAGCCAGGATCAGCTTGATTTCCTTGCCGGACGCGGACAGGCTGTCGTCGGGGAGGTAGACCAGGTCGCCGAGCATTTCGACGCTGCGCTTGTGTTGTTCGTGGTGGTCGTCGCCGTTGTTTGCGGCCACGGCGACCGTCTTCGCGGCGTTCTTCGTCTCGGCATCGGCGGCGGCCCGCCTGATTTCTTTGTACATGTCGCTGTGGTGGAAGCGGGCATGGTGGGCATGACCGGCCGCGGCGCCGTGGCCGCCGGGGCCCATGCCGGGCCAGGCGGCGACGGGACCGGCCACCGCAGCGAGGGCAACCAAGAAGAGGGAGGCGTGCATCGTTGTGGTGGGCGAGACAGATTAGAAACGTGGGTTGGTTGTGGAATGTAATAGACTTTTAAACTTTAAAAAAAGAGTTGATCGACACGGCGAAATCGGGACGAAGCGAGCGTGGTGTCTTGAAGTAGACAAATGGCTTCATGTAAAATATAAAAAGTAAACAACAAACAAAAAGGTAATATCTGAAGAAGAAGCGAAACTAGCGAATGGCTACGGAATATATTCCGTGGTAACGACAGTGAAGTTACATAAAGAAAAGGAAAAGAACGAACGAATAAACGAATGAATGCAGGAGAGGCGTGAAGCTCCTGGCTGTTGAAGATGGGGAGAAAACAACAAGCAAACAGAAGGAGGCGGACGAAGCGGCGATATATACGCAAAAGGGAAAGGTGAACGCGGACAAAAAGATAAAAGCCAACCCCCAAAAATGAAAAGGAAACGCCATCGAGCATACTTCGTAGAGGACATGGGGCAGTGGGCTCTCCACGGCAAACGTGACGCAACCTTGCAACCTCAAAAAGGGGCGCGATGCTGCGGAGCGAGAAAGCTAACTTGAAAGCTAACATGGGCCAGGCGAGGGGACCCAGCTGAGCTTTGGCCGTTTCTTGTGGTTGCTGCTTGGCCACATTCGTTGCTCTCCGTGTTAGTTTCTTATCATGTTGCAGCTGGGGGAAGGACGGTCGAAACCAAGTGAGTAGATTGGACAAGAGTACAAGAGTATTTTGTGAACAGCAGCTTCAACGGCGCCAGCGGTACACAGAGACTCTTCTTCTTTTGCTCTTGCCTCCATTGTTGTTGCGATGTGCCACGCTTCTCATGAGCTTCTCACCAGAGCTTACAGCATAATGATAATAGTTTCCGGTGCCACAGTGATCGCCACTTGATCACGGCCAGGAGACCTTGTGGCTTTTTGAGTCGCCGATGTCCACGATCCGACGCCGTCGTTTATTGTGTGGAGATTGCACGGCGAGGTGTTGCTATCGTCTTCTTCTTTTCTTTCAAAGTACGACGTAATTACTGGCTTCGCTCTTACGCGTCTCGTGCTCTGTACGAGCGTTTTCCAGAAACGATCCCCAGAAAAGAAATCCATCGTGAGACAGGACGGCCATCTGCCGGCGCCAACAGACTTCATCGACCTTGTCTCGTGGCCTATGAATGGCAAGCGCCGGCTTTGTCGGTGGTGACCACCTAATTTTACGGTCCTGAGACCTCTGGCCATTCGCGATGACTTGTTCTGACCTCTCTCCATCGCCCCGGGCACATGATATCGTATCAAAATTGAGGACATGGGCCGACATGATGCTAGCAGACGCTGGTCAATCGCTACATACACTGCCATACTTCATTTTGTTTTTGGCTTCTCTTTTACAAAGTAGTTGCCGTAACCTGGTCGTGTGTCCCACCAACTCAGTTCGCCCGTCAGGGGAACCAAAGAATCAAAAAAGAGAGGAACCCTGGCCCCTGTTCTCTAGACTGGCCCCACACGAGCTTTGGCCGTCGCTATGGAATATTGCAGGGGGTTGGGCGAGAGAGACGGAGAGGACAGCCAACCAGAGCGAGACGAAATCAAAGGAAATTTTTCGAGAAAAGGGCAAGGCCAGGGTCAGGCTGCATGTTCATTTTGAATAGAATACGGAGTACGATGGTATGGGTTGATATAAGAAAAGAGGAAAGGTGTAAATGAAAGACGGACAAAAGACGAAGAAAAAGCAGCAGTTACAATTAAAGGAATCTTTCGACATCGACATCGTTTGATTCCATTGAAAGCTGCATTCTCATCACGGAAACAAAGCAACATACTGGGGACACACAACGACAGAAAAGACGAAGGAAACACAGTTCATTTTCGTAATGTGACCTTATTCAGATATGACGCTTTACCAAGGTGAACTTGGCAATAATAACTGACCTATTGTCGCCTTGCCGATAGTGATAAGTGCCGTCTTAAGTCGTAGTTCGTACTCCGTATTCACCAAATCACGTTCCGGCACAGAATATACGAGGTGAGGGTCATCTGGAATAGCCCATCTCGGCACTCCACTCATTTGGCTTTGACCCCTGGCTCTAGTCCCGAAGAAGTAGCTGTTTGGGAGCGTTATGTGCGTGGCTACGACAAACAAGATCCACCCCGAGAGAACGGTCCAGTCAAGAGACGAGCGTAACGAAGGGAACCAAAATAAGATTGGCATATTTCTTGGGGCCGGCTTTACAAAAAAAAAAAAAAAAAAAAAAAGAAAAAGAAAAGAAAAGAACAGAAAAGAAAATAAAAACAGACTTCGGATCCAGTCAACCAGCGTGTGTATTTTTGTTTGCTTGTCTATGTTACAGTTGTACAGTTGTATAATGGACGGCGTGCAAGCAATCCCATTTGTTATCTACTCGAGTCGTCACATTGCCATCAAACATCTTCCTGAAGCTCTGCATCCACTTTCTGGATCTCGGCACAAAACGTTCTGGGATGTGCCTCCTTCCCGCACAATCCTCCGCCCACATTGACTGAGCACGCGATACAATACTGGTGTAATTCTGCGTACATTATTCTCAAAAAAAAAAAAAAAACACCAAAACCTCCCCTGGTCGAACAGGCGCCTGGTTATTTTTGGAAACCAAACAACTTGGACCAAAACGGCTTGGGACGATGTGCAAATGATGGGAAAGGGTCGACCAAGTCTCGATGGTGCTGTTTCATGTTTCAGAAACACCCTCTGTCTGATTTGTCGGCTTTGTTTTGCCCGTTTTTGTAAATCGTACTGCGATGGTTTCTTTTCCATGCACGAAGCATTGGACGATACTCTATGTTGTATTTTGTATTTTGTGTATTTCTGTACTTTTGCAATCTGTCTCGCTTGCCTACTTTGGTATGTTCCGCACGTCGTAGTATTTCGTCTTCACTCGACTCAGTAAGGTCCGTACATTTGGCCTACGTATTGTTTCTCCATTTCCGCACGCGCCCATTCCCCATTCTCTCGGTGTTCTGGCCAGTTCTGGTCAAAGTGTCAAAGCAACACTCTCCGTCATCCTCACTAACTACTGCGTAACCCACCAAACAGTGCAAAGTTGCACTGCACTACGACTTTACTACGCAGCCGTCTTAATGCCACATTAGGGCGCTGTGGGACGCTCAGCCATCTCGTGTTTGTTTTCGTCGCTTCTCTTAGTGCACCCGCGCTCCCCTTTGTAATCTCCCGACCTCCATTGGAAGCAACACCGTGCACACGCCATGTCTGCCCGGATGTCGGCCTCTATCCTTTTGCTTTGCGCGACGAATTCACTGTGCGTACGACGTCGTCTGTCGTCTGTCGTTTGTCGTATTTCACTTTGCCGACTATCACCTTAGTTCATTTGCGTGTAATCACTCTGAACATGCCCGTTCCAGATGCCATGTGGATGACCACAAGGTACGGCGCACGGACAACAAACGACAGCATATTGCCGACCATACGGGCGTCGATATCACAAGGAAAGAAAGGACAAAAACAGCTCAATAGCCTGGACCTGGCCTAGGCCATCCAAGAGTTGACCTGCTGCCGTCAACATGACCCGCTCCTCGACAGGGAAGACAAAAATAACCATTTGTGTTCAGCCCAGTGTTTCAAAATCAGGTCGTCTGTGATGCTGCAATGGACTGCGATGACTAGACTGCGACAAGCAGCGTCCGACATGTTTTGTATCCTTTTCACGACACTCAACACCACGCTCCGGTTCTCGCCCTTGGCATCGTTTGCCTTTGCTACTTCGTCTGTTCCCCTTCCGTCTTGCGACTTTTGTCTTCGTTTGGGTATTTTATGATCTGCATCCATCATGGCGATGACGCTCTTCAGATTGTCCAAAGACAGTTCGTTTGTTTTCTCAAGTTATGTCTCCTATAGTTGTAATAAAAATATAAAATGATTGTACTATGATATTATTTTTGTGATTGGTATATTTAGTATTTATTCACATAGTTGTTCTTTTTACTTTCATTTACATTTACATGACCCCTTTCCTTTTTAAAATAAAAAAGTAAAAATTAAAGTAACGAATCGATTTCACTCAAAAACCTACATTAAATTATATCCAAAATCTCGTTTGAAAACACAATGATTTAGAATCTTCGGTCATAAATCATCCGGCCCAAGAAAAGAAGTCGAAGGAGGTCTACTGTACCGTTACTAGAATACTGGGAGAATAAGAACAAGAAAGACCCCCGCTAGTTCTGACCAACGGCGCGGCCACGATAGCATCGCATCAAGCACCGGCCTTGGATTCATCCGAATTTGTCGGGATCATAAGATTCTGTCACCAGAATGCACTCCCACCATACGACATACTTGCGGCCGACAGCGTGGTGGAATACATTTTGCAAGTACTGCCTGTCGCTTATCGTGGCGGTGGTTGTGGGGAGTGGAAGAGAGGAAATGGAAAAATCGCTCGCGGCTTCAACCGGTTTTCCTGGTTTCCGTCTGTTATATGAGCGATATTTGGTGAGAGGATGGACAGCCACGAAACCGCACCAACCCAACAAGCACTGCCCCGGCAAGACATTTTCCACATTCTTAGTGTCCATGCAGGCGTCTGCGAAAAGCTTCTTTGCCTGTGTCCCGATGCCTGCCTTTCTCAGCCGTTGGACATGGCCAATCCCGTGAAGCCTCTGCACTCGCATGTGAGTAGAGTCGCAACACGTTCTTTCCGCTGCCTTTGTGCCTTTGTTTCTCATTTCCGTTTTAGCTCCTTCACACGTAGCGAGTCCAGAGATAAGGACGGTCAGTCGTGCCGTCTGGCTGAATGGACATGGAAACGATCACCACATGGACGCCATAGTGCCCTCTTTGCGCCCTCTTTTGGCTGTCGTTTCTGTGCTAGTACGCTGATATCGCTGACGCATCTGATTCGATTGCCGGATTGCTTGACTGATGGATTGCCCCCCGTTGGCGGGATGAGCTGATTGTCGCGAGTAGAATATATATCCAGCTGTCCTCGCCATTGTCGACTTCACATGCATCGCTCATCCCTACTCCATTTGTCCACTTTGTCTTGTCACCTTTCTGCTATTTGCCTACAGTCCTACAGTAACATCCATCATTCTCTCCCTCCCCCCATGGCGTCTACTGACTCGGGCCCGTCTGGGTCGTCTTTGCCGGACAAGGCTGCCGTCTTGCAGGCGGAATCTGATGCTGTCGACAAGCTCGACGACGACGATGCGGCGGCGGCCGAGCTCGGCAAGTTTGACGGCGACCTCGGGCACAGCCGCAAGCAAGTATGACACCACTCTTTCCATTCTCATATTCTCATGTCCCCCCCCAAGATAGACTCTGATTCGCTGGGCTGCAGACCTTTTCGGGCTTTGTCCTCCTCTGGCTCGGGTTCCAGTCCTGCGGCGTCATCTACGGCGACATTGGCACGTCGCCGCTCTATGTCTTCTCGTCGACCTTCTCGGCGCAGCCGTCGTGGGACGACCTCGTGGGCGCGCTGTCCATTGTGCTGTGGTCGCTGACGCTGATTGTGTCGGTCAAATACGTGTGCATTGTGCTGGCGGCCGACGACGACGGCCAGGGCGGCACCTTTGCGCTGTACAGCCTGCTGGCGCGCTACGTGCGCCTTGCCCGGGGGGGCGGGGCAGCACGTTCACGCCCACCACGCCGCACCTGCAGCGCTACCGCACGGGCGACATGCGCCCCGGGGCCCGCGGCCTGCGCCGGTTCCTCGAGGGCTCCGTCGCCTGCCAGCGCCTGCTCCAGCTGGCCGGCGTGCTGGGCGTGTCCATGGTCATGGCCGACGGCGTGCTGACGCCCGCGCAGTCGGTGCTGGGCGCCATCCAGGGCCTCACCGTCGTGCGGCCGGACCTGGGCACACCGGCGATTGTCGGCATCACCTGTGCCATTCTGGTCGTGCTGTTCTTGCTGCAGCCGCTGGGCACCGCGCGCCTGGGCTCCGCCTTTGCGCCCATCGTCGTCGTCTGGCTGCTCTTCAACCTGGCGTCGGGCGTCTACAACCTCGCCGTCCACGACCACACCGTGCTCAAGGCCTTCAGCCCGCACTACGCCTTTTTGTACCTCGCCCGCAACGGCACCGACGGCTGGCGCAGCCTCGGCGGCCTGCTGCTGGCCTTTACGGGCGTCGAGGCGCTGTTTGCCGACCTGGCCGCCTTTGGCCGCCGCGCCATCCAGCTGTCGTGGCTGTGCCTGGCCTTTCCGTGCCTCCTGTTTGCCTATGCCGGCCAGGCCGCCTTTATCGCGCAAGACGCCACCGGCACCGCCTTTGTAGGTGTCCCTTGCTGCATTCCTTTGCTATAGACACCGCTGACCCTCGTCCAGACCAATCCCTTTTACAACACCGTCCCGCCGGGCACATTTTATTTCAGGTACGTCCCCTCGCATCGCCCTCCTCCCCCCACCACTGCTTCTCTGTCTCACATCTCTCCACCCCCCAGCATGGTCATCGCCATCCTCGCGGCCGTCGTCGCGTCCCAGGCCATGGTCACCAGCACGTTCCAGCTGCTTGTCCAGGTCATGCGCCTCTCCTACTTCCCCCACGTCAAGGTCGTCCACACCAGCCGCCGCTTCCACGACCAGGTCTACGTGCCGCTGGCCAACTGGCTGCTGATGGTCGGCACCGTCGTCGTCACCGCCGTCTACAACAACACCACCTCGCTGGGCAACGCCTACGGCGTCTGCGTCATCTTTGTCACCTTCCTCACCACGTGCATGCTCGCCCTCGTCGCCATGCTCATCTGGCGCCTGCCCGTCTACGTCGTGCTGCCCGTCTTCCTGCTCTTTGCCCTGCTCGACGGCACCTACCTGTCCGCCGTCCTCACCAAGGTGCCCGCGGGCGCCTGGTTCACGCTGCTGCTGGCCCTTGTGCTGTCGTCTGTGTTTGTCCTCTGGCGCTTTGGCAAAGAGGCCCAGTGGGCCGCTGAGGCGCGGCACCAGGCCGCTCTGGCAGCCCCTCCCGCCTCGGCGGCACCCTCGCCCACGAGCACGCCCACGTCCGTCGTCCCCGGCCTCGGCATCTTCTTCGACAAGCTCGGCGACCCCGCCCGCCCGCCGCCCTGCTTCACCCACTTCGTCCTCAAGTTCGCCGCCCGCCCCGCCGTCATCCTCTTCTTCCACATGCGCCCCCTCGACGTCCCCGTCGTCACCGCCCCCGACGAGCGCTTCGTCGTCGCCCGCCATCGCCTCCCGTCGCTCGCCCGGTCCAATGCCTACCTCGTCGTCCTCCGCCACGGCTATGCCGAGGAGCCCCTGCACCCGGGCATTGCCCACGACCTCGTCGCCCAGGTCGACGGCTTCCTCGCCCGCAGCCTGGCGCGCACGCCGCCGGCGAACGTGCCGCGCGTCGAGCAGGAACGGGCGGCGCTGCGGGCGGCCAGCGCGACCCAAATCGTCTATCTGCTGGGCAAAGAGGCCATGCGCGTGGGCCGTCGGTCTGCTGACGGTGACAAGGAAAAGGACAAGGACACGAACAGAGGGACAGGGAAGTCGACGTGGAGGCAGCGTCTCAACGTCTGGCTCCCGTGTCGCCGCCTGCTGCTGGAGCTGTTCCTGTGGATCCGCGAGAACTCGCGCACCAAGCTGGCCGCGTTTGACATGGAAATTGACAAGATGGTCGAGGTTGGCTATCTGACGGAGCTTTGACAGGCGGGGAGGTCCTGTGGGAAGAAAGCGTCAGAAAGGACACGTCGAGAATTAAGGCGAAAAAAAAGAAAAAAAAAGGTCATAGCATGAAAAGAATGACAGTAAATGACCAAAAACTATCGCGTGTTTGTCTGTTGTGATGTCTGTTGTTTGCCTCGACGTGATTGATCTCTGAAACAACACAGCGATACGTAGGGAGTAAATTACGTCGTCCAGTGTTCGCGTTTGCGCTGTATTCCAAATCGAAGAGATACGACGGATACGGATTTTGGCGGTTCGCATTGTCCGGCGACTTTTCGCGAGCAGGCAACGTACCACGTTGGAACTGCGGCGCTTTGGGCCTCCATCGCCTTATTTGTCCGTCTATTCCGCACGGTCAACAATCGGTCGACCGCGTCCTCCAGATTAAGTCGCCGCGTGGTCGTGCTTGTCGGTGTCCTGTCCTCGCTCGGCTCAACCTTTTTGGTGCTTTGCTTCCGGACCGGGCCAACTTCACCCGTGGCGTTCAAGCTTGCGTGCCACGCTAAAAAGCTTATTTGCACGCCCACACGCATCCCGAGACACAGCTTTCGTCTCCGGAGCCACACGACGAAAAGACTCGCCGTCTCGGGCCGGTTGAGCGACCGCGACGACGTTGCGCCGTCTTTTGCGGGCGATGAGGGTGAGTCTCGCGCCGAGAGCGTAAATAAAAGGGAGGCGGGCATTCCTTTCCGTCGAGAAGAACAGCGAAGCGCCTCTGCACTCATTCATTTGTCGCAGGTCTCCTCGTTTGTTTCGTTTGTCTCGTTGGTCTCGTTCTCTCCTCTCGTATATTCCCTCCCATTCTTTCACCTCCGCCCCCTCCCTCCAACCTCATCGCTCCAACGCCTCGCCAGTCGCCGACATGGCCATCGCCGACATGGCCATCGCCGACGACCATCCGCCACCGGCGGCGAGCACCTCGGACAGCAACGACACCACCATCAAGCCAGACAACGACGTCGAGGCCAAAGACGTGCTGAGCGACGCCCCGGACGCCCCCGCCGCGGATCACCCGCCCGACGCGCCCAAGGTGCCGTCGTTCCAGCGCGGCCCCCGCTTCTGGGCCATCATCGCCACCCTCTGCGTCATCGGCCTGCTGTCGTCCCTCGAAAACACCGTCGTCACCACGTCCCTGCCGGCCATCGCCGCCCTGCTGGACCTCGGCGAGAACTACATCTGGGTCACCAACGTCTTTTTTCTGACCTCGGCCGCCGTGCAGCCGCTGTTCGGCCAGCTGGCCAACCTGTTTGGCCGCCGCTGGGTGACGCTGGCCATCATTGCGCTGTTTGCGCTCGGCAGCGGCCTGGCCGGCGGCGCGCGCAACGCGGCGACGCTCATTGCCGGTCGCGCCGTGCAGGGCATGGGCAGCGGCGGCATCAACATGATTGTCGACATCATCGTGTCCGACCTGGTGCCCCTGCGCGAGCGCGGCAACTACATGTCCATGGTGCTGTCCGTGTACTTTGTCGGCCTGGCGCTCGGGCCCTATGTCGGCGGCGCGCTCGTCCAGCACGGGGCCTCGTGGCGCTGGGTCTTTTACATCAACCTGCCCGTCTGCGGCGCCGCCATGCTCATGATTCTGCTGTTTCTCAAAGTCAAGCCGGGGCGGGCCTCTTCCAACGGCGACGATGCCGTAGGCGACGCCGTCGGCGACACCCATGCCGACGCCGCCGACCGCATGTGGCTGCTGCACAGGCTCGGCCGCATCGACTACCTTGGCAACCTGCTGCTCATCGCCTCGACCGTGGCCGTGCTGTACGCGCTGACCTACGGCGGCACGCGCCTGCCCTGGTCGTCCGCCCAGATCGTCGGCCCGCTCGTGGCCGGCCTCGTCGGCCTCGCCCTGTTTATGCTCTACGAGGCCTCGGCCACCCTCTGGCCCGCGTTCCCGCTGGCGCCGCGCGAGGCCGTCGTGCCCCCGCGCCTGTTTGCCAACCGCACCTCGGCCACCATCTTTGCCGTCACCTTTATCAACGCCGCCCTCCTGTACTGGCTCTTCTTCTTTTTGCCCGTCTACTTCCAGGCCGTCCTCGGCAGCTCGCCCACCCGCTCCGGCGTCCAGCTGCTGCCGGCCATTGTCATCGGCGTGCCCGCCGCCATTGCCGCCGTCCTGCTGCTGACCCGCTACGGCCGCTACAAGCCCCTGCACCTGTTTGGCTTCGGCGTCAACACCGTCGGCCTCGGCCTGCTGACGCTCCTCGACCAGGACTCGTCGACCGCCGCCTGGGTGCTGTTCCAGGTCGTCGTGGCCGCCGGCTCTGGCTTTGTGCTCAACACCCTGCTGCCCGGGTGCCAGGCGCCGCTGTCCGAGGCGGACCAGGCCGCCGCGACGGCCGCCTGGTCGTTTATGCGCTCGTTTGGCAGCGTCTGGGGCGTGGCCATCCCGGCCGCTATCTTCAGCAACTACTTTGACCGCTTGGCGGCGCGACCCGTGGCGCAGGGGGGCATCTCGGACCCGGCTGTGGCCGCGCAGTTCCGCAACGGCCGGTCGTACGAGGCTGCCACCGCTGCCACGATCCAGGCCATACCGGAGCCCGTGCGGTCCGAGGTGGTCGGCGTCTACGTGGCCGCACTCAAGTACGTGTGGCGGTTCTCGATCATCCTGGGCGGCGTCTCGTTCTTTTTGGTCTTTTTCGAAAAGCAGGTCAAGATGCGGACAGAGCTCGAGACGGAGTATGGGCTGGACGACGGCAAGGACAAGAAGAACGAAAAGGCAAAGAAGGCAGACGTCGAGCTGGCCGATGTAGCAAAGAACGGTGTGCTGGACGGTTAGTGAGGGTTTCGTGGAAAGAACATCAATCATAGCCAAAATAATAAGCAGTCTCTGCAGCCAAGTGCATTTCGAAAAATCATTGTAGATGCTTTTGTTAAATAGTCAAAAATGAATGCGCCTCTCCAGTGACATAATGAAAGAAAAATTACTAAACGAAGAGACAACAAAGTGGTCGACAAATAATGAACGCAACGAAGAAATATGTACAAAAGAAACCGATCAAAGTAGGAATGGAAATGCATGTTGGTTGGCCTTGGGCCCAGCCCGGGAGAGAGAAACATGACAACGAAATCAACCAAATAAAATCAAATCAAACAAGTATACGGCGCCTAGCACCCGAAATACCTCTCTAGTGGAGACCGCTCTCGCCTGTGGCGGCCATGTGCTTTTGGCACTGCACCATCATGTTGACCTGGTCGCTCATTTCCTGGAGACGGCCCAGCACTCTGCGATTGCCGTCGACAAAGTTCAGGATGGCATAGGGGATGCCTGTGTCGTCGCAGAACTCGCGCACGAGCGTCTGCACTTTGCGCAGGTTGTGCCGGGGCACGCGCGGGAACAGGTGGTGGACGGCCTGGAACTGCAGGCCGCCGTGAAGAAAGTCCAGCCAGGCGGGGCAGTCGACGTCCATGGTGGTGCGCAGCTGGCGCTGCGGGAAGGACTCGGTCTCGCCCAGGTCGGAGGTGGACATGCCCCAGTGCGAGAGCGTGATTTGCACGTGCAGGGGCATGGTGATGATGTGCGAGACGAGCACAAAGACGACGCGGGTGGTCCAGTCCGGCAGGGCGCGCCACAGCAGACAGTATCCAAACAAGAACCAGTACGCGCTCATGGCGGCCATCTCCGCCGGGCGGATCCACCAGGCGGTGCTGCGGCCGAGGGCGGACGACTTGGCCGACAGGACGTGCAGCCACGACAACAGGTACAAATTGAAGCGCGCGATGCCCATGATAGGGTAGTAGGTGTACTTCTGGAAAGGCACCATGTAGTCGGCCACGGCGTCCCAGACAAACGTAAAGTCGTAGTAGGAAGAGCGCAGCGACTTGAAGAACAGCGGGCTCGTGGCGAACAGGGGCACATTCTGGATGTCCGGGTCGTGCTCGGCCTGGTTGGTCACGAGATGGTGCACGTTGTGGCTGCTCTTCCACCAGCCGATGGACAGACCACAGCAGAAGTCAGCGATGAACAGCCCGATGAGCGTGTCAATGACAAAATTGTGCGTGATGGCGCGGTGGCCGGCATCGTGTGCGGTGAACATGATCTGGTGCCAAAAGAGGCCCAGAAACACAGCTGACGTGACGTACCAGCCAAGGTGCAGCGTGGCCAAGAACAGCACAAACAGCGTCGTGTACCGGGCCATCTCCTTGGCGTAATCGCCGTATGGGCAGTCGTACCAGCCGGCGTCGTGTATGCGCTGGTGCATAGCACGGTAGCGCTGGATGATGGCTTGTTGACGTGCAGGATCGACGGATGGGTAGGTCACCGAGTCGCGCTCCACCTCGTGCTGGTTGCTGCGGTCGGCAAAGTCGTCAACAGTAGAGAAGGCAACGGCGTCCACCGTGTTGGTGTCGTTGATAGGACCAGCCTTGGCTTGAGCTTGTACCTGCTTGCGCGCAAACTGCGAGAGCTGGGCGCTTCCGAGACTGCGGCGGTTGACGCTATGCACGCCCGAGGCTGTCAGGAATGGCGGCAGTGCGATGGGCGTGGACCTACTCCCAGTGCCGACAAAGGTGTCGTCTGCAGTCTGGACACCCGACGACCATGCTGCCGAGGGAGGAGTCGGCAGCGCGCTGCACTCAGACACGACATCACTAACACCAGTTGAGTCCTCTGTTAACGAGTCATCGGTATCACTGCTGCTGCTGCTACACGGCTCCTCGGCCGACGACTCTTCTGCCCGCAGCAGGGCCTCATCATCCTCACAGTCTTCGCCATCAACATCCGAGCAGTTACCGTCCAGCGGCGATGGCGGCGACACTGTCACCTCAGTGCGGCGGAAGACACCGCCGCGGATGGGCGGTGGGGCGTGGGCCACCCAGGGTCCTGGGAGCTTGCGGCCGATGCGGTAGGCCGTGATGGTCTTGAGGGTAGAAGCGAAGTGGTACCTGCATGACGGGGAAATACGTCGATCGGCATCGAGTCAGCACTTTATTTATTTAATCCACCATGACCATCTAATGAACACCCTGTTTTTGGTTATTCGACGGGGTGGCTCAAGGAAGGAAAAGCAGCAAAACAGGAATGGAGTTCGGTGTTAAGTGGAGGCTCGGGGGTTGTAATTTGCGAGGTAAGGCATGAATGGGTGAATCGACCCATCTTGGATCCCCTTGGTCATTTTGGTGTGTTTTGGTGTGCGGGAGTGCCTGGACCAGGGGAGGGGAAATGGTGTGCTGAGAAATGCAAAGAAGGCTCGGATCGCTCGGATGCGCTGGAACGTGGTGCTGGGTGGCATAAAACGGCCTTAACCCCCCCACACAAGGAGAACCACAGCATCTGATAATTGCACGTCTTTCAACATCAAACCACAAATGATTTCGCACAACTTGGACGATTCGAATGTTTGTTTTCCCTGTGTTCTCTTCAGCTTTCTGGGAGTCTTGTCGCTCGATTCTAGCCCCTTCCTGGATTTTCTGGCCCGATCCCACCCTTTTTCAAGCAATACCACACGGACTCCAAATCCCGTCGCCCGCCTCCACTTGTATGGATTCGACGAACATTCAGGCCCGACAGCCAGAAAATCAGGACATGAGGAACCACGTATCGAAAGAAACGACGGACGTCCCAGACATGACGCACCAAGTCAAGTTTAGAAACCAAAGGAATCCTAGGAACCGACAACAAATCGACGCGACGACGACGGCATACAACCAGAAGCGAAAGACGACAGCGAATGAAAGCGAATGATAGGAAAGGAATCATGGGAGAAACATAAACATCACGGCATGAACGAGGTATGTGGGAGCCATATTTACACTTCAATCTCGTCGGTGGCATCCTTGCCGACCATGTGCAAGATGGCCAAGCGGCCACCGGGGTGGCGATCGAGCCAGCTGTCGAGGCGCAGGACATAGTCCTGGTAGATGACAATGGTCTGGCCCTGGGCGATGCGGTCGGTGACCTCGTCCGGCTGGAGGATACGATCGCGGTCGGCCACGACCGGTGTTGTTGTCGTCTGTATGGAGCTTGGGCTCGGGCTCGGCTTCGGTACCGTGGTCGAGGTGGCCATTTTGTCTATTGAGAGTTTGTGGTGAGCCGTACGTGACGGCTTGTGGAGAGGATGGGTTGGTTGTCGAGGAGGAGAGGAACCGCGGTCAGCTTCGGGGGCAAGTGCCTAGATGTCGAGAGAAGAGTCGAGTGACGTGCGTGTCCTCAGAGCAAGGCTCAGGATCGAAGACGGGAAAGAAGACACGTCAAGAGAGCGGAGAGATACGAGCCGAGGACAAAGTTGTCTGGTCTGGGCTTGTTTTGTTAGGATCGAGGGCTGTGACGTGAAAGGGGAGGTGGTAAAGTAAAAGACGAGTGTCGGACAAACAGCCAGACAGCCAGACACAAAAAGGGCCAAACGAGGACGGCGAAAAAAAAACACGTCGAGACCACACACCAGGCGAACCGGGCGAGGCAAAAAATAGAAGAAAAAAAAATAAAGCAATTGAGCAATTAAGACAATCGCCAATTGTGAAACGACGTGGGTGGTTCTCGCCTGGGTATGTTCTGTTGGAGACGTTGGACGGCCTGGCTATTTGTGCCTTTTTATTGTCGTGTTCTCTTTGGCTGTCTGTTTCTTGTTTTGCCTTTCCTTCTGTGTGCCTTATTTTTTGTCTGTTGTTTTTGTTCTTCGTCTTCTTCTGCTCTCCTTTTTGGCCGCATGTGCATGTAGGAGGATACGTGACAAGGTACCAGGGGAGTCACCAAAGAGAAACGTACCAAAAAAGGAAATTGGGAGCAGTCTGCAAGGCCAGACTGTTCACGCTGCGATAGGCTGCAACCAAAGAACGAGCGCTGCTAGGCAGAGAGGAGGCAAATGATCGTGAGAGAAATGGTGAGAGATGTGTCCCGTTTCTTGAGATTTGCCACAAACTTTGAAGAATGAGAAGAAAAAAGGGACGCAATGGACCTATTATGGACTTGGACTGGGGATTCCTGCAATTGCGACTCTGGCGGGGAAATGGCTCGAATATGCGTGTGTGGGCAAGGGGAAAAAGAGATTGGGGAGGATGAGAGAAATAAACGGGGTCCAATCTCTGGATTGGGGGAAAAGGAGGAAGGTTTTTGTCGAGGAAGAAGGGGGACAAATCGTCAATGGATTGAATGTTGTGGGAAAACGCTCTTACATTTATTTCGGGTCGATGCTGTTTGTGTTCTTTTTACTTTGCCCTGAAGATCTATTTTGGGCAAGAACGATGAGACGAGGTGGAAGGAGCGAAGGGGCAACATGGACAGCGGCAGAGACAAAAGCAACTTTGCGCTCAGGAACAACAACGACAAGAAAAGGCGAGGCAGACCGACGGACACGCAATGTACAAGACACATGAAAACACGGAGACGCCATGAGCTACGAGAGACGACAAGCAATAGACGAGATGAGGACGAACAGCCCACGTATTGCAGCCAATACGGTCTCACGGTATACGGAAGCGACGACTACGAAAGCACGGCGGACAATACAGTTTGGAAGGCAAACGGAGGGCTGTCCCGAAACGGCAGGAACCACAAAAATGGCACAAGGAAGGCGACCCAGGCAAGAACGTTCGAGCAAGTTACGGACAAAAGGTAGAAAGGGGAAAAGGTGGGAAGTGGATCGGGGCTACGTTGACGGGTGGGCATTGGGCTGTTTCGAAAGGGAAAGAGCGTTGGGAAAGGGGAAACCGATCTTACGAGGAGGCGAGCAGAGATGCGAGAAAGAGATCAATCTTTCAGAAGTAAAGAGGCCAACGAGGGAAGGCGCGACGGAAAGGAGGCGCAGGGCAGCGCTAGAAAGGGAAACCCCCAGAAAAAGGGGCATCATTTACAAGAGACTCCTCACGGGCAGGAACGAGATACGACCAAGAAAATCGATACTTTTACAGAGTCTCTTTGAGCGGCTTCCAACGCTTCAGCCCACAGCTTGGATTCTGCCCGTGGGGGCATTCATGTGAAGAGATGACTTGAACAGGTCGAAAGACAAACGACGGTGATACTTCTGGCGATGTTATTGTCGATTGCTCGCCGACACCAGACGACACTGGCCTGATTAAGAAGGGACGCGAACGGTACGAAAACGGTACGAAACGGTAAGTTACAACAAAGAAGACACTCTACGTCGTACGTGTCGCAAAGCGCCGTTCTGCGCCCGGTGGATATCCACGGCCTTGTTTTTTGTGGAATTTCTGCTGCTATTTCTGTGGCATGTGCCCGTGATTTTTGTCTTTTGTGTCTCTTTCTTGGTGGCTTTTCAGCTTGATTTTTCGGTTCTTCTCTCGTATTGAGTCGTTATTGGTTGCCTGCTCCAGTTCCTGAAGACGAATACTGTGGGTTCAGCGTGGTTCCAGCGTGGTTCCAGCGTGGTTCCAGCGGGTTCCTGGCGCGGGGCCCCTGTTGATTGGTCTCTTGGCCGCGCTAGTCTCCGTCTGGGGCGCGAAAGTAGGCCTTTCTTCACAAAGTCGAATAAGTCCCTTTCATCGACGAAATACGACGTAGCAACATCGCTCTTTGGCTCGTCTCGGTCGTGCCAACCGGCGAGATAGGGGCCGGCGGAGTCGTTTGACGCGGCCTCCTCAGCCTTTTTCCTCTTTCCATTCTTTGCTCTCCAGTCTCCAGCATCTCGACTTGCCGACTCCTGACTCTGTGACGACTATCCAAATCTGGAGCGTTTGGGATGGTCTTGGACCCGGCTTTTCTCTGTGCCTTGGTTTTACTTGGTTCGAGAGTGGCCAATTGAACTGCTGGTCGTCACTGGGGCCGTTCCGCTTCGCCCCTTGCAGAACCAGGCATCGTTGTTGACTGATGTACAAAGTACGGAGCAACTTTGTCGTGCACCTTTCTATTTTTAAAGGCGCGATCTCTCTGTCGGCGTACAGAATACGGAGTACGAAACACGCCTGCGAGAAAACAAGGGAACAAGATAATGTCCGTTGTGCCTGTGCTTCTCTGGCCCGGTCTGTCCTTTTGTCCTGCTGTGGCGGCTCCACAAAGGCCTAGACGCGGTCTTTGTTGCCCCCCATACCACAGCCCAGGCATACGTATGCGCGCTCGGCGCGGCACTCTGTTTACCCAGGCAGACGTGTAACAAAAACGGGCCATTGCTCTCCACGTTGGTGGCCATCTTCATTCTCCGGGTCAAGCCAGGCCCTGCATCCCATTTGTGGATCATCGTAGCGTCGCAGTCGACTGTTCCAAGATCCAAACGCAGAGTCTGCCAAGATCTTTCTCCTGTCCGTTGGCCCCCTGGCCCTGGATCAGCGGTCCGCTTCAGCACTTGCACAGTCTGACAGTAATCTGCACAAAATGTATTGATGTACGACGAACAGCGCTAGAACCGGCCCAGAAAACAAGAGACGCCAGCTAACAGGGTCCGCTAGGGACAGACCAATTATGGTAATTTACTACTTTCCTTTTTCAGTCGTGGCTTGCCAATAATACAACTTGTGCTTGCGGCGTGCAGCGGACCGACGTGATACTGGCGTATGATGCATTTCTCTCGGGCGGCTTCTCTCATGACAGATGGTATCAGCGAGCGCCAGCCGCGACTGGCCCAAGCTCAAGCATGCAGAACGAGATGTACGTCGGTCACGCCTTTTGGACAGCAAACTAGTAACTGAACGTTGCCAGGGCGCGGCGAGTGAAAAGCAGTGCGATATCCACGGAGATTGTTTCGTAGCCGCAGCAGTCTTTTCTCCGCAGTCTAGATTAGTCACAGATTGGGCGGAGGCTGGCGAAGGAGAGACCAAAACGGAGCGCATTGGCCATCTTGGCGTCTCTCAAAGGGTGGTTGTTCGCTGGTACCTATGGCATGCGCTTGCACAGAACAGAAGTTTCGGTGAAGCTATAACGAACAGCTTGCGCGAAAGTAAGAAACAAGCAAACCTTGCGTGTGGGAAGAGTATGACACAACGTGTAGTGGAAAGAATAGACAAGAATACGCAACAACGACGAACCGAGCAGAACGAACCATTCCAGGGTCCATCGAGCGACAAGACGCGTTCGTATACGAGAACGGCCAGTCAGGTTATTTGACATACGCAAATAGAAGCCCTGTTCTAGATCTGGCCAGCCCAAACCCACGGAACCGTCCGTTTGTTCCTGCAGTGGATGCAAAGTACAAAGTACGGACTACTGCACGGCCCAAGTGAGTAAAGCATCGGGCGTAGTTGCAAGCTGTAGGCTTCCGTTTTCATGAAACACATAGTGTGCAAGGCGAAGACCAAAAGAAGTGCCGCGGTCATAACATAATACGCCTCGCCTGGGACGTCGATGTGCAAGCGGACCTGAATATTTCCCTTCCGGTCCCTGACAACGGCAATATGAAATGAGAGTCACCAAAATAGCAGCATCGGGCGCAGATTCAATGTTGCGCTTGGTCCTGTTATGCCACGACTTGGAAAGCTTGGCCACCTTCCATGTCTCAACTCAACGATGCTTGTCGTCGACCACATAAACGTGCTTCATATGCCCGTAGAGACACGAGTTTGTGCAACGTCGCGTTGTCGTGTCTGCATATGTCTGGCGACGCGGTGCTGAACGCGGTTCAAGACATTTCGTCTCTTTGACCAATCTTTGCTCTTCGTTCTGGGGCGCGCACCGAGTTGCCGCCAACATTTTGGAGTCGCACTTTATCAGTTATATTGAGTCTGTTGGCCGCTGGCTTCTAGCTCTTAGTATCGTGTCCAGTTGGTGAGGTCTACTCGTCCGTCTGCACAATATTACCCCGGATCGCTTGCTTTTATCCAAAATGGCCACCCTCGGCGTCGGTGAGAGTAGGCAAATTGCAGAGTATATCTAAAATGTGGCAGACGAGAAGAAATAGAAAGAAATGACATTGCCTGGCCGCAATTTTGAGTTATTTCTTGCGCCTAACTGCAGCTGTGCCCTCTCATTTGACCTGCATGGCCGGAGCATCGTCACGTTTTGTTTCCCATCTGCATCTCGACGACGGCCCTCAGACGGTCATCCGGCAGTCTCGTTTGGCCTCGTAAAGATTCGAAACTCTTGTCAACATGGTTCCGCCTGTGCTTGCCCTCTTCCTGTCAACGGCCGCCGGCGCCGTGGCCGTCCCAACGGCTGTGGCACCTCCTCTCCCCACAACGACCTCCACAACCCACTGCTACCTCCATGTCACGGCCAACGCCGGCGACTCCTGTGCCAGCATCGCCGCCGTTTTCAACTTGGACGTGGCCGCATTCCGACGTATGAATCCCGGCATCGACTGTGCTCAACATCTCAAAGGCACCTTTTGCGTAGCAGACGGGTCGAGTGGGGGCGTCGAGACGTCCGAGACATCCTTACCATCCTCACCATCGTCGTCGTCGTCACCGCCATCACCGTCATCGCCATCTTCGTCAGCCGTGCCGCCCTCGCCTCGGCAGTCCTCCATCACGCCACAGTGCCGGGCGTGGCACAAGGTCGCCGCAGGCGACACTTGCAACAACGTCGAGTCGACGTTTCGTGTGTCGGACACCAACTTCAGAGCATGGAACGGCTTTTTGGATGCCGACTGCACGAATCTATGGAAGGACTACTACTGCTGTGTCGGTGTGCTGTGAACAAGTCCATGGATCTTCATGGTAATGAGAAAGTGGGGAAAGAAGACGATCGGCGTAAGCGGATCGAACAACTTGTGAATATATTGGAGTTTTTGACATGAAAAAACGGTCCCTTAAATTCATGATTTTTATTTTCAAGTTGTGACAGAAAATGAAGTCCAAAAGGAACCCGAAACATCTAATTCTTAGGTGGAATTATTCAAACAATTTAAAACCATCAATAAACAGAACATGAATACGGTCCAATAAGGCCGTTTTTGTTGATGTCTCGTTTTTTCTCTGTCACCACCTTCTAGCAGTTGCCCGTTGCTACCGGCAGCCGCCCGCCGTCAAACACCAGCGTCAGCCCGTTGCAGAACCCGCCGGCCGGACTGGCCAGGTACAAGATCGTCCCCGCCATGTCCGTGTCCGTGCCGAAGCGCCGCGCCGGGATGAACGCCGGGTGATCGTAGCCCTCGGTCTCGGGCGTGCGGCCGCCCGTCAGCGCCGCCGCCAGCTCGGTCGGGAACAGCCCCGGCGCCAGCGCGTTGGCCCGGATCGCGTACGGCGACAGCATCGCCGCCATCTGCTTGGTGAGCTGCAGGATGGCCGCCTTGCTGCCAAGGTACGCCGGCACCGACTGCGGGCCGCGCATAAAGGCGCCGATGCTCGACGTCACGACGACCTGGCTCTGCGTGCGGCGCGCCCCGGCCGCCGTCCCCTGCACGGAGCGGTTGCCCTGGTCGAGCAGCTCCAGGTACGCCATGGCCGTGAAGAAGGCGCCCGTCACGTTGACGTGGAACGTCTGCGTCATGGCGGCCATGTCGGCGTCGGCAAACATGCGCTGGCGGAGATCCGCTGCCGTCGCCAGGCCGGCCGGGTCGTAGCGCTGCGTGGCGGGGCCGAGGATGCCGGCATTGGCGACGACGAGGTGGACGCCGACGTCCGCCAGCCCCAGCGAGGCGAGGTGGGCCGTCACGGCGTCGACCGACGCCTGGAGGGACGCCTTGTCGCCGACGTCGCAGACGACCGGCACCAGGACGTCGCGCTTCTCGTCGGCATTGGCAGCAGCCGCGGCGGCGTCCAGGACGTCCTTGCGGCGGCCGAGGATAAACACGAGGCGGGCGCCGTTGGCGGCGAGCGCGCGGGCCATCGTGAGCCCAATGCCGGTGCCGCCGCCGGTAATCACGGCCACGAGGCCATCGACGCGGAAGAGGCTGGCAGCCTGGAGGGCGGCAGATTGGGCCGCGGACATGACTGCGGGACGGGGCGGCTGTGGGAGAGAATGAACAATCAACGTCCAAGTGCAAGTGTAGCTTTTACCGTCAACTAAGAAACTCAGGTTTGATGAAAATAGAAACGCCAGAGAAGTGTAAATCGGTAGACGTAGGTTGGTTTGGAGACCAAGGACGATTTCGTTGTGGCTGGACGGGATGCGGCCTGTCTTTTAAACCACGAATTTCCTGTTCTGCAGTGCATTCCATTCCTCCACTGGGGAACTCCGGACAGGTTGAGAAAGCAAAAACCGCGACGGTAAGCTCATAGCGCTGACAAGATACATGCTTAACTCTTCGAAATCATCAAAGACGGGGGACGATGCAGTGCAACCATGGTATGGCGTGTTTAGACGGAGGGGCCACGAAGAGCATCACAAAAACGAGCCATCATCGCTCCGGCAGTAAAGTCATACAGAATACAGGACAGAATGACAATGCCAATATTATCTATAAAGTGGAAGCTAGGAACAAAATAAAATATATGACAAAATGCAAATGAGGGCAAAACGACGAAACAAAGTAAACAAAACAAGTACAAAGCAAAACCAGCAAAAACAAAAGAACAAAAAAAAAAAACCCTATACAACCTCCCAAAAATCCCGCCCGGAATAGTATCTCGTGTATTCATGATGGTCCCCTGGCTGGCCTCTACTCTGTCTCTCTGTCTGTGTATGTGTCTGTGCTTCTGTAGTTTTGCTGGTTGACGTCCATGCTGTCGCCGTCTCGTATCCTCGCGTCCCACCACCCAGAGCAGAGCAGCACTCGGACGCCTATTCCGGGATGCGGCCCTCGACGGCCGTAATCGCCGCCAGGTTCACCTCGCCAATTGTCGCCACCGGGCCGGCCGTGTCGGCCAGCAGCGCCACGCAGTCAATCACGTCCTCGGGCTCCAGCAGATGCCACTTGGCCAGCGTCACCTTGGTGCTCGCGCCGACCGTCACCGTGAAGACGTGCTCCGACGTGACAGCGGCCGGCGCGTCGTCGTCATGCGGCGTCGACAGACCGTTGAGCGCACGGAACATATCCTCGTCGGTCGCGTCGTCGCCCATGCACAGCACAAACTCGAGCTCGTTGTCGTTTTGTTGCGCAGGCGCAGTTGCAGGCTGGGGGGTCTGCAACCCGCCCTCGGCGCTGAGCACGCCCGACGCCTCCATGGGCGTGCGCGAGCCAACGCTGGCCACGCTGCGAATGTCCGAGCCGTACGACGACACGAGGCGCTTGACAATCTCGCCCTTGTTGATAAACGTGGGGCGCACCTCCACATTGGCCTTGCCCGCCATGACGTCCACGTCCCACTTGCGCGTCACTGTCGCCTCCAGCTCCTTCTGGCACTCGCGTGCCATGTGTGGGCCCTGCTCGGGGTCGGCCAGTCGGTAGTGCCATGTCAGGGCGCAGCGCTTGCGCTCAATGAACGAGCCTGCATCGTGTTAGTATCTATCCCGTATGTCCAGCCTACGGGGTATGACGACAGTAACTCACCAGGCACGCGGTCGGTGTATTTCTGGAAAACCTCCATCACCTCGGCTTGCCAGCCCATGTCCAGCTTCTCGGCCAAGTTCTCCCAGTCCTCCTGCCCCGGGTGGCGCATGAAACTGCCGTGCTCCGCACTAAAGCCCAGCTCTTTGATGTGGCCCAGGTGGTGGCTGAGGAACTCCTGGTCGCGGCCGCTGATGATCCACACAGCATTGCGATGGTCGGACGCCAGTTTGGTCAGGGCATTGATAATGGCCTCCGACGGCACAGCGGCGCTCGGCTCGCGCACAATAGGCGTCAACGTGCCGTCGTAGTCAAAGAGGAATAGTCGGCGGCGGGCGTCGCGGTACTGCGAGAGAAGCACAGAACGGTCGAGCAGCGGGGTCGCCGCGACGTTGCGCCGCGAGCTGAGCACGTTCACGAGGCGATCCATCAGGCTGTTGATCCAGTGCTGCACCGTGTTTGTTGTGACGTGCTCGTAGAGATGGTTGTGCATGCGCGCCAGGTCCTCGGGCGACTTGGTCAAGCCCTGCTCGATGGCGTCGGCGACGACAGTAAAGTCCCACGGGTTGATGTGAATGGCTTCGCGAAGGCTGCCGGCCGTACCGCTGAACTCAGAGATGATGAGCGGGCCGTGGTTGTCGCGCTGGCAGATGACGTACTCGAGACTGGTCGTATTCATGCCGTCGCGCACAGAGGTGATGAGGCCGATGTCGCCAGCGCGCAACAGGGCAAAATATTCGTCTTGGCTCAGGTACTGTGGGTAGTGCTGCACGGGCGAAAACCCCAGCGAGCCGTAGGTACCGTTGATGGCCATGACTAACTCGTTGACCCGACTCGCAATCTTCGCCTCTTCGTTGTCGCGGTCCTCCTCAATCGAAGTAGGACTAGTGACCTGGATAAGCACCACACGGTCGCGCCATTCGGGGTACTTGGCCAAGAAGGCCTCGAACGCCAGTAGCTTCTTGTCCACACCGCGAATGCTGTCCAGGCGGTCGCGGCCGACAATAATCTTCTTGCCGTCGTACATATTCCGCAGCGCCTCGTACTTTTGGTTGACCGCATCGCCCCATGCCAAGCGCTCAACCTTTGCCACGTCGATCCCAATCGGGAAAACGCCAAACTCGACGCGCGAGCCGTACGTGTCGACGCCGTTGGCATCCGACGCGAAGCCCAGTAGCCGCGAGCAGCAGCTCGAAAAGTGTCGCGCATAGCCGAAACTCTGGAAGCCGATGAGGTTGGCGCCAAGCACGCCCTCAAGAACCTCCTTGCGGCGGGGCAGACAGCGAAAGAACTCGCTGCTAGGAAAGGGCGAGTGCAGGTAGAACGAAATGTACATGTTTGGGGAGCGCTGGCGCAGCATGCTGGGCAGGAGCATGAGATAGTAGTCATGGATGATGACAATGTCGCCCGGCTTGTACAGCTCCGAAATCTTGTTGGCAAACTTTTGGTTCATGCGGTAGAAGTCGGCCCACTGCAGACGCTCATTGCGGCCGTCGGTCGGGCCGTGCTGCTTGTAGTGGAAAAGGCCGTACAGCTCGTGCTCGGCATAGCGCCGCCACCGCGCCTGGTCCTTCAACCGAATGCCCTCCTCCGAGTTCTCGGCAGCATCGTCGGCCAGCCACACCGGTGCCACCTTGATACGCGGGTCGTGCGCGAGTTGCTCATCAAGCCGCTGCATGTCCTCCCGGGGAATGTAGAGCCCGTCCGAATCATGCTGCACGGGCGCGGCCGGCTGGAAGCCATCGACAGGGATCGGTGCAGAGAGCGCGTTCAAGGGAGCGACGGCTGCCGACGTCGGTGGGGTGTCCGGCGGCGAGAGAATGTCAATCGGCTGGCTGATTTCGCCCGTCCAGGCGACCACCGTGTGGTTCCACGGCGACTTGTCGGAGGAGAGGTAGGAGAACGAGTCGAAGAGCGCAGACTGACCCCGGCGGGGTTTTAGGACCTGTACAACAAAAAAAGACATAAGTTAGTTTGGCCCCCGTTACTTCACAAGCTCCTATGTGAGGGGCCCGTCCAACTGACTTACCCAGTCGGCACCCTTGTGGTAGTCGAGGCTGTGGGGGATGTTGAACGTGGCGGAGATGATGTTGCCGCTGAGGGCCAGGTCAGGATTGCTGGCGCGGATGTCCGTCAAGGACTCTCGCCTGGCTGCCATGTCTGCGTTGGTGTCCGTGGCCTTTTTTCTTCAACAGCTCGGCCGAATCTGCAGCGAATGGGCCAAAGGCGAGGGGCCGAGTAGCCGGCTAAGAGAGGGTTGGTTGTCTTGTCGTCACCGAGCGAGTCGGGATATCGATCGTGGCCGTTGCCCAATGCGGGTGTCACAGGAGGAACTCGTCTGGTCGTATCACGAGGCGAAGAGTTGGAGGAATCGGTTTGTTCGTGGATGGCACCAGACGTCGGACAGAACCGTTCGAGGACTCCCTTGGAGAAGATGCGTGGGCGAAGGGAGCGTTGGCAGCGTCGCTGAGAGCGGTGGAGGCGATCGGTCGGTCTGGAGCTGGCTGCGTCTGGAAAATGGAGACAACTAGTTTAGAACAGAAATTGGACTGGGCAACGGGGAGCCACAAAGGGGCACACAATGAGCAAATAAGACACCCGTGGGGCGCGGCGCCAGTAAGACGTCACTGGAATTATGATACGATGGCTCAGAGAAAACAGCCAGCAAAGAAGAGTCGGAAAGCCAAACAAAACATGTGGTTTTCTCCCCTCCCTTTGTACTTTCTTTGTTTGTCCAAACGAACGACGCAAGTGGGGCGGAAAGACGACGTCAATAAGTAGAAAAGTTAATGAGGGGGAGCAGGAGCGGTCGACAGGGGAGCTCAGGTACGGAGGTTAAAAAGCCAGGTACGCTGGATGGTCGTTGAATGGGCTTTGGCGAGGAGGACGGGACATAAATAGAAAAGGAGGTTAAACAATGGTAAGACAAATGGCTAGGAAGTATATTGCGCCCGATGTCAACGTATATCGTGAATTGCGCAGATCCTAAGATGGCAGGAACCGCTACGTATCGTCCTTACACAACAGGCAGGCGCTGCAATCAACCCGTTTCGCTGCATCTGTCGCTCTTTCCCAGACGATGATGCAGTCGAGCACAGGACGCGCTGTGATTCGCTGGCTGGCAATATCGGAGGTGATTTTGTGGGGCTCCTGCCTTTTGTTGGACGCAAACTGGGGCAGAGAGCTTTGGTGGGGTAGTAGAGTGGGTGCTATGCAAAGAGAAACAGCGCTGTGCCTAGAACATTCGTTCCGTTTAACAGTAGCTTGACCGTGAGGGCAAAGCCGTCGACAGGAATTGAATGCAGGCGCGATTCAGTGATGGTGAGAGGGATACGTTGCGAGTAAATATGAAGGAGCGACAAAATGAAGCGAGAGTGCTATATAATGCAAAGCACGAGTTCTCAAAACGCAAAACATAATCTTAAAGCAGCAAGAGCGATCGATGGAGGGCAACCGCGAGCCAGATCGTAGCGCCAAACAGCTCTCCAAAACTTGGTTGACGTAATTATGGGTACCCAATGGCTCCTTCCATTTTCTGTGGTTTGTCTATCTAGACGATCAGTTACACGGAAGGAGGAATAGACCGAGTTAGGAAAGACCAACGGAGGAGCGAATTAGGAAACTCAGTTAGGTGGAAGGTGCGAAAAAAGCATCCCATAGTCGAGGAGGAAGAAAAAGGAGAAAGCCAGTAATGTAAAAGCTACATGCAAAAACCAAGATGTCCGCCAATATATTGAACACAGCAACACGTTGAAGGAGAGAAAAGCCGGGAAGAGGAGAAGCAAGAAGGCAGCAACGACAGCGACAACGAAAGATACAATGTCTGAAAGACAGACATCCCGGCAGCCGACTGCAACGAACGACGAAATGTGTCGATGGCCAGACCAGGCACCTGCAAGGCCTCAGCTAGCTTCGTCCCGACTCGAGAGGTGCATGATTTAGACGATGGCCCACAGCCAGGCGTTGCCAGTACGTTCGCCAACAGGATGCTTGGCGAGGGAAGCTCAGCCGGCTGCATCTCCATGAGGAGCGAAAACGCAGCGTCTTTACCGCAGTGGCCATAAACGCTCGCGGGAGCGAGACTGCGGGACAAAGATTACCACGGGCCGAACGATGCGGGAAATGCGTTGCAAGGCTGTTCATCCATCGGCATGCCTGTGATCTCATTGGTAAACGCAATCTCCTGTGGTGGATTGCCAGCAACAATATCAGCACCAACAAAAAGGCCGCAACGAGATGTGACAACGAGCGAACAAGACTTGCCCTTCCTGTGGGAGCTCTCTGCCTACCCAGCCGTACCCCGAAACGACCTGCAATTAGCCAAACTCGGCCCAGAGGACGGTCTTCCTACACGGGACCGGACGAGGCAACACTGGAAATGCGAGTGCAAAATGCGAGCAAGCATGCAACTTGCTTAGCCGTGTTTGCCCGACAAGAGGTTTCCGCTTTCACATGGGCCAAAAGACACGCTGCCACTGGCTGTGGTTAGCATCCTCAATGCCACCAAACATCATCTTCCGTTCTGTCTTGCCGACAACGTGAGAGAAAAAACGCAAAACGGGCCTTTTCTGCCTCTGTGCAGCTTTTTCATTTCCTTTTCTTTCTAGGTTTTTTTTTTCTTCCTCTTTTTGTCTTTTTTTTTTTTGTTCCCTTCTTTCCCGCCTGCGCTTGGGACTCTTTCTACCGAGACAAGGCCGGTCTGAACAATACAACTGTGGAGGAAAGAGAAACAACACCCTCTCGAAGTGTACTTATGTGGATGTAGTAATGATGGTCTGGTCTTCACGTCTAGACTTGGCCCACCCCGCAAGATGGTCGGGTGGAGCCTTTGGGTTTCGGGCCGTTGGGCAAAAACGACCAGCCAGAGGAACATGACTGCAGCCATTTTCTGCGCGACAAATCCGATGGGCAAGGGCCTGGCCAGCGAGAACGAGCATGTCGGCAGATAACAGTCTTGCAAGCTTGTCTCTCTCTCATTTTGCGGCTCTCGGGCACACCTATGACGGGCCTGGCCGTCTGTCGATCCAGGATTGGACGGCACACGTTGTACGGCAACGACAGTAGCACGCGGCTGCTTGGTGATCGTGTAAGTGGAAGCTATGTCGTTCCCCGTCACTTGAGCTAACTTTATTGTCATAGACCTGGACCTGTCACTGCTTGGGCCACACAGATTTAGATCCTGGCAAATCCAGAATCTCGCTGTGTCATGTTTACAATATTTGCTGCACAGCATCAACAAGTCCTTGAGAAAAATCCTCCCACATGACTTGTCAACACAGGAACATGTTTCTGCCAGTTCACAATCTTGGATGCTTTGATGCGACGTACGCATAAGCGAACTACATTTCAGAGGCTCTGGGGTCTGACTTATGGCATCGAAAGCGAGCCTTTCTCAAACAAGAGCAGGAGTTCTGCTTTGCCCGAGGCACACCATGCAGCATATCTCTTACGTCGCTTTCTATTTACCTACCACTTAACATATTCAGCTCGGATGGAATGGTGGCTTACAAACCAACCCAAGACGTGCTGATATGTGGAATATACGTGGGAAAACATGATTCGGTTATCTTTTGCTCTTCGTGGGGGGCTGGTTTCATGACGGCGAATGATAGCCAACTTTTATGTCTGAGAGAACGCGTTTGCGTCGCCTCGTTTGTGTAACGTGACAACATATTCACTCTTTTTGGGTTTGTTGTCGCCCATATCCTCTTGTCAAATGACGTACTTGAGGGCATCTCGTCTCTTGTCAGTTTTAATTTCTAAAGAAGCCTCTTCTGTCTTGCTTTTCTTCTTCCACCACAAGGAAAGTGGACAACAGCTCACCATTCTCTTAAATACACGTTTACTGACGAACACTGACAGATGTACTCCAAACGAGGGTGGGCACACAGCTTCCAAATTTGCTTTACAAAAGACGTTTGAATCTAACAGTCGTTTTCTACAGGGGAAAACGGCATTCGTGGGAGCCCGTGCGGCCCAGAGTCGCTGTCTGTCGATTTTTTGCCCTGAACAAATGCAAGTACGGAAACACATGCAAATTTATGCACTGCGATGCCTCAACAGACAACAAAACTTCCAACCCACCTGCTCTCGATGACCGGGTATCCCAATTCAAGAGGCTTGTGAATCAGCATGGCAGAGGTGACCGATTTTATGAGCACTCCACGACGCAAAGCGTCTTCGCTCTTGGTCTGGACGTGCTTGACACTGTGCAAGACGCTGGCCTTAAACAAGAAGTTATTACGACCCTCGCGTCGGAGGAAGGTTTGTCCTGCATCCGCCACGTCGCGTCCAACCGCATACCTCAAGCAATGGCTACAGGCGCCAATGAAAAAGTCAAGCTATGGGAGACGGAGGTGTGTCCTCTGCTGCGACTCGCGGTGCACAATACAGTTGTGAACTCTACACTTCTCGAAGAGAAAGTAGCCGCGATTCACAGCTTCCTTGTTGGCGTCGGGGGTACTCGGTTGACCGCTTGGTTCGACCTCGCAGTCGAACTTGCTGAGTCTCCCCAGCTGCCCCCGGAAGTGTCCTGCATTGGCCTAGCAGAGCTGTCACTCCTTGTTTTGTCGACACTACTTGGTTCCGGCACATCTCAAATTGTCAACGACTCTTTCCGTCACTACTCCATGAGACTCAGTGCTGTTGTTACGAATGCTGAGCCTTCACGACCGGAGGACACGTTTTGCAAGCTGCAAGCGTCCCAATATGCTGATTATATTGACAGACGTCTCAAAATTGGTGAAGACATTCCAGGGCTCAGACAAGCTACGCCTTCCGGACCTGTTCAACTTTCCGCTTTCCAGCTCCAGAGAGACCTGCCTGGCCACCTGTCTGCTGATGGTCCGCGCCATGACAACGATCACGCCGATATTACCAAGATCTCAATTTTGCCTACTCCAGACGAAATTCGCAGCACTCGAAGTGAGTACTTGCCAGTAGCCGACCCAACTTCATGGCACCATCACGGTATTCGTGGTCGTTTAGACCGTGAGTTTCGACTGCTCCGCGAGGACACGGTGGGACAACTTCGCGACGTCGTGCGCACCGAGTTGGACAACCTTCAACAGAACAAAGACAAAGGAACGGCCTTCGGTCCAGGTCCAAGAGGCGGAAAAGACAGCATTCAGTACTGCGTATATGAAAATGCTGTGATCATAGATGTGGGCTTTGAGCAACGCTCTGGGGCCGAGTTTCTTGTCCGCTTTCGCCAACCGGCCAACCGACATCGACAGAGTCTCGTCAAGCCTGCAGAGGACAGCGATGCATCGAAGAAGCAGAGGCGTGATTGGTGGACATTTCAAGCCAAAAAGCGCCTTCAGCCAGGTGGCCTCGTCTGCGCCATTGATGCCCAAGGATCGGTCAACTTTTTCACCGTTTCTGACTCGACGATGCGCACAAGCAGCGATGTCAAACGATGGCGGGAGATGGATAGTAGCTCCGACCCCAACCAAGAAATCAAATACACTCTCGCAGATGACCCTCAACACGCGTTTGTTCGCCTGGGGTTCAAAGGCATCGAAGGTCAGAGCCAGCTTGCATACGGGCTCTCTTGGTTTCTCAAGAGCCGAATCAACCGCGCATCGGCGGGACGCTTAAGGGACGGCCAGCAGCTACGCATCCTTGTCGAATTTCCGGGCATCCTGCTCGACTCGTTTTTGCACACGCTTCGCGCTTTGCAATCTGGAACGGAAAAGCTCAACATTCCCATGTCCAATCTCATTGCACCAGAGCAAATTGACGTTGAAGGGGTCAATCCCCAGCCGAAAGATGTTGCTCCTCCAAAATACGCCCAGAAGCCAGGATTTGTGTTCGACATGAGCAGCCTGACTGCTGCAAACGAGACGCTTCAGCACAGCATTCGCCGCCCCTTGACATCTGAAGAGGTTTGTGACAAAACGAGGCTTGACAGAACGCAATCCGTGGCTCTCCTGGAAGCTCTTTCTCGGTCCCTGGCCCTTGTCCAAGGCCCACCGGGAACGGGAAAGACGTTTGCCGGTGTTGAAATTCTCAAAGTCTTGCTACACAATCAAAAGAAGGCGGAGCTTGGGCCCATTGTTATTGTCTGCTACACCAACCATGCGCTGGATCAGATCCTCGAGCATATTCTTGACTCTGGCACGCCGGCCAATATTCTTCGCATGGGAGGACAGTCCAAGTCGGAGCGGCTCAAAAATCTCAATTTGCGCGACGTAGCTCTTAATGTTGAGCGAACAAAGGTCGAGAGGGAAATGTTGTGGTCATCCCGTAAGACATTGAACTTCATGGTCAATCAGCTGGAGCAGCTTTTCGGAAGTTTGAGCGTGTCTACGCGTGAAGATGCGATCGTACGGTTCCTCTCGAGATACGACATCGAAGTCTACAGAGAACTGTTCGGACGCAGAGGAGCTGATGATGACTCCGGAGACGAAGATGGATTCACAACTGTCAATCGACAAAAGCCCAGCGCCATCATTCACCGATGGCGCAACGGTGGCGATGTGGAATTCGGCCCAGCGGCAACCGGTCGGAGGTTGTCCATGCTGACTCTCGATGAGCGGAACACACTTTACGAGAAGTGGCAGACCGAGTCTTTCACCCTCATTCAAGACGACATTGAGCGCGTGTACATTGACTATGTCGCGGCTAAACGATCCTATGACAAGGCAAGACAAGAAGCCGATTTGCGGTGTCTGGAGGCGGCCAACATTGTCGGCATGACCACGACGGGCCTTGCCAAGAACCACAACTTACTCAAGCACATCAAGTCCAAAGTGCTATTGTGTGAAGAGGCGGGAGAAGTGCTTGAAGCGCACATGCTCACGTCCTTTCTGCCGTCCATCGAACACGCCATCTTGATTGGCGATCACCAACAGCTCCGGCCACAAGTGCAAAACTACGACCTCAGCATAGAAAATCGCGGTGGCGCCCAGTTTGCATTTGATAAGTCCCTGTTCGAGCGCCTCGTCTCGCCTCGAGCCGGTGAAGCCAAGATCCCTTACAGCACATTGTCTACCCAACGCCGGATGCACTCGTCGATCTCGGCGCTTATTCGGGCCCCATTGTATCCCTCCCTAGAAGACGGGCCAAACGTGCATCTGTATCCGGAAGTTACAGGCATGACACGGCGGTTGTTTTGGCTCGACCATCAAAATTGGGAAGACGGTGCCGTCGGAGGCTACAAAAGTACGGAAGCGTCGGGCACGTCGCGCACCAACGAGTTTGAAGTCCAAATGACCGTCGCGCTGGTGTCGCACCTCTTCAAGCAGGGGACGTACTCTGGTGGCGACATCGCCGTCCTCACACCGTATCTCGGGCAGATGATGCTCTTGAGGCAGCGTCTCTCCTTAATGTTTGAGCTGACATTCAACGACCGAGACGCGGCTGATCTGGAGGCAGCCGACGCCGTCCGCTCCGAGGCCGAGCTGACCGACAGAGGTGACAGCGCACAGGCCGACCGGCCTTTTGTTCCCGCCAAGACGACCCTTCTGAATAGTGTGCGTATTGCCACAGTTGACAACTTCCAGGGGGAGGAGGCCAAGGTGGTTGTCATCTCTCTGGTGCGAAGCAACAAGAATCGCCAGTGCGGATTCTTGCGCACGTCGAACCGGATTAACGTTTTGCTGTCGCGGGCTCGGCACGGCATGTACATTATTGGAAATGGCGACACCTGCACTGGGATTCCGATGTGGAGAGACGTGATGTCGGCCCTTCAATGCGGCAACAACATGGGACCCGAACTCCCACTTCAATGCCCTCGCCACCCTGAGCGGACATTTCTGGCGTCGTTGCCGGACCACTTTGTTCAGTTTGCCCCCGACGGCGGTTGTCAGCAGCCGTGCGACAAGCGGCTGGCTTGTGGCCACTCCTGCATCGGCCGGTGCCACTCGGACGTGATCCACGCTGCCGTCAAGTGCCTCGAACCATGTCCCCGCTCGTTGAATGGCTGCATCCACGCATGTCCCCGACCCTGCGGTGAATCCTGTGTTACGAGATGCCAGGTGGAACTCAAAGATACTATGTTGGATCTTCCGTGTGGTCATACACTGACCAACCCTTTCTGCTGGCAAGCGCAGCGGCCCAACCGGGTTGTTTGCCTGGAGAATGTGAAGCGGAAAATTCCAGGCTGCGCACATGAGCTCACGCTTCCCTGCCACACGAAGGTGACAGACGAAAAGTTTGTTTGCAAGGCACCGTGTGGACGAGCGCTGCCGTGTGGGCACACTTGTGGTCGACCATGCAGCCACTGCAACAAGCGGGCCGATGGCCGAATTGTCCGCACCGACCACGGCGTCTGCACCAAGGCATGCGGACGTCTCTACGGAACTTGCCAGCATGCTTGCAAGGAGACATGCCACAGCGACACGACATGCCCCCCTTGCACGGCGCCGTGTGATGTCCGATGCAGTCATTCGAGATGCTCGCGGCCTTGCAATGAACCATGTGTGCCCTGTGCCGAAGGCGAATGCGCCTCGTGCTGCCCGCACTCGACTTGTACCATGCCGTAAGTCAAGCAGGGACTGCCTTTACTTTGGTGTTTACTGAAATGACTGACATTCTGTTCTTCTAGATGCGCTGCACCGTGTAACTGGATACCTTGCTCGAAGCGCTGCGCAAATATTCTTCCTTGTGGCCATCACTGTAAGTCTAGCGTTGTGTCTGTTGAACATGTTTTCGAGATGTCAAAGACATCCAGTTCTACTGGTCTTAAGTCGACTTATCTGACTTTGAACCAGGCCCGTCTGTCTGCGGAGAAGCATGCCCCAGTGTGCGTTACTGCCAAGAGTGTGGTGCCGACGACGTCCTGGACCAAGAAGTGGACTTTATTACCATGGCTACATACCGGGAGATCAACTTGGGCGAGGATCCGTGCATCTTTCCAGTTTGCGGTCACATCTTGACAATGTCGTCGATGGACGGCGTCATGGATATGGCGAAACACTACACCATGACCCAAGACACGTCTGGTCTGCCACGTCCCGTGGCAATTGCTGCGTCGTCGTCGCCTTTTGACATGAAGGAGGTGAAGGTATGTCCACACTGCCGCGGGTCGTTGCGCGATGTAGCGCGGTACGGTCGAATCGTACGACGCGCGGTGCTTGACGAGTCGACCAAGCGTTTCATCAACTGGGCGCGCCAAAAGCACAACGAGCTGGCTCTTCAGCTCACGGGGCACAAAGGACAGCTCGAAGTCGACAAGGAGATGGAAGGGAAGAAGGCGAAGCTATCTATCCACCACAGAGCGGAGCAGGTTTACAAAAAGAAATTCTTTGCCGGAAAAGGGCGCTCTGCCTTGATGGTAGAGTTGCTGCTGTCCACAGACTTGGCCCGACATCACCAACAGCTGGTCCAGACGCGCAACGACATCTCGCAATTTGCCGCAAAGGTCGCCACCGATGAGCAGCCCTTCCAGCGCGTGGCTGAACTGGTGACGTTTGCACACAACAGACGCCTGGCCAGTGGATCCGAACCCGCGGCGCTCGATCCCGCGCCACACCATTTCGAGTTTGACGAAAGCGTTCTTCAGACGGGCAGCAGCCTGCAAGCTGCTGTTTTGCTCATGCGCTGCGATGTCCTTGCCCTCGAGTACGTTGTGTTTTCTCTCGAAAAGGCTACTTTGGTCGATAAGTTGCACTCCCACATCCGCGGCGGCAGCAGCAGCAGCAGCAGCAGCGGCAACAATCAGACACAAGACGCGGCATCCTACACATTGGCCATCCAGACCATCTCCAAGGCAATCAAGACCAACCGATTTACAGTCCTGTTCAACGAGTTCGAGTCGACAACCGTGGCTGCCAAGTCGGCCAAATATACGAAGCAAGAAGTCGAGGGATACATATGCAGCACCCATCTCTGCATCGTTCTGTCGCGTCTATTGGACTGTATTGAGGAAGGGGCTGATGCAGAGAATGGGGAGACGGTGGATGAACCTTCCACTGCGAGATGGGTGGAGGGCGGCGGTCCAAGTGGCAGAACTGGCCCGGGCGCTGTTCTGTCGCGCACAGAACTCAAAGAGCGCGCCACGCAGCACGTCGCAACCGCCCGCGCCGTTTTCCAGACCTCGCCATCGGCGCACGACCTTTTTGGCCCCGAAGTGGACCGCCTGGAAGAGGCTCTCGAGAACCTCGCCGAGTACCAGCCCGTGACTTCCGCCGAGATGCAGGCCGTCTACAAGGCGATGGCAAGTGAGTTCAATGGCTCGGGGCACTGGTACACCTGTGTCAACGGGCACCCGTTTACGGTCGGCGAGTGCGGGATGCCGATGGAGCAGGCGCGGTGCAACGAATGCGGCGCGCCCGTGGGCGGCCGGAACCACACGAACGCCGAGGGCGTGGTTGCCGCCACAGAGATTGAAGAACTCGGTCGGGATATGGGCAGGATGGCAGTTTAGTAAGAGAGTTGAGTACGGGAGGGAGCTGGGTACAGTGTGATAACCCTTTGCGTGTGATTGGAGTGTGTGATTGGAGGTTGTTCCGTCTGTGACGACATAAGATTGCCTTGTTGTTTGTCGTGCTACTGGTCATGTACGCAGCATCCATGGTCGCAAATAAGAAAACAGGAAATCCATGTCTCAAGATGATGAGTAGCGTTTGTGTTGATGTTCCTGGTGGTGCCTCATTTTGAGTTGTATTTTGCTGTGCTTGTGCTTTTACTCTGTTCTATATTCCGTTTAGTATTTCTCTGTAATTTGTTCTTGAATCCGACGAGGAAGATACTTGGCGGACTTTGACGTGTGCTTTCTCGCAGCACGAAGAATAAAGGCCGGCCATAAAATTGCCCCAAATCAAGGTTCAAGCATGCGTATCTTATTTACCGGATAAAGAAAATATACAAATAAGTAAGGTTCGTAAACAGTCTCAGTAACAAAGTGGCTTTGATCTGATAAGGGACGTTGTGGCTTGTACATTTAGCGCCGATGGGGAGTCTTAGCGGCACGTAGCGCGAGAGATGTGCTAATCAGACAGCATAAACAAAGCCCCTGTGTTTTTTTTTTTTTTTTTTTTCCCTTGGGCATCAATTTGCAACGCATCTCGCCCGCACCGTACTGCAAACACCGCCCGCAAGATCAATCCACGGCGGTATAAATGTGAAATCCATGAAACCATTGTAGGAATTGCCAGCGTAGACGTCAATAATGAGGTTATTTCCTCCTACCCGACTTTACTTTTGGCGCCGCGTACGGAGAGCATCTACGTTACCGAGACGTGTGTTTGAAGAGATACCACAAGTACCGCACATCGTCCGAAGCCGGCCAAAAAATGATCTTGGCCATTAGTACGACCGACGTGTCAGTTGTAGTCTTTTGAGCGTTAGGATGAAGTGGCGAAAAGTCTGTTACAACTTCATAGTCACGGCGTTTCCTACAGAACCTTATATCTACAGAACCTTATATTTCCATCCTCCTTTAAATTTCCCCCTTCTGGCTCTCTTTCCTCCAATTTTCTCTCTCGTCTCTTCCCCCCCCTCCCATCCTTCCTTTCTTTTTTTACCAACTCCGGCCAACCTTCATCTTCAGTTCCCTTTCTTTCCACCAGCGTTACTTTCTTTCACAACACCACCTGTCTCCTTCCACCTACACCTTTCAAAATGAAGCTCTCAAAGTCTCAGGCAGCTGCCATCCTCCTGTTCCTGTCCAATGCGGGACAGGCCAGCCCTGTCCGTAGCAACACAACGGACACGTTCACCGGAAATACAACCGCCGCCCCGATGGCCGCCACGACACAGCAACGGACGCTCGAGCCCCTGCACGGATACTCCCCTCGTTCCAGACGGGGTCGTGGGGCCCGGGGCCGCCCGGCCGTCGATCCCCACGCCAGTGGAGCGCACGGCAACTGGGAGGCGATGACCAACCAGCATGCCGTTTCGCCCCGTGATGTGGACCCGGAGGCCGACGACATCGAAACATACGACATGGTGGCCAGCGACGGCGCCGACATGGACGAGGTCACCGACGTCCCCAAAGGCATGGACGATTCAGAGTACACCGAAACACCGGAAGCCCTCGAAGACACCGCAGTGACCAAGGGTACAGAGGATCACGAAGCTACCGAAACTACCAGCAACAACGACACCGCCACCCCTGCCCCCACTACTACCACCACCCCCACCACCGCCGCTGCTGACACCACCGCAACCACCACCACTGCCGCCGACCTGGCCACTGCGGCCGCTGCGGCCACGGCCGCCACAACCACCAATGCCGCCGCCGCCACCAATGAGGCCACCACCGTGGACGGTGAAGACGCGTACTACGATGCCCCCTTCTGGGACGAGATCGTGCACAAGTGGCGCGAGAGCCGCAAGTACCGCAAGCTGGCCAAGGCCAAGGCGGCCGCCGCCAAGGCGGAGGCCAAGGCCATGAAGGCCCAGGCCAAGGCCGAGCTGGCGGCGTCCAAGGCCAAGGCCAAGGCGGACATGGCCAAGGCCGAGGTGGAGATGCTGGCCAACGGCGGGCTGCCGTAGACGCCCCCACTGGGCCAAGGCGGGCCATCCCCAGATGGCCTTCCGTGCACCTGGTGGCGGTGGTCACGGACAAACTCGAGTCTTCGGCTCTCCTCTCACTTCTTCCCCGAGACCGTGTCTCGTTTCCCCACTCGCTCTTCTAAAAGTTCTGGATATGTGTTACTTTTTGTTATTCAATCGTTTTGTGTTCTTGATACCCGTCGTCCGATTGTAGGGCGACAGCTCTTGCTTATTCGTGTACTTGTTTTGTTAGTTGAGGTTAGTTTGGGCAGGCGTCTTTAGTCTTTGGTCAATGGTATTTACTGCAGTAGAAAGTAACAAAAAAAAAATTGTACCACACCCCATTTAAAGTGTTGTCACTTCAAACATATGCTCATGTCGTTCGTAGTCTTGTTATGTACTGTTGCGTATTGTTGCATACCGTTACATCCTGTTGTATACTGTATATCCTAATCCAAAAGAGAATTTGATCTGTCGCTGTCGTGCAGCTACTACTGTTCTTCAACGAACTGGGCGTCGTCTGTCCACACACCCGCAAACGACCCCTCGTCGGACGACGCGCCGCACCGTCCCTGCCCCCGGCGTCGACTTCGACTGTGGTGCCACCCGTCGAGGCGCAGACTCATCAGCACGCCGGCCATTGTCTCGCCGTCCACGGCCAAGTCCTCGCGTCGGGTGCTGTCCGCCAGCAGACGGTCCATGTACGGAATCGCTTCGGCCGTGTGCAGAACGTGTGCAATGCGGGCGTGCAGGCAGAGCAGCTCCCGTGCAAGCGGACCCGGACGGGTCGGTAGCCTCCATGGCTCTTGCAGGGGCTCGTCCGTTGGGTTCGACAGCGGGTTGTGTAATGGACGGACAACCCACTCGTTGGCTGCCATGCCCTCTGTCGTACCAGATAGTGCAAGACCACCAGACGGTTCAACGGCAGTCTCAAAACGTCTGAAGCGTTCGCTCCATGTGCGGGGCAGTGCAATGCTATTCGCGACGGTGTCGCGGGCGGCGCGCTGCAGCAAAGCGACGGCATGAGGGTCGAGAAAGTGGGTGAGGTAGTGAGCCAGATGGCGGGCAGAGTCCGGGGCGTCGTCGTTGTCGTCATCATCCATGTTGGTCAAGGGCGACGGCGGGAAGATGTAGGTCTGGACGGGAGCGTCGTCAGATGCCGGGGCGCGTTTCCGGCCGCCTCGCCTGGTATAACTGACGTCGACGTCGACGTCGCTATCGCTATCGCTGTGACAGTCACTGTCAGAATCTGGCACCACCGACGAACACTCGGCAATGGCCATCACTGTCGTCGCGGTGTTGTGTTAGCAAAGGAAAGGGATGCCGCCAAAGGCAAGGCGAGACATACGCGGCAGAAACATGTGCGTAACAATGTTCTCGGCGACGGCCTGCTGCACAGTCTCGGTCTGAAGACACGAGGCCACAACACGCTGGCCCATGCCTACGAGATCAAAGCTGCTGGTCGGGTCGGCATCGTCGACCACAGAGACGACAACGCCAGCGCCGCCCTGGTCGCAGCGGACCTTGATGGCCTTTGTCCCTGTGCCCAGCTTACCGAGAGCCGGCAGCAACAGGTCGCAACGAAAAGGCGCGCTGGCATGGGCCGCAATGGTTGGCCTTACGTCTTTCGGACCCCGGTTGACCTCAATGCCGGTTTCCAGACCATCGTCTTGGCCGGTCTCCAGGATGAGGCCAAAGTCCCCAGGCGCCAGTTCCGGCATATTTTTCAGAGCCGAGACACACGAGTCAAGGCTGCGCGTCGAAACGTCCCGCGTGGTACGCCATGGGCGGTCGGTTCATGCTCTACTATGGTGTATGGCTGTTTGGGTTGTCCCCGAGCGAGAGATGACGTTCAAGGCTAAGCTTGCATAACGCAACGCCCCATACAACCCCACAGTTAGCGATAAGAGATAAGTAGCACGTGGTATGTCACATGCAACTCCAATCAAAGGGCGCCTGGCTGGCGGCCCGGGTTACCGCTACAATTGTCGGCTTTAGCCCACGCCCGAAACTCCGCGGCCTGCCGCTTGCTGTTTTGGGACACGGGGTCCTGGCCGTGGTTTACCCGACGTTCTGCCGGCCGCCGTCTGGTCTGGGCACTTCGATCTCCATCGCCCTTCTCCAACGAGCAGCATTGACGCCCTGCCAGCACTTACACCACTGGCGTGCAGCATCCCCAATTCGAAGCTCAATTGACATGGTCCTCTGTGGAGGCGGAGGCTACGAGACCAGTATGGGGTAGCTTCTCGTGGGGAATGGGATGGATGGAATTCTTTTCCACCTCGTCTTGCTTCTTTTTTTTTGTTTTCTTCCTCTTCTTACCCTTTTACTCTTTTACTCCTCTAGTTCTGCCGTCTCACCCCCGACTTTCTCCCGTCCCGTCGCTCACCGCGTCTTGCACCCTGCAATTTCCTCGAGTCACGCGCAGCCATGCCGGATGACGGGCTGCATGCCCCGGCCGCCCCCCAGAACCCCCAGAGCCCCCATCCCTCCAATGCCCTCAGCGCCAGGCGGCAGACAGCCACCACGCCATCGCGGAAGGGGCCCTACCGCCCTGCCGGTCCACGCCATCCCACAGACGCACGTGGCGCAGACACAGGGTCAGCCATGACAAACAACGCGGCTGGGCCGGATGCTGCGCCGAACTGCCGGGGTATTGCGCTGGCGGATGCTAGGAAGAGCGCAAAGGCCGCCAAGGGCACGAAGGGCACAAAGGATCCAGCGGGCACCGCGCAGAAGAGTCACGATGTCCTGTCACGCCACGGACGACCACAGCAAGCACGGGTACGGACAAAGCGTCTACCGTCCAACGAGGGCGTTCATGTTCCTCCCACGAACCACACCGACGATATAACCGCTCCTGCGTCACCGGCATCGCATCGCTCTTCGTCCGCCTTTTCTCCGCCTTCACCGTCTCCTTCTTCCCCGTCGTCTGCCGACCGTCCCGACCGACCACCCCCCAAGAAGCGCAAGGCTGCCTCGCCTGCCCCGGCCGACGACGCCGACCCTCTGATGGCCACACAACAACGCATGGGCAGCAGCAACACCGGCAGCAGCAGCACCAATGGCCGACTGACGCGCATCCGCAAAGCCTGCGACATTTGCCGTATGCGCAAAGTGAAGGTGAGCCGACCGTCTTGCGACGACGTTCGACGTCCATGTCCGCACGTGTACTAACAACGCATGCCGCCGTCGCCAGTGTGACGGTGTTTCGCCGTGCAAGCCGTGCCAGAGCCTCGGCGCCCAGTGCACGTTCCAGTATGTGTCGCGTCACCGGGGGCCAACGAGTCGGTTTGCAGCCGGCAGTGCCTGGAGTGCAGGCGTGGCGGCGTCCACCAGCGGAGGAGCATCAGCAGCAGGACGAGGAAATGGAAATGCAACCGCGAATGCAGACACCACGCAGGATGTGCACATTCACAACAGCCACGATGGCTTCACCGACACCAGCGATGTCTTTGCCGCCCTCTACATGATGCCCCAGCCCATGACTCTCCCGCAGGCACCGCCACTCCCCGAAGCCATGGCCTCTCTGCCGCCACAGCTTTCCATGTTCCGCACCGACAGCAGCATGGCGCCGCCGCCAATGCATCCGCATTCACCGTCCTCGGTCGCCTCCGGTGCGTCCATCCCGTCCGTCGGCTCGGCCGCCTCACCATCGATGCCGTCCGTGCCCTACTCCAACAGCTTCTTTGATGCAGTCGCGACCAACGCACGACACAGCCCGGCCGCCGCGTCTGTCCGCCTCGCCAACCCGCCGCACGTCAACATCTACCCGCGCATGCCGCGGCCCCAGCTCAACCGCCAAGCCGTCCCGCCGCCGCCGCCGCCGCCGCCGCCACAAAACCCGCAACATCAGTTCCCGCCGCTGCCCCCGCTGCCGCTGCAGTTCCACCACGCGCCGCAAGCCGCACAGGCCGCCGCCCAGCCGCAGTCCAAGAAGACGCCGCTCAACAGCGACGCCATCGCCCCGCTGCACGTCCTCGAGCTGCTCGTCGACGACTTCTTCACCTACATCCACCCGCTCATCCCCTTCCCCCACGAGCCCACATTTCGCCGGCGCTTCTCGCACGCCGACACCCGCCAAGAGCCCGGCTTTCTGGCGCTGCTGGCCGGCATGATTGGCTGTCTCGCTGCGTCGTTCCCGCGCAGTGTGCGCGCCCACCTCAAAACCCGGGCAGGCCTTGGCGGCGCCGGTGCCGGTGCCGGTGCAGGACCGGCGTCGTTTACACGCGCCGTCTACATGGTGGCCTGCTGTCGCGACGTGGCCCTGGCGGCGCGCGGTGCGGCGTTTTACACCAAGGCGGTGCTGAGTGTCGACGATGCCGCCACGAGTTACTTTTTAGGGCTGGCTGCTGGCTACACCTTTGACTGGCACCTGTGCAGGCGGTTCATGGCCGAGGCCATGTCGTTTGTGCAGGAGCTTGGGTTCCACCGCCGACGACCGACTGACGCGGACACGGCGACGCACCACCAGCCCGCCGCCATGGCCGCCGCCCTGGCCGCCCTCGGCAGCCCCCACGGCGCCACCGGCACGCAGCGCCGCTTCAGCCACGTCGAGGACCAGATCGGCAAGCGCATCTTCTGGATCCTGTACCTGGCCATGCGCTCGCTCATCCAGCTGGGCGCGACGCTCAGCGAGACCCCCCTGCCGCCCTTTAACAACGCCCGTCCGTTCCCCGACCTGCCCGCCGAGGTCGACGACGCCTACATTGAGCCGGACGTCATCCACCCGCAGCCCGCCGGCACCGTCTCGCTGATTACGGGCTTCAACAAGGTCATCCAGATCTACGCCACGATGGACCCCATTGCCACCATGGAGTACGCCTGCGGGCTGCACCAGGTGCCCGTGGCGGCGCAGCGGGCCATGTTTGTCGACGCGCTGCAGGCCGCCAAGGCCATCACGGCCACCCTGCCGGACGAGCTGTACCTGCCCCTGCCCGGAAGCGGCGGGCTGGCCATGGACGGCGGCGACCACGCTCACGGCGGTGCCGAGCTGTTTTACGACGACCTGCCGGGATACCGGTACTACCCGCCGGAGTGTGATGTGGATGCGACGACGACGACGACAACGACGACGAGCTATGGAGCGACACGGCGGGACAGCAACCGCAGTACGCTAAGCAACGGGAATGCGCACAGCTATGGTTATGGTGGTGGCGGTGGCACCGCAACAACCCCCCGCCCCGACGCCCTCCGCCCCGACGACCTCCGGTCCCTGCTGACCAACCACCCGGCCCGTCGCCGCCAGGTCCAGTACGACATCCAAAAGACCAACATTTACGCGTCCCAGCTGGCCACCCGCTCCTACTATGTCGAAATGTACCTCCACCTCGGGGACGACGCCGCCGACACCGACGACACGGACGTGACCGCAACCGTCGACAACCCCATGCGCGGCGAGCGCCAGCGCATCGTCCACTCGCTGCTCTTTGTCCTCGCCGCCATCCCCCAGTGCAACATGGAACCCAACGGCAGCGCCCTCATCAACAAGATCCGCCAAGTCGCGTCGACCCTGCTGTCGGTCAAGACCACAAAACCGGGCGTCGACCATGCGACGACAAGCGCAAACGACGACAACAACAACAACGGCGTCGTCGACGACGAAGCCGCCATGGAGGCCCAGCTGATGCGCTTCTTGGACATTCTGATGCGCCTCGAGCGCACGGGAGGCCCTGGCCCCGCCGGCGGCGTCATGGCCGCCATGGGCGTGACGAGCCTGGACAGTCTGGCAGGCATGAACATTCCGGGACTGGGTGGTTTGGGCGGCGGGGGCGGCGGTCTGGGAGGTATGGCCAGCATGGCCTCGAGCATGGCCTCGAGTATGGCCTCCAGCATGGGCCTGTCTGGCATGTCTGCACTGTCTGGTCTGTCCGGCCTCTCCGGTTTCTCCGGCCTCTCTGGCCTGTCCGGTACTGCCGGCACGCAGGTCGACGACGAAGAAGAAGAGCTCCGAAGCTGGGCCAGTCTCCGCGAAGAGCAGATGCGCTTTGCCGCCAACGGCGGCTTCCTGGGCCACTACAGTGTGTAGTGCAGTGAGCAATGAATGAAATAAAAGATATGAGAGAAAATGGAGTTTAGGACTTTGGGTTCGCATATTGGGATTGCTTTTTGGGCATTGGTTACCTTGTCACGGATTGGACACATACGACTGGGTATTTACGATACAATGGATAGAATCATAATGAATAAAAGTGAATTTTACATCAAACGAAGGGTGGCGTGAAGAAGAGCATCAACGGACTGTGAAAACTGACGTGAACACTCTCTTCACGCTAACCATTTTGCCCCACTGCTGTCATTGTTGTCATTTTTGTTGGCATCGTGAATGCTCACCTCTTTTTCACTTTCCTGACGACCAGCCTGGCTGCAAGCCATTTTTCGACAGCACTCTTCCACACACACAGCTGCAGCATCTCAATTCTATCCTACATACAGGCTGACTGTGAGTGCCGTTTTTTAGCCCATCTTCTCTAAGAAGAACACCTTCAACATATTGACAGAATCTTTTGCTCGCAGTTCCACCAGACACTGAACACCTTATGCCGACATACAGTCAAGCCCGTGACTCGCTTAGGTCGCTCTACCCTAATGTCAATGCAGACGACCCGAGCGATCCTGGCGCGGAACATGTCAAGAAGATCGTCGCCCTCATTGACAGATTCTTTCACTTGAAATTTGGTCGCACTAGTTCCGCCAGGAACGAAAATCGAAATACAGTGGACGTGCTCTATGACTTCCCAACCTTTAAAAAGCTTCTTGCCGCAAAAATTTCACATTGGAAGGAGGTGAGACACATGGACCGGGACATTCACGACGAAGACAAGAAAGTCACCAAAGACGACCTGGCTGCATTGCTCCCGACCCACGAAGAGATCCTTGCCTTTCGCGTCTTGACCTCCGCCCGCGTGGACATTACGGACATTGGAGCCGACCTGCATTCTGAGAAAGATGCGGCCTATCTTCTCGCTCCAAAAGTGTTCGACAAAGAACAATCCGTCGCCGAGATCGATGCTCTCGTCTTGCAACGCGACAACATCGACGACAACACCATGGCCGTCGTGGCGCAGGCGGAGAAGCTCTCCGAAATCATGACCGCGGAGCTGCAGACCGTCCAGAAGCAAAAGGCCGAGGCGGCAAAGAAGGAGGCCATTCTTCTGGAGGGACTCAAGGGCGTCAGGGGTATCTTGGCCAGCATGACCCAGAGCTGACTTAAAGAGTTGAAGACGTCGAATCTTTCACCGTGCGTATTGGTGAAAAATCTAGTTCACAGAGAGTCTTTGCTGTGAGGGCTGCAAAAGGACAAGGACAGTACTTCAAGATACGGAGCAGAGGCTGGACAAGTTTTACTTGAAAATGGATAAAAAATACATTTAATAAATGCAACTTGCGGTCAAGTAACATGGATTTTAATAGACCCTAAATTAATCGAAAATGGAGCTGAACAAACGTTTACTGGCCTGTTCACGTTGTGCCTGGTGTCTGCCAATACCTACATGCCATCATTAAACAGACCAAAGACATTGTCAAGAGGTAATGGAGACGGAGATGTTGTATCGTCGCAATCGTTTTATTTAGGGGAACTTGGACATTCGTTCTTTCCTCGCAATTCTAGAAGTGGTTTGCACCTCGCTCCTTCCTCCTACGCTCTTTCCCTGGTCGTCCATGAGGACATTCTACCCCTTTTCTAGAGCAAAACCTTGTTGGACTCCAAAGACATTCGATTTCTCCTCATCGGCATCCATTTGCAAGCCGAAGTTCAAATCACCAAATCATTCGCCAAGAAGCCCCGGATCGTCATCGAGCATCACGAAAATTAACAAACCCAGTCAAGCCGCATAATTAACAGTAAGCCAGTTATCTATCTGTGCAGCCTCTATGTAGGTAGAGCTAACATGGAAGATGGAAATCACGCAGAAATCACACAGCGTCCTTTGCCTGATGAGCTCCTCACAGAATTCCAAAGATTGCCCTACGAATCCGTCCAAGACACCGAGCGATAAGGAAGCAACTCTCCGAATTCAGGCCGGCAATGACGGCATTGTTGTCGCACTCATCAGGACCACCTTGCAGATCGACAGCGTCCTGAGAACCTGAGAATCACCAAGGAGACACTTTCGGTGGAACAATAAAATAGCGACGAGAGACAAGGGCACAGGATGCACCTTGGTATCACCAACAGGCTTTCCACGGCCCCCACCCGTGCGTTGTCCTTCTGTCGACATCGTTGCTCGATCTATCCCTGGCCAGTGTCCCATCGCATTTTGCGTGCTCACGTTTTACGTCACTTGCCAGCCACCCGTCGTTCGTACTCGTCTTCCCTGCCTTCGCTGTCGTCACTGCCTTGACAGTGCCCGGTCTTTTATCGTTCAATACCTGCTCGACGATCATTGTCTACATACGGGAATATGCGCTCTCCCTTGACCCTCGCACCATTGGCTAAATCGACTTGCACCAACAGACACGGGCTGCAGTAACACGGCCACATTCTGCAGCCAAACATGGACAGGGGATGGCACCCATCACCAACAGAGTTGGCACTAACCAGCCTCGCTGCAGCTACCCGCATACCATCACATCCCGAATGCAACATGCGATGTAAGATGTCAAGTTGACTGCTTGTGACAGCTTGTGACACCTGCCCAACGACGCAGCCGATGCAACCGATACAGCCAACACGGCCAACCTTTTCCAGCCTTTTGTCTGCTCCCATTCGTCTTTTGCTTGTACCTCCGCTCAAATAAAGTGTGCTTTCCGTTCGTTCAAAAGCGCCGACTCCCGAAATATTGCCAACCTCTCATTGCTCGTTTGCTGACTTCCCTTTGTTTGAATCGTTTTCGGCTCAATTCTCGTCACTTGAAACTGGCCATTCCCAGCGCTTGAATCAAAAGCCGATGGCCGTTACCTTCTCACAGGCTCAAGCTGATTCCCGGATTCACCCATCCTACGCAGAGTGTTGTTCATTATGGACCTCAATGATGTTCACATTCTGCAGAGAAGGCCACTGATGGGCAGGGCCGGTGTTTTCGTCACGGGCATCGCCAACTCGGCCACAAACGCTGCTTCCAACGGAGATGGTCTGCCAAATCTCAACCTCAGTAATGGCACGTGCTATTCCGCGCCCGGCAAGCAAATGGACAGCCGCTTTATTCCCTGTGGCAACGCCGCCGCCGGGATCCAGACCTGCTGCTGGGAGGGCGACAACTGTCTGTCTGACAAAGCCTGCTTCGGCATCCACGACGGCGGCTACAGCACGTACTTGGCCGGCTGCACCGACGCCGAATGGGACATGAGCGATCCTGGTGTCAGCGCTGCTTGTCCCGTCAAGCCAGACCCGTACGGCTCAGAGCCGTGGGTTGGTCTGGCCTACTGTGGCAACAACGACACCGGACACGAGCAGTGGATCCCGTGCCCGCAGGCCGACTCGCCGACGACGATGCGGTCCCCGGGCCCCTGCGTATGCCCAACGATTACACAGCAGCGCATTGTGGCCTTTACAGACGGACCCACGCTGGGGTCCTATGCCAGCCTGCCGACGAGTCCCGGTGGGAGCATTATGTGGTTCCCGCCGTACTCGCCGACGTACGCAGTGACGGCGACGGATGCGTTGGGGGGGAAGGGAGGATCATCGTCATCAGGCGGGCCACCAAAATCAACATCCAGCACGCCTATGCATAAAACATCTTCTACACCGTCCACGTCGCCGTCCACGACACCATCCACGTTATCATCCACATCTCCCTTAAAGTCAACATCGACATCACCTTTGAAAACAACATCGATATCACCATCCACATCACCATCCACATCACCACCCACATCACCACACACGCCACCACCCACGCCACCACCCACGCCACCATCCACATCATCGCCCACGTCACCCTCCCCATCACCATCCACATCATCCACCAAGAACACATCCTTAATCGTTGGTGTCAGTGTGGGCGTCGTTGCATTTGTGGTTTTGGCTCTCTTGGGCGCATTTTACTTTCTCAAGAAGGCCAGGTGGTGGCGGCAACGGGGAGCAGCAGACCAGCTCGAAGGGGCGGTTGGCGGCAACGGGGGACCGGCCGGGTTTGGTGGCGGTTATATGGATGGAAAGCCGACAACTGGCGCCGACTTCAAAACGATGGGGGCATCGACTTTTCCGGATACGTACATGTCCATTGCGGTTCCGGAGTTGGAGAACCGGCCGGCAAGACCTTGGTCTCTGCGGTCAGAGCTTGACGGTGCAACTGCTACCGCTACCGCACCGACTGCCAACAAGAACGATACCCGGACCAGCATTGGCACATTGCTGTCTTCACCGCCGGCCTCTCCTCCGCTGATGGGAGATTTGTACGAGAGTTCGACGGTAAGCAGCCTACACGGCCAACTAACGGGACAAACAACAGGGCAGACTGCAGCCAACGGTTGGAACAGAGGCAGCCAACATCCAGGAGCGCCGACTGTTGCGACACTTGTGGAGCTGGAAGGGTAATATGCTGTTCTTTTGTTGTGGACTTTTCTGATTTTCGTCGGCAAATACCACTTTCCTAATGTTTATTCACATTTTCTCTATGCTTTTGTGAGTGAAACTAATCATTATGATACTTTTGCAAGACAAGTACCACTAGCCAACAAATACACTTATTTACTTGAGTTGATTTCTTTATGAGTAGGAATTACCCCGAGAATAGTTGTTATGCTTGGCACGTCGACGGATAAAGAGTGCATACTACTGCTGTCAAATGTGGCCTTCCTACGACAGTGTATTGTTACGGTCTGTGCTATGTCGTCACCTACCGCAGAGTGCAAAAGCGGATCAAATACCAGTTCGACAGGCCTGCAGGCCTACACACCCAATCTACATCTGCGCCTCGGCCGCCTTGTCGAGCACGTCCATGTGGTGCCCGTCGAGGAATAGATCGACCTTGGTGGCGGCAAACTTGCGGGCCGAGACGTTCTGCTCGAACAAGACGTCGAGTTCGGCGGGCGTGCGCCCTCTTGGCTCCGGCAGGCGGAAATAGGTCCAGACCAGACCGACAAAGCAGATGCCGCCCCAGATGAAGCCGCCCTTGCCCTTGAGGTCCCACGCGGTGGGGTTGAGGATGGCCGGGTTCAAAAAGATGACACCGATGGCGACGATGTTGTAGCAGGTGCGGGCGAGGACGACGGTCTTGATGCGCAGGCGGGTGGACGGGATCTCGGCGACAATGGAGTAGCAGACGGGGCCGACCGACATGTCGTAGACAAAGATCCAGACGACGAGCAGCGCACCCGACGCATAGCCAATGGCGCTGTACTGCGGCGTGCCGGCTGCAAACGAGGGAATGGCGAGGAAGCCGACGGCCAGCAGGAGGACACAGAGGGCCGACAGGCCCCCAATGTACAGGGTGCGGCGGCCGACGTAGCGCATGACCCACCAGGACAGCAGCGTGCCGACGAAGCCGACGGCGTTGATGCCGACGCCAAAGTCAAAGGCCTTGTCGGGGGCGAAGCCGGCCTGCTCGAGGAAGTAGACAATGTTGAAGGCAAAGTAGATGCCGCACGAGACCTGGACGACCCAGGCGGCGCAGGCGATCTCGGTGCGCCGGCGGTCGGTCCCGCGGACGCAGTCCCAGTAGGACACGCCCGCGCCGTGGAGCTTTTCCTGCTCGTTGGTGAGGACAATGAGGGCGAGGGCGTCGTCGATGCGGGCGGCCGGGTGGGCGGACAGCCGTCGCAGCGCCGCTTTGGCGTCGTCGAGGCGGCCCTGGCGGACCAGCCACCAGGGCGACTCGGGCGCCAGGACCACGGCCACGATGATGGGCACCGGCCACACCCACTGGACGGCGTAGGGGATGCGCCAGGACCAGTCGTCGGCGCGGCCCAGCAGGCCGCGGACGACGCCGATGGCGACCAGCTGGCCCACGACCCAGCAGAGGTTGACGTAGGTCGTCAGGTAGGGCCGCAGCACGGTCGGGCTCACGTCGGCCGCGTACGTCGTCGTCAGCGTCTGGAACGCGCCCCAGGGCAGGCCGCAGAGCACGGACCCGGCAAACAGCATGCCCACGTTCTGCGCGAAGACGAGGACGAAGATAAAGGCGACCATGAGCGCCAGCGCGCCCAGGATCGTCGCGCGGTACCCGAACCGGTCCGCCAGCAGGCCCGACGCCACGAGGCCCAGAATCTGGCCGACCTGGCTGCCGTTGGCCAGCCCGGACTGCCACCGGGCCGAGATCTGGTACGACGACCCGTCCGCCAGCGGCTGCCCGAAGCGCTTCTGGAACGCCGGGTACCCGTAGAAGCTCGACAGCAGGCTGGTGTCGTAGCCCTCCATGATGATGGCCAGCGACATGATCATGCTGAACAGCATGGCCCGGCCGTACACGCGCACGGCCGCCGTGAGCGTCAGCGCGTGCTCGAACGCGGCGGCGCGCTGGGCGCCCTGCACCAGTTCGGGCAGGTCGGGCACGGTCGCGGCCATGCGCAGCAGGGCATGGTCGTCGATGCCGATGCCGTTGCCGGGGTTGGCAGCCGATGCAGCAGCGGACGCAGGGACCGGCGGCGGCGGTGAGTCGGTGGGTTCGGCCATCTCGCAGTGTTCAGCGTGCGTGACCTTGGTCGACATGTTATTGGAGCTCATGATGATATGATCTAGGGCGAAGAAGAAAAGGATGCGCGGGAACCTTGTCCGAAAGGACAAAAAGATGCGGACCGGCACTCTTTACTTTATACACTTTTCTTTTTTGTTTTTACGAGTCTTTTTGCCTTGAGCTCTTTTTCTTCATTATGATCGGTTTGTGTGTTAGTCGGATATATCTTTGTAATGCCGCGAGAACGACGAATGGGGGCACCAGAATCGGCTGGTTCGACAGAAGAGTCAAATGGGCGAGGCAGTGGACGTTGAGGCGAGCGTCAAACACAACATCCCACGGGCCTCTCCGCAAACGAGTATGGGGCAGCCGCGGGGAACGACAAAAGACAGAACCAGACTAGACCGGGCTGAGACGTGTGACCGAAGGAGGCAGTCTAACTCAATCGGCTGCGTGTAGCATCACGGCTTTCGTTCGTCGGCCCTACATTGGACGAATAGGAGGGCGCTGTCTGGGGGCGGTCTAGACTGAGGGGGATTCAGGCCAACACGCGGCAGTGGGAATGGCCACGAGAGCCGAGAACAAAGTCTCCGAGTGAAGCGAAAAAAAACAAGCGAGATGATGGTCGTCAAAAGGCGTCCAATGTCCAGCCAGACCTGCATGCATGTCGTGCCATTCTGCAAATAGCGGCGCTTCACTACCCCGGATTGACACGAGCTCATGCGTCTCACCTCGTCCCCGTGGGGAAATATGCTCGGCACAGACGGTGTAGATGGGATACGAGAAGGAGAGCTAGAGTACTTGTCACTGTGGTAGAAACTGGAAAAACAGCGAACAATTGTCCTGACAAGGATACTTTGGTATCTTGGGCAGGTTGGCCAACCCCGGGGGCTCTGCAACGAGGTGAGCGGAGGCAATTATGATGCATAATTCCTCATCGTCTCCTTTTCGTTCCAGACTCTCCGCCTCAAGGTGACCCCAAGTGTGCCAAGGCGCGCCTTTTTTCTCCCCATGGAGAGCCGAGTGCCGTTTCGCAACATTCGGCACCTGTCAACACGACTCGTCGGACCGACAATGGACCAATCGGACGTCGTTGGCGATTCTATACCGAGGGTCGCTTCGGCCACAGCAACGCATCCATCACGATCGTTGCAAGCGCCACTGTGACCCATGTCGCGCAATATTGCAATTCGTCTGTCCGTTGTGGCCATAGTCAATAGTATGACACGCCCGAATTAAAAATACAAATTATCCATAACCTACATACGGGCCTTGGCCACCGCCTCCTCGTCACACACCCCCCATGGCGCATCCATAGCGCTGCTGCAGGGCCACCACCTTGTCGCGAAATTACGCGCGCTCGTCGGGCCGCAGCTTGTCGAAGCGGAACAGGAAGCGCACCAAAAACACCAGGTCGTCCAGCCGGTCGCGCCCTGGGCGGCCCGCATCGCCCAGCAGCAGGACGTCCGCAATGGTGGTCGTAATCTCAAACAGCTTGGTCAGGATGCCGCTGCCGTGGGTGGCGATGCTGGCGGCGCTCTCGAGGCGGCCGACGAGCCCGCGCAGCTGCGCCGACAGGCGGTCGGCCGGGAAGTGTAGCGATAGGCCCTCGTGGGCGGTGGTGGGCGGCGCCGACCGCAGCAGGCCGCGGGCCAGGGCGAGCTGCCACACGAGCGTGCGCAGCCACAGCCGCGTGATGAAGATGTCGACGTGCTGCAGCTCGGACAGCGTGGCGGCCGTGCTCCTTGCCTCGTCCTTTTGTTCCTCCGCGTCGAGCTCCGCCTGTTTGCGCTCGACCCAGGCGGCCGTCATCGGCGGCGGCGTGGCCCGCCACGGACAGAGCGGTGCGGCGCCGCTGTCGCCGTCGTCGCCGTCGTCGCCGTTGCCTTCGGTGTCCTCGGTCCAGTACTGCAAAAAGGTGTCGTCCAGGACGCAAAACAAGTCGATGAGACGCCCAAACCCGGCGTCCACGTGGGCCGGGATCGTCGGGTCCGCCCGCGGCCGGCCCGACAACAGCGGTGGCAGCACCGACGGCCGTCGGCCGGACACGATGTAGAGGTACCGCTCGTGCAGGAAGCATTCCCAGTAGAGCCGCTGGCAGCGGGCGATCTCGTAGGCGGGTGTGCTGCTGGGCAGCTTGAGGGTCTGCAGCAGGGCAATGGCCTCGCGGAGCATGACAAAGCCGCGGTCAAACAGGCGCGTCGAGATCATGCTCATCTCCAGAAAGACGCAGGTCATGATGCGCTTGACGGTGGCGCGGAGGTCGCCCAGCGTGGCACAGGTGGACAGCGCGGTCTCGGATGCGCGGTGGGCCAGCAGGCCGCGCTGCATGAGGTCGGACATGAGGGCAGGCGACGCAGGCAGTGTTCCTGTCTGTGTGGGTGTGGGTGTGGGTGTGGGTACGGCGACAGGGCGTATAGGCGAGCCAGCAGGACCCAGGGTATGCGTACGCCCCGTCTGAATAAAGATCATCGTAATGGCGGCAAACGAGTAGACGAGCGCGGCGTCGTCGTCGGCTGCGTGCATCGCTGCGACGGCATCGCGGATCTCGGCCGGCGTGATGATGGGGTTGACAGGGTAGACGACCTGTTCGTAGTCGGCAACCAGTGAGAGAAAGAAGGACGCAGAGTACGGGAGGTGGCCGGGGGGACTGGGAGAACATGGAGAACTGGGCGACGGGGGAGACCTGCAACAGTCTCGCAAGGTCGTGTCGACCGTCGTCTCTGTTGGCGATCGCGACCGAAGCTCTGGATAGCGCGTTGTGGGCGGTGCCGCCTGCTTCAGCTGTTGGACCCGCGCGCCTCTTGTTCCCGCCCGGCGTTTCGCAATAGGCGGCGCAAACGCACAGGTCAAGCCGAGATGCGCACACTGCGTACAGGCCGGCCCAACGCGACCGTCGTCGTCGACACAATCATCACGGGCGGGATTCCGGACGCCGCTGCACTTGACCTTGCGGAAGCGACAGCTGCCACAGGCGACCGTGGCCCGGGGCTTGCGGGGTGGAGAATGGGGCATGCTGGACAACATGGTGGATGGGAGTGCATGTGTTGTAGTGTCGTGTGTTGTATTGTCGTGTGTCGTAGTGTTCAAGACGTGGATGGTAGACATTGGGAGAAGCGATGCGTCGGTGCTGGTTGACGTTGTGCCATCGGCTACCGCGGAAGTCGATCGAAGTCGACTGTGCAGTCTGTCGTCGACGGCCTACATGACAGATCAAGGCACTATCGAAGAAAAGCCTGGGCTGGCTCCTTCACTAAGACCAAAGAGACCATGTGAGGGGACGCCGTGAGACGACGATGTGGGCCCGCGGCTTTTGCATTCCGGGGATAACACTACAGTACAATGCATCGTATGGGGAAATGTAGGTGTGCTCGGTGTCTGTGTCTGTTGTATTGCTGTATGCTCTTTGTCCTGCGTGATGCTCATGGAGAGATGTCTCTTGGCCATGGATTGGCGAACTCGATGCAGACCTCAAACTAAATAACATCAAATCAATTGCAAGAATCTCGTCTACTTATAATCAGCCGCATTCACACCTTCACAATGTAAGCACGGCCCTCGAGCGGCGCAAACGTATCGCCAACAGCGGCCTTCTTGTTCTCGTGCGTCGATGCCAGCAGCGTATACTGCACGTCCTGGCCGGCCGCAAAGCCCAGCTCGGCCGCGTCGGGCGTCGGGACGGCCGTCGCCTTGGTCGTGAAATTGAGCACCACCAGCACCCGCTCCTTGTCGTTGTTGGCGAGCGGCACCTTGACGTAGACCATGGTGTCCGGGTCGTCCTCGCGCAGCGCCTCGTAGTCGCTGTACACGAGCAGGTCCGGGTGGGCGCGGCGCAGCGCCACCATGGCCTTCCAGTAGGCGAGCACGCTGTTGGCGTCGCCGAGCTGGTCGGCCACGTTGATCTCGCCGGCGAGGGGGTGCGGCTTCATCCAGGGTTCCGCGACGGGCCGGCCGGCCGCTTCGGCCGCCTCGGCGAACCCGCCATATTTCCCAGAGCCGCTCCACGGCATGGGGATGCGCGCGTGGTCGCGCGCCAGGTACTGCAGCGCGTCGAACGCGCGGTCGACAGCCGCGTCGCCGCCGTCGGCGGCGTCGCCATAGCGCGCGCGGACGGCCTCGATGCACTGCCGGCTGGCAATGTCGAGGTAGTTGTCGAGGCCGTAGGCGGCCTTGGGCGCGTTCACGAGCCCCAGCTCCTGGCCCTGGTAGATGTACTGCGTGCCGCCCAGCGTGGCCTGCAGCAGCGCCAGCAGGCGCGCGCTGGCGACGCGCCAGGCCGGCGCGTCCTCGGCAAAGCGCGACACGGACCGCGCCTGGTCGTGGTTCTCGAGGAAGACGGTGTTCCAGGCGTCGTTGCCGCGCGTCAGCGTCTGCGTGAAGCCGACGGCCCGCTTGAACTGCGGCAGCGTAAAGTCCTTGACCTTGGCGTCGGCCAACGTGCCCGTCATGTCGGTGAGGTGGTGGCCGACCATGACGACCTCGAACTGGAACACCATGTCGAGCTGCTGCGCCGCGGCGCTGACGTAGCGGCGCACGTGGTCCGGGTCCGGGGTCATGGCGAGCTCGCCGACGGTGATGGCGTTGTGCGGCGCCAGCACGCGCGTGTTCATCTCGCGCAGAAACTCGTGCATGCGCGGGCCGTTGCACACCAGCGCCACCGGCGACTGGAACGGCGCGTCCGGGTCCGTGACGGGCGCGTCCGGCAGCCCCGGCGGCTTGCTGTACGTGTTGACCACGTCCACGCGGAACCCGTCAACGCCCCGCTGCAGCCAAAACTCCATGGCCGACGCGTAGATGGCCGCACGGGTCGCCGGGTTCTCCCAGTTGAGGTCCGGCTGCTCGGCCGCAAAGAGATGCAGGTAGTACTCGCCCGAGCCCGCGTCCCACTGCCACGCGCTGCCGCCGCCAAAGAAGCTGCGCCAGTTGTTGGGCGGCGCCCGCTCGCCCGTGGCCGGGTCCACGCGCGGCGGCCGCCAGATGTACCAGTCGCGCTTCGCGCTCGCCGTCGACCGCCGCGACTCCTGGAACCACGCGTGCTGGTCCGACGTGTGGTTCACCACGAGGTCCAGCAGCACCCGGATCCCCCGCGCGTGCGCCTCGCGGATCAGCGTGTCCATGTCCGCCAGCGTCCCGTACGGCGCGTACACGCTCTCGTAGTCGGCAATGTCGTAGCCCATGTCCACCTGCGGGCTGTCGTACATGGGGCTGAGCCACACCACGTCCGCGCCCAGGCCCTGGATGTAGTCCAGCTTCGACACAATCCCGGGGATGTCGCCGATGCCGTCACCGTTGGAGTCGCAAAACGACGCCGGGTAGATCTGGTAGACCACGGCGGTCTTCCACCAAGTCTTGGTGCGGGTGGGCATGGACATGGTGGCGAGGAGATGCGATGCTGCGGTTGGGATGAAATACGTGTTTGTGTCGTTGACATCGCATGAGATGGTTGCACACATTTGGCTGGGCATCCCGTTATTTATATTGACAAACGTCAACCCCCGTTTCAATCCCACTCGTCAACGCGACAGTTCCGACCGGCGCGTGCCATGTTGGCCTCTCCGACGTTCCGCAGCTCCCTTCTCATCCGGCGATACTCTGTCGTTGCCGCTTCTGAAAAGACCCTGGGATATTGTGTCTCTGGTCTGATTTGCTGTTTGTCGGGCCGACGAGAATGGAGACGAAAATCGAATGGCTTCCTGCAGCTACCCCAACTTCTCCATACAGGACACCAAAACGTAACACTCAGTATGATGCATCGGGCCGACGACATGGGCGGGGTTTGGAGAGAAAGGGACATTCCGGAAACAAATCACAGGGCCCGAAAGCCGGCTGATAATACTGTCGACCTTGTGTGTTCCGTGGCTGTCGTCTCCTGTCGTCGGACCCGGAGAGCATGCCGTCTCCGGTGACAGCAGTGTCCGACGCCCGGCGCCTCTCGTTCCAGTGTTTGTTTTCTCTTCGTCGGTCCGACAATTAGCCAATGACATGACGCCATTCTGGCGGCGGGTCTGGCCCGAGAAAGACGGCAATGTCGATTCTCGTCGAACTTGATTTTTTATAATTCGTTAGAATTCAGTACCTTGCTTTGAGATCCCGTGTACTGCCGGCGTGGCCTCGGAAACTCCTGACCTGCGGAGTCATCGGCCGTTGAGCCAGTCGCTATACGAGTCGGTGACGGGTTGGGTTATTTTTGTTAAATCTTACAGAGCCTCTTGTCGGCCACCACCACGACTATTTTTTAGAATACATAGGGACGTCTTTACATCCCCATTTCCTCAAACATTCCAACCAATTCTCCACCGTCGTTTTCAAAACCATAGTCTTCTCTTGTTTTGGAACGCTCATTTAGCATTGTTACAAGATCGTATTGCCTGGTCTTGAATGCTGCCACATACTCGAGCTCGCCAGCTTTCTTCAGATTCCCCAGAGCCGCGTCAATGTTGCTTATGCCTTCCTCTCTGCATCTCCCGTCACCTTGCTGAAGAACATTCAAGAGAGCGTCGTACTCGATATCACACCGCAACGGATGAGCGCGCTATGAGCCGACACAGTTGGGAGCCATCACAAGGTGATATGTACAGCGCGTCTGGGTGTCCGGCTCGTGTGCCGCGCGTCTCGGCATCTCTCTCAACAAAGGAGCGCCACATTGTTCGGCCAACACAAAGTACGTTACTCCGTGATGGCTGATTCTTGTGTGTAAACGTTTGATTCATAGGCACGCTTTGCAACCACGTGGCTCAGCCGAGGTGGAGCGGGGTCCCCACCATTTACAATGTTGCCTGTCTTCCGGTTGCTCGCTCTTTTTCACTCTTGCTGTCGTTATGCTCTTTATATTCTTCTTATGTCTATTGAGTCTCTGGCACTGACACGACCCGCGGCAACATCAGGCACGAAAGCGCGAAGTCTTCTCAGTCATGTGTTGTGATCGACCGCCATCTTGAGGTGCGGCAGTTCGTAGTGCTTGGCGGCATGGAGGAACCACCACGCAGCCACGAGGACGACGATGCCGACGATGATGACGCAGTTGTAGTTCATGGTGGTGGCATCGAACGGAGTGGCGGGGGCTATCTTTTGTTAGGGACTGAAGAGACACAGACAGAGGCGGGTGACAAGACACAAAACGGCAGACGTACGGAAGCAGAAAAAGACGGCAAAGAGCGCGATGAAGAGAACGGCGAGCAGGTTGACGGCGAAGCCGAAGCGGCCGAGGTGGAAGGGCCCCGGGGTAAAGTAGCGGCGGCGCGCGAGCAGGTTGGTGGAAAAGGGCACGGCGTAGGAGATGGTATTCAGGACGATAAAGGAGCCGGTGAGGTTGGTGAAGCCGACGGCGCTGCCGAGGGGGATGGCGCCGAGCGCGGAGACGACCAGGCTGACAAAGAGCGTCGCCTCGACGGGGCAGCTGAGCCGCGCGTGGACGCGGGCGAAGACGCGCGCAAAGGGCACGGCGTGGTCGCGGGCGAGGGCCCAGTAGGCGCGCGTGGCCGTCAGGACGGTGCCGGTGACGCCGCAGAGTAGCGACAGGAAGATGATGAGCAGCAGGCCGAACGTGGCGCCGGCGCTGTGGGTGGCCTGCGCGTAGATGGCGGCGAGGGGGAAGGTGTTGACGCCGCCCTGGAGCACGGCGATGTCGCTGATGGCGTAGCCGAGCACAATGGCAAAGCAAAAGGCCGAGAGGAAGCCGAGCCCAATCTGCAGCAGGATGCCCCGCGGCACGTTGCGGCGCGGGTCGCGCACCTCCTCGGCCATGTGGCTGATGGAGTCGGGCGTGCCAATGGTGAAGGCGCCGTTGAGCACGCCCGTCAAAAACGCGACGCCGCCCGGCCAGCCCGTCGCGTTGTTCTCGGCAAACGAAGCCCAGACAAAGTGGTCGGACGCGCGCTGCCTGGGCATGGCGGCCAGCGTGACGATCGTGGCCAAGCCGCCGGCGAGCACGAGCACCATGCCAGCGCTCTGGGTGTGCGGCACGAGGCCGTTGGCGAGCACAACGCAGGCGGTGCTGAGCCATAATACGCCGAGGTAGGCGACGTAGACATGCCATGCCTGCGAGGCAAAGGCCGGGTGGTAGGTGGCGTACAGCTGCACGACCGTGTTGGCGGCGACCTGCACGAGCGAGGCGAGGCCGAACAGCCAGGCGGCAAAGTTGAGCCAGCCGGTGAAGAAGCCGACCGGACGGCCGAGGCGCGGGCCGGCGACCATGGTGGCCCAGTGGTAGACGCCGCCGGACGAGGGCATGGCCGACGCGAGCTCGGCAAGGCTGAGGCCGATGAAGGCGTAGTAGAAGGCGGCCACCATGAGGCCGTACAAGATGCCGGGGATGCCGCCGTTTGCTGTAGAGTGAGAAGGGGAAGGCAACAGACGAAGACAATGCGAAATGGGGGACAACAAAAGAAAAAAACACAAAAGGAAGGCGACCTACCGATGGACACGGAAATGGACGACCCCAGGACGACCCACGCGTTGTCGATGGTGATTGCCGCGCCGGCCACCCGCAACAGACCGTACTGCCGTGTCAGCTGGTCCGGGTGGCCCGACGCATTCACCTCGCCGTCAACGTCGGCCGGGTCCAGCACGGTACCGACAGCCTCGTCCACCTCGTCCGGCCCGCGCGCCACGTCGCTGCTTTTGGGTTTTTCGCTGAAACTCATGGTGGGAGCATATAAGGTGAGGCCGATAGAGGATAGTCGGTCCAGATATAGACTGTGGGGAGGGCGCGAGTGAAGGGATTAGGAAATGAAATAACAAGAACAAAAAAAGAAAAACGAAAATAAAAATAAAAAATAAAAATAAAACTAAACAACGAATACGAGCGTTTGTATTTGTATCCGTCGTGGCACGGTCCCGTCGTACCACGACCGATGATGCCCTCCAGAGCCTTGGGACTTGTGCAGATTGATAGCACGATGGCGCGTGCTATAACATAAGAACCTGAATGTAGGATAGGAGACCGAAGGATGTGACACCCCGGCATTCTCTGACATCGCAGCTGATAAAAAAGTCTTTTCTTCTTTGTCAATTTGTTGCTCATGCATGTTCTGGATAAGGGGATAAGTTTCCTGGAAGGGTTCTCGTGCCGTGGCTTATCATCATGGAGTGTACATCGACGAGCAGACATCCCGCGCAAATGCACCAGAGCTGCCTGTGACAGGTGAACCAAGCAAAACACCGCCTTGAAACCACCCTGATAAGGATTCCCAAAAGGGGAGGTTTGGCGCCGCACGCTGATTGGTCCTGTGTAAGTGCGATTGCAGGGATGTCGCAGCCACAGATACGTGTCTCCGCACGTCGTATTGGACGGTGTTGTGGGTGTTGGTTCCTTCTACCGTTTCCTTCTCTTGTTTTCTTCACTCATACTGTTCTACTTTGGTGGAGACGTTGCACGAGGGCGTGATTGTTCATTTGTATTCATTTTTGGTCAATCGTATGGATTTTCTTTATGTTGATCGCCGGTGTACATCAACGTAAAAATAAACTCAAACAAGAACCCACACAGACCCCCTGCTCACAACACATCAGACCCGTGGCGCACGGTCACGATCCCACCGGCCTCGAGCCGGTCAAAGGCACGGCGCACCTCGGCGGGCCAGTTGGTCCACGCGACAAGCGCCCACTCGAGCAGGCCGACCAGGAACAGGGCCACGCACTGGCCGAGCCAGAGCCCGGCGAGGCCCCAGCCGTGGAAGGCCAGAAAGACGCCGGCGGGCAGGGCGGCACCGTAGTAGCTGACGAGGTTCACGAGGGCGCCGACCCACTGCCGGCCCATGCCGCGCAGGGCGCCGCCGCAGCTGCCGTTGAGCCCGTCGGCGACCTGGAAGAGCGCGACGTAGGGCATGACGGCGGCGACGAGCGCGGCGACGTCGGCGTCGTCGCTGAAGAGGCGGCCGACGACGCGGCGGGTGGCGAGCAGGGCGGCGAGGAGCAGGGTGCCGAGCAGGACGGAGAGGAGGGCGGCGGCGTGGGCGGCGCGGGCGGCGCCTTTGGGGTCCTGGGCGCCCAGCTGGTGGGCGACGCGGGCGGAGGCGGCGACGCCGAGGCCAAAGGGGACGGTGTTGATGACCTGGTCGAGGGTCATGATGACGGACTGCGCGGCGAGCGGGCGCGTGCCGAGGCGGCCGGCGGCGAGGGCGACAATCTCAAAGGCCCACCACTCGGAGCCGACGTGCACGACGCCGAGCAGGGCGAGCCGCGCAAAGGCCGCCAGGCCGGTGCCGGCGGCCGCCCGCCGTAACGCCCAGCCGGGCCAGCACGCGCGGCCGCGGTGGTCGGCGCTGGCGGCGTAGGCGGCGAGCAGCGCAAAGGAGAGCCAGTAGGCGGCGCCCGTGGCGAGCGGCGCGCCGTCGAGGCCGAGGCCCGCGCGGTGGACCAGCACGTACTGCAACAGCGCGTTGAGCGGCGCCGTCACGAGCAGCACGCCGGTCCCCGCGTGGTAGAGGCCCTGCGCCTGCACATACTTCTTGAGGCACTCGAACCAGACGTAGCCCAGGCCGCCCGGCGCCAGCAGCCGCAGGAACCGCGCGCTCTGGTCGGCAATCACGGGGTCCTGGCCCAGCGCCAAAAACAGCGGCCGCGCGCCCACGCACCACAGCAGCGCCACCGCGCCGTAGAAGCCCGTCAGCACCAGCAGCCCCCGCTGCAGCAGCACGCCCAGGCTGCCCTTGTCGGCCGTGCCCGTGAAGCTGCTGGCCGCCAGCGTGTCCAGGGCCGTCGTGCCGCCGAGGGCCACGAGCCAGCCCGTCGCCATGGCAAACATGTACGAGAAGGCGGCCGTGGCGAGGGCCTCGGGCGACAGCCGGCCGACGACGAGCACGGACACGGTCTGCAGGTTGTTTTGCAGCATGTAGGCGAACATGACGGGCAGCGAGGACGTCGTCAGCAGCGCCATCTCGGCGACCCAGGCGGCGGCGCCGGCTGCAGCAGAGGCCCGCCGTGGTGCAGCCCCAAGCAAGGCAGTTTGTTCGTCGGGCATTGTGGGCGCTGTGGGCATGGTCAAAGGTGAAGGGTGAACGGCCGGTGATGATGTGGGTCAAAGTGGCATGTGCCAGACTTGGTTTACTTCAACGCCTGCCGGAGCGAGGAGCCAGTCTTTATGGCATCACATGTGTCGAGGACGTGGTTGAGGACGGAAGAGAGACAAGGCAGACATACGCAAACGAGAACATCCATGAAAATATGAGATAAAAAGCAACAAAATAAATGGCGATACTAGACAGATAATGATTCGACAAAATTACAAAATCCAACGCACAACCACATGCTGCTATCTCTGCTCTTTGCCGCACGACAGCGCATCGATGCAGCATCTGCATACATGCACCTGCAGTCGTCTTCTCCGACCAGTTCCAATGTGGACAAATAGGCGCCTCCAGCACACTGATAAGCGTTGTCGAGCGCCCAGTGAGATGGTGAGATGCACTGTCGACTAACAGCAGATGCGACCCACTTACCCTATTAGGCAACTTACGCTCCGTTCCACCTCCACTCAGGACTCATGATAGCTCCCAACATACGACTTGCGTGTCGACGCAGGCCTGCCGCGTCGGTCTTTTTGACCAGATTGGGCAACTTAGGCGCCAATGCCAGACGGTACGGCATGATATAAACTGTCTTGTGCTCTCCAGAGTCCGCGTTGGCGCCCTCTCGCATGGCAAGTTGCTCTTCTGTTTCGAAATTTTTACCATTTTCTTTTCAAAACATCTCACTTCCATCATGCACACGCCTACACTTCTCGCCACCGCGCTCGCCGTGGCTGCGGCCGCGCACGGCGACCACGACAGCCACCAGACGCCCCTTGAGCCCATCGAGGGCCCGCTGCAGTCGCTGTGGTACAACCGGCTGCCGGGCGACGGCGGCACGCAGGCGGACTCGGTGTTCTCGGGCATCACGACGTTTGGCCGCCTGCCGTACCAGCCGTGCCTGGCCGACCGCAGCGTCCAGTACGACATTGCGTTTCTGGGCGCGCCGTTCGACACGGGCACGTCGTACCGGCCGGGGGCGCGCTTCGGCCCGTCGGGCATCCGCCAGGGCTCGCGGCGCCTCAACCTGTACGGCGGCTACAACGTGCCGCTGGCGACGAACCCCTTCAACAGCTGGGCGACGGTGCTGGACTGCGGCGACATCCCCGTGACGTCGTACGACAACACGTACGCGCTGCAGCAGATCGAGGCGGGCCACCACGCGCTGCTGAGCCGCGCGCCGGCGACGGCCGCCGGCGACGCCGGGCCCGCGCGCGGCGGCCGCACGCTGCCGCGCGTCATCACGCTGGGCGGCGACCACACCATCACGCTGCCGCTGCTGCGGTCGGTGCACCGCGCGTACGGCCCCGTCAGCGTGGTGCACTTTGACAGCCACCTGGACACGTGGCGGCCCAAGGTCTTTGGCGGCGCGCCGTCCGAGGCGGCGGCCGTCAACCACGGCACGTACTTTTGGCACGCCGCGCAGGAGGGCCTGCTGCGCAACGACAGCAGCATCCACGCCGGCATCCGCACGACGCTCAGCGGGCCCAGCGACTACGACAACGACGGCTACTGCGGCTTCGAGATTGTCGAGGCGCGCGAAGTCGACACCATCGGCACCGGCGGCATCGTCCAGCGCATCCTCGACCGCGTCGGCACCCGCAACCCCGTCTACCTCTCCATCGACATTGACACGCTCGACCCGGCCTTTGCGCCCGCCACCGGCACGCCCGAGACCGGCGGCTGGTCCACGCGCGAGCTGCGCACCATCCTGCGCGGCCTCGAGGACCTCAATCTGATTGCGGCCGACATTGTCGAAGTGGCGGTAGGTACTCTGGAGACCCTGAAGCGCGACCTCGCAACAGCCCTGCGCGTGGCTAACATACTTGGCGCCGCCGCCGGCCTGCTTCTTCTAGCCCGCCTACGACACCAACGCCGAGCACACGACCATGGCCGCGGCCGATGTGCTGTACGAAGTCATGAGCATCATGGTCAAGAAGGGGCCCCTGAGCAAGTCTGTTGCGGGCGAGCCTGCGGGCGAGGTTCCGGTCGACGAGCTGTAGTAAAGGAGGTATCAAAGTCAAAGGACGGGAGGGACAAAAAGGCATGCAGGCATGGAACAGAGGTACGCGCACGCTATGGGCAGGTAGGTGAGCCGGAAGGCACGATGGTTGCATTCCTAGAGACGGTGATTGAGTGACGAGAATTGTTCAGTACAAGCAGAAACCGTAAAAAATGAACCAATCATGATATCTTGACATTTCATCAGCGATCAAAACAAAATAATGTTGTAGTTGAGTTCCTCTGTTTTGTCAGCATCACACACACACACACACACACACAAAGGACATCCAACGCATACGTACCCAAGAGGGGCCCGGCACACAGCCGCCCGTCCGTCGTCCCCCCCGCCGCGCCCGCAGCCGCCCCAGGTCCGCGAGCCGCCCGCTGCAGCAGCTGCACGTGCCGCGACCCGATGCTCGCTGCAAACGCCGCCAGCGCCGCGTGCGCCCACGCCTGCGCCGCCGGCGTGTACGCCTCGCAGCCCGCCGTAAACAGCGGCAGCGCCATGGCCACCCACGCGCTGCACGGCGCCCCCTGCCGCATCTGCCCGGCCATGCGCCGGATCTGCGCCGCCGCTTGCTGGATGCGCGGCGCGCGCGACGGCAGGCGGAACAGCCGGCGGTAGATGTGGATCAGGGTGGCCTGCTGGAAGCAGCCGTGGCAGAGGGCCAGCTCGCGGGCGGCGGCGGCGGTGAGTGCGGGCGCCGGGATGTGGGCGACGCGCGGTGGCGAGGGTGGTGCTGGTGGTGGTGCTGTGCCTGGTAGTACTTCGTCTGGTGGGTCTGTGCACAGTGGTGCTTCTGGTTCGGTCGACCTGGTACCGTCATCCAGCACAAGCACCTGTGCATGCGCCCGGGCGAGCAGGTCCGCGGCGGCGGCACGCGTCGCGTCTGTGAGATGCGGGGCGGCCAGCAGGTCGTCGTCGGTAGTGCTGTTGGTGTATCCGCCAGTGGTTTCATCCCAGTCGTCCGTAGCCGGCAGCTGAGATGCAACCCCGTCGAGCTGTTGCAGAATGTCCAGCAGCTCCTCGCTGTAGCCGAGGAAGCCGTCGATGCGCGGCCAGCCGGGGGCGGTGGGTAGTGTTGTGTCCAGTTCAACCACAATGGACGCGCCCACACCTGGTTTGCTCCTCTCGGCTGTCCCGCCGCCGCCCTGCCGTCGTGCGACGTGCGGCAGCGTCTGCAGTGACCGGTACAGCTGATGCAGGTGGCCCATGGCGGAACGTGACGACGACGATTGCGCAGCCGTATCGTCTGTGTCGTCGGCGCCGCGCTGGCCTCGCGTCACAAACGCATCCAGGGCCCGCGCGCCGCCCAGCAGCGCCTCGATGCCCTGGAGGTGGATGCGCCAAGAGGAGGAGGAGGAGGACGACGACGACGACGATGACGACGACGATGACGACAGAGAGGCATCGGCCGCAAAGACGTCCGCGAGACACCACAGCAGACACGTCGCCACGAGGTCCAGGCTGCCGTCGCTCCGGCCATCATCACCATCACCATCGACATCACCACCGCCATCACGGCCGCGTGCATTCCGCTCCAGGGCCTGCCGCAGCAGCGCCAGGCCCGCCGTCTGCAGGTGCTGCATGACGCGCGGCAGGCCGACCCCGCCCACGTCCGCGCGCCCCCGCGACGCCAGCCCCGTGGCCGCCAGGGCCAGGCCCGCCGACAGCAGGTGGGGCGCGCGCAGCATGGCCGGCACGAGGCCCTGCGCCAGGTCGCGGTGGATGGCCGGGTGCACCGACAGCGAGGCGAGCACGTCGCGCGCAAAGTAGTCAAGCAGGCGCTGGTACGGCGGCGCGAGGGGGACGCCGTTGGGCAGGCGGGCGAGCACCAGCGGGCCGACGGGGGGGAGGTGGCCAGTGTCGGTGTCAAGTGTGTCGGTGTCGTCTCGTGTGTCATTTCTGTCGTGGCTGTCGGGTCTGTCACTTCTGTCGGGTCTGTCGTGGCGTGTCCACCCCGGCAGCGCAGACGGCCGTCGTGCAGCAAATGTCGACGCGCCCCGGACAATCTTGAGCGTGTACCGGCAGGTTCGGCGAGCACCCGTGCACGGCCCGCAGGCCGGCTTGGCCTCGTCGCACTTGCGGCGCCGTCGCCGGCACTCGTCACATCCCAGCCGAGAGCGCACGGCGGGCATGGAGTACGATCCGAGGTTCTAGAAGCAGGGCAGTGCAAAGTGTTAGGGGACGCGTGTTCTCGGCCACAGAGACGTGTAGAGCGCGAGACGCAAAAGACGATCCATTGGTGCGTCGGCGTTGTGTGTTGTTTGTTGCACGAGGTGAATGATTGTCGTGAATCGTGGGTTGTGCCGTTGCGTTGTGATGCCACCATGGATCCGTTATCTTGTCAGACGAGGGTCGAGATAAGCGTGTTGATGTCAATTGGCTCGGGTGAGGTGAGAACAAGATAAGGCGGCAGATGCGTCGCATTGCTGCCAGTAGTCATACGCGTTAGCAACGAGGCGCCGAGCCCATGGACCAAAAACCCCAAAGAATATAACGCGCTATTTCTAAAAGTCCGGGGTGCCTGGGAATTGCAGATAAATCCCGTTGGTAGTTGTAACAGTTGGTCTTAAATGAGAGAGTTGAGGAAAGTGGAGATGAAGATATGAATAATGACGAATATTACGTGACAACAGGTAGTATGGAACTCGGCCAAACGAATGAGAAATCATACAGACGCAAGTATGATCATAGAAAACAAACAGCGAAATCAAAGTAAGAACTCCGCTACTGATGAGAGGGGCTGTCAGCATTGCGGAGGTGGAGTTCCGATTCAGTTATCACGCACGACATGCAATGATGATAAATGCTGAATGTTGAATACAAAACAACGGCTATGAACGCTCTCGCAACACCTGCCACAACGATACCAATCGCTCCCCACTCCCAACTCTACACGTCAAACGGCACCGCCCGCTTCACCGAGCAGGTCTTGCTGCAGCCGTCACAGCCCGAACCCGCCGTCTTGGTCGTCCCGCCCGCCATCACCGCCGGCCCGGGCACCGTGTACTTGGACACCGCCGCGTGGATGTTGATCAGGATGCCCGGGTCCCGCGCCGTGTAGGCGCCCGGGAACTTGACCAGCGGCAGGCCCGCCGGCAGCGCCGTCGCCTTGCCGCCCGCCAGCGTCAGCTGGTAGCAGCTCATGTACAGCTGCGCGCCGCCCGACTGGCCCGCCGTGTGCAGCGCAATCACCTCCGCCCGCAGCAGGTAGTCGCCGTCCGGCAGGCTGTCGGGGATCTTAATGTCCATGCGGCCGCAGCACGCGTTGAGGTCCTTGGTGCCCCAGTTGTCGTTGTCGCCCGAGCCCGCGCCCGCCTTGGCCGACCAGCCGTCCTCAAAGACCTTGAACCACTGCGTCGATCCGTCGGCCGTGGCCGCGTCCGAGACCTTGGTCATGTACGCCAGCACCGGCCCGTAGTGCGCGCCGCCAATGGCCTCGCTCTTGCAGTTGCGGTCGCCGGGCTGCTGGTGCATCTCCACCGTCACCGTGCCGCCCGCCTTGGCGGTGCACTTGCCCGCGACGCCCGTGCGGCCGCCCGCGTTGCAGACGACGTCGGCGCTGTTGACGGACGTGACGGGGGAGTTGGACTTGGGGACGCGGGCACAGGAGGTGCTGTGCAAAACTGTTAGTTGGCATTCCATGCTCGACATCTTCCCTGCTGGCAGGCACTTGGGCACTTATCATATCCTTGCCGTCGACCCAGAGCTGCTGGAAAATGGCATGGCCGGCGGCCTGTTGTGCGGCCAACGCAACCGCGGCGAGGATGGCGGACTTCATGATGAGTGTGTGTGTTGAGAAAGAGGGTTGGGTGAAGAAGAGGAATTGCAGAGAAGGCGAGGGAGTCAAAACTGCGGGTGCCAACGTTATATGGCTACTGACTGTGCCGGGGCATCTGATGCGCGCATTATTTTGTTCGTGCCGTTTCTTGTCTGCAGAACGCCGTGACCTGGAAAGACACACGGAAGCGAATGAAATCACAAACGACGTATAAATGAGTATCCACATGCCAACGTGAAAGCAGTGCCGTCGTGAGGTGCCTTTGCACGGTACATTGCGAAGAGGAAGGAATAAGAGACTGCACGATCCCCCAGACAGAACCGCCCACTGATATTCGCTGATATTGACCCTCGGCTGTCGGCATGTCTTTCGGTGCTATCCATGGCTTCTTCGGAAACCTCAAAAACAAGCTTGAACTATACAAGATAACTCTAAACTTACTCCCTGCCCAATGTCGTGTGGCAATTAGATTCTAGAACGGGGCCGTAAACCCTTTCGGTCCGGGGTCCCCAGATTGTGTCGTAAACCCAGCCACGAGACCTCAGCTTCGCCTCATCCGTGCATTCTCGCCGGTACACAGGCGTCGCCAACGTATCCAAGGGGTCAACGGTTTGTAGGTCTCATTGTTCTTTCCCATTCTTTTCAAGGGTTGTTTTGTTATGCTTTGCAACGTTTTGTCGCCATGACGAGACACATCCTCCTCCAGTTTTCTTTCGCTGTCCTCACGACGCTCCTCCCAGCTTGTTTACTCTCTCTTCTACTCTACGGCTAAATTCATCGTGCTCAAAGAACGGCGTGTCCTCCATTTGATGCGGTATTTGCACTCTGTCTCGATTCTTCCAATTCTGCCGGCTCACCCTCCGCACATTCTCTGCCCGCGGCCATAGATTGCCCTCCATTTATTTGCGGCATCTGCTCCGCAATATATTTGAGCATTTGCAACGTGTGGGGAATACGACGGTCCGCCAAACAGATCTCTCGGCAGTGCGGGCGATACTCAGGGACTCATCATGACTCTGTCGATTGTATCTTTCCACTGGCGATGCACTGTGAATCTCGTCCAGGACTGGTACAAAGTAAATCGAGAAGCTAAAGCTGAAATAAGTATGAGCACCCGGCAGGTTTGAATAATCAAATCAATAATATGTCAAAAATAACTCAAAAAGTCACAAACAACATGAATCCTTTTTATGAAATTATATGGTAGAGTTTCACATTCAAGTTCAACAATCTAGCTTTGTTGTAATTATTTTTAATTGATTTTTCAGAAAGAGTGTCGATAAAGTATAACTGGGAAAAAGAAAATCAAAAAAAATAAAAAAAAATAAACGAGATAAACAAACTTAAAGACGCTACCACAAAGATGCTTCAATCTGTATTGTATCACGCATAAACTTACTGGATGCGCTATGCAATGACCTCATTTCGGCAGACCGGTCATGGCTCCATGCCGCGTTCCTACCGGTTTCTCGACTTTCAGCGTTGAAGCCGTCCATATACGCTCGCAATTGCAGATTCACAGTGGTGGGATGGAAGGTATACAGTGAATGGCAAATAAATAGATCCACAAATACAAAACTCTACTCCATTGTAAATGGTAGCTGGCGATCGGGTCGCAACATGCCTTCCCGTGGCCAAAAGCAAGAGAAGAAAATCAAAATTCAAACACAAAGACGTCTCTATCCAGACCCAAACAAGGGGTCCGTCCCAATTCAAAAACGCCAATAAACACACCAACCAGAGGGAAAAAAAAAGAACAAAAACAAATGTAAACACCACCAATATGATAGATATCCTCTGTCCAAACAAAACACAAAGCAATTATCCAAAGGGCAACGCCAAAAAGAGTAGTACAGGAACCGGCTCTATGGACCCCGGTCCCTTTTGTACGTCGTGATACTGTCCACCGCCCACAGGCTTGAGCTGGATCCCGTGGTCGTGCGTTGTCTTGTCGAAGAGGGAAAGGAGAGCCGAAAACGATGCGCTCGAATGGTCTTGCCTTGACGTCGATTTTGTCGATTTTGTCGCTTTGGTAGGGGGTCCAGAAACGTCCGTCCGTGCGCATCCCCTGTTCTGATTTGTCTGATTGGGGGCGTTGGGTTTTTGATTGCGCCGCGCACAGCCGTAAGCCGCAATCGTCCATGGCGGCAAATCGCCAATCGCAACCCGCCAACGCCCCCAACCGCCAAGTCCACATCGGCCACCCCAAAATCGTCATCGATCGGTGTCTGTGTCCCAAACCGGCAATTCATCGAATCGACTTGCGTGTTCTCCCGTATCGTATCGTTGTCCTCGTGTCCCCCATCTGCTGACCACCACGCCTCGCGACCCAACACACCAAGCTTGCTTCGCAAAGGAGCCGATCTCGTCATGGACTCATGGCAAAAAGAGACGGGCAAAAAAAAGGCCTCAGAAGATGATGCCGTAGCGGTTCAGCTTGTTGCGCATGATCTGGGAGTAGATGTCGGGGTTCTGGTCGCCGGCGACGGCGGTTTCGTTGTTCCGGAAGATGAACAAAAAGATGATGTTGAGCTGCGACTCTGTTAGTGGTGCAAAGGGGACAGGGGATCGGGGACGGGGACAGCCTTTCGGGACGCAGACTCACCATGGAGGAGACGATAAAGATTTCACAAAACGTCCGCAGCACCTGTCGCCAGTACCGCTGGAGGAAGAAATTGCCGCCGGGGCCGCTGAGCTTGGCGTTGAAGGCACTGCGGCGGCGCAGGACGCTGAGGCAGTTGAGCTCCTGCAGCGGGTCCAGGACAATCGCCTTGAAGAGCAGGATGGAGACGAGCGCCGTGATGCCGACGTGCAGGATGGGGAAGTAGGGTGGCGGGACGATGCCGAGGGCGTCGGGCAAGAAGAAGCCCTTTTGGATCCAGTAGATGCGGTCACCAATGTGGCCGAGCGCGCAGGCGACCTGCGAGCCCGACGTGACGGGGCGGTGGAGTTGGCAGTACATTTTCGGGAGACGACGATGTGACGATGCTTGCAACAAGTCGGAAGAAAGTTGGAGACCCGGGTAAGCGCAGCTGTCGCGGAGCAGGGGAGGGAGGTGACGCGCGCCAGCTAAAGAGGCGAGAGGGAGGACAATGAGGTAGCCGGAGAGAACGAAAAAGGAAGCGAAAATAGAAACGTCGTGCGACCAAAAACAGTGCACTGGCTTCTCGGATCGGAAGCACGACGCAGTGCTGAAGATTTGGCTAAGAGACGCAAGAAGCACGTATTCGAGGTGGGGGCGCTGCAGGTAGACGACACTGCGAGGTAGAAGGAAAAAGAAAATAGAGAAAAAAAACGAATGTCGTGTCGAGTCCGTGACAATGTGGCGCTTTTTGGCAGCGACAACGGGGGATGCGCGATTCAAGATTAAGGTTGTCGAGAGAAACCAAGGAACAAATGCTAGAAAAAGGGATGCTGGAGACAATGTAGAATAAAAAGGAGAACGAGTAGTTCAAGTTTAAAAAAAAAAGAGTCGAGGCCTAGTACAAAGTACAGGATACAAAGGAAAACCGGGCGAACGATGGCGAATTACCAAGTATGGCATACACGAACCCGGCAATGGAACAATGTGAAGGAAAGTGAACAATGTGAAACGGACTTGACCGTAGCCAAGGCAGAGTGCTGACAGCAACGCTCAGGAGATCCAGCGAGCAATGGCCAGCGAGGCGGCAAAACACCCTGGAAAAGGGGCGTTGGGGTAGGGATCGGCAGAGGATTGCGAAATAGGACGGGTGGTCTGAGTGGAGGAGTGGAGGAATTGGATGATGGCTGTCTTGGGATTGGATTCGCGAGCTGGAGAATGATGAAACGGGATGGAGGGCGTACGCAAAGACGCAGAGTACGGAATACGGAAAAGGGAAAACAAGAAAAAGAGAAGAGGATGGTTTCAAGAAACAACGTCAAAGCAATGGCGTCGCGATGGACTCATACGTCTTGCGGCGCTCCTTCCTTCCACGCACTGCAACCACCTCGACATCCGGTGCGACTTCCTGTTTTGTGCGCCAAGCTGGACACTTTTTGGCTGCTGACAATGCTCAGGCCGTTGTGGGAAGGCGCCGCGGACAACAGGGTGTAGTCATATGCGGGAAGGAGCGACGGTGCAGGGCAAAACAGATGGCCAAATGCGTACGAAGTACGGAGAGGCATACGAATTACGCTGTACTACGATGTAGAGTTTGCCACTAATGATGCACAGGAGAACGGAAACGGAGCACGTCGCGAAATTAGAATCAGATGCAAGAGCAGGGGCGCAATTACCAGGCGACGTTGAGGCTTCAAAGTGCCGTGCCCTACTCCCCTTGTATTGCTGCTGACAGGGTGCATCGACAAAGTCTGTCAGCGCGCTTCTGGTTGGTTTGCTAACGTGTGCGCTAATCTCAGCGACAGAGAACAAAGTCGATAAACGCGACTCCTCTGCATTCGTCTGCCTCCATACGTCGAAGGTGCGCCAGCTCTGCCACTTGGGACGCGTTCATGAGGGGATGAGTAACGATATTGAAGTGCTCATAATGCGCTACGTCAGGCACAAGACAGGACGATCGCGCTCCAAAATAAAGTCGGTTTCACTTTTCTGAATGCCAATCCGCCGCATACAGCGACAGCCACGCCACACCCATGTTTGCGTATTCTCCTGTCCTTTTCGTTCCTGGTACATGCCCATGTACTCTCTCCACTGCCCGCTAGTTTTGCATCTCCACTGTCCTCGAACGTTGTGGGGTGGCCGAATCCGGTAACCCTCACTGGACGACTGGAGCCTCAGTGTAAAATCTCCATGCGAAGCGGTGTCAATACGAAATGCACCAGCGCCGAGTACAAGCCAAAATCGCACGATGAATACGAGAGAGAGAGAGGACACGATCGCCCCGGCGAGGAAAGAGTGCGGAGGCGCGAGTGCCCTAACCTGTAAATAGATATGTCGTAGAGAGGAATGCAGGACATGTCGCCCGTTTGCAGCTTTCGCGTTTACACGTGATTCTGCCACCGCCGAGGGACAAGAAGTGAGGAGAAAGACGGTGAGCCAAAGCGGAAGTGACATAGTCACGTGAACATAAGGCAGACGCGATCTCCTTTGGAATGGACAGAATGTTTGCCAGGGGAGGTTTAAAAACAGAGCAAGAGGTGTGCATGCCACAGAATGTAAAGCTACGGAGTCTCGGAAAATACGACGACGTCGTACTCCGAGCAGTTTCTGATATTGCTATTGCCGATCCAAGAACGGAGTGGTCCGTGGAAGACCCGCAAGATGCTCCTTTTTGCGGTTGCATTGGCCCCATTCACCAACATTTCACAGGAACTAGACCGTTACCACTAAGCCAACTGACAAAAAGAGCCCTCTACAGAAGTACACCAATAGATAACAGGTCTATCTAAGTATGTTGTATTTCGTACCGTCGTCCATCAATTCATCAGTAAAGCTCGTCACCTGGACTGTCACGTGAGAAATTTCAAATCACAACCGGCAAACGAACGGTGCGCATCGCTCCTTCCTCAACATCGCTCCTTCCCAAAGTAAACAAAAGAATGAAAGTGCAGTACAAACGGAAGAACAGGCAGCCACCAGCAGCGCTCAGGGCTTATGTGAACAGGACTGTACAAAGTAAAAATTTTGTCGAATCCAAAGATTTTTCTGACTCTCCCTTCTTTTCTTCTTTTTCTTCCTTGTTTTCTTCCTTGTTTTCTTCCTTTTTCCCCAACACAAGCAAACCATATCCCTTTCCCATCCCAACCGATATTGCTTCTTTTGCTGCCACACAAGCATCTTTCACTTCAATCAACCTCTACCGATGGCCTACAACGTCGATATCCGTTGACGGCTGGACTCCTCTTTACACCTCATTTTCTCTCCAGGTTGGGGCAGATCGACCCACGATCTGACTGCAACCTGAGCGACAGGTAAGATGTGTCTCGAAAGCGACGACAGCCCTGATGCTTTGGCGGACACTCTCGACCCTTGCATCATGTCCTTCGGAGACGGACTATTAACTTTGTGTTCCAGGTCCTCCATCAACCACAGTTCCCAACAGCTTCACTCCCTCAGGACTACACAGAATTGTCCCCTCTTGTTTCTCCCTTTTTGTTGACACCCTCGAGTGCGTTCTGCCCAACTTGGACACCATCTCGGACCCCAGTCGCCCAGATGGATTCGTGGCAGTTCGAGTACAGTTCGGCCGATATCCAGGATACGTCGGACTGGACTGTGGGCCAGTTTCCGGGCGATGATTCTTGGTCCTCCTTTTCTGCACACGAACCTGCGAGCGCAGACAAGAGCAACGGACACACCGCTTTCCCGCTCATGCCGGACGTGCCCAAGACCAACTTGGCTACCACTGCTACCACTGCTACCAGTCTTCAGAGTTCCTGCAGCGTTGCTCAGTACATCAATAGCCTTCCGCCGCACAAGCGCGCCAAGGCAAAAGCCATGCAAGAGGCGGCCGACTCATTCAAGGCCGACTCGCACGAGATGCTCTCCCAAGACAGCGAGAGATTTGCCACGGACAATTTGCCCGAGGATATGCAGGAGGAGCAAGAGACGGACATGATGAAGACCCCCGACGTCGCCGCCCCTGTCTCAGATGCCCCCAAGCCCACCTTTGTGAGCCCCAAGCGGTGGATCATCACGAACGAGGAAACCATCCGTCTCAGCGACGGCAGGACCATTTCCAGCACGCATCTTAGTCTTGTTGACTACGACGACCCCCGCGTGGAACTGTGCCGTCCGGACGAGAGCAAAGTCGTGTACGTCTCAAGCCCGTTCGACAACGCCTCTCTGCCCCCTGCGCGCAAGGAGTGGTTCGTGCCGTCGCCTGCCCTAATCGCCGATGCCAGCCCCCAGGTTATGGACCTTGCCCTTCCCGAGGCGGACAATCCAGGCGCGACAGGCCCCATGGAAATGAACGGCAGCACCAACTCAAGTGGTAGCGGTGATGCTGCGGCGCCTGCCTCTGGTGGCAGCCCTGACGATACGAACGTGCCCCAACCCCCGGAGCAGGATGGGCTCTCCTCGCCCACATTTGACAAGAATGAACCCGGCATCTCATCGCCCAAGTGGGACAATCAGGGTTCCTGGACCGGACAGCCCGAAAAGTCCTGGGAATGGAACGACAGTGTTACCGCCATGCCCGAAAAGGTTGACTTGGAGCAGCCCGAGCACCATCACCATCTCGTTGCCTCGGACGAGGCCTAGTACGCCTCAGCCGTTGACAGCAGCAACGACAAAGCAAAGGTCGATGATTCGGCCCGGAACGAATTTGCCTCTGTGGACACGTCACCCGCAACAGTTCCCCCGACGCCTTTTTCCCCGACACCTGACGTCGAAGCGGAAGCGGCCGCTGGCAAGAAATCGACCCCTGCGCCTACCGACGACGCCGCGCAGAAGGACGCTCAAAAGGACACTCAAAATGCTGCGCAGCACACCGGCACTTCCACAAACAACACTGGACTCGTCACAAAGTCGAATACTATGACTCACCAGTCTCTGGCCGTCACCGAGGTTGACAACCCGACCCTCATGGACACACCGATCATTGATACCGGTGGTCCTGACACGCCCCTGATGCCAGCAATGATCCCAGAGTTGGTCAACGTCCTACCGCCACCTGGACGTGCAAAGTCGGTGAGCAGCTCGTCGTCTGTGGAGACGGCCGTCGAGAGCCTGCATACCTCTGTGGGCAGTGGCGAGTCGGCTCTGGCTCCGCCCGAGAAGGCCCTGGCGTCTAATGCCTACTTCGTCAGCCGCTGGGCCGAATCTTTGGCCAAGTATGGGCCGACCGACTGGCATGGGTACTATTTTACCGTCGAAGACCCCGCTGCTGTCACCACACCCCGGGCCATTACGGCCATGAAACGCGGAAGCGCAAAGCAGGACGGCGCCAACCACTTCGCGCCCAGCTTGCTCGAAGAGCGCGCCCACTCCCATGTTCCCGCCGGCGACGACCACACCGAACTGAGTGCCGACCGCTACCGCCTTCCGACCCTTCGCGCCTTTGGCAAGCGTGCCGTGCCTGGCTTTGTCGACTGCAAGCTGCGCCTGGGCGCATTCCGCTTCCAGCACGACGACTCCGGACCCGCGGAGCCGACCGGGCCCTTGCAGAACCTGCGGATGACGATCCTGTGCAACTTTGCCCGGCAGTGCCGCGAGGCCTTGCACACGGCCACGGCCGAGGGGCCTTTGACCATCAACAAGAAGGACGAAGGCGGCGACGTCATTGTCCTGCCCCTGGCGCCCGTCGACCCCGACACGCTCCGCGTCTGCCGCCGCTGCGGACGGGCCCAGGAGTTTGTCATGCGCTCGCAGCACGGCCGTCTGTTCCTGGAGACGGTGCTCCGGCCGCTGTCGGAGGCCTACACCTACGCCGACATGGTGGCCCACGTCAACACCTGCGTCATTGAGCGCATCTACTCCGAGGGCGGCATGGGCCCGTCGTCCAAGGTGCCCACCGGCACGCTCTGGCAGGACATCAAGGCGATGCCCATCTACCACGACTACCAGGGCGCGCTGATCCTGGCGGCGCACAAGCGCCGCGTGATGCGCGAGCTGCCCATTGACACGGACACCTACGGTTTTTTGTTTGGGCGCAAGGACCGGCAGTAAAAGCGGGGGCGAGCTGCGGTTGCAGCGACGGCAGTGGTCCAAGAGCGTTTGCGAGGCTCAAGCCGAGAAGGGCACGGCAGCGCGTGTGTCACCGCTGGCCATTATTTTGTTTTGTTTTTTGATTTTTATCGCGTTTTCACGGCCCAATACGACCTGGCTTGCTCAAGTGGGCAGAGAACAGGGAAACTGCAAAGGTACAAAACATGTTGACGACTGTTGGATCCACCAAGACAAGAAGAAACATAGCCCTCGGAAGGCGGCTGCGAGACTGTGAACAGTGATATACAAGAGGCTAGATACCATGTGCATTGGCCATGGGCCTGAATTTGCGTTCTGAATTGAACATTTAACTTACCATAGTCTGCATGCAAACTGTTACCGTAGAAAACACTTTCATCGTAGAAAACACTGTGACAGAAAAAGAAGGTGATGGGAGCGCCACGTTTTGTTTGTATGCCCTGTAGGCCCTCGCCTCCGTTGTGTCGTCTCCTAGGCTGTTTCCGGCGGCCAGACTCTTGTGCGCGACGGGAAGCCGTTGTCAATGCGTTGTTCTACGATTGTCTTTGTGCTTCTGCCGGCTTCCATTGGCGATCCCGGGGCCCAGTGCCCAGGCCATGCGATCCGACCGTGCACTCTTGGCATGTTGATCGATGGGCAATGCACCCATTCTTTCTCTTCTCTCTTTTTTATTCCGTCCTCCTTCCCCCCCGCCTGTTGACCCACCACCAACCACGTGGAGGACCCGACGATTGCTGTGCTGCGTGGATGTTGGGAGGGTGCATGGCCATGCCGGCCATGCGTCTTGCTATTGTCGTTGCGCGAACAATGGTAAGAAGCGTGGACCGGCTACCACTAGGAGGGGTTGGGATGGAAGGTGACGAGAAACACGGCCAAAAGAAGAAAAGAATAAGGAATAAAAAGAAAAGAATAAAAAAGAAAAAAGAGGAAAATAAAAGAATAAAAATAAAAATAAAAGAATAAAAGAAAACAGAGAGACATAGACACAGACACAGAAACACAAGAGAGGCTTTTCTAAATACACAAACCACCGACTCGCCAGAGTGGATTCAAAAAGGGAGAGTGTTCGTTTGGTGCAGCGTCCATCCGTGAACAACGGTACCGGGAAATTCAAAAAAAGGTCGAGACCATCCCAACAACCCAACAACGAAGACTGCATGTCGGCACGCCACTGGGCGATCGTGTGCAGGTCCTGCAGCACCACCAGGCTGGAGAGACGTGGAGTCCTGCGAGGTGAGTGCATGGGCTTGTCCGGAGAAAGGCAGACGCAGCTTGCAAGTCTCACACTCAGCAATTTACATGTTGGAACGAGTGACGGAACGGGGCCTGCGCAACGAGTTTCTCTGGCTTTCTTTGTCTCTGTGTTTCTTTGTTTTTCATCCGTCGACTGTCGACTGTCGGCTCCGAGTGCTCCATTTGCTCTGCATGGAACCAACACGGGACCGGCATGGGACGACACAGCACGATACAATACGATGCAGTACGATACAGTACGACTCTGCATGAATATTGGACCACAGTCGATCGTGTTGGCCATCGTACTAGGGATGGAGTTTTGTAGAGCACCGACATTGTCTCCTGTATGTTGTGCGTTGACGTTGGCTACGACCTCGTAGCCGACAGGACCAATCGTCGACGCCCCGTCCATGTCAGAAGATTCTTGGTCTCCCTTGATCAAAGTGCTCGACGATCAGTAGATTGGCAGGTTTTGTGTCGATCAGGGATTGTGCGCCGTCAAGATACAATTGTGTTGTCGTGTTGTTGTTGGCAGTGGTGTTGTTGACGTTGATGCACTTACAACGGATTGGTAGGCAAAACGGCAAACTGACACAGCCAACGGGCACACTAGGAGACAAGCTACCAGAGGACTAGCAGACCACTAGCAGACCACTCAGACCACTACCAGACGACTAGCCAAACGACTAACCAGATAAGCAAGAGACGTTGATTAGAAAAGCCGGCCAGGGCAGAGCCGTTGCTGCGAAGCAAAAAACTTTCCGGTGATGGGCTGTCGCGTTTCGGTCTAGTGTACAGAGGTCATGTGTGAATCATTGGTCGCCGTACGTATCCCTTGGAGAGAGGGAAAGGGACAAAGGGGAGAAGAGACAGGGAGGGGATGGCCCGTTAGGGAAACGGCTGAAAGTAGGGCATATTGTGCGAGCTTCGTACAGGTGCCGACAGCTTGACCATTTTCCACTTCCCCAACTTAAAGTTAAGCTTTCTTTGACATGGTTTGACGTCAGACAGGTCGAAAACAAGCGCTTTGCTGATCTTGGCCGGGATTGTCGTCCGTTACAGTAGGGCTGTGCTCTCGGAGCCGAGTCAACGGCCGTGTTTGACAGACGAGTAGGCAAGTCAATGATGACAAGCTGGTTCTCATTGTCCGTAGACCGTCAGTCCTGCTGTCGTCCGCACGGCTGTCGTCTGTTCCTGTCTTTTTGCCATGTTGGCTGTGATGCTGGTCGGCTACGGTCGTTGTCCTGCTTCTGTTGGCTGTTCCTGGCTCATCGGATACTGCATCTGCTGGGCCGTGTCCTGCAGCGAGTTTCGGCAGACATTGCTTTGCTGAGTCGTCTCGCGGCGGCTTGGGCAATCGAGCACTGTTGGTGGGCATTTCGTTGCTGTTGGTTCGCATTGGCGGCATGCGATTGGCCCAAGAACGAAGGCATACAAAGGTATGGCATCACCAGGAAACGAGTCAACGACGACGAGGGGCACGACACAGCGGCAAGCACGAAGCTAAAAATAAGACATGGAGGGGGATGGAGACGATGGAGACGATGGGGACGATGGAGCACAGCTCGTATACGACGGTGAAGAGAATCGTCGCCGAGGATCGCGGGCACCAAGAGCCGGCGCCAACGGGTAGGGTAGGGTTGGAGGGTAGACAAATCGAATTGGGTCGGAGGCACTAGCAGTGGCAGCCGATGGGGTTTGGCGTCGATCGTTGGCTGGTCGTGCGATCCGAGGGAGGACGACAAAGGGCAAAGGCAAAGGCAGAGGTCCAAGACGAAAAGGGCAATTTACGACCGACGAGAGTCAAGGCGTCGACAGACGACGACTAAGAGCCGATTGTGCCGAGCAACCAGAGCCAAAACGACACGCGGGAGTGACGGCAAGGATGGCGTCCTGATCGACGCTGGCTCGTGTCGACTCTGTGAAGGCTGAACTGTTGGAGCTAAGGAGTGACTCGAGGTGAGGACAGGTGAGGCAGGTGAGAGACGGGCGACAAGAAAAGTGACAAGACGCAGTTTGACGAAATACGTGGAATTGACGAGAGGCATAAAGTAGAAAGAAAACAAAATTTAAAAGAAGAAAAAAAAAAAACCGAGAACGGCAATCCAAGACATGGCTGTCACAAAACATGCCACCCACAGAACGACAGAAAAAGAAAGCAGCAGAGCCACACTTTGGGTTGCAGTGACAGTGACAGCAGGAGTTGTGGCCGCGGTGACACCGACAGGCAAGAGTTGTCACGGAGGACAATATATTCAACGATTCAACGATTCGACATATTCAATATATTTACATACGGACACAAAGTGGCTCGCAGCAACTTGACAACATGACAAGAATGAAACGACTTTGGCAAGCTGTACGCATATTTCAATGAAATGCATTGGACAGCCGCATACACTTCCCACCTGAAGTGACACTGACTTTCCTTTCCAATTTACTCGCCGCTGTCAACCCCGGCGCACATCACTTCCCTTTTGTATATTTGTCTGTTGGTGGCTTGCCCAACCACCAATGACGTCCAGCCAATACATCTAGCCAATGCATCTGGACGTGCCAGCTGCTGTAGCTGTCACTTATCCGACATTCTCGGTGCCGGCCATTCTTGTGGTGCATCCTGGTTGTTACTGTTTTTTTTTTTTGTTACGAACAATTTACACAGCCGAGACCCAAGTCCATGTAAGATTGCATCGTCCACCGTTCCACCGTTCCACCGTTCCATGGCCATGTCTCTACCATGCTTGGGTCTGGCCATCTCTGTAAGCAGCCGTTTCTGGTTGTCGGATACGGTTCCAACAGGACGCAGCACCAAGTCCTTGTGGCACATTCTGCACATTCTGCACATTCTGCCCTGCCCATATTGCCATGCTTTCCAAGCGTTACCACGCGTCACCATGCGTTTCCATGCATTGCTATGCAGTGCAACCCATCGCGTACGCCGTGTTCATAAATAGAGTTGCTGGTACGACGTACGACGTACGTCCTCTAGCAGTAGTGCCTTTCACATTCTCTTTTCTCAAGCACGTAACAGAGTACGTACGCTGCGATGGCGCCAGTTAGACCAGTCAACAGCTACAGTATTGTGTGTCAACGCAAGAATAATGAATCGACAGCGCCTATCGCTTGTCTGCCGTCTGTCTCGTTTGCTTGCCGTCCCGTTGGCACTAGCACCTTGAACGAGCACAGACACCGCGCTTGACCTCGTCTGTCCAACTTGTCTACCATGCCAACGTCCAGACCTTGATCTGCCGAAGTCAGTGGCAATGCTCGAGATGGCATGCCTGTCTGTGACTGTTGCTCTGTTGCTCTGTTGTCATTTCTGTGCCGTCGCCCGTATCCAGTGACAAACGGTCCACTACAGCACCGGCATAGGGTGCATAACGGGGAGAGCATATTCTCTTGGCCAGTCGGGCAGTCTTTTATCCTTGCTGTTTTGTCTATTTTGATCGGGTCCTGCTCGTCATACCTCGCATACTGCCATACCATCTTGACATCCAAACCTTTAACTGATATTGTTCAATTCGTTGACATTATTTGACATTATTTGACATCATTTGCAATATCTCATCTCAACGACAACGACAACGACACCAACGAACCGATTGCATCCATGACCACCACACGTGTCGGCCGGTGGGAACGACCAGCATTTCTCATCGACCGTACATGAGGCGCACACAGCGAACACAGCCACAGCATGGACGACCTCACGATGGGCGGTGGCACACCGCCCGATCGCACGCGCCGCACGCGCCGCAACCGCGTTCGGTTCTCGTGCAGCCACTGCCGCGACAAGAAGCTCAAGTGCAACCGGGTGCTGCCGTGCGACCAGTGTGTGAAGCGGAACCTGGGCCCAATGTGTCAGTACATGCCGTACACGGCGTATGGCGAGAGTGTGGGCGAGAGTGCAGGTGGCCATGCCGATGCCCATACCCGGCGGCCATCACTGAAACGCAACCACGCCATGACGGAAAGCCCATACGAGATGCAAGCATACGAGTACGAGACCAGTGCATCGACGGCGGCAGCATTAAAGTCGACAGGAGGAACGAGCCGTCGTGGCTCGGTCGACGAGCAGCAGCAGCAGCAACTGTTTCCGTCACCATTGTATCCGTCATCAGGCACTTTCATTCAGCATCACCAACATCAACAGCAACATCAACATCGACACGACCAACATCAACAAGACCGCCGTCGACACCAGCTGATACCTCGCTCCCATCCACAACAGCAGCCACGGCCACGTCCACAGCCACAACCACAAACGCCCTTTTTACCACTTCCACCGCCGCTTCTCCACGACACCAGCAGCCAATCTGTGCCCGAGCGGCTCAAGTACCTCGAACGGCTCGTCCTGTTCTTGAAAGCACGGAACCGAGACCAACAGAGTCCTGCATCGCTGGGGCCCGCCCAGGCCGTCGACAACAGCGACGGCTCCGAGTACGACGACGACGCCATGAGCACGGCCGAGAGCTTCGAGAGCATCGACAGTGCAAGTGCTAGTGCGGCAAGTGCAGGTGTTGCCGGCGTGGCAGACCCCGGCACAATCAACGTGGCCGAGTTCCGGTACGCCGACCCGTCCAACTGGGACGGCGTGCTGGACGACATTGTCGGGCTGACGCGGGACCTGGTGCTGGCGGACGACACGACGCTGCTGCAGCAACACCTCCCCGGCGGATGGGACTTTGGCCTGGGGTCGGTTGGGCAAATGGCCATCACCAACAGCAGCAACGACAGCCACCACCACAACAACAACACGCTCGCCTTGTTTGCCGGCTACAGCGGCCTGCCGCCCGGGCCCACCGACATGCTGCGGTTCTTGCCGCCGCGGCCGGTCGTCGACGTGCTGGTGGACCGCTTCTTTGCGAGTCTCGGCCGGGTGGAAGGCTTCGGCGGCGTCCACACGCTGCGGCTCCTCTTCCACGCCGCCGCGTTCCGGCGCCAGTACGACGCCTTTTGGAGCGACCCGCCGCGGGCGTCCCCGTCGTACCTGGCGCTCTTGTTTCTGGTCCTGGCGCACGCCGCCCTGGCCTTCGTGGGTGGCGACAACGACAGCGACAACGCGTCCGTTCCGGCCAGCACCTCGTCGTCCCCCGCCCGCGCCGTCCTCGGCAGCGACCCGCTGGCCGTGGTGGACGCCTGCCGCCACCGCGCCGCGCAGTGCCTGATCCTCGGCGACTATGCGCGGCCCGGGCGGCACAAGATTGAGGCCCTCGTGCTGTACTATGGCGTCGAGTACCTGTGGCAGCGGCGGCGCGTGCAGGGCTCGTCCTCCGCAGCCGGGCCCAGCAGTACCGGCAGCGCCGGCAGCGACGCCGCCACGCTCGCCTCGACGGCCATGGTGCTCGCGCTGGCCGTGCGGCTGGCCATGCACATGGGCTACCACCGCGACCCGTCGCACGCGGGCGGCAGGCTGCGTCCCTTTGACGCCGAGATGCGCCGCCGCGTCTGGCTCGTGCTGGTCAACCTCGACCGCACCGCGAGCGCGGAGCTCCGGCTGCCGAGCAATGTGCGCCACGGGTGGAGCTCGTCGTCGGCCCGGCCCACCGACAGCGACACCGCCCTGCCGTGCAACCTGCACGACAGCGACCTCTACGAGGACATGCCGGCGCTGCCCCCGGCACGGCCACCCACCGAACGAACCGGCGTGCTGTACGCCACGGCGCGTGCCACCGTCTTGGCCGTCGTGGCCGACATTCTCCAGCTGCGGCCGGTGCGGGCGTCGAGTTCGACGTCGACCTTGACTCCCGGCCCCACGGTCGCCTCCAAAGAGAGCGTGTCCGCCGCCGACCCGGCCGTCGCCAACTTGGACCCCCTGCCGACACCGCCCACGTCGGCCAACACGCCCGCCCCCTCCGCCTCCGCCACCACCAGCGCCACCAACAGCGGCTCTGCCTACGACGCCCGCGTCATGCAGCTCGACCGCCGCCTCACGGCCGCCTACCGCGCCCTGCCCGCGTGCTTGCGACTGCGAGGCGATCCTGCGACTGCGACGGCCACAGCAGGCGGCACCTCTACCGACCGCGACCCCTTCGACCCCCGCGACCCGCCCGACCTCTGCGTCGAGCGCGTGTTGCTCGAGATCCTGTACCAGCACGCGCGCCTGGTCCTCCACCGCCGGTTCCAGGGTACCGAGCGGGCGTCGCCGCGGTATGCCTATGCGCGGTGGGCGTGCCTCGACGCGGCCGTGCGGCTGCTGCGGCACCAGTACGACGTGTATGTGGCGGTGCAGGACAATGGGTCCGGGGCGGGCAATACAGACAACACAGACAACACGGGCCACCGCTTCGCAGGGCACCGATCGCTGCTGCTGTCGGACAGCGCCGTGACGCACGCCTTTTTGCTCGCTGACACGGCGCTGTGCCTCGAGGTGGCGTATGCCTCACGGCAGCCCGCGGGCGTCGACGGCGCGCCTGCGTCCGTGTCGCTGCCGCAGCTGCTGGGCCTGCTGCGCACCTCGCGCAGCATCTGGGCCGCCCTGCAAGGCACGTCGAGCGAGGCAGCCCGAGCGTACCATGTGCTGACAAGGGTGCTGGCGGATGCGGATGGGGAGGGGGAGGAGGAGGAGGAGGAGGAGGACGACGACGACGACGAGTACGATTATGATTCCAATGATGACGGTGATGTCGATGACGACGCGGCGGCGGTCAACACGGCGACGACAGCCGTGCCAGGCCATGCGAGCATGTCCACCATGGCCACATGGACGGCGTCGTCGACAGCGGCCCGCGCCTGGCAGGACGACGCGCCCGCAGTGCCCGCAGCACCGCCAACCACCACCGAGGCCACCGCAGCGGACAGCAGTGGCACGAGTGGCAGCACCACGCCGCGCTATGGAGAGGCCAGCGCGGTGCAGCGGCAGGACGAAAGGCAAGGGCAACTTGAACAACTGCAACAACAACAACAACAACAGCCACAGCCACAGCCACAGGGCATCGCTTTCCCGCAGCTGACATCGCCCACGCAGTTGTGGTCGGGACAGATGAGCCAGGCAGGACAGGCACAAGCAGGTCAATCTGGTCAGTCCGGTCAATCAAGTGGCCTCTTGCCTGTCCTTGTCGACATGGCTATGCCCAGCCCCGTCAACTACGGCCTGTCCATGCAGTCGAGCCTAACGGGTGTGTCTGGCCTGCCTGGCCTCCCTGGACTGACGCCTGGCCTTCTCCCGACCATGCCTCTCCACTTCCCGACCAGCAGCGCGGACAGCGCCAGTCTGCTCACACCGTTGGACGACAGCGACAGCACGCAGGCCCTTGCCGATGCTGCTGCTGCGTTTCCGGGCGACTGGAACACCTTGTGGCCCCGACAAGACGGCCAGTAATGCGGCACGCGATCAACCTTGATCAATACGGGGAAGGTGGTGGAGATAATTCATGACAATAACATAAAAGTGATGGATGCCTGGCGGAACAAGCCCAGCCAGGCTTGTACAGAGAAGTTTATATTCTTTCAGTTTATCGCTGCTTGTCCACGGCTGCACATCGTAACGACATTTGCTTTTTACCAGTGTCTGACCTTGGTGCGTCTGGGCGATTGCTATTGCTCGACTCCAGTTGGTTGCGCACGGACGTGTTCCCGCTGTGGGCAATGTAAGAAAAGAACATATGACCGGCAGACATGTCCTGCAACAGGGCCACTGTGATTAGTTAGTGCGGCCAGTGCAATGCTTGCATACTTTTAAAGACCAGATCAACAAAGTGTGAGCCAGGACAACCAAGTACGACAGACGACGTACGACGAGCATGGATCGCGGTGGCAGGCCCCTTTCCGTGAGTTGCTGGTCATGAACTCTGCCAATAGCAGACTGTGATGGTTTTGTTGCTCCCGTAGAAACTCCCGACGTCGTAGATGGCGATGACTGCGTTCGCCGTTTGCCGTAGTGAGAATACGACATAAGCTCACAAAGATACATCGTACTTTTGTACTTGTAGGCGCCCCAGCAGGACCGAATCGACGCGCCCAAGCCGCCCAAGCGATCCGTGCACGTCCGTCTTGACCGGTGCTCGTCCAATATGGTCTAGCCGTGTCCTTGGCGGCCCGCCCTGTTCGGCTGAGCAGCGACCCCAGAACCAGAACCAGAACCAGAATCCCTAGAATGGCACCCCAACCCTTCCCCAGGCGACGATCCGGCCTGTCCACCAGTTCGTAAGAGACTCCTCCATACGCTGTCTCCTGTGTCTCCACCGTTAGAGCGGAATGAATGCAAAATTTAGTGGAATGCATGGTATGGGTCGAACTTGTCCATGCGCTTGGACCTCTTTTTTCGAAAGACTCGAACCAAGGCTGAGCCAGGCGAGCCAGGCCACCTTTTTTAAATTTGTCTGAATGCGACATGCGACGTATGCGAACTCGGCATGGATGCGATTCAGAAGAGGTTGGCAGCTGAAGCACAGCAGCAGAGGAGCAGAGGGTGACTGTGGACCGCCATGGCATGTGCCTGACTGTTGACAATCACCCTTTGTTCTTATGCAAGTTTCGCGAACCTCTTTGTGTGCCGTTCAACACATTCATGACGCGACTCGCTTCTCCTCGCCTCCTCGCCTCCTCGCCTCTCCTCGCTTCTCCGCGCCGTCCCGTTTCGGCGCTGCCCACATTCGTAATTGTCTCGGTTCTGGTGTCCGGTGCATGGACATTGTCGGTTCGCTGTCCTGGGTTTTCGCTTCCTTCAAGCCCGTGCGCTACGCGTTAAAGCTTCTTCTTCTCCTCGTCTCTTTCTGGACCCTCGCGTTCTTCATCGTAATTGCTGACTCTCTTCCCCGCCCGCCGCCGTCAAGCTGGCTTGGCATTAGCATTGTCCTCCATCTTCGGCTAGTGATCAGGGAGAACAGGAGGTCAAAGCAACAAAAAAAAGGGAAGAAGACTAAAGCAATTCGCGGCATCGGCTCCAGCGTCTTCACGACCGTAACCCAGCCGCGTTCATTACCAACTGCAACATTGACATCGTATGTCGTACATGTGCGGAGTATTTCGTGCCGATTCCGGGTTGCGATGGATGCAAGACGCAGCAGAAAAGGGAATGGTTTTGAAAACTGGTCAAAAGTAACGAAGAAAAGGGGTCCGACCCATGCTCCTTGCCATGCCGGCAACCAAGAACGTCTCCTCGTCTTGTCTGGTTGAACCTCGCGGCTGTCCACATCCATGAAAGGAGTTGTGCATTAAAGTTCAGAAGATGGCGATGTGACATTGATAATACCATCGTTTCTTTCTTTTCTTTTTTCGTTTCCTTGTCTTATTTCTCGTCTTCTTCCCTTGTCTTTTTGGTTTCTTCTTCTATTCTCTTCTTTTGGCCTCCCCTGTTTTACTAGTCCCGTCATCGTCATTGACCGTCACCTTTTTGACAAGTCACACTGGCAGAGTGATCGACATCCAAAAAGCAACACCAACGTGAGTATGTCGTATTCCCACAAAAGGCGACGATGAACGATCGGCACTGCTGGGTAAAGCAGTGACATGAATCACGCACTGACTCTCAAGACGCTCAGACCAAACGCCCGCACACTCATCACAAATGGCCCTTCTTCACCGCTGGGCCGACAGCCTTGCGGCCGAAGTCCAAGGTGGCGGCCCGCCCGGCGACCCGTCGCTGGGCCCGCCGCCCGGCCCGACGGTGTACCCGACGTCGGGGCTGCAGCAGTTTGGCTTCGCCATCATCCTCTTCTTCCCGCTGCTGGCCTTTCTGGTCGTCGGCCTGCGCGTCTACAGCCGCCTCAAGACGAAGCAGTTTGGCATCGACGACGCGCTCATCGTCGTGGCCATGGTCTTTTCCGTCGCCGAGACGGCCACCATGTACATGTGCATGAAGACCAACTTCATCGGCATCCACGTCTGGGACGTGCCGCCCGTGTACGACATGGAGAAGGCCGCCGTCTGGAACTTTGCCGTGCAGGTGCTCTACAACCCCATCCTGGCCCTCGTCAAGACGTCCATGCTGCTGTTTCTGCTCAAGCTCGGCAGCCAGAAGCCCGGCGTGCGCTGGTGCATCCATGCCCTCAACGCCCTCAACCTCATGCTCATGGTCGCCATCTTTGTCGTCGTCATCTTCGAGTGCATCCCCGTCGCCTACAGCTGGGACAAGACCATCCCCGGCGGCCACTGCATCAACCAGCCCAACTTCCTCATCGCCACCTCCGCCCTCACCATCTTCACCGACGTCCTGTGCCTGGCCCTGCCCTTTTGGGTCTTTCTCGGCCTCAAGATGCACCTGCGCGTCAAGATTGCCCTGCTGTTTGTCTTTGTCCTCGGTGGCATGTACGTATCCCACCTTCTGTGTCGCTGCGGCGACTGTACGGATTACTGACTTTTTTTTTTATTTGTTTTTGTACAGCGTCACCATCATCGGCGTCGTGCGTCTCGTCTACTTTTACAAGGGCTTCTTCCTTCCTCCCGGCCCCGATCCCTTCTACTCGCTGGCCTTTTGCACGTCGGCCATTGAGATCAACATGGCCATCATCTGCGCCTCCGCCCCGGCCCTGCGCGGCCTGTTTCGCGCCTGGTTCCCGCGCTTCTTCTCCAGCCGGGACAAGAACTACAACTACTACGACGACCGCAACAGCGACGGCACGCCCCGGCGCGGCACGAACAACAACCCCTACGCCTACGGCGCCGGCGGCAGCGCCGCCACCAACAGCAGCGGCCGGCGCAAGGAGCAAGGCTCCGTGGACGAAGACAACTACAACCGCCGCTCAAATCCTTTGGCCAAGGACGGCGGGGGTGCGTTTGCGCTGCGCGACCTCAAGGGCGGCTCCAAGACGCACACCACCCTCAACAGCTCGCCCACCGCCAGCGAAGAGGAAATCATGACCTACAACGGCATCGTGCGCACGACGGACGTCCTCGTCCACTATGACCACGAGAGCCAGCGCCAACGCAGCGCGCACGGCGAGCGGCGGCCGGACCTGGAGCGCGGTTTTGGAGGCCAGCGGCGTGTCAACCAAATTCCGTAGGGGGGCCCACAGAAGCCTTTCCTCTTAGTCGTACCAAGAAGATTAGTCGTACCAAGATTCAAAAGCAACGTCGGTATGCGTGTATGCATGTATTTAATCTTTCGTCTTGTCTGTAGGATGTGTTCAGTCCAAAAATATCCAAGTTGATGTCAGTTTACCTTCAGGTTGTTGGCAGCCACTGCGGTTCCGTTCAAAGTACGCAAAGGAAGCCTTGGTTTACGTGTCTAACTATGAATATTCATGACAATTCTTCTGGCGTTCGTAGCAGCCGTGAATCGTCTCATGTCGCACCAAGAAAACAGTGCAGGACGAGGAAAGTAGCAGGAAAGATGACGGCCAGCATGCGCGTCCAAAGCAGACCGTTGGCACGCATAGTGCAAGCTGGCCTTTTACGATGACAGGACGTCGCCGGAATGGACTTTCCGGGGCACTGGAATACGCGGTGGCCGTACACCATGTCCGAACGGGCGGTTGCGTGTCTGAGTCCTAAGAGCGATCCGTACCGCTTGTCATCGGTGAGGGGGTGCAAGGATGAAGAACATGGTCAATTGTTTGGACATGCACTTAGTGAGTTGTAATTACAATTTTTTGTTTTATTTGGCGAGACTTGACTTTATGTACGTCTTGTGAAGAAAGGATGTTTGCATCCCCCAGTCTGACGTCTCAACCGGCGTCTCTTGAGCCGTCGACGGCCCCGTCGTAACACTCTCTATATCATTCTTTCTTTCTGCCCTTGCCTTTCCTTAATACCAGTCTTGAATATAATTCTCAAATCTACTGTGTCTCTGTGTCTACTGTACCAATTTAAGACGAGGTATCACAATATCCCTTATATCTAAACAGAATTATATATCAACCATTACGACCATATATCGACCATATATCGACCATGACACGACCACTTCATCCAACGATATGCAAGTCGGCTCTTATGACGACCACATGACAAACACAAGTTTACGCGTGTCAAAGAAAAGAAAAAGAAAAAGAGACACTAAAAACAAAAGATCGAATTACGTTGATAAGAAATCGTCGCCAAAAAGGCCAACATGGTCCCATGGAGAACAGGGCATGCAGCAGGCAAAGCAGTGCACTCCATACGACTGTTGGCCCCCAGCTGCTACCCTCCTTGCATATTTAAAGCACCTTTTCGTCTCCTCTGGCCTCTGCACTTCTTCGTACTCTTGTCTTTTCAGTTTTCTATTTTACTTCTCTACCAAGTGTCGTTCCACTCTCGTTACCAGTACACACTCCCAACAGATTTATTAGATATATTGGATATCACAGGTATCATTATCACACATTACCACAGCACATAGCACATCCACTACATCCACATTATGCTTTCCCTCCTATCTTGGTGGTGGCCGTCCACAACCCAGAATCCAAAAGGACCGGACAGACAGGCCACGGGTCACCTCTACCTACCGGACACGCTCGCGTCGTGGCCGTGGCCACGCAGTGTCAATCCGCACTACGACACCGTGGCTGCCGAGTCGTTGGAGTGGCTCCATTCGTACAACTTTTTCCCGCCCAAGGCCCAGTTGGCGTTTGACCGGTGCAACTATGGTGAGAAGGCCCATTACATCCTCACATACTCGCACGGTTGTGAATTTAACACGCAGAGGTCTACTTGCTTCCATGGCGTATCCAAAACTCAGCAAAGGTATGTCCGTGGTGAGAAGACGAGACGGTGCAGACCAATTGCATACGTAACATGCAAACTTACATCCCTTCCCATTCCGTCAGAACACATTCGTATCGGCTGTGACTTGATGAATGTCTTTTTTGTCATTGAGGACGGCACCGACGACGAATCCCCCGCAGAGACAACCAAGCGTGTCCGTCTGGTAACGGAGGCCCTCCGGAACCCGACGGTCGCCCGGCCGGACGGCGAATGGGGCGGTGTCGAGATCGCCCGCGCTTTCTGGCACCGGGCGACCTCGACGCCGGGCGTGCGGCCGGCGACGGCGGCACGTTTCCTGCACCACTTTGAGGGCTATCTGCAGGCGGTCGCCACGGAGGCGGCGGACCGGGCCAAAGAGCGCGTGCATGGCGGGCCGCCGGTGTACACACTCGACAGTTTCCTGCACGTGCGCCGGCGCACCGTCGGCGCCCTGCCGTCCTTTGTCCTGCTGGAGCTAGGCCTCCCCGCGCACATGGACGACGAGGACATCACGGCGGCCGCCGACCACCCCCTCGTCCGCGAGCTGGCCAGCGTGGCCACCGACATGATTTTGATTGGCAATGTACGTCCTCCTCCTCCGGGTGAAACGGAGAGCTGAACACGCCCACTAATGACCTTCCAGGACCTCGTCTCGTACAACCGCGAACGTGCCGCCGGCGCCGTCCACAACATTGTCACCGTCGTCCTCAACAACCCGCCCGACAAGGACGTCCCCCATGCGCCCCCGCGCATCGTGACGGTCCAGGACAGCGTCGACTGGGTGGCGGCCTACCACCAGACGCTCCTGGCGCAATTCCTGGGCCTGTACGAAGCCGTCACCGTCCTCGAAAGGGCGCCCCAGGCCCTCTCCGGGATGGCGGCCACCCCCCTCCTCCTCTACGCGGACGGCCTGGGCAACTGGGTGCGCGCCAACGACCAGTGGAGCTTCGAGAGCGTGCGGTACTTTGGGGCCAACGGGGGCGAGGTGCAGGCGACGCGGCGGGTGGAACTGGTGCCGAGGGGGGTGTGACGACGATTCAGCTGTGGTGTTGGTGGAGTTGGTGGTGTGTGGTGGTGTGCAGAGGCGTGTGAAGTCGTCTTGAGGCATATTTGTTGACGTCTGCCGCACACTGTCGATCACTGGATTTTTGATTTTTTGATTTTTTACAATTTATTGTCCAGTCTGATGAAAGAACTTTGTTATCATTTTATTTGATTTACTGTATATCCCTCTGTCGCATTTTATTGATGGTGCTACTATGTTTTGGCGATGTATTGAATGTATCGCATGCCATTGCAATTTATCACTCGATTTCACCCCTGTCAATTTGCCCCTAATTCGACTAAACAAACATTGAATTCAGTTGAGAATTAGATCATAACAGAAATCTCCACGTTCATCCCGACCCTACCAAACCATCACAAATCAGGCAGAAACAAAAAAAATCATGTTTTTATTTTGTTCTTTCGCTTCCTGAAACATCGTCACCACAGTGGTCACCCAATTGTCTACTTGGCCTCAGCGACCACGCCACCGTCAACACGCGCCACCTTCAGCCACACCTCCCCGCTCGGCCGCAGCTGGCCCGACGGGTTGACCACCGGCAGCTTGCCCTTGTGCACCGACTCCCACGTAAAGTGCCGCGCCAGGGCCAGCAGCACGACCTTGACATTGAGCGACGCCAGGGCGCGGCCGATGCAGGCGCGCGGGCCGTGGCCGAACGCCACCCAGGCGTACGTGTCGCGGTCGACGGCGCCGCCGGTGCCGGGGTCCGCGAGCCAGCGGTCCGGGTTGAAGACGGCGGCGTCGGCGCCCCAGAGCCGCGTGTTGCGGTGCAGCACGGCGGGGATGGGCATGAGGGTGGTGCCCTTGGGGACGAAGCGGCCGGCGACGACGACGTCCTGCTGGGCGACGCGGGGGATGCCCGCCACGGGCGTCTGGACGCGGAGGCACTCGCGCAGCACGGCGTCGAGGTAGGGGAGGCGGTCAATCTCGGCAAAGGAGGGCGCCGCGGGCAGCGTCAGGGCCTCGCGGCGCAGCTTGGCCACCACGTCGGGGTGCCGCCCCAGCTCGTGCGTGGCAAACGTCAGCGCGCCCGCCGTGGTCTCGTGGCCCGTGGCCATAAAGTTGAGGACCTGCTCGATGAGCTCCTCCTTAGACCAGCGGCTGGCCGGGTCGACCGCGCGGTACTTGGTCTCGACCATGTACGTAAGGAGGTCTTTAACGTCTTTGGTGGGACTGGCCGCCGACGTCGGCGCAGTCGGTTTGGCTGTCTTGGTCTCCTTGCTGTCGGTCGCCGCCACCGCCGCCTCGCCCACGGAGAGAATGCGGGCCTCGGTGATACCCGTCAGAATGCCGCGCAGCTCGGTGCTGGCGTCCATAAACTCCCGGTTTGCCTTGAGGGGCAACCAGCGGATCGGCACCACCAGATTGATGGCGGCCAGCAGCATGCCCGCCGTCGACAGGTCGAACATGGCCTCGTAGCTGGACTGGAAGGGCGTGCGTGTCGCAAAGTTGTCAAAGTCAATGCCCAGCGCAAAAATGCCAATCACGTCGAGCGTGATCTTGGCGTACAGCTGCTTGCAGTCGACGAGGCTGTCGGTGCCGTCCTTGGCACCATCAATGGCGCGGTCCATCTCGGCCACCAGGCGCTGGGCCTTGGCCTGCAGCGTCGGCAGATACGCCTTGATGTTGCCCACGGTAAACAGGCCGCCCAGTGCCTTTCGCTGGGCGCGGTGCTCGCTGCCCTCGGCAAACACGAGGCCGACGCCGATAATGTCGCCAATCAGGCGGCGGAACGGCACCGAGCGCTCGTACGCGTAGCACGTTTGCGACTGCATGACGTCGCGGTACGCGGCGGCGCTGTTGATCAGCAGGCCCTCGGCCGCCAAACCGGTCTCGCGGTAGCGGATCAGCGGCGCATCGGGCCACTTCTGCATCCAGTCCGTGTACGGCTGCTCGGGGTCGCCGGAGCGGAACTGGTTGAGGAGCTGGCCCAAGAAGAAGTGGTGGTCCTGCAGCCGGTCAGCGATGGTGTTAGAGGGAGCGTGCAAATGCAGATGGACGGCCGGGAGACTACCTTTGGACCCGGAAGGTCGCGCAGAGGAGACACAAAGTTCGGATACATGAAGGCGAGGTACAAAAAACGGGCAAGGCCCGCGATCCCAAAGGCAAGGCCTCCGTAGAGCGCGGAGCGCCAAAGAATGTCGGTCAAGATGTGCAAGGGAACCGTCGTGATGGTGGCCATGGTCACAAAAGTCAAGACGAAGTGTCAAAATGCGAAGGAGAAAGGAGAAGGTGGAAATGTGAAATGAGAATCAGGAGTTGTCAAATTTACAGTAGAATTTGTTCTTTTTGCAAGTTCGGAAGGAGCACAACGTTTCTGTCAACTGGTTTAAGAGGAAAGAGCAAAGAAGCGATGGGACGAAAGGCAAAGATGGAAAGAAGAAGGACCGCGGATCGCGGCTTCCTAAAAGGGCTTCGAACGACATGGACGTCATTATGGGTATTTTGTACATTTTGGGCCACGCCGACTGCCATTACCTACTCGCCTGTTTTTGCCTTTTCCCTCCTTGGCTGCTCGTCGTCGTCAAATCCTTCTCCATCTCTGTCGATTCATCTTGCCAATAGTGGGTCATGGGATAGGACGGCGCATGGTCAATGGAACTGGCGATGGTTGGGAAGTTCTGTTTCTTTACAATTGTTTTTTTTCCTATCATTATTTTTTTTTTAAAAAAGGAAAAAAGACCATCGTCGGCTCTTTATTCTATCTAGAACACCTCTAACTGACCCTTGTCGATCGTCTTCAGCTATCGCTGACAGCAGCGACGCAGTGATAGCCTCTGATATGTGGATACGAACATCGGCATCGCGACATACGACAAACGACATGCTCCCTGCGCCATACACACGTCGGCATCGGCTCCTCGTCCGAGAAGGGTTGCATCTTTCGAAATTCGTGTCTGCGTTGGCTTGTTCCTTACGTGTATGTTGTCCTTGTCGTTGACGAAGGTGACGATAGCAGGTCTGCCATCTTCCAATGACAGTTCAGAACATCCGCGTATGTCTTCGCTTCGATGCCAACAGACAAAAACCTCGACACTCAACCCTTGTCTCAGTTGTTACTGTTGGAACTGACTGCAAAGAGCGATACATCAGCTACTGCGAATGGCGAGGCAGAGTAAATTCTAGAACAAAGAGGACATACGAAATGCGAGTGGTCGGAGAGCAACTGAATGGCAATCGATATCCGTTTCTGAGGGGAAATGGGGGGACTGCATCCAATGGAGATGTACCGAATAAACATAGCAACCAAACCAAATACAGCCCTTTCTTTTCGTTGTAAGAGTATTGTCAGAGAGAAGACGCAACCAACGAGATTCAAACGTGAAAACAGTTCGATATGAGGCTGTTATCAGCGGCCTTGCCGTAGTTCAGATGTATCTGCAGCACGATACAAGATTCTCATTGGCTTGCTCTTCCCAAGCCGTCTAAACATGCCATATTTCTATTGTCAACCGATCCATGACGGACGGCGCTGCACATGCTGGAATCGACTTGAAAAGTGCACTTTTGCCAAACCAATGAGACGGCCCCATGCTGAACCACGCCTGCATGCACAGATGCAGCATGCACGCCCCATATGCATGTTGTGAACAGACATCCGTCGGATGCTGTACGGTGTTTTGGTCGAGTATCAAAAATCCTGCACGTCAAGTCCGCAGTCGACAGTACGACATGCGATCGTCTTTGCATCGTTTATCGAGTGTGCGTGGCTCATCCGAAGTTATGAGGCTGTGTGTGACCTTGCCATCGCCCCGACGGCTAATGGCATTAGCGAACCAACGATTTGACGTGGTATTTGGACGCCAGAAAAACAAAAACATGAAAGAACGGAAGGAATACGCGATCAATGGGATTACCGGGACGATTACCGATGTTGCACTGTCCACAGGAGAAGCAAAGAAGACAAGAAGTACAAGAAGTACAAGAAGTACAAGAAGTACAAGAAGTACAAGAAGAAATATGCAAAATGGATGGCATACCTCAGACGGAGTACTTTTGCCACATCAAATGGGTAGATGTGAAGCGGAACACCTGTGAGAGCAGGCGTGAGAATTAAACCAAACATAACTCTGGAATACAGTCACCGGTTATGCCCTCTCGATGTGATGGTGTGATGGGCGTGGTAAACATGGGCTGAGGGTGAACAAGATATGAAAAATGTCTATCTTGTTGACGGTTGGTGCACATCATCCAAAGTTGTTATCTATTACGACGATGATCCTGGCGCTGTCAAATAGGTCGACGGGCTAGGCTCTTGTCCGGAGCACACAGTCCTTCGTCGCCGTTCAATGTGGCCTTTTCTTTCTTTTTTGACCCAAACGGTGACTAGAACAGGAAGTTTCTCCGGTAGGAAAACGACAGATACACCCATCGTTCCATTGGGGGCGATACTTTGCGTGAGGGTTGACCCATCTGTTGCATTGTAGCAAAGGGACGAAGACATAAATGGTATACGAGGCGTATCGCAACAAATTAGAAATATTGAAATTGCCAGGTTGGCTGGCTGAAACTGCATTCTCAGAATGTGTGTCCGTTGTCTTTCCGTTGTCTATGCTCTCGTGTCTGTGCTTTTCGTCTGTTCTTCATGTCTGTTGGCTAATGTTGGTTTTACGCTGCTTGTGCAGTGTTGATTGGGATATTTCGTGCTGTTTTGCTGTAAATAGTGTCGTCTGTTGGCTGCACGTCGTTGTTTTGGATGCAAATGGCCACGAACAACCAATAGCATCAGTCGAAACGTCGATACAAGCTACGGTGTGACATTTAGAGTGCAGTGGCAACGCGGCCAACCGTCAAGTACGACCCTGCATGTCGTCAACTTTCTTTCTCAATCTTCTTTTATGGTTTCCGGCGCCTTGGCGTACCAATCGACCCTGGTTCCTGGTTGGTGGAATTGCTGTCGGTGGGAGCCAGCCAAGATGGGGAATAAAGACAAGACCGCGGAGAAATTTGACATGTCGAATAAAGTCGTTTGAGGAAAGATGGGTTGATAGGATCGTGGATGGATACACAAAACCATCCCGAAATTCATATTCTCACCCCCACGTACAATATCAACAGGGCTGGGCTATTGACAGCCGTGTTTCGGGTAACAGCCGTCGCACGGAAACGGCATCCATGACTGCCTTGGCCTTTGACGTATTTGTTTTTTCTTCTCCTTTTTTTTCAGCTGGTTCGTGCAATTCCACCTTGCATCCAGCCCCAACAGACGTTTTGCCCATAAATGAGTCCGCCTTTCTTTGTTGTCGAACACCCCTTTGATCAGTCTTGGGGTTGCACAACATACAACGGGTATTTTCGGCCTTCTTCCTGCCCAATACACTGCGGTGGACCGGTCACGTCTCGTCGTTTGATATGCAAAAGTCAGGTCATACGACTGTGTTAGCTTGTGGTCAGTGACATGCAAACAGGGATGACCCTTCCATGAGGTGGTATCAGGACAAGAAAATACAATCAAAAATAACAGTAACCTGATTTGTTTGTAATCTTACGTCTTTTGATAAATTTAAAGGGTAAGATATTACGCGGAAAGATCCACATTTTCAACATTTTTTGTCGATATTTTTTGAACTTCATGTATTGATTTGATCCGTCCCATTACAAATTGAAAGATCACGGAATAAGACAAAATTTCACTCGTGGAATTCGAGCCAATTCTTGTCTGAAACATTGCCCTCCTCTTTGAATATGCAAAGCAGATTGCTACAGACGTCCGTCACGCCCTTTCCTTTCCAACCCCTCGAAAACGTGGGCCGTCCACTTGGATACCTCGTTTTTCTCGTCTGTTCGCATCCATTCCCTGGGCCTGCCGTCCTACAGCGGCACTTTCTCCCCGTCCCGCTTTTGTTCATCCTGTGCTTGGACTTTCATGTTGCCATCCAGCAGGGCAAGGTTTTCCAGTCGAATTTTGAGAAGCCCATCACCCTCTTCGTCATGCTCATCCTCCTCTTCCATATCTTCTTTTTCATCGTCTTCCATGATCTGCTCTTGTTGCTCCAGTATGTCGTCGTTCATACCTTGCTCGTCTTCGCCATGGATGAGTCGTTTGTTAAACTTCAAGAAGAAAGAATGGTCTGGCTGAAGTTGACGGCCTTGGCAGACATAGGCTGCCGGCGTGTGAAGAACATCCTGGGTTGCACGGCGGAGGGCCAGCCACTCGAGCAAGAAGCTCGTTGGATTCGTGCAGAAGGACATTGTATTGCGGACACAGTCCTCGTTGGCATTGGGGGACAATCCCAGGTACTTTGCCATGGCCGTGGCCTCGTCGTACGTCATGTATAGACGTCCCGCAAGGATACCGAGTTCAATGGGCAGCCATTCCGGCACCGTGTGCCGCTTCTTTGGGAATTCTGGAAATGCGTAAAACCGGAGGCTGCTAAAGTCCAGCATGGACCGTGTTACGGGTGCTGCGTAGGCCACCAGCTGTGTGTATTTGGAAGCACGTATGCTGGGAATGAGAAGTTCCAGTTCTTCAGGGATGATAACGACGCCGGTCTGCGAGGCTGGGCACCACAGGAGCCAATCTACTGGGCGCTGCAACAAGCAAAAACGTTAGCAAGTGAACGTGTTCGACAAAACAAAAGGAACATGTACATACCAAGAAGTCGTCGTGGAACTGCTGCCCAGCCCGCGACGCATCGATTGTTTTCCTGAACTCTGTCGTCACAAACAGACGACTCGGGGTACCGTGGACAATACCGTATCGTTTCCCGATACTTGTCGAGGCTAGAAACGAGAACATGCCTTCGTATCCATTGTTACCAGTCAATTCCCCAGTTTCCACAAATTGGCGGATCGACTTGGCAACGGTTCCGTTGAAGCGCAATGCTTTGAAATCGATGTTGTGCTGGGCGCGACGTTGTTGCTCAACTTGGACCTCCACCTCTCGCTCTTGCTCTACTTCTTCAAAGGCGCCTTGTAGAGCAGCCGTGCCATGGCCTGTCGTCGACCGATATGTGCGCAGTTGCTCCGCAAAGCGTTGGAGCCGTGGATAGGAAAAGCCGTCCGTCTTCAGGACCGATCCCGTGTCAACAGTATCGTTGCCGTACATAGTTTCCAAAGTCTGACGCTCTGGTTGCTCCAGGACGCCGAGTAAAGAGTCCCTGGATGATGCACTTCGTAAGGTCTTCTTGTGCATCGTGAGAGCCTCCATCCGGCGGCAAAAGTCCAGACCATGGGATGCATACAGAGGCCGAAGCTGGTCATTGGCCTTGCATGTTTGCTCGAGAAGCCAGGCAACAACATGAGACGAGTTGACAAACACCTTTTTGTCCGTTTTGTCGGACGTTTCCAAGCCACAAGTATCACGAATGCTTTGGTCAACCTCGGGTGGCGCAAAGAACACAACAGACTGGGTCGTTCCGAGTTGGCGGAGTCGCATGGCGGCTACGGCGGTCAATAGAGATAATTCAAACGGGAGTAACATAAAAGAGAGCTCTAAAGTTTGGGGGCGGGGTGGGGGGGTACATACCTTGCACTGTATGGTCCTTCGTTTGACCCAATGCCAAAGAGGCGCTTCTCAATCTCGCACAAGACACAGTTGCGAAAGTTGTCGTCTAGAAAAAAGCCATGCACAACACCCAGAGCGTCTTTGTGCGACACAGGTGCTGTGGTGAGCTCCCCAGACGCCGGTAGAAGCGGGCCTGCTTGATGTGCTAGGCCAACAAATAACATCGACACATCTTCTTTGCCAAAGTTGAGGTTGGAACAGCCGAGCTCCACTGCCATTGTTGGCCACCTGCACGATGTCCCCGACTGGAGACGTTGAAGGGCCTCGAACTCGTGAACAGAAATATCCGAAGGGCACTTCCGCCGACTAGCCACAATTTCGTACGAAGATGGGCCTTGGGGACAGGTCGGGGTTGGTGTACTGGTCGGCATTGCCTTCGCACCGAGACCACTCGGCACATGTAGGAGACATAAATGGGTGAGTGTGAGCGGTGTCTGCAGATCATGAATCCACACGCTCATGGCGTTGTCGAAGAGGCGAAAGTTGGATCCAAGAGGTAGCAAAACGTCCGTAAGCTTGCATTTCATTTTCACTTGCTTGTAATGCGTTTGCTTGAAAGACTTTTGCGAAGAAGACAGGGAGATCGTTCCGGAGGGTGAGGACGTTGCAAATTTGTGGATTAGCGTTTCTGGCAGCCCTTTCGCATCTTTCGATATGGTAGGGGGTTGCGAGCAAGCAACATGCGCTGCGATCTTCCATGTGGTAGCCCGGTATATGGTAATGCACTGAGGTGTTTTCAGTTCGAAAACAACGGCCAGAGCGACCGTTTATTTTCCGGTAGTAAATCCTCGAAAGGTTCAATCTTCATTTTCTTTCTCTTGGTCCTTTGGGGGCATTTCTTACATCCATTTCTGACCCAAACACCGTCTTTCATTGTGCAGTTACAGGTCAGTGACCCAAATTGAGTTAGAAAGAAGGTCATATTTGTTGCAGGCTTCTTCCCACTCTTTCGTTTTATTCTGGCGACGGACGTTCTCGGCTTGTTTAATTCTGTCGTACAGATGTGTGAGGTCTTCCGATTCATATGCAAACCGGGATCCAAACTCATTGGAAAGGACCGTCTCGTCATAACGTGCGATTTGAGATCGATGCCGAAGGTGCTTCTGTACTCGCCGAAGGCGAGACATGGAGTCCACATCTGGTAACTGGAGAACGTCGAGGAGGTTGTGTGGGAACGCGGGCGGATGGTCATCGACCGTTGGATAAAGGGAGCCGCAAATAGTATCAAGAATCGCCCATTGGTCAAATATTTCCAAAAGGATGCGGCTTCTCATTTCGACGGTGCGCAGGTCTGTTTTGGAGATACAGCTCACCAGGACGGAGACTGTTGCGGAGATCTGATCGCACGCTGCCTCTGCTGCACCCTCCGTCATTTTGGCCACGGCTTGGCTCCACAGCGACGAGGACTTGGACCGGGCGTCCGCAAGTATGTTCAGTGTGTCCAAGACGGATCTAGAGAAGGCCTGCGTGTTTTTGACGGCTGGATTTAGAGTCAGGTTTGAGTGAAGGCTGCCGTCCTCGGAGAATGGCGTTGCATTTGAGTTCCCATCGACCTGGTTTCCAGTCGAAACGACAAGGCTGTCCAAGTACCGCCTGCTCGAAGGTAGAGACAGCGTTCGATGATCGTCAGGAGCTTGCAGTGGCAATGCTGGTATCTTTCGCATGGTGGCCTCCTTGAACTGTGACAGTCTCTTTTGCAGGTGCTGTTGAGCCACGTCAAGGGACGTTTGGAGCTTCGAAGCGATGCTGTGGATTAAGGCTTCCGAGGTCATCTTGTCATGCTCGGTGCAGCATTCCCAGAAATGGTGTCGCTCCAGTTTGGCAAGCTTCCTTCCCAGTTTCTTCTGCAGCAGGCTAGTGAGTGCCGGAAGCATGCCTTGGTGGACACAGTCGTCGAGCAATTGGGACAATAGCGTGCAGGACAGAATCTTGTAAGCAGCATAACCAGTGTCTTGTCCCAGTGTGAGGTGCAATTGTCGCTGCATTGCCACTCGAAGAATGAGCCACGTAGGAAGTCTTCGCCACGGCGTGTGCCCTTTGCCAAAGCTGACGTCGTCACGGACGCGTTTCTTAATTGGCGAGACCGTTGCTGGACCTCCCATTGCCTGTAGCACGGAAAGAAGCATGTGCGTGATGAGGTCTGGGGTTCCAGCATTGCGAAATTCGGCGACTTCTTTGCCTTTTTAGCCTTGGCGGCGAAAAGAGCAATGTATTCGGAGCTGGCCTTGTCCAGGAACAAAGCCAGGGTCGATTGGAACTGTTTGTCGGCAAAGTCATCTTTGGAGATTTGCACGGCACGCGATGGGAAAGTCCATTTGAGGGCATCTTGGCACGCCAGAACATCCTGGGATGGTGGCGCGGCCTCGAAGGCCTCAAAGACTACGTGGCTGTGACCATTAGCTTTCGAACGTCACGGTGTCGGCAGCACATTGCCATCTTGGAGAGGAGAAGCGACAAACCCTTTGCTGGAGTACATGAGCAGAGCAGCATTTTGTTCCTCGATGTAGAATGTGATGACTTTGTCGTCTTGCGTGAGCCTCTGAAACGCCTCGAGCAGCGATGAACTGTCCGGTGCTCTCCGTCGGTGCTGCTGAACGTCGAAATGCAGTTCTCGACCGCCGTCCAGGCACCACGGAACTCGTCTGGTGTTGTCGATGTCAGTGCGTCACAAGCACGTCGAATGCAGTGCATGATGTCGACTGCGATCTTGTCGAGGCTGTCATCTTGGCCAGCCGGCAGCTGCGGAGGCAAGACAATGTCAGGTGAGGTCCGTTTGCACCTGCCTCCATGTCCGTCTCACCGTCTCGTATCCAAGATGCAAACCAGAAACAGGCAGCGAGGCTTTGCAGAAACACATATCTAGCGGGTAAGACATCGTTTGACCGATGTTTTTGATCCTTCTCATCTTTCTGTTTGTTGCAGCATTCCTGCAAACGACCATGTCGCCGCACTCCGTAAGACATACAGTTCTTCGAACCATGTCTCATTGGCCAACACCACCACAGACCTTCCAACCAGAGGCCTTCCACCGAAACATGGATATTACGCACCCGACAGACATTGTTTCGGTTGCCAATGCAGTGCCGGTGGAATGTCGTACTTGCGATTGTGCTGGTGACAGATGGTCGCGTCACGCATCGTGGTCACAAAGAAATGGCTGCCGCAGCTGACGCACTCCATCATGTCATCCATGCAGACAACACCGCCGGAGCCATTCACTGTGCCTATGCTCTGGCCCCGTGGCCGGTCTAGGCCTCTTTGTAGGTAGCTTACCGAGGGTGGGCTCGCGCTGTCTCTTCATGGACTTGCACGTCGTGGGGTATCGCAGTCCTCTCTTTGCTCACCTTGTACGCATTGAGCCTTTTCCGCCTTTGCGCCAAGACCCTTCCTATCGTCGCCATGGGCCCTGGGAATATCTGCATCGTTCCCCTTCACGTCGTCACTCTGTCAAATCGCCCTCCTCGTCTGTGCTCTGCTCCTCGGTTAGATTCGTTTCGCGGAGGCTGTCTGACTCGTCGTCTTCGTCTTCGTCTTCCGTGTCGCTGGGAATCTCAATCAGCTCGGGTGCAGTCGGCATTGGCGGTGCCACGGCGTGGCCGAGCAGGTCCAGCTTGGCCCGCTTGCGAGTGGCCTCCAAGGGCACGTGGTGGTCTCGTGTCTGGCAGCCCGGCGTGCCGTTGGCGCGCTCGCAGCACTCCCAGTAGAAGCCTTCGGGGAACTCGGCGCGCATAAAGTCGGAGTCAATGATGCCGTGGCAGTCCTCGTCGTGGTCTGCCCAGAAGTCGCCTTCGAAGTCAGGTGTCAAGTAGGCTAGAAAGGGGCATGTCAGATATTGCTTGTGAAGAAGCGAAGGATCAACAAGGGACATACACTCATGGAAACGGCACACGGACGGGCCGTTCTTTGATTGCTCCGTAAAGACACCCTCGCAGTCAACGCACACCATCAGATTGGTCTCTCCGCAGATGTCGGCCTTTCGCTTCGTGCCACAGGCTTGGGCGGCTGTAGCAGTGGATGCTTGGAACTTGTCGAGCAGTTGGCTGGCTTGGTGCTGCAAGGTCGTGTCCTTTTCGCAGAGGGCCATGAGGACCAGGTACGCAACCCTGTCGGACACCTGGCTGATGCGCTGCATCATTGGTTCGCTGTTTGGATTCAATGTCTCCATTGTGGTTGTACAGATGAGAGGAGAGCGAAGCAAATACAGTAGTGTAGATTGACAATGTATTCAATTAGTGCATCAAAAGCGCGGCGTGTTGTTGACATCGCCAAAACGGGACATGGCGCTAGTCCTTTTTGGGTCTCAACGTAGCGTCTACTAAACCCCAAACTCAAACGTTTCCATCCAAAACGGTGTGCCCTCTGGAGCATCTCCAACGAAATAAACAATATCTTCTAGTTGATGATGTCAATAATATGGCAGGTTGAGAACGTAATGGATCATGAAAATTGTTAAAATACTAAAATGTAATTTTGTAAACGTTTAATTCGGTTTGATATCAAGTAAGAAATAAGTAAATTATTGTATTATGTTTACTTTTTTTCCGGTCATGATTTTCTTTTCTTATCTTTTTTTTCTTTTTTTTCTTTACTTCAACGAGCCTATCAGCCCGGAAAATGTAAATAAAAATATCTACAAAGGAACAAAAAAATCATCCATAATTAATAAAAACAGCGGGAAAAAATCAGGTCCTCCCGACAGAGTCCACGAGCCGGCGGATAAAGTTGCAGTGCTGGGCGTCATCGGGAATCTCGACCACGTTTTACAAGCACAGGATCGGCCCTATCGACAATTGCAATCAAATAACGGGTTATTGTATCCCGCCTATCGGCATCAATCAAAAGGACAGCGGCAAAAAGCGGACATCGAACGCAGCCGTTGTAGAGTCCGTCCCCCGCTTCCTACTGCTTTTTATAAAATACAGTGAGAAAATCAAGCGGAGACAATGTACGACAGACCGCAAATGGATTTACGAACGCGACGTCCCCCTGTCATATCCTAAAATCAAAACCTTGTTCCGTCCCACAACAGCTCACGCTGCTGGCATTCCCCAACGGTACTCTTGTTGCATTGCCATTTACGTTTGCGTGCAAAAGTGTGCTCATCATGGCCTTCACGTTGTCTCTTCTCGCCCTGACTGGCCTTGTCGTCCAGGGCGCCGTCGCCGCCAACTGCACGCGCGACGTGCTGGCGGCCGCGGCCTCGGCCTACCTCGCGGGCGCCGCGGCCGGCAAGCCGCCCGCCAACGTGGCGCTGACCAATTTTACGTACGAGGAAAACGACGTGCCGCTCGACATTGGCAAGGGCATCCTGGCCCGGCCCATCTCGATTGATTTCAACCGCACGTTCCTGGACACGGAGGCGTGCGGCGCCTTTATCGAGTACAATGCGGCGTCCAACACGCCGCCGTACGTCGTGATTGCGCGCGTCTATGTGGCGCCGGGCAGCAGCAGCGGCAACAGCAGCGGCACACCGCAAATTACTCGCATCGCGTCGGTCGTGACAAAGCCGGGCGACTGGGCGTTCAACGCGGCGACGCAGCTGGCGGCGGACAAGAAGGAGGCGTGGCCGGCGATCCCCGCGGGCCAGCAGGACACGCGAGCGGTCCTGAAGGCGGCGGCCGACGCGTACCTGGACTCATGGGGCAACACGACGTTGGCGCCGCCGTTTGGCACGACGTGCTCGCGCATCGAGGGCGGCACGACGACGGGCCAGACGGGCAACACATGCAAGATGCAGCCGTTCCCATCGCCGCTCACGATTGGCAACCGGCGCTACATCATCGACCCCGAGTACGGGGCTGTGGACATTTTCAACAATTTCCCCTTTATCGACACGGCCAAGCCCGACGGGACGCCGAGCACCAACCTCTACCGGATCGAGGGTGGCAAGATCCGCTACATTCACGAGCTGACGGTGTGCACGAACAAGAACTGTGGGCGATAGGGCTGCGTTGCGTGAAGGTGCGCGTTGTACTATGTATGGTAGTCATCCTAGTGTTATCCTATTGTAGCAGGCAGTGGAAATTGAACAATCTCATGTCTTGCCCTAGAACGGCATCACGCCCGTGCTGTTGACAATTTTGCCGGCGTCGGTGTCGCGCTCGCCCGCCACGACCTGCTGGATCAGCTGGCCGCCCACAGACGGGTGGCCCGCGCCCATCTCTATGAGGCGCTCTTTGATGTTGCCCAGGTTGGTGACCAGCATGCCGGGCGAAATGGAAAAGGTCTTGACGCCATCCGGCAGCAAGACGTGGTGCCAGTTGAGCATCAGCATGTTGAGTGCGCACTTGGTGGCGCGGTACATAAAGGGGCTGCCAAAGTACGTCTTGGGCCAGCCCGTGGCGGCGGGGGCCGGGCCGGCGTAGTAGGCGGCGGCCATGTTCTGTTGGGACGCCAGGCCGCTCGTCAGGAACAGCAGACGCGGCTCACGCGACTTGATGAGCAGCGGCGCGAACGTGTACGTCATAATGTCGGCGCCCGACACGTTGACGTCAAAGTCCTGCGTCCAGACCTGGCGCCGGCTCACAGCGCCAGTGGCCAGCTGGGGGTCGACGGCATGGCCGGCGTTGTTGACAAGGGCGTCGATGTGGTCGACGTCCTTGGCGACGGCCGTGAAGGCGGCCTCGATGGACGCGTCGCTGGCCACGTCAACCTGCAGCAGGTCAATGGTGCTCCGGGTCTCGGGCACTTCGGCCAGCACCTGGTCGCGTGCGGCCTTGCCTTTGTCGAGGGAGCGGCAGCCGAGGAAGATGCGGTACGGCGCGGCTTTGTCGTTTTGGAGCAGAGCCTTGACAACTTCGTAGCCGAGGCCGGTGTTGGCACCCGTGATGACGACGATCTTGGACATGATGGACGGTGGGAAGTATAGAAATGAGATGAAACGATTTTATAACGTACGGAGTATCTGTATGACAGTGATCTGGGATGAGAAGAGGCCGTATAGGTGACAATGCAGGTTTTATGGTAGACAAATCGACACTGAGATATGCAGAGACGTGGATGCAGAGCCCTTTTATAGATGGCCAGCTCTCGAGGCGTAGCATTGCAAATAGCACTCGGATCCTTTGCGGGGCATGATTTTTCGAGGATTTTACCACGGTGTTACCTGTTTTGCAAGCATGCTCAACGACATTCTAGTAATTTTCAGCAATGTCCAGCGTCATTGAGCGTGCTCTCATGCCCTGCACGTGCCCAAAGCGGAAACGCTTCCGGAGTTTAATATTGAAATTGCGATCCGGACTTTGTATACAGGAGCCCGATATTGCCCAATTGAGCTTAGCGCCAACCACTTTTACAGACTTACACCGTGGTGATGGCAATGACTTGTTCGTTCGCCGGTGGCCGGTGCTCATGCATGCCGTATTGTGTGTTGTTGGTGACACATTTGTTGAATCTTTGAATGAAAAGCGACTTGCATATGTGGGCTGAGGGAAGCGGAAAGAAAGACGGAAAAATAATCTGTCTTGGTGAATATGGGCGAGGTGGACGTCCTGGGGCGGCTACGTGCATTTCATGACATATCATGGCCCAAGGGACCAAACAGACATACTGGACAATGAGTTGAATTACAAACACAATAGGCGATGTAGTCGTAGTCGATTTAGAAATAAGGTAATATGGCACTATTTCTAGTCCACCATCTGTGGCCTCATTTCGCCCCTACCTTGTCCAGCCTCCACTGGCAAAACCGTGACCGAATAGACAGCGGCATGGATTATCCGAAGCAAGATCCTCGACACTCACATTTGTCTAGTTTATGCTGGAAATAACACAAATGGACCAGTTGGCCGCGATCGAATCTACTATATTTAATGTAAGACAGGATTCTGCTGTTTTCCTAGCTACATTACTCCGTTATACACCGAGTACGACACAGCAACGTTGGTGTCCGGCTCCGGCATCCTGTCTTCATTGTTGCCAACCCGTACGTATCGCACAGCAGTTTCCACACAATCTCGTTTACCAGCTGCTCCACTTCCTACCATACGAAGAACACGTCCTTACTTGTTGATTGGTGCTCCCAAACGTCCAGTATGTAGAGCGCTGTAGACTGTAGGACTAAATCTGGTCCCAGAATGTAGCCGAGAACCGGGCCTCGTCCCTGGCTGTTGGCACACCTCGAACAGTTCTTTCTTCATAAAAAAGTATTTCCTTCCGTTCTTTCGTTATCTTCTTACGGCATTTATGATTTTAGGCTGAAGATGGTGGATCTGTGTCATTGTTATCGCGCATCCCTTCCGTTAAAATTGTAGCTCTATAGGAAACGAAATCATTTTCGTCTTTGCTTCCCATTTTGACGTTTTTATTTCGTGGCTTTCCCTTATCGTATTTTGTCTACATCCTATATTACATCGTGGTTTCGAAGCCCCTCGTTGTACAGTGACTTGATTGCCACATCCATCAGCGCCAGAAAGCGGTCCTCCTCGATGCGCACATGGGACGACTGCCATGGTTTTTCTGGGTCGCCTCGCCGGGCGATAGACGTTTTATTCTCGCCGTTTTCATTTTTGTCCCCTTCCTCTTCGTCCTCCCCGGGCACCGCCATCTCGGCCTGGGCACTGAAATAGTTGTGCCCCGTCAGCGCCGCCAAGTTCCGGAACCCCTTGTGGCCCAAATTCGCGGGCTGGACCTCGACGACCGCGCCCGCGTTCTCGCGCATGAACATGGTATGCGTGAGACCCGCGCCGTGGACGCCGACGAGCACATCGGTCTCCTGGACGAGGCGCAGCTGGTCCGGTAGCGACAGCGTCGCGAAATCCACCGACTGTACGACAACATTCGGGTACCGTTCCTGCAGCGTGTGCAACAGGGCCGCATGGCCCAGCAGCTGGCGGCTCCCGCGCCGGTCAATGAACGTGACGACAATGTCTTTGTCGCTCGCGCCCCCGGCCGACGCCGGCCGCGGCCCGCCTTGTCGCGGGACCTGATAGTGTTCAAAAACGCGCCGCACAAAGAGCTGGAGCAGCGGCGCCGCGCGGCAGTCCCGCACGACCCAGTCGTTCTGCCACAGCGGGTTGCTGCCGCCGGACAGCGGGACGATGATGTTGGCGCCGCCGCTGGCCGGTTGCAGAGGGCGGGGCACACGCGACGGATCGTTCATCATGTCCGCCAGCTTGACGATGGGGTGGCGGGAAAAGAACCGCCAGAGGTCAAACGTGGACTCCTCGGCGTACTCGTCCAACATGACGACGTGGGTGTTGTCGAGGTCGTCGGGGAACCGAAAGTACGGCGCAGCCGCACCGTCTGCGCGGCCATCGTCTTGCTGCTGTGCTATGCGCAGCACATCGACTGACATCATCATGGACCATATCTCCATCAGGCTATGCCATAGATTGTTGTTGCCTTCGCGCTTGACCAGAAGCACAAACGACTTCGTCTCGCGGGGCGTGCTCGTCTCCAACACCTGCTGCTCCGGCGACGCCTCGTCGTGGGACAACGACACAAACTTGTCAAACACCCGCCGCGGTCCCGTGTCGAACCAAGATGCGGCGATGCTCTCAAAGGGGATCAGGCCGCGCGCTGTCTCGTTGGCGTCGGGCCGGCGGCGGATGGGGCAGTCCAACCGGAACGTCTTCTGGCCCGCATCCCACGTCGCACTGGTGCCGAGGCAAAACGAGTCGACGCCCTTGTCGTCTCGGACGTGCGCATGGAAGCACGTGAGGCGGGACCGTGGCAGTGTGCCGCCGACTGGGTCGCAGTACTGGATGGAGTGGTCGCGGAGGTCTTCGAGGTAGGCCGTGGTAAACCGCTGGGTGCAGAACCCGTCGTGTTTTGGCGGTGGGAGGATGGAGGGCTCGTCGAGTTCGGGGATGGAAAGCACGTCCAACGGCACGGCGGACAACGGCGCCGGCGACGGCAACCACGCGGGAAGGCCGGGAAGGCCGGAACAGCACGGCCCGCGTGCCGGGTCCCAGAAAGTGAAGACGGCCAGCGTCAGGAGGAGAGCGAGGGGGATGTAGACTGCCCGCCGTCGCAGGGGCAGAATTGGAGAGCATCGCCGCAGCAACATCATGGCGGATGACTGTGGAAAGCCCACGGGAAACGAGGATGTTGGAGAGACGTAGAAACGACAGACATGGAGAAAACAAAGGAGAGAGTCAACGAAATCATGCAGGAGAGGCGAGAATGAACGCTCCAGAAGACGGGCGTTAAAAGAAGGTTAAGACGAGAGATAGGGGTGACATTACACTGTGAGAGGCTGGACGTCGGGCCCCGTAAAGGCAGGCCCGCCTAAGGGGCTTTCCATCTTTGTTTACGGTCGTCGCCCCACCACTTTGTGCGACATACAAATACGTGTCAGGGGCTGTGTATTTCAGGCCCATGCACTGTTCACCCATGGTTCAGGTAAATGAAACGAAAAACGACAGGCAGCCATGAAAGGAGGACGGTTTTACGACGCGCCGTATACGAAAGTATGCGTCTGGGTGTGATTGTGGGGGCCGGCGGTTGGAGGCGATTTGTTAGGGGACGTTTGCGTGCGCTAGCGCTAAACCGGACATCAGACCCACAAAATACGGCGACGGGGGTTGGCTCTCCCCGGGACCCCTGCCCTGGAGGAGTAGACGCGAAAGGAAATCCGGCGACCCGCAACCATGTTAACGGCGACACCTACGGAGTAAGTCGTACATGCACGTTGAATGCAGACCCCTTATTTCCAAAACAAGCCTGCCCCTGGGCGTATTTCTTCACTCGGCCGAGACGTGATGTCTGTCAATAAACATGTAAACATGGGGTGGTGATGGCTCGTCTTCTTCGCCTATTAGCCGCAAAACGGGGGTGGTCTGGGTGTGGTCTGGGTGTGGTCTGGGTCTGCTCCCTCTGCCAAACTGCTGGCTGCGTACTGCGTCCGTCTCCGTTTTCCCACTGTTTCTACCTGGAACGGTCGTGTTACCTGTTCTCAATTTGATTTTCTTCCAATTGATATATTCTCCTTTGTTTTTTTTTTGTCTCTTTTTTTTTCGCACCGCGCAACACTCTCCTTCATCATCACCATATTGTCTCAAAGTTGACCAACCTTCGGGTCGTTACACGGAATGGTTTGTGCACCGTATCCCGCTGCGGTCCGGCTGGGAAATGTGACACTTTCCAACCACATGGTTGCTCGAGGCATGAACATGTCCATCGGATCACCACCGCAACCATTGGCCTTCATGCCGCTCGTGTACGTCAGACAGACCAAAGAGAACCTTGCTGACAGAATACTGACGAGATATGTGTGCTCGCTAGGCCGCTGAACAACACACTTCTCTACGGTACGGACGGATACTGTCTCGCGGGCAATCCGGGCGCCGGTCCGTGGACCAATGCGGGCTGTACGACGTTCCGCGGTGGCGCATACGACTCCCTGGCATCCTCCTCCCAGACCACGGTGAGCGCGAATGTATATCCATACGACGGTGCCAACGATACGGTGCTGGGGGGGTCGACATATCCCAAGTTCACGCACGTGGCCGACACGCTGCGGCTCAACGACAACGTCACCCTGGACGGCTTCCCGCTGAGCATTGCCCTGAGCGACTGGGGCGAGCAGGCGTATACGCCGATGATGGGCATCGGCCTCGGCACGAATTCGACGCTCCTGAACCTGCTCGCGTCGTCGGGCCAGATTGCCTCCCGGAGCTGGTCCTATTTCTGGGGCCGCACCACCGTCCCCGGCGGCGCGTCCGGCACGTCCGAGCAACTGGACGGCAGCGTCGTCTTTGGCGGCTACGACCGGGCCAAGGTGACAGGGGCCAAGTACACGCAGTCCATGACGGCGACCGAGCCCGGCTGCCCCTCACAGCTCCTCGTGACCATTACGGACATTGTGCTCAACTTTGCTAACGGCAGCGAGGCCAGCATCTTCCCGGCCTCGAGCTCGGCCGCGATGACGGCCTGCCTCACGCCGGCGCTGTCCACGCTGATGTGGCTGCCGCTCGACCCCTACTTTAATACCATGCTCGACTTGACGAACAACTCCATCTACGCCATGGGCCGGTCGGTCGGCATTTACTACTGGAACATGCGCTACGAACCGTCGGGGTTTGATCCGTGGGTTTTGTTCCTCCCTGTTTTTTAAGGCGATATCATGACTAACTTTGTCATACAGATACGACGGTGACCTAACCATCACGCTCCAGTCCGGCCTCTCCGTCCGCATCCCCAACGACCAGCTCGTGCGTCCCCACACCGCCATCGACCAGACCACAGGGGACATCCTCGTCAACACGACGGCGCCGGACCTCGTGATTGACTCGCTGCAGAACGTGCAGGCGACGAAGCTCGCGCAGCTCGGCTGGCAGTTTTTTTCGTCGGCGTATCTGCTCGTCAACCAGGACGCGCGTGAGTTCACGCTCTGGGCGGCGAATCCGACGGCTGCGGAGGACCTGGTCGCCGTGGACACCACGGGCGCCGACATCACAGACTTTTGCGCGGCCTCGGCGGGAACGAACACAACGGCGGGAAGCGGCAGTGCTCCCAACTCTGGGCATGCCTCGCCGCCCAAGGGCGTGATTGCCGGCAGCGCAGTCGCCGCCGTGGCCGTCATTAGCATTGTCGTTGGTCTCCTGGTGTGGTGGCTTCGGCGGCGGCGACGGCTGCAGGGGACGGCACCCGTCAGTGGTGCGGAGCAAGAGCGTCCAGGGCTCGGCGTGCCGCAAGCAGACCACGCCGCTGCGGATCACGGCAGCTTCACTGCCTACAAAAAGACGGGGTTGGACGGGAATGCACTACCGCATGAACTGTACACGAGTCCCGAACCGAATGAAATGCGGTACACGATGAAGCATGATACGGCGCCCAGAGAGCGAGTGCAGTACGAACTGGAAGGATAATTAGACCATTGTTTTCATAGATAGTTTTCACAATAGTCCGCCATAAAAGCGGGAAGGATTACCACAATAAGTACAGAGTACTGCAATAGGACATAATGCCTCACTGCAAAGACCGCCAAAAAACAGCGGCCCGCGCCAGCAAAAAGTTGCGGCCAAACAGCGCTTTCTCGCTTTAATGTGTATGAATTAACTCATTTCATATATGAAATTTCTACAAAAATACCCAATATTAAAACTTTCCATAAGTCAATATTATTTTGCGTCTTTTTTGAAGGTAACGGGGAAGGTCAGAAACCCAAACGAGTTATGTCCAATACAATACAGTCGCCTACCACCTCTCACCGATGCAATGTCAAAGAAGCCCAAACTCATAGCATAGATATTAATTTATCTGGCAGTGATATTTGTGGATCAACAACCAAAACAACCAAGGAACGACCAAGGCACCAAGACGTCATGCGACATGCCCAAGCCGCGATTCAGCCGCGTGAGATGTGTCCACTATGGTGGCCTTTTCAACAAAATTAAAGATGAAATGTAGTTTGACAAAGTGAACACAAGATGGGTTAAATCTTGCACTCTCTCAAAAGTCTGAATCTATTTGTCATCTTGACCATGTCCTCGTCCTCCATGTCCTCACGATTGGCCGTCTTGCCCCTGCTGGCATGGGCCGGTGCAGCCGCCGTGTCGCCCGACAGCATGGACATTCGAACCTGTGCACCGCGGATCCCGGCGCCGCTGCAGCGCCACGGGCGGTTTCTCTGCCCATCGGCCCTGGACGAAGCGACAGCGAGAGCAAGTGGGCCGTCGTCCTGGTCGCCATGGACGCACCTGCCCGTGTGCGCGCGAGCGAGCCAGGAGGGGGATGAGGAGGAGGAGGAGGACGACGACGACGACGAGATGGAAGATGACGACGGCGACGACGAAGACGGGAATGGCGACGACGCACCCACCCAATTCTGTGTCTACACCAACCACCGGCACGGCATCGGCGGCCTCAGCATCGTGACAACGCCCGAGACGGCGGCCGCGAGCATGGCCGTCTGGGACGAGGCGCTGCCGGCACCGCCGGAACTGGCGCGGAACGCGTCGCTAGCCTACACCGTGGTCGACGTGCCGGGCCGCGGCAAGGGCGTCGTGGCCACGCGGCGCATCCGGCAGTACGAGGCGTTCATGGTCGACTATGCGGCGCTGGCCGTGGACCTGCGGGTGGCCGGCGGGGCGGTGCCGCGCGACGAGGGCTACCGGCTGCTGGGCACGGCGGCGGGCCAGGTCAGCGACCCGGCGCGGGTGCTGGGGCTGGCGCAGACCAACACGGTCGCGCGCCACCCGGTCGAGAACGTGCTGCGGTCGAATGCGTTCCACACGGCGCTGGGCGCCAACGCCGACGACCACATGGCGCTGTACCCGGACCTGGCCCGGATCAACCATGCATGCATGCCCAAGTAGGTCAGAAGTGGGAGGGGGGGTGGGGGGGTGTACACATACTCATAGACGTTCTTTTGCTGACGACCGTAGTGCCTTTGCCCGTTTCTTGCCGCACAGCCTGGCCGTCACCGTGGCCGCGGCGCGCGACATTGCCCCGGGCGAGGAAATCACCGTCAGCTGTAGGTCCGCCCATCCTGTATCGCAGAGAATCGAGGAAGACAACAAGTCAACCACAAAAGGAAGACAACTAACGCCTGCAGACATCCCCCTCGGCCAGACCCGGGCGGCCCGCCAACAGGCGCTGCTCCGCTGGAACTTTGTCTGCCAATGCCCCCTCTGCGCGGCCGCACCCGCCGACGTGGACGCCTCCGACGCCCGCCGCATCCGCATCGACGAGCAGCGGGCCAGCGTCGAGCAGGCCGTGGCGCGGCGACACAGCAGCTCGCGCGCCGCCAAGCTGGCCGCCCTCGAGACGATCCGCGACCTGTTCCCGCGGCTGCAGGAGGAAGAGGTGTTTACGGCCTACGGCGAGCAGTACGCCAACATTGGGCGGCTGTACTGGGCGCTGGGCGACCGCAGCCAGGCGCAGTTTTACGCGCAGCGGTCGCTGGACACGCTGGCCGACCAGGGGTTTCTGGGGGCGGCGGACCGGGACAAGGTGCATCTGTTGATGAGGACGTTCTAGCGGTCTGGCAGCTACAGTCGGTTCAACGTCAAGGCACCTTCACTGCGGGATGTGCCGTATTTGCAGACTTTCTTTCCCCGGCCTCTTTGACGAGCGTTTATTTGTTTACGTCCGTTGTGGCAGGATCAGGCTTAGATGTATATGCTTCTAAGCGAACATATATGACGTGAGCAGACGGTGCATGCCCCATATCTCGTGACGTGCACAAAGAAAATAAGCGATGTCGGTTGGCCTTTCTCCAGTTGTGCATTGTACTGCGGAACCGCCTCTCTGTGGCGTCCCTGCGAGGAAGAGAAGAATAGCCGAGACTGCTGTCCTTGGCAGTCTATTTTTGTTCCCAGGCAGGGCGATGGCTAAAGGCACAGTGATGTGGTGGTGTGGCCAAGACGGAACACGGAAGGCAGTCGAATCTGGGGTGCATGTGGAAAGGAAGAAGCTAACTGGAGGATGAATGGCACAGGATCTACCGAGAGGCAACGGGTGTAGGCTCGGCTATGTTTGTGTTTCTCTGACAAACAGAAACCAGAGCGAGCCAATGGTTGTTGTGGTAATAAACGACGTCCCTACTGGCCTGATGGTTTCGACGAGGTGGTTGTTTGGATAAAAGGACGTCGTGTGCCAAGGTGAGGTGAAGAGGTCAACAGGTGGACTGGACAGTATGATGTGCTGTCGACACAATGTTGGCACAGCGCACAATGTCGATAGAGTGAGAGGCAACGTGCGCGTAGGAGAGTGTTTAACCTTGTTTTTGCTCCGTCTTTTGCTGTCCCTGTTTTCTCTGTTGTTTTTAACCGAGCCAATCGACGGCCAAACCACCGCCGTCTCTCCACATTGTATTGTTTAAAGTTGACTTGCTTCTCCACATCGTGCCTATATCCCCGTGTGTTTGTCGGCTTTGCGCAATAACAAACGAGCATCTGCCGTGTATATGAAAACTATCAAAATTTTCCTCCTCATTTGACTGCGACAACGTGACATCTCGACGGGGATACCGGCTGTAGAGACATGGGACGATGCCAAAATAGAACAGAATGGCGCGAGACACGCGAAACGAGTGCGACTCTCATTTCGACTGCAATTGTTCCGTCGTCCGACGACCGCCGGCAGTTGGCGATGGCAATTTCAGATGAGGCCTTGGCTGGTCAATAAAGACGCAATACTATACACGGCCCAACCGGGGTAAGGTGATTTCAAAGATGCGTTGGAAGGCCGTGAGGAAGAAAGGAAACGAGAGAAAGCATGGGGGGAAGCAGCAAGCCGAAGCGAGGCAGCCCTCCCGACTGTCCTGCTCGCTTGGTTGTATATATGTAGCCAAGACCCGTCTGGAGATGCTGGTTTGGACGGTTCCTCTTCCCTTGACACTTGCTCTCCGTCCTTTTCTTCTGCCCTTCCCCGCAGACACTGACATAAAGCCCTGGTGTGTTTCAGCGGTCATAGCCAGAGACACTCTTACACACAAAACCTCCCATCCACCATCACCATGTTGACCTCCTCTCTTCTCCTCCTCCTCCAGCTGGCGGCGTCGGCGTGGGCCCACCCGGCCGGCCACGAGGAGCATGTGCCGCAGCCGCTGGAGCGGCGCAACCTGGACCACTGCGACGCAGCGTTCAACGAACCCGAGTTTGTGGCGCGGACGGTCGAGAGCCACGGCCGCGAGTACGCGCGGCTGCGGCGGGCGCTGGGACTCGAGGCGCCGGAGCCGGCCGACCTGGCGGCGGCGGTGCTGAAGAAGGCCAAGGCAAAGCGCGCCGCGGCGCTGGACAAGCGCAACTACATTTCCGTGTCGAAGATCGACCACAAGAGCAACAAGACGGTGACGGCGGCGACGGACCCGGTGTCGCTGTTCAGCGACGCCGGCGCGTGCATCCTGATGCCGTCGGTGGACCAGGGCCCGCTGTACGTCAAGGGCGAGCAGGTGCGCAAGGACATCACGGAGGGCGAGGCCGGCATCAAGCTGACGCTCGTCGTCCAGGTGGTGGACTACAAGACGTGCAAGGCGGTGCCGGACGCGTACGTGGATATCTGGAGCTCCAACTCGACGGGCGTCTACGTCGGCGTGCAGGGCTACCCGGGCATGGGCGACCCCAAGGACGCGTCGATCCTCAAGGGCACGGCCCTGCGCGGCATCCAGCTGACCGACGACCACGGCGTCGTGTCCTTTGACTCGGTCGTGCCCGGCCACTACGCCGGCCGCGCCACGCACATCCACACCATTGTCTACCTCGGCGCCACCAAGCAGCCCAACAACACCATCACCGGCGGCAAGGCCGCGCACGTCGGCCAGCTCTACTTTGACCAGCCGCTGCTGACGCAGGTCAACAAGGTCCAGCCCTACGAGACCAACACCATGGCCATCCTCGCCAACACGGCCGACTTCTTGTTCCAGCAGGGCGCCAACGGCGACGACCCCATTGTGCGCTACGCCCTCGTCGGCGACAAGCTCGAGGACGGCATGGTCGCCTGGATCCGCTACGGCATCAACACCGCCAACAACCTGGCCGTCAGCCCGGCCGCCTTCATGACCTCCTCGGGCGGCGTCATGAACCCGGACGGCCCCGTGGCCAAGATGAACCAGGGCGGCGGCTTCTTTGGCGGCTTTGGCGGCTTTGGCGGCGGCGGCTTCGGCGGCGGATGGGGCTTTGGCGGTGCCAACACGGGCAAGACGGCCAAGACGACCAAGACGAAGCGGTTCCGGGCTCTGCGGGACGCCATTGGCATGTAGGGGGTGCCGGGAGAGGGTGGTGAACGGCCAGAGGCTGTTGTAGGTAGCAAGTAGTGTCACATGATCACACAACATGAACGCAGCATCCAATACAGATCAACAGATCAATACAAGTCACGTAAAGCAGTCAGCCCAGTCCATGCATTCTTTTCATCTTGTCAATTGTTCTTATCATCTCTCCCCCACCCCACCTACTCCGCCGGCAGAGCGCCCGACCGCTTGGCCGTCCACGTCGCCATCGCGTCCATCAGCGCCGGCGACAGCGCGTCGTACGGCTCCAGGCCGACGCTGCGAAGCTTCGCGCGCACTGTGTCCATGCCCGCCGGCGCAAACCCCTGCTCAATCAGCGACGACACAAACGCCGCAAACTGCGGCTCCTGCCAGCGGCCCGGCGTCGCCGCCAGCTCGGCGTGCACAAAGTCGAGGCCATGGAACGGGTGGTCCTTTTCGATGCGGCCGTACAGGTGGACGCCGCAGGCCGTGCAGGCGTGGCGCTGGATGGCGGCGGCCGGGTCGAGGACCTGCAGTTTGGCCGCGTTGGCCGTGACGGACAGCGCGTCGCGGGGGACGACGCCCACGACAGAGAAGAGGGCGCCCGCGGGCTTCCAGCACTTGGAGCAGCCGCAGGCGTGGTTGTGGAGCACGTTGCTGGTCAGCGTGACCTCGACGGGGCTGGCGGCGCAGTGGCAGCGCAGGACACCGCCGGCGAGGTCCGCGTCGCCCTTGGTGAGGCCGTTGTCGATGAGCGGGTGGAGCGACGGGGCGGCCATTGTGGTGTTGATAATGGTAGTGGTAATGGTAGTGGTAATGGGAATGGTATTGATTCGGTTGTTTGCTGTAGAAGGATGACTGACTCGATTCTGTGTGTTGTCGGCGTGAACGGCAGACACAATTCGGCTCAGTTACAGAGATGGTGCCGACCTTTATACTCGACGAGCGCACACACAACTACCGAAGTGTCTCCATCTCGTCAGCCATACATCCCGAACTGCAGGCTTATCTGTGCCCTACAACAGAGCGGTCATTACCCGGATCGCACGTCAGCATATGGCAGGCTGTCCCCTGCCTCTTCCTCGAGTAAGCTTCCTTTTTCAACGCTGCCTTCTCATTCAAGTTGACTTACAATCAACTCTAGACGAACATACCTATCCGTTACATAACTGCATCGTTTCTTGGCGGTCTTGGCCCGTTATATGTTGTCGTTATTACGGGTCGGCGTCCAGGGGAGAACTCGGAATCCGTTAGGGTTAATCCGTAATGCAGCAAGGCATGTAAGGCGTAGAGGGACACAATACTGGTAAGAGTGTAAGACTGTCACTGTTGTGTTTGCATACTCTCGGCAATCACCGTCAAAGCGGGGATGTCTTACCTTGCCGTCACTGATCCAGCTATACTGACCTGTTGTTTCGGTTTTCTTTTCGCTTCCCTCTCTGAACACAATCGGAAGAATGCAATACCAACTGAGGCCGTGTCCGGTCCAATTCCCAAGCTTAGGCCGACCGTTGACAGATGTGACAAGCGACTTGCTTGTCGAGTCCATCCCAAAGAGGAAATAAACATCGATCCGATGTAAGATGCTTGTCGGTAGTCGTGGGTCGCCTTACGGTGTCATGCCGTCCAAGAAGTCAGGATGAACAGTAAATGGAGCATAACACCAATCGCTACAAGTCGTTATCGTTTGTAGTCCGGCGTTCGTCGATCCCATGGAGACGTGGAAAGTGTCTGCGAGGACAGGGCGGCCCTGGCTCGGCGCTCGGAAATTCGGCTTTGTATTCTGTATTTCCCCCCTGCTTTGCTACTAGTATACTCTGTAAGTGCCGTTTGCGGGGCAAGCACATCATTTTCGAGGTGAGCAGCGAACCTCCACGCGGCTTCTGTCCCGTCTTGTCAGGGCTGACCGGAACCATAACCATCCCCAAGATGTCGCCATCGTCCGGATCGTCTCCATTGTGCCGGGCCGCAGCCACGACGAAGATGACCAAAGAAGTGCGTGAGCCATCCCAGCAGCAGATGCGGACCAATTGCTTATTGGTAAATGAGGCACTGTGACAGGTTTCCATTCTGTCTTTGCGACATTTCCTCCTGTCGTGGCCGTTCTTAAGATTGAAAGTACGTCAACAGAAAAGGAAGTGGCTGTAGCCAATAGAACCGAGTCGCATGTTCATTCACACTGTGTGTTGTGGCTGGGGGAGAACTTGCACTGGAACATGATTGTTAGCCGTTACTCGAAAACAAGGATTTCTCTTGGCAACGTCGTTATGTTAGTGAATCGGAAGAGACCAACGTACCATAACGAACTTACAGTAACAGACTTTGCAGTATTGAGACTTGATTTACTTGCGACATTCGAAGTTCTGAGAGCTGGGGACGTGGGATTTAAATATCCAGCCAGTCCAATTGATAGCTCAGTTTTACGCACCTTGATGAACAGGAAACCAGTAGGCATGCCACCCATATTGCTTTTGAAGGCGTCCCCGCGTTCGATACGAATGGTGCATAATTCTTGGATTGTCTCCGTTGATTACTATTCACAAACGTGGTGGGAAGAGACCTGAACAATTGGCATGCAAATTTCTTGGTAAACGCTCACTGCTTCACGGGATGCACCTATCTATCCAGTCATAAGAAGCGAATTTATGACAGCTGAAACTCAAAAAATACCCGCTAAATAACCAAACAAAAACTTCCAAATCAATACGAACGATGATTCGTACCCAAAACAACGCTTGCTGTCACATAAACAAAAAAGAAAGAGAACCCATTTCCAAGGGACACACTACCCCACACGCTCCATCTCCTACCCGCCGCTACGCAGCCTTTGGCACTTCGTGCGGATACGGCTTGCGGCCGTACATGACGTACACGGGAATGTAAAAGTGCACGTTGGTGTTCTGCACGTCCTTGCGCACGTCCATAAGCAGCAGCTCCACCTCGGCCGGCGTCATGCCGAGCCCCCGCGTCAGGACCGTCATGGTGATGGCCTGCATGCCGTCCAAGAAGTTGGTCATCTGCCAGAGCCCCAGCGTCTTGGCCGCGCGGCCCTTGGGCCACGGGTTGCCCGGCAGCGCATAGCGCTCCTCGACGACGTCGACGAAGCCGACGTCGCGCATCATGCCGGCGAGCTTGGGCGTGACGAGCATGTCGCGGCCGAGGCGGCGGCCGGCCTCGGCATACAAGGTGTCGAGGCGCGTCAGGGCGCTGCCCTGCAGCGAGTCGTCGACGGCGCGGAAGCGGCTCATGTAGTCCTGCCACTCGACGTAGCCGCCGGGGCGCAGGTGGTCGTAGGCGGACTGCAGGATGCGCCGCGGGTCCTGGAAGGAGTGCCACAGCAGGCGCAGGTGCACAAAGTCAAAGGGCGACGCGTACGTCCAGTCGTCCTCGGCGTCGTCAATCTCGAAGCGGCAGTTGGGCGGCACAAAGTCCGGCTGGATGGGGCTGAGGTCCGTGCCAATCACCTGCGCCGCCGGGTGCGCCTGCGCAAACTCAATCGCCCAGATGCCCGTGCCCGTGCCGACGTCCAGCACGCGCTGCGGGTCCTCAATGGGCGCGCGCGCCAGCTGGCCCTTGAGCAGGAGCACAAAGATGGCGTGCTGGAGGTCGAGGCGCTCCTGCTCGCTCTTGTCGTTGGGCATAAAGTATTCTAAGCGGTCAGAACGCGGTCAGAAATGACTGTAAGTGTGGGGGGGGGGGGCTCAGAGAATGGACGTACTGCCCTGTTTGTATTTGTGAAAGGTGCGCCCGTTTTCTTCGACAAACTCGTAGATGCTCGAGCGGACCGACTGTGTAGAGGATCTATCGTGCAGTGTTAGGGCGCGTGGACAACATACAAGTCAACAGAGGCAGGAGAATGCGGGACCTACGGAGCATCAACATCGCCCAGGGCAGAGTCGGCATCTGAGTCAATCTAGCAGTGTCAGTACATCTTTGTGAAAAGCGGGATGACTTGATATGTGGCACCGCCGTTGGACTCACGCTCAAGCCTGTACTAAACAACGACGACGCTGTATCGGTCGTCTCGTCTTCCAGCCGCGGATTTTGTGTCGCCGAAATCGATGTCGGCTCCGTATGCTCGTCGGAGAAGCTCTTTCCCGTATATGCGTTTTTGTCTAGTTGGGTCGGTTGCTGTGGTGGCGGTGGTGGTGGTTGTTGTGCTGATAACAGTTCTGGAAGCTGTGGCGTAAGATGTGACCCGGGGAGAACTTCACTTGGCTGTGTTGTCTGCTGTGATAACGAGGATACTTGTGGTTGTTCGTTGCGGGCAGTGTCATTGCTCGATTCGTATGGGCTTGGCGCGGCTGGTGGGTTGCTTGCGTGAGAGACAATATCTCTGTCCACTGCTTCTGCTTCTGTTTCTGCCGTCGCTGTTGCGCCTGTCTCCGTTGTGCCCTCGGTTGGTAGATGGGACGAATGTGTCGGCGGTGTTGCCAGAAACCTCGCGACTCTCTCCACCGTTGTCTCTGTCGCTTCTGTCGCGTTCGCGTCTGTTGCGCCTTGCGCTTCTGTTGGTTCTGTTGCTTCTGTCGATTCTGCCGCGTTTGGTGCGTCTGGTGCGTCCTGTGCTTCTGCTATTGGAGCCGTCGGCGGCAGAGACTGTGCTGGCGTTTCTCCCGGATGTTCACCATCCATATGTTCTGTCGACGTGTCTAGCACCGCATCCGCCTTGCTGCTTGCATGTGGTTCCACTGCTGGATCTGTCTGGGCCCCGTCGGCCGTCGCTGGCTGTGGATCCAGCTCCATTTCGCCTATTGTTGCCGTCCTTTTTCAGGGGTTTGTTGTCGTTCGCCGTGCTTGTTAACATCTAATTATGTATGTCGGCGGGACAGCTCGGAGTTGGCGTTCGAGGTATGTGTGGAGAGATTGTAGTTTGTCGTGATTGACTTCGACGTCGTTGGGGTGGATGAATGACGTCGACGTTGTTTTCAATGTTTTGGTGTGTCACAGCGTTTCCGATCAGATCTGCTTATGAATATCGGATTGGGGACTTTCTTTTTCGGTACCGATGTAATTTCTTTTTCGTCGCCTACTCGCAATGTTGACAGGAAGCGCAATGATCGGCGGTTGGGAGGGGACGTGAGTTGTCTGTGTAAGAACCAAGGGGAAGAAGAACGGGGAGGATTTGCGACAGAAAGGTACGAAATGTGAGTTGGCGAAAGCGGGAAATGGCGGACAGAGAAAGCAGTGTCTTAGTTGTGGCAAGCGGCAAGCCCTAGAGACGGAGATTGCACGTTGTTCACGATGAAGAGTGAAGGATGATGTATGTGGGGGAAATATGATGCGTCAGGTGTCAGGAGTAAAGGAACAAAAAGCATTGAAGAAGGGACAAGGAAAACAAAAGAAAACGTGGGAGGCAGGGGTGTTGAGGGCGGTGGAGTTCACTCTGAAGTCCGGTCGACGGATTGACTGGAGAGACGAAAAGGAAAATCGGCTCGCGATCCAGGCGAGCTTGTCAAGCTAAATGGCAGCCACTACAAGCCGTTGCAACCAAGCGTGGTGTCCGAGGGTGAGAGCCGGAGGAGTTAAGCGAGGAGGGAAGGATGACGATAAAGAAATAGAAGCAAACGGAGGAGTACTTGACAAACTGGAGCATTTCGTGCACTCCGATGCAGAGGGCACGGCACAGACAACGCAAAAGAGCACCGTCAGACAGACAAGCATTCAAAAAAAAAAGATTAGTGATGGCACCATGGGGCATGAAAGAAGTCTTTTCCTCTTTTCTTACGTTAACGGCTTGCACGCCGTTGAACCGCATTCTGTACGACCTTCCTGCCAGCTTGTCACGTTGGCATTTGCGATACATCCCTGCCGTCTCGATGCCACCCGAGGGATGCCACACTGGCTGTCGTCCGCTCCATTCCGAGTGTTTTTCTTTGGCCGCAACAGGTCACCCGCACACAAAAACACAAATCAACAACGCACGCAATACGTGTCGCCATTTGCTCTGGTCAGAAGCAGAGCCCATTGTCGTTACTGTCTTCTGTGCAGCCATCTGTGCTTGTCATTCCATTGGGCAGGGAGAGGATGCACAAACCGAGTAGTGAAAGCGACGGATGGCGGAACAGGGACGTGAGTAAGGGACACGACAAGTGGTGAGGGGAAAGAGAAAAATAAGGCCGTTGGACAGGTTCTCGAAAAGGGATCTTAGCCGCCAACGGCCAGCCGAACGGGCCGCCGCTAAGCCTGTTTAGTGGCCGTGCAGCGGCTCGAGATATAGCGGGGTGTGCCCGTGTCCAGAACTCAGTGTGCCCAGTCTCCCAGTGTGACTGCCCTGTGGAGTGCTGGTTTTTCACTCTCCGCGTACGAATGTATCTTCCTAAATTTACGACACGACGTTCTTGGAAAAGTCCGTTCGGGATGAGACACAGTCAATGTAATAAGAACAAGGAAAATGAGGCGGGTGCGGGAAAGAAAGAACATAATAAAATGGGACGGACACCGTCAAATGGGAGGCAACGCCGTTGGCAGACCACCAGCCACCAAAAAAACAGGCAAAAAGGACCGACGAACCATCCTGACCCATGGTCCAGCGTCTGTTGGGGTTGCAGATTGCGCAACGTACGACGGTCGACTTACGTGTGAATACCTGCGTGCGCACAAACGCACACGACCCCCTTCAACCGCGTAATGATAAATGCCGCCCACCCACACGTGAAAACAACAGAACATTCCAAGCCTTCAAACGCCAATCATCGTCACCTGGTAAAGTGATGGCCCGGATCCGAAGATGTCACAGGGACAGAGGGCGGATGGGAGCCTTGCCACTGATTGACTGTTGTAGTCGCACTGCATGGAGCATGGAAACAGAACAGTGAAACGACTGGCGAGGACAATGGGTCGACGGACTTGTCTGTAATCGGCGGTATTGCTAGTGGAATGACAAAAATAAGTACGTATGGTAGACGCTACAGATTAAATCGAGAATGTGCGCCGACAAATTGGCATTTCGCGGGTTCGCCCTTCATTCATTTATGAGACGTACAGCCTGTCTTATTTCTTTCTTCCAGAAAGAAAAAAAAAACATGCTGTGAATATGCATTTGTTATCCTGCGAGGAATCAGACTGCACAAGTAAGATGCCTCGTGTAAACGACTCGACCTTCTATGTCCCTAGACAACTACAAAACAAGAAATTCTTCTTGTTCTTCAAAAAAAAAAGAGAAAAAAAAACCTTCGTTCTCCCATTACCTGTTTTCATACATTTGTCCAGCTACTTCGACACAAGGGAGGTGGGTAGTTCAGTCACTGTTTTGTGCTTGGTGCAGCGTTGTTAGTTCATCTCGGTGACTTGTTCTCTTTGGCTGTTGGACGTGACCAATGGACAGGCCGAACTTGGTGTCGTGCGTAGGGAGAGTACACATCCTCAGGTTATCAAAAGAAAGGCAAAAACAAATGGCTACGTGTAGTCTCTCGCTCATTTCCCTGTGCCGTTTTTTTTTCTCTTTTTTTACTCCGCGTAGTTGTTGAAGTAAATACGCCTCTGTACGATGTTTTGTCGCGCCATTTCGTGCCATCGCTCTGCTGTGCCAGTGCGAGTTAACCACCAACATGGTGCAGTGAAGAATACGAATGTAGGGCCGGGGAAAAAATACACCGCGCTATCCCTCCAGGGCCACAAACGACGATGTCTAGCTTAGGTAGTCTTGTCCATCTCCATCTCCGCTACTTCTGTAAATAAGCCTTGCCCCGACACGCGCACCTGGCATCGGCCCTGCCCATGTCCGCTAAAGCTTCGGCGCGCCAACGACGCCAACGACACCACTATTGTCCCATTCTCAGTTATCGCTGATCTGGTTCGCGACAGGCCGGTCCCAGCATGCCGTACAAACTGCTGGGGCTTGGGGCCACATGCTACGTCACGAAAACCGACAACAAGACGGTCTTGAAGGGCTACCAGGTCTGACGAGACGGGGCGTACTACATTGGCCGAGACGAGTGCGAGGACGACCTTGTCCGGGAGGCCACCATCTACCGGCACCTCGGTAGCCACCCGCAGATACTCGAGTGCTTCGGCCTCGAAGAGCAGTGTCCCGGCGTCCACTCGCTCCGCCTCGAGCTTGCTCCGCTGGGCTGCGTCCGGCAGTTCATTGCCGAGCATGCAGACGTGCCTCTCCCACGACAGACCCGGATCGGGATGGCGCTCGACGTCGCGCAAGGCGTCGCATACCTCCATGCACAGGATGTGCAGTACTGCGACTTAAGCTGTCGAAATGTGTTCCTCTTTGACGGATACCGTGTGAAGCTGGGCGACTTTGGTGCGTCGCTCCTCGCCGGCTACGACTTCAAGCCGACCTTTAGCGAAGAGGCCCAATACGAACTGCCACTGCGCGGACGAAACTTCAAGGATTGGCCGCCGACAAAACGAGACCTCTTTGCATTGGGGTCGGCCATCTACGAGATCACAATGTGGAAAAGGCCATTCCAGGGATTATCCGATGAAGAGGTGGAATCGAGCCACGCGGGGGAAACGTTCCCGTCTCTCGAGGGCAACATGGCGGGTCCCATAATACAGAGGTGCTGGGACGAAGAATTCGACAGGGCCGACGAGGTCGCGGAGGCGTTGGCACGACTGGTCGCGATGGGTGCTGTAGAACCCGACGCAGACGACGACCGGCTCCAGCGACGAGGCGTACACGTCCCGCAGGCCTGCGGCTGGCCCACGTAGTGACGACTTTAAAGGACAAGGCCATGGTGAATTAGAGGGCCCTGGGGAGAAAAGAGGGCGTCCACCGTAGAAACGCCGAGTTGGCTTCCGTCGAAGAAGGCAAACGGATATAGACAAAGCGAATGAACACGAGTCGTCCTGTCTCGTGCATATTGGGTCCAGACACAGTGGCCTGGGCCAATATCATGCGACGAGGGAGGTGTAGGAAACCGCAGTACACCTTTCCCGGGCAACAAATCGGTAGACAGAGCCAGTCGCCCGTCCGTGACAGCCGCCAAGAGAGACAGGGGAGGTGTGCCGCAAAAACTGTTGACCGGTACGAATGGAGCGTCGGCAACTTTAGCATTCTGGAAGGGGTGGCTCCCTTCCACCGTCCGGGCGAGCCGGCGGGCCACGGTAGCACCGAAATCTTGACCAGTGGTGCTCTACGTAGCTGGAAGCGACAGGAACAGAATGAAATGTTCAGCATCGTCGTAGGAGCGCTATGGAAGGAAGACAGAAGAGAAATGCATTGCAAAGACAATATGCTATATGCTGATCCAATCTCCGTCTTATGTATGTCGCTGTCACCAACGCGTCACATACCACCGAGTATCTACATAGCCGACCGTCGGCGACAACCCGGACAGCACCTACACCGTCGACTTGACCGGTGCCGTCGTCTTGACGCTCAGGGGCGCGCTATTGGCATGCACCTTGTTGGCCTCGTTCCACATTACCGTCCAGAGGCCGTCGGTGCCGGGCGCTGCTAGGGCCCAGAACTCGGAGACGTACGACGTGGTGCCGTCGGCCTTCTCGACGGCGACGATGACGTAGGGACCGTAGGCGATGAAGCCCGTCGTGGTGGCGCCGGCTGGCGCGTCCGACGCGTCCGACACGAACCCGGCCTGCGCAAAGGAGTCGCCCCTTTCGGATGCGGAGACAATGTAGAACAACGAGCCAGGGGTCATGTTCGATGCACCCGTGCTCGGCGCCACCGTCCAGGCGTCTTCGCCGGTCGTGTCGATGGTCCAGGTGATGGCGGTCAGGTTCCTAAGGGCGGCAGCCGTGGGAGTCGCCACGTAGGCGAGGTCTAGACGTCTGCGTAAGTGAAGGGTCCGAAATGGTGAAAGAAAAAGAAAAAAAAATAACAGGTGGCTTCGCAGACGCATTAGAACGTACTGTCAGCACCCGCGTAGATTGGGAGACCCGAGATGTTGGTGCCGTAGGCAATCAACTGGACGGTCTCGGTGGTGCGCTTGTGGGCGACACGGTCAGCATCCACTTTGCCCGCGATGGCCGACGGTGAGGCGAAGGCGGCGGCTACGAGCAGGCCGACAAGGGCTGCAATAGTTTGCATCTTGTGAAGAGTGTGTGAGAATTGACGACGTTGCTGAAGTAGGGGATAAATCTTGTGACGGTGAAGGGCAGAAAGGGCATGAACTATACTGAGCTGCTCCTTGAAGGATAGTGACGGTGGAAGAAACAGGCGGAGTGGTTGGTATATATGTCCCGAGGAGGATTCAGGTCGCGCCCCGTTAATATACGATGACTTCGCCCAGGAGGGAAGTTCACTGCCAGGACGAGGCACAGGCTGGCCGCAGTCGACACTGCAGATCTCTCATCTCCCCCTCCCTTGTCCGTATGTCCGTCCCGTCCACGCAACCGCATGTTACCAGGTGTAGTTCTTGCCCTGCGTGGTGTGTTTTTGCGGATGACAGGGACAACGGAGCCCACGGGACCATATCGAGATCCTACGAGGCCTGTGCCGCAGCCGTTAGTATTTTCTGTGCACCTTGCACTCCGCCCGGTTGATGGATGACGAATCACCGGGAAGACTTGCTGCCCACAGGCAGGGGATTAAAAAATTTTAGATGAATGAGGAAGTTACCTTGTTTTACGTCGAGGGAAATTTCTGGGTGTGCACAAATGTGAAGATCTTGGCTGATGAGATGATGGTTGTTTACGTTTGTGTTCTTCTCCAAATGGTAGCTGACGAATGGGTCGCATACGCTACATCCACGACGTGTTTATGCTCCGTCTGTTTCCACGCCCAAGCTACATCGGAAGACGGTTTGAAAACGAAACAAAACACTAGAGGTCGGTAGCCTTGATTTGGTTTGTTTTATTTACTTCCGCATTCTGCCATTCTGTTTCACCGGCTGTATATTTTCCTATTCAAGTCGGTCTTGTCCTAGTCTGTCACTTCCAATATCTGCTCAGATGCTTATCTGCTTCTTTGCCAAAACATATGCTGTGTCACGCTGCGCGCATCCACGACTATTCGCAAGACAGACATTGTGTGTCGGACACGTCCGGGACACCTTCCGTCCCGCCATCAGATCCCGGCCAGCTTCGCCTTGAACAGCCGCGGGAAGATGGCCGGATCGGGACGCGGGGCACCCTCCGGCTGAAACCCCTTCTCCGTGGACGCGCCAGGTGGGAGCAGCTGGATGCCGGCGCCCTCGAGGTCGGCACGCGACAGTCGGGCCACACGGACACCCGGCTGGGCGGCCGTGACGGCCGCCTCGACCTCGTCGGCGTCGGCGTCTTCGCCGGCCAAGAGACCAGCAACGACGAGAGCCTTGGCGGCACCGGACGAAAACAGGGCGGGCAGGTCGGCCACGGCCTCGGTCTTGTCGAGGACGACCTTGATGACTGGAATGGTTAGTGGCGAGGTCAGACGAAAGGTGGAATGGTGCGGGGACACCGTAAGGTCAAAGGGGGTGGCGTACCCTCATACTCCGGCTGGAGAGTCTTGGTGAGGTTGTTGCCGGCAAGGGCCATGTTGGAGTAGACGACGACGGGAATGGCCATGTTGGTGGATGGCGTGTGTGGTGGCTTTTGTTGGTAGCGATAAATTGCTGGTATGATGCTGATGAGATGGTGATGAAAAGGATCAAAGTTGGTAGGCATGGCGTGCGAACATCTCTTTTATATGTAGTTTCTCCCCCTCCCCTTCGCATTCACGATATACGTCGTCCCGGGTGAATTCATGGCCACTTCGGCACTTGCATTCAATTCACAACAGCGACCCGTTCAGCACAGACGTAATATCGGGCAGTTGCAACCATCCGTGAATCTCGATTCTTCGAGTCATGCTGCTGCGTTGGAGGGCCAACAAACGAATTTGGCTGCCTTGTCACACTCGTCAAACGGCTTGTTGGTGACGCTCAGCAGCGGAGCACGGCGTCTACGTGCGCGACGTTGCCGTCCTTCGCTGGCCCCATTCACGGCATTCGTACGCTCCATCGGGGGATCGGGGTTGCCTTAGCCCCGAGGTGCGTGTTGGTCCACGGTAGATACCATAACGGGACGCACAAGAAGGTCTTGGCACGCAACAGCTGAAACCTTACAAGCCAGTTGCGGCCCTTGTTTTCAGCAACGCGAAATACGGTGTTGCATTTGTGGCGTTGGGCCTTCTGGGAGCGCGAGCTGCAGAGCAGACCGTGAACGAAACCAGCAATTGTTGTAGAGAGAATGAACGTGCGGAGTTGACGATCAATTGACAGAGCCCCCGGACGTGGAGCAGCATCTACTGGCGAGCTTGAAAACGAAAACCAGGCGTTTTGTTCAACGTCCTGTCTATGTACCTACGCCGCAGACTCGTCTTCTGTCTACCCCGTCCTCCCCATCTCTAATAGTGCAGCGCCTTGTGCAGGACATTGACCAGCGGCCGCCCCGCGTGCAGGCGCTGCAGATTCAGCTCCAGCACGCCCAGCAGCCGCTCGCGCATGTGGTGCGACTGCCAGCTCACATGGGGCGCGATGAATACGTTGGGGGCCTTCCAGAGCGGGTGGCTGGCCGGCAGCGGTTCTGGGTCGGTCACGTCCAGCGCGGCGCCGGCAATTTGGTGGGCGTGGAGGGCGTGCAGGAGGGCGTCGGTGTCGACGACCTTGCCGCGGGCAACGTTGACGAGGTACGTCTTGGGCTTGGCCGCCCGGCTCGCATCGAGGACGGCAAACTGGTCGGGTCCCAGCAGCTTCGCGGTGTCGGCCGTCAGCGGCGTGGCCACGACGAGCAGGTCGAGGTCGCGCGCGAGGAAGCGGTTGACCTCGTCGGCGCTGGTGCCGTGGAACCATTGGGCCGGCAGACGGCCCTCTGGGTCGCCGGTGCCCGGCACGCAGTATGTATCCGGGTCGGCGCGCGACGCGGGCGTGGCGCGCTCGCTGCGAGTGTAGGCATAGACTTCCATGCCCAGGGCCGTGGCCAGCCGGGCGACCTGCCGGCCAATGGCGCCATAGCCAAGGATGCCGCTGGTGGGCGACCGTTGGGGTTAGCGAGAGCCGAGCGGAGAGAGGATATAGACACGTTGAGAAGGCGACACATACATTCGTGTGTTGGTCGAGTCTTCGCCCATGTGGTCCATCCGGTGCTGCCAGGCGTCGCCCGTGGCCATGTGCCTAGCAATGGACAGGAAGTGGTGGCGGGCCATCAGCCACGCGCCAATCACCCATTCTGCGATTTGAGGCCTGGACGGCGCAGGGCGGTTAGTCAGCAATCCACAGCAGCGTTGATTGTGCGGGAAACCGTGGGAGACGGAAGACGTAAGACGTACGCATGCGTCCCGTTGCCGGTGCAAATGGTCAGGTCGGGCCGCTGCAGCGTCTCGTGTGCAATCCAGCGGTCTGCCCCGGCGGACGGCACCTGCACAAAGCGCAGGCCCGGCAGTGCCGTCGTGGGTTTGAGCGTCGTCTCCACGGCATACGAAATCACCTTTTGCTCCGTCGTGCGCGGCGGGCCGTGTGCCACCAGCAGCGTGACGCCGTCCCAGACATCGGCCGACAGACTGTTGACGTCTCGCGTCTGGCCGGTGGCCGGGTCGGTGTGGCTCTCGACCCGGACGGTCAATCCGGGGTAGGTCGCCTTGATGCGGTCGACCCAGGCGGCGTCCGGAAGCGTGCGGTCGGGTAGGAACAGGAGCAGCGTGTCCTCGGGACCGATGCCGGCGGTGGCCATGGTAGGATCGATACGGCGCGACGGGATGGGCTGTGCTGTAGGCTGAGTGTTCGAGTATGTCTTCTAACGGATCGCGGCAGTTGACAAATGCCGTAGACTGTCGTCCGTTCCGGTCCCGTACGAACTCGTTGCGCCGTCGCGTATTGGCAATGGTGGAAGCCGTCAAGCAAATGATGCAATGTGGTCAAGGTTTAATGACGGGCGACGGCGATAAGGCGAAAGATGTGCGTCTACTCCGTAGTCGCTCCAATTATTAGTTCAGGCTAGTTCAGGAACCACTTGCAATGCACGGCGATAACAACATGGCGAACGGAAACAAGAGGAGCCGATTGTCGCAAGAAACATACGAAATAGTCAGATGCTCATTTGCAATAGCCATCCCGCCGCACGTCTGCGTTTGCGTCGGTCCGTTTCAGCCAACACGCACTCATGGACATCACAGGTTCAAAGTCGTGGTAGAACAAGTTGAAACCTTTCAATATGGTATTCACTCTATATTATATTTAGAGGCAGAGCACTATCCAATATATTCCAGCCAACGGGAGGTTGTGAACAGAAAAGATGGAAAAAAATTAAAATTCATTAAAAAAGGATTTAAAAAATCGCCATCTACAGAACTAGTACGAAATACCAGACAAAATTAAATACACAAATGTCCTGTCAAAATCTTCAAACCTGGTACTATTCTTATTTCTATTGACTTGTTCTCCAGATACATTCCCTCTCCCAAAGTCTAGACCCACACCTGCACCGATTGCCGACATCTGACAAGGACGTCAGTGGCGCTGATTCCTTGTTGGAAAGTACGCAGTGATAAAAGGAGGCTGGTTCTCGATTCCTTGTTTGTAGTCAAAGGGAAAATGGGGAGGCACAAATGATTGAGACAAAAGCTTTGCGACAACACAGTCTTCATGCGTTGCATGGACTTCTTTTCCTGGTCCGCTTGGACGCCACGGCACTTTTCGTGTGGCAGAACAAGACTAGTCCGTTCGTCCAACGCCACAGCACACGAGCGAATGCAACGTCGACGACCGAGTGTTGTACGGTCCCGACAAGGTGGTCGTCAGGTGGTTCTTCTTTTTTGGGGTAGTCGTTCTCCAGTTTCGCGTACAGAGTATGGATAGCGTGGATCGAGAGTGCGGACGAGGTCCAAGCGCATGCTAGATTTTTTCTGCTCGCAAACACGTCTGTTTTCCAATGAGACGACACGGCTCCAGTCGTCTGAGGCCCGCTTTCCGCTTTGACAATGCGCGTCAAAGTCATTGTCTGTACGTCGCATCGTGTTTTGCGTCGCAAGGGCAGGGTTTGACAACTGTACCAAACATGAAGTATTGAATGCTTCATCACATAACCGCAGTCCTACGCTGTTTACATGGGATCACTGGGTCGCCTTTTCAATTGAATGGTAAATGTACATCGTGAAAAGAGACGACGAGACGACAACAACATCAAACAAGGTGTGCTTCTTGTGCATGTCAACGGCCCGTCACATTTTGAGATGCTCCATTCGAGATGCTTTCGCTCTCTTCCATCCCCGCCTTCCCTGCAATTGCTTGGACGCGGGCTCGAGCCCAAGAGCCTGGGTCATAGCAATGGATCGTCGACACGCTCGCTGCCTGCCGGGCCCATCGATTGCGGAGAAGCCAATTGGCAGCGAGGCGCATCGAGGCGCGTCGACGCTCGTCCTTGTCTTCATTACGACTAGCTGTCCTAGCTGTCCCGGCTGTCCAACTGTCCCAGTTTGCCTTCACTCACTGTCTCGTTCGGCTCCACCATGCCCGTGCGGGCGCTAACACACACTAATGAACCGCTGGCCCCAGCGTCTCGCCTTGGCATCACTGACCGGTCTGGGGTTGACAGGCTAGGATATCGTGTTTGTGTATTTGTGTGTTGTGGATTCAGTGGCCAGTATGGTCAGAGTGTTTTGTGTATTCAGCATGGTCACTGTGGTCTGTCGGGAGGCTGGCGCGATTGACGCTCGCAAAGGTCTGGATGATGTACGGCGTGGCGAGGACAAGGAACATATAAGTACGTCTGGCCACGGCATCGATTGTTGACTATATTCTCGTTGAACTATTTTATCTGGGACACAAGACAATCGGCTCTTTGTCCACTTTTATTTGTTTTCTTTCACTGCTTCACCCTACAATGGCTGCCCCTCCCACGACGGGCCCTCCCACGGCGGGCCCTCCTATGGCCGGCCCTCCCATGGATCCGGCGTTGTCCGCCGAGGACACCGCATGGGTGGTGATTACCGTATCCGCGATTACGATGACAATGGCGATGCTGACGCTGGGCGCGCGAGTCTATACGCGAGCGGTCATTGTGAAGCAGTTTGGCGCCGACGACTACGGTGCCGTGGCAGCGGGTGTGTCGCTCCTGCTGTGCGGCATCTTTGTGTGCTTGAGTACGTCGACCTGCACCGGCAAGATGCACCGTTTCTTTTTCCTTTTTCTTCGTTCCCTTTCTGTCCCTTGTTTTTGTCCGTTCTGCCTTCTAACAACACCAGACACCAAAAACGGCCTTGGCAAGCACATGTGGACACTCTCGCCTCCAGAAATCGTCGAGTACTTTCGGGTCAGCCGCCGTTCCCTTTACCCTCTTCCCTTCCCCACGTCCATACTAACGCTTGCATGGCAGTACTTTTTCCTGTCCCTTGTCTGGTACAACGTGACGCTCGTCATCGTCAAGCTGTCCTTCCTCGCCCAGTACTACCGCGTCTTTTCTATCCCCCGCATCCGCCGCATCATCGTCGGCTTCATGTTTGTCGTGGGTGCCTGGAGCCTGTCGCAGGTCTTCATCACCATCTGGGGCTGCGCGCCCGTGGCCAAGTTCTGGGACCAGGCGCTGCCGGGCCGCTGCCTGGCCCTCTTCCCGCAGATGTACATCAACGCCGCCGGCAACATTGCCAGCGACGTGGCCATCTTTTGCCTGCCCATCCCCATCCTCAAGAGCCTCAACCTCCGCCGCCAGCAAAAGGTGCTGGTCATGGCCATCTTCGGCCTCGGCTTCTTCACCTGCGCCATCTCCGTCGTCCGCATCAAGTACCTCCAGCAGGCCGCCGACCTCAGCTGGCAGAACGTCGCCGCCTCCTGCTGGTCCGTCGGCGAGCTGTCTTCGGCCGTCACTTGCCTGTGCCTGCCCACGCTCAAGCCGCTCGTCCAGCAGGTGCTCCCGCACCTCGTGGGCGGCTCGTCGTCGGGCAAGTCGTCTGGTCACAGCGGCCACTCCGGCCCTGACGGCAGCGCAGGCGCCGTCCACGGCCACTCGTCCCGCGGCTACCGCAAGCACAGCGAGGGCGGCGGCAGCAGCATCACGGCGTCGCAGACCACCGACAGCCAGGAGGCCGTCCGGAACAGCCGCCGCGTGAGCCGGTCGGGCGCCGGCGCCCTCACGACGACCATGACGACCGAGAGCCAGGATGAGCTGTACCGCGTCGACGACATGGAGCTGAGCGTCAGCAGCAGCCACGGCAGCTTCGGTCCTGAAGGAAAGGGGAGCGATGACATCGAGGCCACCGCAGGCAGCCGCCACCCGCATCACGGTGTCGGCGTCGGCGCCGAGTCTGACCGCACCGCCGACACGGCCCCAACGACGCCCGTGTCCGACCGCCGCGACACCCTGCTCGGCCTGCGGACGACGGTGCGCACAGACATTGGGGCCACCCCGAGCCAGATCCCGGTCCCCTTGTTCGGCGACAGCCGCGGGACGCACCAGCAGATCCAGGTCACGCGGGACGTCACGACACGGTCGATGCCGCGCCGGCTGTGAGAGACGGACGGGGAGGGGTGTGGAAGAAGCGGAAGAAGCGGAAGAAGCGGAATACAAAAGAGCAAGTCAGTTTGGCTTGTAGCAACTAAACTAGCGTCAGCCAAAATGCGAGACTGTGCCAACATTGGCGACTGTGCCAACATTGGCAAACGTAATACGATTGTGCGTAAAGGTCTGACGCTTGACGGGCCATTTGTAAATACGACAAGACGAGCGGCCCTGCAGCATTCAATGCAACCAGGCGAACGCAACGAAAACGTCCACGCCTTTCGTAGACTTTGTCTGTGCGTGCGTTCATCGAACTACTTTTGCGTCCCATACTGCCTTTCGCGGGTTGTAGTATCGTTCATCCTCTTGGCGTAGCCGCTGTCCAAGGTTTTTTGTTTATGCTCTACGCCCATTCAGTACTTCCCCATGGAATACGGTGCACAGCCACGCTGCCTCTGCCATGTCAAGCTATCCATTCCTGGTAGCGCTAACCTTCTGGTCGTCGTCAAAAGGACTGACCACCACCTTGAGTCAAACTCGTCCGTTTGCCCGTCTACGGAACTTGGCACGCACACTTGCCACGCACTGCACTTTTATTTTCATAGTAATTCGTATTCCACAAAGTACGCCAAGCAGATCGAAGAGAAAATAGACAAACATTAATACGTATTGCAACCATATGTACACCGGGAAAAAGAAAAAAAAAGTACATCCTGTGCTCAATGCTGCAGCGCAGCAGCGGACAGCTCCAGCAAGTTGTCAAGGCCAAGGGTATTTTGGGTGTAGCGCGCGTTGAACTTGACGACCTTCTTGACGGCGTTGTACGTCTGGACGTTCAGGGGCACGGGCTCGGTGCTGATGTACCAGGCCACGTTTTCGCTGCATGGCGGCGTGGTCAGCGAGCCGGTGTAGGCGTATACGCCGTGATCATTGAAGTGCTTCTCGAGGCCTGCAAAGTCGAGCGGGCCCGTCTTGGTAAAGGTGCCGGGCGTCGCAATGTCGTCCAGGTGGGCAAAGACGCTGTCAAAGAGGGGGGCGCTGTAGCCGAACTGGGACAGCTGGAATACGAAGGCGACGACGGCAATGTCACTCGCTGGGTCGGTCAGCATGGTGTACAACAGAAGAACAAAAACAGATCCAGTTGAAGCATGGATGATGTTGGGCCATGACGACGCTGGATGATGACGCTGGGACATGGACATACCTTCTGATTCAAAGACAAAGTGCGCCTCCAGAGGAAAGTACTCCTCGTCGATGCGGTGCTCGCTGGGCGTGTGGAAGTGGAACTGGGCCAGTGTATAGGTCAGGTTGCTGGTGACGAGCGTGCCGTTGACGACCACCTCGACGTTGGTGCCCAGGTTCTCAAACTTGGCGCTCGTGACGGCCGGGACGCTGAAGTTGAGGGACGCCGTCGAGGCGTAGCCAATGGCCTGCGTGACAATGTCAATCGGCGACTGGAACTTGCCCTTGGAGCACGCGCTGTTGGCCGACGTGTTGAGGCTGAACCAGTTGAGCGGGCCGCCGGCGCCGGTGTAGTTGAACTTGGAGACGGCGACCGTTCCATCGGCGGCACGGGCGGCGAGTTTGGTGCCGCTCAGGCAGGAGGCCGAAGCCGCAGACAGCGAGGCGGCGAAAGCCGCAATGTGCGAGATGCGGACCATGTTGACTGGTGTATATGTCTATGGTTGGAAACGACTGTAGACGAAACAATAAACGCTGTGTCAACCTTGGGATGGACTGGTCTTTTTATACGGACGGCACTGACAGGACGGGACTTTCTGCCGTCAGTTTCTGACGTGCGCCCTGTCCACCCCGTCTGTTCCGTGTTGTTTTGTTCTACGTCGTGCCTTTAGTCAACTTTTGTCTTTTGTTTATACCGACAAACTTCGTAATCCATTCGCCAATGGGTGGTGTGACACAGGATCCCCACAAATCTTCAGCTTGGGTCGAGTCGATGCAAAAACAAAGGCCTGATCGGCACACGTTGTTGAGGATGCAGATCACTTTGGCCCCTTTTGGCATTTTCATCACCAACGCACGATTCTCAGCTTCAGTCGAGACAGAGGGCTAGACTGCAAAGGTCCTAGGCCTGACAAATTGACAAATAGGCCGAGCAGGCGATTGTTCAGCATGCCTCTGCCGCTGACGAAAAGATGAAAAACAGGATAAATGTGCGAGAAAAATGCGCGCAGAATCAAGGCGACAAGGTAAACAATGCCCAACAAACAACATGGCCGACATGAAGAAATGCATAGCAAAACACAATGGACGGCATGATCACGAGGGGCTTCGCTTCAGCCGCACATGTCCTGCTTTGCCGGCTCGCCCGGCTTGTCGAAAACGACAGGCTGGAAGATGCTGGCAGAATAGGTCCGTGTACGCAAATCCACAGATGCCCAAGCAGCCAAGATAGGTAAAGTGCCAGGATACTGACGAGTTCGCAGGTTGTTGACGTACTGGAAGAAGAGGCAAAAAATCAGTGGTGTTTTTGGAGCAGCTCGCATCTTGTAAAGGAGAGCATTGTCGGAACAAAACATGCAGTTTAAACATGCAGTGTAAATAAGCTTTGAATCTGAGACATTTGACATTGATGTGTCTTTTGGTCAGACAGGAACATGCCGTGCCGATCTCCAACACCGAAACCGCGGCAAAGAAATGTATAAACAATCTCGCTACTGTCTCTGCTATGTACTGTGTAGTACAAGACAAGCAGATCGAACCAAGTCCTCTGAAACCGAGACATTTGACGTTGTTGATGCTTTGTTTTGGGCAATGCCGCCAATGGACGACAGTACACCGCAACCGGCGGTGATAAAACTAGCAGGCCTAGTAAGCAGGGGCCCAGGCCCAGGACGCGTTGACAAGCATTCCATACATCGTCGTGGAGGGTGCAGTCAATGCAGGTTGGCTACGTCAGGCCGAACCAGGATGCCACACAACATTGGGCAGCCATCTCCTCGGCTTGTCGGCAGATAGTGTGCCAGCTGTCAGCGCTAAGCAACGCCACGAAGCTGTGAAGTTGTACGCAAACATACACAGTCAGGTATGCCATGACCACCAAAACCTGCGTCTAACTCAACACGCCCCGACACCCAGCCAGCTTCCACAGAGAAAGCGACCGCACATAAAGGGGGAGTTCGATAAACGTCCCGAGGAAGGGAGACCAGCCACATGATTTTCCGGTGTGCTTGGTGCATATGTGTATGCACCAAGGCATTGCTTTACTGCGTAACTTACAATGCACAGGTGTTCACCACCTCTCGCAAAAGTCCCCAAATAGCAAAAAGCGCGGTCCTTACCACCTGCGATGTAATAGTACTATGTAGTTCAACCCACCGCAACGTCTGGTCGCAGTGCCACGAATGCCGGCCGGCACTTCAGCAGCCGACGCCAAATGCCCTGTCTTAGCCACCACTCGTCTTGACGCCCCGTACGAAGTACATCGTATTTGGTACGGCGCTCGGCACTTTTTCAATGGGCGCCTAGAACCTTTTCGACTTTCGACTTTTTCGACTGGGCGGGCCATGAAGGCGTCGCCGTCGACCCACACGTTCGGTTGGGCCCGACACCTGATACGAGCCAATTTTGGTAAACAACTTGGAGACTTGTGCTGTCTGCTGTCATGCAAATTCAAAACTGCGTCAAAAACTGCCGCCTCAACGTCTTGATAGGATAGCACGGCGTCGCGTACTGCAGCTGAGACGTCGTGGGGACAGAATAAGGTAGTGGCAGAATCATAGGGAAGTAACGGTAGATTTCTTGTATCAAAAGTAATGAGTGGTGCTACGCCAGATGGGGACAGCATGAACCGTTGATTTTATTGCCTTGTACGTGCAGGTAAACCAGGTAAACCAGGTAAGCCAGGTAAGCCAGGTAACCAGGTAAACCAGATAAACTTAAATTGCAAATGGTATAAAACAACGAGACGTGTTGCACGCACGATGTCTACGAAAAGTAACATGCAAAACAAGAAAAGAAAGAACAGGGAATAAATTGAATAACACAGTAGCAAACGAACAAAACAACTCGACGAGGTAGGCAGGAAAGACGGAGAAAAAAAATTATAAGCAAAAACAATATCATACGCCCTTCCCAGTTCCTCGTCCATGGACCGGCGCTGCCATCTCACACCGGCTGCTTTTCACCTCCTTTCTCTACCGCCATCTTCGACGCCCCCAGCCGTCAACGGCCCGCGTTGAACAGCTTTTGGCCTCTCTCGTGAAACGTCGGCTTTCCCGGTCGGTCATGCTCGGTCCCTCTCCGTGGTTCGCCAGGTGCCTGTTGATGAGGATGGCACCGCGCTTCGCAGCAGCTGGCATGGCCCGGTGGCCCGCTCGGATGAACTCGAGGTATGTGTGTAGGACATCCGGCTGCGCGTCATGACGCCGTAGCCATAGCGCCCCTTCTCCAGGGCCCCGTATACAAAAGACAACACCCAGAGGATCCAATGCGTCGCGTCGGCAGCATTGGCACTCCCTGGCGGGCACCGGAACTCAATGGTTCTTTTCTTTGTCACAAGGCTCTGCAAGTTGGCGTAGTACCAACGACTTTCGAAGACGGCAGCGACAGCCTCGACCGTGGCCAAGCCATCGATGAAGCCGAAGAGGCCATCGTAGCGGCCCGTCTGGAGGATCTGCGCCTGGTACGGCGGCAGGTCCTGCGCCGCATTGCTGCCCGACAGAAACGACGTGCAGTATGTGCTGCGCCGCCGCTCGATGGGTAGCATCATTGTGATCTGGGTGTCAAACAGACAGAGGCTCTTGAGAATATGCCGCACCTGGTTTGGCGTCCAGTCTTGCTTCCTGTTGCCCATGTAGCCGGGCGAGACATGGACGTGCGTGCCACAGTGGCTGTCTGCAACCACATCAAAATATTCGTAAAGTAGGTTGAATAGGGTTTCCACTTCATGCTGCCAGTCGCCGCCTGTATGAAGCATCCTGGACACGAGCTCAACGCCGTCTGTTGCCAATATGGTTTGCATGTTAACTGCGCGGGTGTCCGTGCAACATTGATTTCAAAATAACAGACGCCAACATGGCAAGACGTAAGAGCGGAATGGTCAAAAGATACGCACAAAAATCGTCACGCCCTCCATACACCAGAGTCGCGTCGCTAATAACGGCCCACGTATCGTAGGTGTCGCGCCTGCCAAGGCGAGCGGAAGGGAACCTGTCTCCTGCAAGATCTTGCAGACCAGCTGCTGCGTCTTCTCTCTGAATGTGCCTCTGGGTTTTCCGGGTTGCGGCCATTTGATGCGAGCTTTGAATGCCGCGACAATCGCCGTCTCTTTCGGCTTTACGAGCAGTTCCAACTCAACCCCGAAACAAAACGACTGGCTGTATTCATGTGCCATGGCTGCGCGTCGTAGTCTCTGCGGGAAACGATGCAGCTGATGATGGTGGGGAGGGGGGGATAAAACGACAGGAAACGCGACGACAAGAAGCTGATGATGATGCGGTGGAGACGACGAAGACAGGGGAGTGAAGAAGAAAATCATGGGCCGGGAAGAGAAGAGGATGGAAGAAAAGAGGATGGAAGAAGACTGACAAACGACTGACGAAGAAAACTGGCAGAGACTGAAAAAGGAGACGAGAGAGGATGGAAACTGAGATGTGGAGTGAGGGCCAGCAATACGGGAAAACTGTGAAGCAAACAGAGACGATCGAGATGGTGTGCCATTCAGTCTCTCCTGGGCTCTCCATCGTCAATGGCTTGTACAAAGACAATATCATAAAAAACAAACAACAATGCTGTGTGGCGGTTGCAAGCGCCTCCATCTTCCCGCAATCACGTGCCTCTTCCATGCGCGTGGCTCTGAAGGTAACAAACACAATAGCCAAAAGAAGCTATTCAAGAAGCTATTGTGCTTGTATTGGCGAATAACAGTAGAATATACAAACCTATATAAATAAGTATTCTTTTGCCCTTATTACAATCACCACTACCCCTTAGACGTGTTGATCTATTGATTCAGCCGTTACACCTTCTCGCTGTCTTATGTAGAGCATATTCCCCTGCATTAATCACCTACCAGAGCCACCTACCCTTGGGAAGTTCCTTTGTAACATATTAGGTGATTAAGCTCGTAAAACGCTTATTCGGTAAAATAGTAATTAAGTAGTGGAGCGTGTAGAGACGTGTCAATGATCAAATGCCTATGTGGCCAATCACATTGCCGAGTCTGTATGAAATTCAAAAGCACCGGCAGGGGTTGTGCAGGGGTCTTTCAGCAAGGGCATCATACAAAATCGTCGGCCATAGTAACGAGTTCTTCTACGGCTTTGCCTTCAGCGGGATGCTGTCCCCTGCGTCTGTGGCATCTGCTGTGCGCGCCACCTGCAGCGCTTGCTGGTCCTCCCTTGCCTGCTCCGCCCGCGCCGCGCGCTCTGCCCGGGCCTGCATTCGCCGCCGGCGCGGCGCCCCGCCTAAACGGCCGGCGCGGTAGAAGCAGGCACAGCAGCTCAACAGCACAGCTGCGTAGATGATCGGTAGTCCAATGTACAAGAAGCGTGCCAACGCGTCGAATGAGTGGTCCACATAGTGGCCGTCCTTGCAGTTGGGCTCCGGCGTGATGGATACAGTCGGCACCCACGTCGGATAGCCGTAGTTGTCGCTACAAGGCCATGGTGGCGGCGACGGCGTCAGGTGCTGAACGTCTGTCGTCTGCCACGAGATGTGCCACGCGTTTTGCACCAGCACGCTCGTGATGGGTGCTGTCGTCGTCCTGGTCGTCGTTGTCCAGCCCTCGTCATCGGTCGTGGCGGTTGCCGGGCCAAGCGTCTGGATGCACGCGGGGCTCTGCATGCTGGCCAGGCTGGCGTTGTGCAGGCCTTTCACACTGTCGAACCAGCCAAGGTGGTCGTTGCTACACGTGTTAGCCATTTCTGTGTATTGGCGCAAGGTGTTTGTACGAGCATGGCTCACCTGGCACAGCAATAGGCAGTTGTTAACCCTGCATACGACGTTGTGCCGGACAGGGCCGTCGTCAGCGCCGTCGATCGCAGGTTGTACGCCGTCCAGCCGGATGGACACACCGCCGGGCTAAACTCAAAACGACGCGTCGCTGCCAGGTCGCCCCAACCCGAAGGCATGCACGCCGTGAACTGCGGGTCGGTGGCATCGGACACGGCCACCGTGATGTACTCTTCTGCGAAGCCGCTTGCGCCGACGAAAAAGTTCGTCGTCGAGAAGATGTCGCTGCAGCTGCCCGGCTGCACAAACGGCGTCATCAGCGCTACCGGTAACGACGTGCCGGTAGCCGTAATCGCAGCCGTTGTTGTTGCCGCGACTGTCGTCGTCGGCGCGGCCGAGTCCGTTAATGATAGTACTGTCGTCATATCTGGAGGCGCGAAGGAGACGTGATGTAGGTTCCGACGGGAGGGAAAAACGGAGCACAAATCACGCGCTTGTGATGGTACCTTTTGTTTTCTTGCTTTTGTTTTCACGCCCGCGTCACCATGTCGTCTGTCCTACAGATGCGCGTTAAGGGCAGTGGTAGTCGAATGCGGGCCTGGTTGCGGGAAATGCAGAGGAGGGAAGAGACGCGGATGCAGCGCGGGAGAGGGTGGGACGTATACAGGAGCGGCCGCTAGTGTAAGGCACAGCGCAGTGATAGGCCCACGCAATATACACGATACAAAATAAAAGGACTCCGGTTCTAGGTCTAGGTCGAGGCTGTGTAGATTGCTCCTTCCCGCGCAATACCGCGTTCAACTCCGCTGTGCGCGGGTCATGCCTTCCATCGATCCACATCGCCCCTTTATCCGATCCCTTTTGTCCATCAAGACATCCTCTCCTCGTATTTTATGCGACAGGCACTCTTCGTTATCTTACCAGTCATGGCTGGCCGTCGAAGTACGACGAGGTGGAACAAGAGGGCCCTGCGTCTGGCACAGCTTGTTGTTGTGGGCGAGACGTTAACCTGTGCCTGCTGCGCCGCGGGTTGCGCAGCTTGCTGTTGTGGGACAGACTTCAACCTATGCCTGCTGCGCCGCAGGTTTCGCCCGCCCTGATTTACCCAGATGTGTGCCTGAATGTGCCCATAAAGTTGACGCCGAACCAGTAGAGCGCAGGATTGCTATGGAACAACGCGTAGCAGTCGAGCCCGACAAAGGTCGACACCAGGGCGCTGGGCGTAGGCTGCCACTGCATGATGTAGAACGGGTCTGCGTCCGTGCTGATGAGGATTTTTGTTGGGTTGTCGGAAAGGAAGAGAGAGATGTAAAAGGAAGACGAGCAAACGAAGACGGTTGTTTAATAGGGCACGCCGTTATTTAATAGTGGGCCCAGCTACAGGGCTGCAGCGTGTTCTTCCCTTTTCCTTGGGAATCTTATTTGTGCGTCATAAGTGGGCCACGCTAAGTGGATCCAGATCTACCAATCAGGACCGCTACATGATTGACTGCCGAGATAAGTACGAGGTACTGTTGTGCAGCATACGAGCAGGGATGTTGACAGGTGAAGAACACAAATTGGGCTGTGAATGAAGACAACAGGAGGGAATCAACTGCCTCGGGAAAGAATAGAGAAGCGACTTGTTTCATTTTCTTTCCATGCCCGTGACTGCAGCCGGCTCTGCGTGCCTTCCGCGTGAGTCACAATTTCAAAGCAAGGTCGCCCATTGCAGGAAGGAACGACCCAAACAAATGCAAACGACGCCACAGCCGAGTGCCTGCCTCCTCTGACAAACTTGCGTGGCGTGGGACAGTCGTCCCCAAAAAGTGTACATCGCATATTCACTTTGCATGCCCGCGGGATCACACACCACGTTTGCAATGGCGATGACTTCTGCCCAATGCACGTCCGTCACTTTGTGCTCACCCTTGTCCGTATGCTTCTTTGCCGCAAACGATGAAAACAACGGCGGTGACGTCCGACAACAGCGCGGTGAAGACTGCCACTGAAATGGCCACTTTCGAATCGGAAAGAAGAACAAAACGCCCAACTCTCGATTCCTTCACACCGCCCGGGGTCAAAAGACCCTTCACCCATTGTCTGCATGCACCTACATCCCTCTACTAATTGCCACCTACACACCTGATGCCGTGTCGACCAGGTCGATGGACACCGCCGTAGTCAAAGGCAAGTCTCTCGAGTATACTCACAACTGAACGCTGCTTGTTCTTGTTTGCTAATGTGACAGCACTCCAGACAACAGGAGGAACATAGGAAGCCGCACCGCCTCACGTCTCACGCATCACGCATCATGCTTCGTTTTCCGTCTCCTCGAACCGATCCTTGGCCGGTACGAATCAGCGCAAGAACCGTTCCAGGCATCATTTACCTCTGGTGGGTGCTCGAAGCTACGGTTTTGACGTGCGTTGGTGACCAAACCAAAGTGGGTTCACAAGGAATCGAAAGCCAGGCGAGTCATGATGACCACGACGGTCGTGTGGTAGGCGTTATGGTAACGAACGTCGACCGGCAAAAGGCAGAGCAGACATTTGACGGTAACGAGCACGGCATGACCCGACTCGGCTAACAAGACCGCCGCTCAAGCGATGGGCATGGCCATGCATATGAGGCAGAGAACCCCGAAGACGAGGATACTACCAAGCTCCTATCTATTCGTTTAGCTGCCATCTGTGCCGCTTTTTGCTCAGGTACCCTCGCGTCCCCAGCATACACGACATCTGGTACGCCGGGCCCATTGCCAAAATGACGGCTGATCTAGGCTTTGTGTTTGCTTGTACTGTCACGGCCCTTCTGCCCTTCTCCACGGGCCCTTCAGTCTGCTCGAGAAGATGTTTTCGGGGCGGTACGCACCTAGTTGCAAAGCGTGGCTTGTTGTTTTGTATTACCTTCTTCTGTTCTTGTCTACCAATCACAAACATGTTGTCATTTATACATGTCAACCGATTTGTGACATTCAAATATATAGTGTTTCTAGTAATGCGTCTATCTTTTTTTTTCTTTTTACATAGACACCAACCTCAAAACTGTCCACCCCCTTTTTTTTTCTCGTATCTGGTGTACACGCCCATGATATTTAAAGTGTCCGGCGTCGAACCACCCATGTCCACCACCACAACTGTCCAAACCCGTGCAGCCAAGCCAGTTGTAACATTCTGACTCTTACTCGTCGTATTATGTCTTTTGCGACAAGCATAGGTCTACATCATTTTCTCATGTGGTTATTCAAACCTCTACAGCCGTCCTTCTCCCTTCCACACCGGTCCAAGTATCACCCATCCTGTCGACCCAATATGCTAGCCGGTTGCTCTCTCTCTCTCAAGTCACTGTATTTCTCCATCTTCAGCGGTAATTCGCTGGCTTATCGTGCAGATACCTGTGCATTCTGTATATTTTCTGCTCTTGACCAAAAAAAAAAAAAAACACTTATCTGATGAGCGCGTGGTGCCAGAATTGAAGCTCTCGCAAACCCTCCCGAAGGGGAAAGAGCGACCCTCTCGGTGAGAGCCATCAACGCGTCGGCCACGCGCTTTGCACTCTCCTTCCTGCCGTTGTCGGTAACGACAGAACCGTTGAACGCGTCGTAAATAATAAGACGAAAGAGAAAAGAAAGATCGCATCGAGGTGAGTGCCGGTGAGTTCAGTCGTCCAACCTCTTCTTTTTTTTTCAACAATTTTTCACCGCCGTAACAAACACCTCCGTTTCATCAAAACAACAGTAAGTCCTGATACGTAATGCCACTGCATCCCATATTCGCACATATACTAAACATGTACGCAGATGCTCAACAATTTCTGGCCTTCGGCCACCCGAGTTGCTCTCGGCCTCGTAACAGCGGCCGATGCGGACACCAGCGCGTGGGTACCCAGTCGTTTTGTTTGGTTTCATCCGAGAAAGAAACACCTGGTATATGTGCTAAACAACTGAAACAAAATAGACGCTCTACAGGGCTTTTTTATTTTACCGTCGCTGCGGGCGCCCTCAGCACCGTAACGATCGCCTTTTACTTTTGTCGCTGGTGCGTACGGAAGTACCTGGGCCGACGCGCCGCCTCCGCTGCCACCAACGCCGCCACCCCCGCCCACGACGAAGAGGGGGGGCCCTCCTGCGGGCGGTGGTGTCGGCGGAGGCGGCGCTGGCGCTGGCGACGCTGCTGCTGCCGCCGTCGCAGCCCCGGCTGCTGCCGCAGATGCAGCCCCGGCTGCCGGCCGCCCGGCCGTCCCCGACGCCGTCGGCGCCGCTTTGGTCCTGGGGGGGAACGCCCGCACCCCTTCCCCGGGCCCACAGGCGCTCGGTACCCGCGACAGCCGCATCCGCGAGGACTTCGAGTTAGTTGGCCAGCCCGCGCCGGCGCACGTGCGCCGCCCACACGATGACGACAGCTCGCAGTGATTCGGAAACGAGACAGACCAAGAATTTACCTGTGTTTTATGTGATTATACATATGACTTCCCCCTGTACATGCCCAATGCCGTGAAAGTAAATCACCTAGTCGTAGTTGTATGAACGGTAGATATGTGGCCAGCTGCACTGTGCGTAGATTCAATACACGGCTCGCAAAAAGTACAAATTGTACATACAGGGAATGCCTCTATTTTTCACAACTCAAACCCCCACTGGCTATCATATTCAACTGGAAAAAAGATGGACCCTTTTCCCCCGCACCCCGTACAGTGGTAGCCGCGGACTCGCGTGCGTCGGCACCCCCAAGCGCACGGCACATTCATCTTACGCCGCGGGGGGCAGATCCGGGGACGAAGAAACCGGGGGTGCAAGCGACATGACGCGTTGCTGCACCGCAGCCAATGGGGTCGGTCCGGGTCGTCGGTACCACGGACATCACCATCATTGACACGGTAGGACAATGGATCCAGCGCCTGGTACCATCCCAGCGGCACAGACGCATCGTACAGCGCATCGCGCAGGTAGTTGAAAATGCTGCTCGGGTTCATCGGACCGCCACCCACGATGGCCGGCGGCCAGAGCGGATCGGGATTGACACAGAACCCTTCGAGGCGGATCGTGCGGGTGTACACCAGCTTGAGGCACCGCGGGGCACGGTCGCACGACACAAGGCGAATGCGAATGTGGTCCATGTTGGACGCGCGCGAGTTGAGCACGCGAACGACCTCGTGCTGGCGGCAGGTCATTGTCGTCGTCTGGCGAGGCGTGTTGGCGGTCCCCTGGCCCTGGATCCTTTGAAACCCCGGGTACAAAAGACAGCCACAGCGCTCGGGGTCGACGCAGCGCAGCTCGTGGAGAAGGCCGGGGTAGTCGAGCGGTGCAATGTAGCGTGCCGGGCTGTGGGTCTTGCGCAGGTCGTGGAGGCAGTTGCGGAACGTCTGGGCAGTGATGGCGCCATTGCCACCAGTGTTGTCTGCCAAGTCCATGTGCGCCGTGTAGGACCATGTAACCACCTTGTGGTTGACGCCGTCCACAATCATGTCGTGCACCACAAACGACGGTCGCTCGGCTGCGGCCTCGTCGTCTCTGCCATGGTCGGCGGCAAAGCGTCTGTACGGCGGAAGCTGCGTGTCGGGTGTAGCTTGCATGTTTGGTCGTCCATGGTGCGAATACGCCCCGTGGCTCGGATGGTCACAGACGATGCGGAGGTACGGCTCCACAGAGAAAATGGCCTGTGTACTCGTTGCCCCCTCTGCGCTGGACATTTGCAGCAGCCGTATGGCATCGGTGTCAAACTGGTTGCGGAAGTTGTTGTTCACGCGGCGACCCGGTAGACTCCCAACCACAGTGGCCCAGTCGACCGTCTTGTGGTCGCACAGCCGCACATGACCCTCGTGGCCAATGCAGACACGCTGTGCTGCCGTTGCCGCGTCCATACGCGTCTGGGGGCCCGAGAACAGGTCGGTCGGGTGGTCGACACGGCACGCCGTGCAGTGCATGTACACATCGGCCAGCTGGTACCCCTGCGGCGCGGCACGGCAGCCTGCGCACTGCTGCGCACGCAGAGCGTCGCGGCACCGCTGGCGCCAGTAGCCTCGGTCGCGAAGGTGTACTGTGGTGTCTCGGCAACGTACAGGCATTTCGGAAGCAGAGCAGCTCTCGGGCAGCTTCTCCGGGCTCCACGGTGTCGGCAGGACAAAAAGGCTGCTGTTGTTGTTGATGGCCTCGGGGGCACGGATCAGCCGGAAGAAAGAGTGCGTCGAAAAGACACGCATAAACAAACGGCACGTGTGGCGCAAAAAGTATATATTGTCCCATCCCAAATGGCACATGATGCGCGCCAGCACGTCGTCGGGCAGGCGGCACAGCGGGCTGCAGGCAGCATTGTAGAGAGCGCGGGCCGCCAACACGTCGAGGTCGGGGGACTTGTCACGAATGTCGATGCTGTCGATGCTGTTGATGTTGGTTCTGTGTCGCCTGCGCCTGGGAATGTTCTTGGACCTGCGCGCCCTGGCCATCCCGGCCGTCTCGGCTTTTCCTCTTGCCTTGCCTTGTTTAGCCAGGACCGATGCAATGACGTCGTGCACGGGCGGCTCTGGGACGGGTCCAGATGGGCACAGAGCTCGCAGTCGGCCAAGAGGCACGCCTTCATCGTCGTGGCTTGTCGGGGAGAGGTAGTCTTCGCTTCGCGGGATGGGGGCAGGCACAGGACTGGGACGGGGGCCGTCGATCTTGGGTTGGGGTGTCAGTGTGCTTTCCGACTTGTCGTCTTTGTTGTCCTGATCGTCTCGATGGTCTCGCCCATCGTTGTCTTTGTAGTCCTTTTGGTACTTGCTGTCCTTTCCGTCCAGCCCACAATGGATTGCCAGAGTGTCGGCGGTGTCAGCAACAGGCACCGTCAAGCGACGTGACTTTCGGAGACTGGAATGTGAATGGCCCATTTTGATTGATGTTTGATGATGTCGTCGTTGTTGTTGCTGCAGCTGTCGATGAGGTTTGTCGATCTTATCTGTCGTTGAGTCTCTGCTGCTTTTTGGACTTTGTAGCCGAAGAATGGCAAAATTGCCTGCGTCACCAGTTGCATCTCGTGATGTTGGGTTGTTGCCACAATAAGCAGGAGCCCATGGTGGCCATGTCAAAGTAGTAGTACCTCGCATTTGCGCGGACTGTACACTCTACAATATGTACCGTATCCCATCAATGCGGGGTGCACCTTACTAATTGGGCGTGCTGGCGTTGGCATGACCCAGATCCAACAGAGGCAAGTGCGATCACCGGCGAGATTGGCAGGAACCAGGACGGTGAAATGGTATATCACACTAGAAAACAAAGCAAAAAAGGAAATAAAAATTAAACAGAAAAATGGAAAGAAAACCGCCAAAAAATAATAACCGCAATAAGCACAAGTTCGCCCAAGCTGGGGCTCATACGTACTGGCATCTGTGATAAACGACGCGTCGTCGGATGCTCGGAACACATCATGGTCGCGGCGAGCTCGTCCGGCTCGCCCATGCGCTTCACCAGCAACGCAGCCAAATACGCCTCGCACAGAACGGGATCCGCCCGGGCGACACGTAACAAGTATCCAAAGATTGTGCGATCGTCTGTTTTCGTCTGTTTTCGTCTGCTTTCGTCTGCTTTCGTCTGCTTTCGTTTGCTTTCGTCTGCTTTCGTCTGCCTTCGTCTGCTTCAAAACAATCTTATTCAATGCAATTGCGATACATTACATGTGAGCTGAGAGGACTTGACGGCCCACGATCGAAGCATCTCGCCGTCGTTGGCGAAGCAAACGCAGTTACATCAATACGGAAAGCTTGCGGGTCAAATGGTGACGAGGCTGTCTACGCGAATATAGGAGAGGCCACGACCAGGGATCGATTTGACATGTATGATAGACCTCTAATCTGCTGTAGTTTATTTGTCTTTGTTTGTCTTTATTTTACTTTATTTTCCTTTCTTATTTTTTACTTGTAGATTATGATTTTCATTTTATGTGATCTTACTGAAAATTTGACATTCTTTATTACAACGCCCAGGTTAGTGACCGCATCAACACGTTGTTGGAAGGCGACCTATCAGAGTAGAGCAGCACGCCCACGGAAGGCTGCCGCACATCACAGACCACATGACCTTGTGCCCACTTCCCCCCCACCCACCCACTTTTGTGAAAACTGCCGTTTTCGACCGGCTGCAGTAGTATGTTTCCGATTGCCAATGGGAGGAGGCCGCCTCATCGACTTGTTCTTGTCGTGCGCATCGCTCGTTCACCTCCACGGTATGCGTATCGGACGTGCAGATGAGCACGACCGTCGAGGCGCGACGGGTCGGGGCAGGCAAGGAACGGGACGCAAGGCGCGGCGTAGTTTTTATTTTGGTGTTCCGCGTCGGTCGATTCGATGTCGTCATGCCTTTTGTCGTCTTCGCAGCCACGGGACCTACCTCGTGCAAGGCACGATTTGAGACAACCGGGTGGCGGACCACAAAATTCAGGTATGTTGCGTATTCTTGTCGTTGTTCTTCGTATTGTAAGTCCAACGGACGTCAACGGCCAGAGAAGTAGTGGAGGGGTGGAGAGGCTGAGGGTGGGTAGGGGGTGTGCCTGTGGGTGTGCAAGGATGCAAAAGTGGTGGGCACGAATCGAGGTGCATTAGGCGCCTTGGACAGAGCATGGTTGACGGTGTATGTGGACGCGAAAAGCCGTCTCCAGTGTCTTACTCCCGTCCACGTTGATGCATGTTTGCAGATCGTCAGACCTGGACACGAACGGGCTTTTTTCCGCGGCGATGCAGAACAAGCGACTCGCCCTCCGGCACTCCATGGCCCGCGACAGGCGCTGCAGCAGAACATGGAGCATGGCGCCGGCACTTGGCCTTGCGCCGTACAAGACGAGGCTAAATTCGCTGCGACGTTGCTCTGGCCTCTGCCGGCGATACGACGTGATTCGGCGTGATACGACGTGCAGTTGCAGCCTGCCATGTCGATCCCGTTTTGTCGATTCGCCGCCCATGCACGGTATGTCCGTCTGCGTGTTGTACGTTTTGCTTTTGCTTGCATCTGCAGTTATCCGTTGCCCGGTCGATCCGGGCGAGGCTGTGGATTGTGTGGATTGTGTTGAGCTGCATGTTGCACAGCATGTCCGCCTTGACTGGCCAGATTTGTTTGTCCTTTCGTGCCTCGTATTGGTCGTCCTTGTCGACTGGTCAAAAATGCCAAAAGTCTCCTGTTCCACGACCGCAGCCGCCTTTTGTTGGTGCCAGTGTGACGCTGTGAAAATGTGAAAATGGCGGACAAACACAATGGCGAAAACTGGACGACTCGCATCTAGATCCAGGCAACTCTACCCGGCCTCGTACAATTTTGTGCTCTCTGTGCAGCACGATAGAGAGCGATGCAGAGTGCCAAGTCGATGCAGCATGTCGGCCCGTCTCTTGGGATCCTTGGCCGCAGGCTTGATCGCGATACGACATGTTGGCTGGTTCTTGTCTGCATTTCCTATTCAGGCAATTCTCCCAAGACACGTCTCACCGGAAACTTGGTCCGCACATGTCGAACGGTCTCTGACCAGGCTCCCAGGGCTCTTTAATCTTTGTTTTCCTTTGTGTCTTTTATTTATTTACGCCCTTCGTTTGCACTGGCAACCCCCACCCTCGCCGGTATTTGTCTTGTTTGACCCTGCTGCTTGTCTCACATGCCATGCTGAGAGGCTACTGGCCATCTGGCCTGCCTGGGCTTCCTGGCCTGGTGATCTACTGACTCTGGACCTCTCACTATGTCATTGTCTTCTACAAACACAGTATTTCTGGTGTCGCCTCTGACCTGTGGCCTCGTGTCGGTCGTCGTGGCCACCCTCCCTTTCTTCGTTTGCCCTGCACGCCGCCGTCTCCTTTGCGCCGCGTGATGGATTCGGGCAACGGTTGTGTCGGGGACAAACAAGGTCGGCGTGCAAAAAGGCACGATTTGAACATCACTGACTCAGAGGACCATCGCGCGGCGCTCTCTCCTCGACGTTCGCCTCTTCGGCCTCTTGGCTTTTTTATTATTTCTTCAACATCTAGTCCTTTGTCTATTTTATCGTCGGCCGCGCCGTAGACTTGCATCTCGCCTGTCGTTTCTTTTTAAAGTCGCTTCCCTCCTCTTTTTTTATTCCGTTCGTTTACGTAGTTCTCCTTTCTACCGCCCTGCTTCTTCTCCCTCTCCTTTCTCACCCACTCTCACTGATACTGTGCCTGATACCCGGTCCGCGCGTCCACTTTCAACCGCTGCCTTGCGTGCTCTGCCTTCTGCCAAAACCAGCAAACTAATACAAACAGTCCCCGGTTTGTCTTTGCCTTTACCCCAGCCCCCCGTCGTTCATTATCGCATCCCCCACGTTCCATCTGCCGTCTGCCGCCGTTCCCGCGTCTCCCGTATCTCTCCTTGCTTGTCGTTTGACGTACGCCATTTTGCGACTCATTTCTTGCTGCCTTTTCGCCATAGACCGTTCTCGCATCGCCCCCCATCCGCATCATACTCGTTTATCGTGACGACTTGCCATTTTATGCAAGACATACTTACACGCCTCCCCCCGCCCACACCTCCCGAGCTATATTTATCCTGTTTCTGGATTCTCTGGAGCTCGGCTTGCCCTCCCCTCCTTGGTCGCCTCCCTTGCCTAGCTTCGCTGGCCCCGAGACACAGAGCTGCATTCGAGCTATCCGCGTGGACATGGTGGACAATATCGTACTGCCTCACAACCACAAGCACAAAGCGACAGCCATATCCACAAGCAGAGCACATCGCCATATCGACTGAAACGGCAGTCTTCTTTGACTCGCTGCGTCTCTCACAAAACCGTTTCCTGTCGGCTCGTCCGCGCGACATTGCTGTTCTAGCTGTGCTGCTTCTACTGTGCCATTTCCACGTTGCAGCGCCCCGGCGTTAGTGCACGACAACTGGGGTTACAGTAGGCAGCGGCTTATCAGTGCTTATCGCCCGATCGTGCCCCGGAAGGGAGGACAAGCGAACGCTAGAGCACGGCCGCCCTGGGCCTAGAAACTAGCGCAACAAGCCTAATACCCACCTAATAAACCCCTCTTTCAGCCGCCCGAGCACGTCTTTCCTCCACTGTGACTCGGCACAAAAGGTTCCCCCGCCGCTCGTCACCGCCTGTCGTTCCCTCTCTTCGCACCAATTGCTGTTGACCGCCTACAGACGATTGCTAGACTCGCTGTCGTAACAGTGCACTCGTTGGTAGACAAACCCACTAGCATCCGCTAGCATCCACTGGCAGAAAAAATCAACAATCAAACAAAAACAATGCCCTATAGGCCCTGGCAGGGAAACAAAGAGCACTAAAGGCCTGCCAGTGTGGGTGGTTCCTTGCCGAACGACGCCTGTAGGGAAATCCCGCCCTCCGAAATCAGTCAGAAACCGGGCCACCGCCTGCATCCATCCATTCGTCGCCCGGTCTCCAGTCTGGCCGTGGACTTCAGCCTCTGTTTCTCTCTCACAACAGTTTCCTTTGCGCGACACACTCTGTCTCCCTCACACCCACGACTCGACACACACACACAGAGTCCATTGCACGACGGCACACACAGACGACATACGGCATTGCCCCCTCCCTCACCCGTTGTTCCACGCCGACCCCGCGTCCCCGCGATTTTGTCCAATTCGCATCGATTGACGAGACGATATCAATCGGCGGTCCTTGCTCTCTCCCTCCCTCTCTCACCCTCTCCTGTCCTCGCTTCCTCTCCCTATTCATTACCCTCCGCCATGCAGCCCGACTTCCGCCACGCGCGGTCGGGCAGCCTGTCGATCGGGGCCCAGAACGGCCACCCCGGACCACAACAGCAAGGACAGCAGGGGCAGCCAGGACAGCCAGGACAGCAAGGATCGCAGCAAGGACAAGGTCAGGGGCCGCACGACGCCACCAGTCCGATGCCCGGCGCACAAGCCCGCTTTGACGGGCCGCGGAGTCCACCGAGTAAGTCTGCGCGGGACGACGGGAATGTCCCGCTCTTCCGTATCGTCCTCTCAACTAACGCGTCACAGACACCTCCCACGTGCCCTGCAAGTTCTTCCGCCAGGGCGCCTGCCAGGCCGGCAACTCGTGCCCCTTTAGCCACGACATTGGCACCGCCATCGAGACCGTCTGCAAGTACTTTGCCAAGGGCAACTGCAAGTTCGGCCCCAAGTGCGCCAACATGCATCTGCTGCCCGACGGCCGCCGCGTCACCTACGGCAAAAATGGCGTCATCATCGGCACCGCGCCCGTCAACCACCCGCACGGCCCGGGCCAGAACAGCCACCTGCCCGGCCTCGGCCACCGCGTCAACCCGGCCGCCTACATGCAGCCGTCCAACAGCGCCCTCACCAACTCCTTTTTGAATGCGTCGAGCCAGCCCCAGCCCCAACCCCAGCCCCAGCCTCCGTCAGACGACCGCTACGACGTCCATGCCGCCGACGCCAGCTACGCGTCCAACCCGACCTCGGCCTACGGCTCGCCGCCCGGCGCCGGGGGCACCGGCTTTGACGAGTTGCATGCGCTCGCCGGCAACGGCACGAGCTCGCTCGGCCAAGCATTGCGACAGGCGCAGCAAGGCGGCCAGACGCCGCAACAACAACACCGCAGCCTCCTCGGCCTGTCCCCCATGAACGCCAATGTCCTGTCCGTCATGGACGCCCCGCTGCCCGCGTCCTTTGACTCCAACGGCATCTCCCACGCCGCGCGCTACGGGCCCTGGCCGTCGTCGGTCCCGTCCAAGTTTGGCCTCGAGTCGCCCACGCCGTCGCTCCACAACGCCAAGGACGAGCGCACCTCGGAGACGCTCAAGATGCTGCACACGTCGGCCTTTGGCGACCACCTCTCGCCGTCCAGCCTGCTGCCCGCGCAGCCGCACAGCTCGCACCAGCACAGCGCGCACCACCTTGCCGCCGCCGCCGCGACCGGCCCTGCCGCTACCGGTACCGGTACGGCCGCCCACCACCCCAAGACGGCGTCGCTGCTCAACGGCGCCGCGCTCGACGACTTTGGCGGCAAGCGCATCCTGCACTCGAGCTCGACGCGCTACGCCAAGCCCCGCCTGCTGAGCAGCAGCGTGCCCAAGGTCGACCGCGACTGGGACACGGAGTTTTGGTTCCTCGAGGAGGACTACGTGCCCGCCAACCTGGCCAACGAGGTGCTGACGCCGCAGGAGAAGGCCCGGCGCGGCTCCCTTCGCTTGACGGAGCCGAGCGGGCATGCACTGGACGGGGGCAGCAACAACCACAACAGTCACAGCGACACACCCACGCCGTCGGCCAGCGCCACCAAGTTTGGCAGTCCGGCCGGTGGCGGCGTCGGCGTGGCCGGCAACAGCCCCAGCCGCTGGAGCCCCTGGCTGCAGCAGCGCCAGCGCAGCAGCGGCGCGCCCCTGCCGGGGTCGTCCTACGGCGCTGGTGGTGCGGGGGTTCTTGTGGACGACGACGTTGAGCCCGGCAGCGTCGGCCGGTCGATGAAGCACGCCGCCTCGGCGTTTGGCCACGTGGGCAGTCCGCTGCGGAACAGCCTCGCGGGCGGCGGCGGCGGCAGCGGCAGCGGCCGCCACTCCGCCGACGTGCACGGCGGCAGCACGTCGTCGACCAACGGCGTCGGGGGCGAATTCGGGCACAGCCTGTCGGGCTCGCTGGGCGGCCGCGGGGGCGGTAGCGGTTTTGGATTTGGTAACGGTGGCGGTAGTGGCGGTGACCGCCCGTCCATGTCCGTCCTGTCGCAGCAGCTGCAGCGGACGCGGCTGGAGGGCGAGGGCGAGGGCGAAGGCAACGGCGACGACGACGACGCGGCGGCGGCCTCCGGACAGAACGCGCCGCCGCGCCCCTCTTCCACGTCCTCGTCCAGCACGCCGTCCCGGCTGCGCCCCGCGGCGGCGGCACGCAACCCGAGCGCGTCGCTGAGCCAGGCCGCTGTGACGCAGGCCGCGGCAGCCGGCATCATCGGCAGCAGCGGCGGTGGTGGTGGTGGCGGCGGCGGTCGGTTCCCGGCGCCCATTGACGAAGAAGACCCGTCGTTCCTCTTTGACATGGAGGTGGCCGACGACAGCAAGCAGAAGAACGGCACGGCGGGCGTCGCGACGGCGTCCACCAGCGGTCCCACGTCCCCGTCCGCCGCCACGCCCGCCACCAACAGCCTCTGGGGCTACGCCAACATTGTCAAAGGGGGCACGGGCGGCCCCGCCAAGGGCGGTGAAACGACCAGTCGCTAGTCGTGCTCGTCGTTGTGGCGGCCGTGCGTTCTTTTGCGTGGTACTTTTACGTCTCTCGTTCACTTGCATACAGTAGCGGTCATTGTTACATTTGGGAGCTTATATATTGGAGAGACGACAGCCGCTTGCATACGTTCTTGCCGTGGCCGGCAAAGGGGAGGGAAAAATCGGTCGAGGGGTCATTTAAAATGCGTGTTCAAAAAGGGTTATTCGGGTAATGGGTTGTTTGATTGCTTCTTGTTTGTGCTGGAAAAGAATTCTGTTTTTGCCTGTTTTGACTGCTTTCGACTGCTTTTGACTGTTTTCGTATTTGTTTTGTATCATGTATCGGATTCGATGGTGTCATGGCCCTGCCCTCTATTTTCCGCATTTTCTGCATCTGCTACATCGTTGCACCTGCTTCGAACTGCATCCACCATTGCTGCATCATGTACATAGTGTTGTCATCTACTACGGCGTTCTTGTTCACGTTCAGTTTTGATATTATATATTGAGCCACATTAATGATGTCAACTGCAGTGCTACACAGTACTTTTCAGCCGATGTCAGCCGTCTCAATCACCGTGCTATGTCTGTCGAGTACCGTTTCATTAGAATATCATGCAACGCACTGCTTTTAGGGTACTGTTACTATGTATCTGCTTGGGCTACATCCCGACACAACATAGTCGTTCATGTGACCATGTTCTACTCAAGCAACACACATCTACAGTCTCAAGCCCGGCTTCCATCGGCTGTCCAATCAATCGGTTGCAGTTTCCATTTATTTCTTGTGCACCATTCCATCGTTCTTGGCGACTGATTTGTAATTTGTAATGCGATTTGTATTTTTTTTGCAATGTTCTTCTGCATCTCCAATCCCTTTGTTTTCTATGGTACAAAAATATAAACGGGGGTGGGACACAAAGGTCGTGGAGAGAGAGGCAGACAGAGATGGGAGGGTGGGTCACGACGAATGCCTTGACAAGTGCCTTAGTGGGCATCCGGCTGGTTCAGAATGTACTCAACGGCCTTGTCGACGCTGTGCAGCGAGTCGGCGTCCTTGTCCGGGATCTCGATGCTAAACTCCTCCTCGATCGCCATCACCACCTCCACCGTGTCCAGCGAGTCGAGGCCCAGGTCGTTGGCAAAGTGCGACGTCGCCTTGATGTTGCTGGCGTCGTTGACCTTGTCGAAGCCCTGCAGCAGGCTGATGATGCGGCCCTCGACCTCCTCCTTGTTGAGGCCGGCGGCCGCCGAGTAGAAGCGGAGGGGGGCGACGGCGACGGCGACGGCCGGGCGGGGCGCACCGGCGGCTAACCGGGGGGGCGTCGATGACAAAACGGTGCGCTGGACAGCGGCACGGCCGACAGCAGCGACGGCGACACGGGGCGCGGCGACGGCGGCCGCACGGGCAACGGAGGCACGGAACATTGTGAGAGAGAAAGGGACGGTGGAGGGCGGGGGCGAAGACAAAAAAGACGCGTATGTCTGTCAGGACAACAATGTTAGCCACGTTCACACGTTCACTGGTCACGAGAGATCCATCGGTGCTGCAACGGATGTCGGCCAATAGGGACGGCGAGGGATCGGTCGGCCACATGGACACACGGCCGAGCTGGCATCGCGACTCAAAAGGGACTGCTCACAAATGGTCTGCCGGCAAACGACGTCGGAGCAGATCGAGACACAAAGTCGGAGCGAGGGTGGAGGGTGTGGTGGTGGGAGTTGTGGTGGTGGGAGTTGTGGTGGTGGTGACGGTGACGAAGATGTTGGCGTTCGGGATTTTGCCAATTTTTCGTAGACAAAGCAAGAAAGAGCACAGCTTTGCGCTCAATTCCCGGGCCGGGCAGTTGGACCCATTGGGCCAATCAGAGGCAGTGGTATTTAGCTCCGAGCCGTTTTGGTGGGATGGAAGGTCACGTGCAAGTCGAGAGGGGACGAAAGGCGGAGAGACAGCTCGGGATGTTCACAAAGACAGCGGGCAGGTGATGACAGGCAGGTGTGAAAAGATGTATGAGGTGTTTTAGAATTAAAAGTGAACTTTTCCACGAGAAGGTCAAGTGAGCGTCGCGGAAGATCCAGCGAAGGAGATCCAGTGGTGGATAACAGTGGCAGGACATCAACGCAACAGCGGATAAGAGCCATTAAAGAACAATTCACCGCAGCATGGAGCATGGTTGGATTAATGTATGTGAATTGCTAGAATGGTAGATGCAGACAAAAGAAAGGCAAACGAAAATTGAAAAAGACAGCAGATGTGTATATACAAGCGTCCCGCCCTCTGCGTCGACATTCTACGCGGTGCGGACCTCGACTCGAGCTTCGTTGTGAGCGTTTTTAGTGTATGGACTTTCTTGGTTTCCTGTGCGGACTCCCTCTGACCTCGATTGTAGGTCACGTCCCATTGCGGCTGACCTCTCCATCAAACCGTCGTCCATTACCGGTAGGGCGAGTCGGCACGGATGGCCGCGGCCAGTTCGGGCTCCCACTTGTCGCCGTTGGACAGCAGTTTTTCTAGCACGTCAGCATGGAGGACGAAAAGGGGATGAAGAAAATGACGGACTGCGTCCGTCACTTCGCATGGGGCCCAACCAGACTTACCCTTGTTGTACAGCAGCTCCTCGCGCGTCTCCGTGCTGTACTCGGCATTCGGCGACTCGACAATCGCGTCCACGGGACACGACTCCTGGCAGAAGCCGCAGTAGATGCACTTGGTCATGTCAATGTCGTAGCGGCTCGTCCGGCGCGACCCGTCGGCACGCTCCTCGGCCTCGATTGTAATCGCCTGCGCCGGGCAGATGGCCTCGCACAGCTTGCAGGCGATGCAGCGCTCCTCGCCCGAGGGGTAGCGGCGCAGGGCGTGCTCGCCGCGGAAGCGCGGGCTGATGGGGCCCTTCTCAAAGGGATAGAAGATGGTGTACGGCGGCCGGAAGAACTGCTCCATGAGCACGTACATGCCGCGGAACATTTCGAGCAGCAAGAAGTACTTGCCCACCTTGTCCATGGTGCCCTCCTTCTCCTGGTCCCACTCGGGCCGCGGGGTGATGCGGAAGCCCTTGGGGAGGCTCTTGGACGGCGTGGCGTAGGCCCGCCTCCGGGACGCGTTGTTCGCGGTGAGCGCGGATGCGGCGGCGAGACGAACGGACATGGTGGTGGCGGAGGGCTGGGCGGCAGCAGCAGCAGCGACCGCAGCGGCAATGGGCGAAGCGGCCAGCCGGCCGGACCCGGACAGGGGCATGGCCCGGCGGGCAACTTGTGTCGCGAGCATGACGGAGGATGTGAGGGATGAGAGGAGGGAGAGGCTGTCGGATCGGATGGAGATGAATGGCTCGTCAACCTGTGGCCGTCGAGCGTCGCCAATCGAAGAGACAGGTGCAGTGAGAGTCAATTGAGAACACTGAGAGCTATCAAGAAGTCCAACTCAACGGTGCGCAGATGACAGTCGTGTCGTCGGGGGTCGGTGTCGGACGAGGGCGCTGCACCAAAACAGGCGGTTCTCCAGAGCAATGTCAAAAAAACGCTTTTGCCGCATTCTGCGGGAAGCAAACAGCCAACGAGACCAGAGGTGCCCACAAAACACAGGGACATGCACAGTGGATGACTTTTAGATGAGTGTGATTGGAGGACAATGTGAACGTGGGTCTGGACATCTTGTCACGTGAAGCTGTAACGCACTCCAATACAAGACGAGCTTCAAAGCCAACGATATGCAGATCTCAACACTACGCGGTAATAAGGAGTACACGACTCCAATCGTAACCAAAATCCATTCGTAGTTGTGCTTGTAAATGCCATGTACATCGCAAATGCTGTCCAACGCCATCCGCGCTCCATGCTGCACGCTCGGCCGACCATGTCGCTTATTTGGCCGGGTTGACGACGGCGCATCAAAAGCTCCGCTCCCACGACACCCACCAGACACCCATGTTCGCCGCGACGACCAGATCCAGCATCTTGAAGCCGTCGTCGTAGACAATCAGCTTGCCCAGCTTGGCGCGTTTGCCGCGGTTGCCGCCGCCGGCCTTTTCGCGCCCCAGGCGCAAGTCCAGCTCGTCGGTTTCGTGGTCGTGGTCGTCGCCGTCGTCAAAGCCAACGTCGTCGTCGTCGTCTTCGTCGTCTTCGGCGTCTTCGGCAGTGGACGAGCCCCGGCGCCGGGCATGCTGCTGCTGCCAGTGGTGCAGATGGTCCTGGAAGCGGCCGTACAGCTGGTCGGCCCGGGCGCCGCCGCCGCCTCCCCGACCTTCGCGCGCCCCCTCCTCCGAGTCGTCCCGGCCCGCCCGCGGCCGCCGCATCAGCTCGCCGCGCGGCAGGTTGAACCGCAGCTCGCTGACGGCGACGGCGCCCGTCAGGGCGGACGTCAACGAGGACGCGCCCGCCCGCCCGCCGCCGTCCGCACCGCCCCCGACAACGCTCGACGTCGCCGCCGCCACGGCCGCCAGCCCCTGGCCGGGCCCGTCGCGGAAGCTCTGGGCAATCACCAAGGGGTTGTACCCGGCAACGCCGCCGCCGCCGCCACCGCCGCCCGTCGTCCCGTCGGCGGCGGCCGGGTGCAGGATGTGGCGGCACTTGAGACTGCGGCCGCCGTTGCCGGTGCGGAAATCGCAGCGGCCGTCCCAAGGGCTGGTGAAGGAGTAGCCCTTGGGTTTGAGGCCGGGGCCGGGGCGCGTGATAAGGGCGGCGGGGGCGGCGGACTTGGACGGGGACGTGGAGCGGTGGCGGCGGCCGCCGCCAAAGTCGATGCTGCGGCGGGGATCGGCCGGTGCATCGCGCCGCGCCAAGGCCGCGTCGGTCGTGGAGACCAACGAGTTGTTCCTCGGACGCAAGAAGCGGCGGAGCGGTTCGAGGTCGTCGGGGCCGTACCCGGGGCCGTACCCGTGGCCGTACCCGGTCGGACCAGCACCACCGCCCATCGCCGCCGCGCCGTCGGCCGACGACGACCGCGCGTGGCTCTGCGCCGGGCGTTTCAAGGCATGGCGAAGGCCCGCGGTCCAGCTCTTCGTGTAGGCCATGACCACGTGGCGCGCAAAGGCGGTGTCGCCGTCGTCGCCGCGGAACTTGGCGTACCCAGACGTCTCGAGGCGGATGCGGATGGACGGCTGCTCCTTGGGTGGCGGCGGCGGCGGGGGGGTGGGGGTGGACTCGGAGGACGCGGCCGCCGGATCGTCGTCCGGCGCGTCCACCGCCTGCACGGACGCAATCTTGCCAATGTTCCACTGGTGGCTGGTCGAGGGGTCGCGGCGGATGAGGGTGAGCTGGAAGGGCACAAAGTGGCTGGGGGTGGTGGATTGTGTGCGGGCGGGTGCGGGCGGGTGCTGTTGCTGGCTGCTGCGCGGTTGCGCTTGGGCGGCCGGCACCTGCGGCAGAGCCTTGTCATGCGGCCGTACCGGGACGACCCCGCCGCTAGCGTCGAAGCTGTCTGGTCGAGGGCCGACTGGCTTGCGCGGTATGGTCGGTGAGGTGCCTTGTGTGCCTGGGGTGCCTTGCGGCGGCCCGACGGGTGGGGGTCCATTGCTGCTGCTGTTCCCCGGGACAGGCCGCCCCGGCAACGGTCGTGACCGTATAGGCAGTGTGGACGTGGCCGGGAACGGCTGCACTGCCGGCGGCGGTTGCTGCTGTTGTTGTTGCTGTTGTGATGGAAGGGTATCGTGGGCAGATGCAGGCGGGACAGCGTCGAAGCTGTGCCCTTCGTCCAGCCGAAAACCAGGCGGCACCCATGGCATCGGCGCTCGGGGCGAGACCAGTTCGCGATGTGGCGGTGGTGCCGGTGCCTCGGGGGGCGCTGTGCTGGTCGGGGGGGCGACGACCGCAGGGATGTCGGCGGGTGTCGGCCGCGGCGCCGGACGTGGCGCCGGAGACGGTACCGGTTTTCGTGCTACGGTTGGTGCTGTCGGGCCAGTCGGGCCAGTCGGGCCAGTCGAGCCGGCTGCTGCTGCCGCAGGTTGTGGCGCCACCAACAGCCCGTCCGACGGCAGATCGAGATGGACATAGTACAAGGCGTTGGCCACGTCTTCGCTCGTCACATTCTTGCGCTGCGGCTTGAGCGTCGACAGGATGACGTCGCGGGTGCCGGGCACGCGGGAGATGTACAGCGTCAAGGGCTCGCGCGGCTCGTCGGTCGGGTTGACGGGGTAGCGCGGCGGGTTGGCGGCCAAGAGGTTGAGGTCGGCGAGGGAGCCGGCCTCGACGCGGTCGTCGCGCATGGCTGGGCGTGGCAGGCCGATGCGTAGCAGGCAGGCTGTGCTGTGTAGGACGGTGTAGCACGTTGTGTAGGGCTGCGTCGTGTCGCGTCGTATCGTATCGTATCGTGTCGTGTTGTGATCACTCTCGTAGATCGTAGGACGATGGTGGTGGTCACGGACGATGCTGCCGTTTGTAGCGGTCAAGGAGCCAGGACAGCCGTGTTCACGAGAATGAGAAAGAAAGGGCAGGCGTGCAGACTGATTGGACAGCCAGATGTGGTGCGTGGTGTGTCGACAGTCTGTCGTTTATGTCGACTTCTCAATTCCAGTGTGCTCAGCTAGAGACACCGTCTGGCAACAGGCGTCGGGCGCATGGCGAGTGCGTGTCTACTACAAGGATGCGACGAGAACAAAAGGGAAAGCTCTTGCCGGTGCAGCTGGGTTCCACGGTCCTTTTTCCAGTTGTCCGTCGTCTGCAGAGGATCGCAGTCGAAGCCAAGATTGTGGAGCTGCCGCTTCAATTCGGTGTGTCTATTTCTGTCCGTTCTGTCTTGTTGCCGTTCGTTGGCCACATTGTTTGTTTGCCGTCTTCTCTCCGTCGTCCGGCGCCACCTGTGCCTCGTGCAGACAGCTCTCGTGTCTCGTTTCTCGTTCGTTGTCGGCTTCTCTCGATTGTACTCTCGACTTTGTTGCCTCATTTTCCACCTTTAGCTTTCCTCCCAGCTGGCCGTTACCGCCGCTGATGCCCCGCGATCGCAGCCCACTCCGTCAGTCTCCACTGCAGGGGCGTTCTTTAGGTGGTCTCGCAGTTCAGGGACTTTGCCCTCCAAGGACACCCAAGCCGAAAAGCGTCGTCATGGCTCTGTTGGGTATCCTTTTTTAGAAGCCGCCAGGGCAGCACCAGGAACCAAAGCCGGGCCAAGCTGCATTCAGCGGGGCTGTGCAAGGGAGAAACACAACAGTATTGCGCTGGAGCCTGTTCTGGCCATAGGGTCCCTGGGCCTACGTGTTCTAGCGTCCGCTTGGTGGATGCCGTGGCACGTGTGGGTTTCGTCCAGTTAGTGGCCTTAGTGGCTGCAGTGCTGCAATCGGGCAGTAACAGTGGCGGAACAGTGGTGGAATAGTGGCGGACTGCAGCCAAGCACAGCTGTTGGATGCCTCTTGCGTACTTTTGTGGTCGGCCTCTTAGCCTTTCTTGCCACTTTTGTTTACTCTTCTCAGAACGCAAAGTGTCATCATTCGCACAGTATTTTGCTGGCCTCTTTTTGCTTTGATTCACTTCAATGTTTTCTATTAATACGACCGTTGCGTGGCCTGCCGAGCGTCACTGTAATCTTGGGTGGCTGACAAGCGTCGTAGGCATATCTGACAGCCCGGGCTTAACAGCGTCGTTTTGCTTGCATCTTGCCTTTGGAGGACGGCCGTTCTCACTCTCGACGGATTGTTCCTACGGTAAGATAACGTATTTCGGTTTGTTTTTATACTGTCCTTTGCCATTTGCGACACCGTACACAGCCTTGCTGCAATAACGACTGGTACGCCTGGTACGGCTGCCCCATCACCATCCCGTCTTCATCGTTTGCCATGCTGCTTCTGGCTCCTCCTTTCTATTCATTCTACCTCTTCTTGTGCTTCTTGTTTGCGTCGTATAAGCCGTGCCCTGCATATAGACGACAGAAGCAAAGGCCAATGGCTTACACAGCCTTCTCTTGCGCAGCGCAGGCGAGTGACATATCACCACGTCTGTCTAAACATAGCCATCCTCCCGTGACAGGTGCATCTCGTATTCCATCGTGGCGATTGTGCCACGCAATGCAATACAACGCATCGCCGTATTTGTCTCCAAGAATATCCTCCTTCATGTCCACCGCAAGAATGTTGCCGATCATCGTCATGATGTGTGATTTGATTATTGACCGTGCCATATCGTAATGGACGTGAACATATCCCGTCACAGTTCACATAAATGCGTTGTCGATCATGGACCTGCCGCTTCTTGGTCGCTGTGTTTCTGCCTGGCTTGTTTGTGTGTTTCATGATGCACGTGTGGCCATTCTATATGTACGTCGACCATGTTCTGCCTTGTTCTGGCGTGGCTGCCTTTCCGTCGCCTTCCAGTATCTTCTCGATCGTATGCTTCCATGGACCACAATAGTCGACCATCGCCTGTTTGACTGTCATCTTGTGCGGTTATTCAGAGCGAATATACCATCGACGGCGAATCCAATCACACTGTCGCCGTCTCGACGTTCCGTAATACACAACGATGAAAGAGAGACGACAAAGAATCATCGACTATCCACAAGTCAACATTGCACTTCATTCCAAAGGCTGCCTCACGTCTGTCGCAAACAACAGCCAAATACGAGACAGGGGACTCGCCGTGCGCGCACTAGCTACGATTCAGCCCTGTCGGTAGCTGCTGTCGGTTATTCGACCGGTCTGGGTCGAAGCCAAGTCTGGCCAGGCAAGGCCCAGCGCCACAGGCCCTTGCATAAGAATACCTCCGCAAAAGAGGCATCTAGGCAAAGACGCATGAATTTCAGTCGTTGTCGCCGCTTACATTGAGTCATGTTGACAGACTTTGGTAAGATGCTCATGTTTTTTTGTCAACCATTCTGTCGACACCGTTTTATTTCTTGTCTTTGCCATCGACGTCTCTCGATTCTTCTGTCGCCCTTGTCACGCTGTGATCCCAAGCGCTGCGTTTCATCTTGGCCTGCTTGCTGTACTCCTCGCTTTTTTTCCCAACTCAAAATTATGACGTCGACTGGTGCTCAAATACGCGCAGTCGTGAAACCGCCAGCCGACTCCGTAGCAGCAAAATTTACTTTCCTACCCCTAACTGTCCTTCTTTCCCACTCGCTACTTCGATTTTGCCCTCGGCCCAGATGGGCCTATCGGTCAGCTGTCTCAGTCGCCACGATGTTTATGCAAAACGCAGTGTGCCCTGGACTATACAACGTCAGACCAGGGGGACGGGACCCCTGAAAAAGTGGCCTCTTCTTTCGGGACAGCGTGAGAGAGCCTCCAAAGGTCCACTTCTCATGACCGCATTGGCAAAAGCCGGGAGTCTCTTGCCTGTGCACTGTGGTCCCATTGGCCTCGTGCCCGCCTTGTATTCTGCCTGCTGCAAGTTTGGCGTGTGCTGTGTGCCGTTACTGGTACACAAGCACAAGCTGGAAAGAAAAAGAAAAGAAAGAAAAAAGAAAGAAGAAAAAATAGTCAGATGACCTGACCCTGCCGGATCGCTTCCATGCCCACCCTCTTTCTGTTCTTGCTGTCCTGGCCCTCTTCGTTCCTAACAGTACGACGATACGATGTAGGGTTACCACCCTTCCCGTTATCTTCGTAGAAGGCAAACTACGTCGTTAGCCACCTCGCCACAGACGATCTCGCGTCATATCCATTCATGCATTACTCTTTTCTATTTTTTATTCTCCCAGTCTCCCCTGACCTCTCCTTCACAGCCGGTCTCCCCACAAATCATCCCTCTCATTCACTGTCATGGTCACAGCCCAGCCTGTTCCTTTCCTTGGGCCTGGACTAGCCGAGCTGGTCAAACAGCTCAGCTAGCTCTTTTATGCTTTGGGTTTTTCAACGTCTTCTCTGACCACCCTCTGGGTCACAATGACCGTTGTCCAACGTCGTCGTTCCCGAGCGGGCCGCATCTCACATGTCCATTGTCGTTCCTTGGTCGCCTTTTTGTATTTTCCTTGCCGTTTTTTGCCACCCGTTCCTACGCTGCCGCCCCCAGCTATTGCTACCCATGACCCTGCCTGCTACTACCCTACGTAGATGCCGAGCTGTATATATTATCCCACACCCTCTACCGACCCAAGCTGCAGCTGCAAGGCTGAGCTCGACAGCTCTGTGACTTTACAACCAACCATTGACCATTGACCATTGACATTGACCATCGACTACAGCACACTACAGCACTTCCATAACAACCCGCAACACATGTCCTTCAGTCCACGCCAGGTCGAGTCGGTCGAGCATTGGCTCGACGACCAGCCAATGTCAACCAAGGAAAGAGAAAAGGACATGGAGCATCTACCAGCCGCTCTCCCACGAGGCAGCCGCCGTGTCGGTGTCTTCAAAGAGGGCCCAGCCATGGCCAACTACACCCGGCCAAACCATCCCCCGAATCAGCACAACTACCACGACAGCCACAACGAGACGGCCATCGACGACCAGGACCACGACCTACATGTCCGCTCCCGTCTGCAGATGCACTCCCGGTTCTCGCGGCGGGACGCGGACGGCGACCTCAATGCCGACTACGTCAACCCCGTCGAGTGCTTTTTGCGGGTGTGCTCCGCGTGTCTCGGGAGTGCCGCGCTGGCCGTCGGGGCGGTCACGTATGTGCTGGTGCGGCGGGGCCCGACGCCACGGTCGAGCACGCCCCTCGACAACCGTTTCGGCTGGGTCGTGGCCGTCCCCGTCGCGGCCGCCGCCCTGCTGTGGCAGCTCACGCGCCTGTCGCTGCTGGCCTGGCACGGCCACGGACGGCGGTCGGCGGCGCTACTGGCGGCCGACCTCGCCGCGGAGGCCGTGCTCGCGGTCGGGTCGGTCATCTGTGCCATCCTGGCCGGGTTCCAGACGGCGCGGCACGCGGCGTACAACCGTGGCGCGGTGGCGCGGGGGTCTCGGGCACAAAACTACGCCGACGTCGGCCCGGACATGGCCTTGGTGGTACTGCTGGCCCTCCTGGCCGGTACGAGCTTTGGCATTCTGGCGCTCACCGTGGTGGCGGCGCACCGGCGGCGGCGGCAGAGGAGTGGCCGGTCGAGCCGGAGCACCAGCTCGAGCGTGATTGAGATTATTCGGTAGAGAGCGTGCGCGTGGAGACGTGGGGGAGGATATGTATGAATATAATGACGTATGTCGACCAGTAATAGATGAATATGCAAGATGTGCAAAATACAGACATTCTCGGAACAGAAGTCATCGTCTCTGAGGAACGTGAACTAAAACAGACGAGGGAACAAAAGAAACACACTACAATAAAACTGCCAGCAACACACACTCCCCCCACATCTACTCAGTAAACTTGTTGCCCGCCGCAATGGTCGAAAACGCCCGTTGCGTGTGCTCATAAATCTTTTCGGCTGTGCCGTCCTCGCGGTACTTGGCGGACTTGTCGTTGTGCTTGAACACCTCGTCGTCGTAGGTGATGCGGTACGCGCCGCTGCCCACGGTGCCGTCGGCGCCCGTGCTGACGGACGTGCCCTCCGGCAGCTTGCGGGCACCGGCGGCGGCGGTGGTGTCGTGGGCCGGCGGGTAGACGGCGGTGGTGCCCAAAAAGGCGATGCGCTGGCCGCTCTCGGCCTCGGGCACGCTGGTGAGGCGCATGAGCGGCACGGCGACGCGGATCAGGGCGCGCGTGAAGAAGCCGAGGTTGCTGGTCTGGGCGATGCCCGTCTTGACGAGGCCCGGGTAGTAGTGGACGAGGGCGAGGGTGCCGGGGTGGCGGGCGGCCAGGGCCTCGAGATAAAACGTGGCGAAGAGGGACAGGTGGGCCCCGCCGTTGCGCAGCGTAAAGTTCTTGGGGTTGCGCAGGGACAGGTCGTCCGTGACGATGTCGCCCTCGAGGCCCGGGTTGAGCACCCAGACGACGTGGCCGACGGCCGCTGGTGCCACCGCCTGCGTCAGCAGCGGCAGCAGGCGGTCCACGAGCCGCGCGCGCCCGTAGTAGGCAATGGCCGTGGGCCAGTCGAGGCCCTCGGCCGTGTCCTGGCGGCCGCTGAAGCTCATGATGCCCTGCGACGCCACCAACAAATCGATCTTGGGCGCGTGGCCTTCTTTGGCCGCGTAGCCCGTCTCCGTCGCCACCAGCAGCTCGCAGACGCGGTCCACGTCCCGCAGCAGCCCCAGGTCCTTGGCCTGCACGACTTCAAACGTGCCAAACGGACACGCCGCCCGCAGCGCCGCCAGCAGCGCGTCCGGCGCCCGCCGCCCCAAAATGTACACCCGCAGGCCGCGGCTGGCCGCCTCGCCCACCTCGCCGTGCACGCGCGCCAGCGCCAGCGCCGCATAGCTGCCGATGCCCGACGTGCCGCCGCCGAACACGGCCACATACGGCCGGCCAGCCGACTTGTCTGTGGCCGTGGCCCGGTTGGCGGCCTCGACAATGTTGAGGGCGACCATGGTGGGCGGTATGTAGGGGGGGTTGGGGGAGGGTGGATGTCCAAGTCGAGTCGAAGCTGAGTGAAAGTCTGAGAGCAGAAACAGTCGATGGGATTGTTGTGATTGTTGTCCAACGGTCGAGGATGAAGAAGGTCCCTAGCGACTGGCTTGTTCTCTTGAAGCAGACGCTGCTCGTTTATATAGAGCCACTTGCTTCTTTTTCGGCCGGACTTTTGCAACAGTCCGACATGGAGCGACCAGCTGGAGATTGTCAGCCTCGCACCCAATGGGCGTTTCTCTTTGTCGTCACGGACATGCCAACCGCTGAGACAATAATCGTCAGTGTTGCTGTTGTTCGTCAGGCCAAGAGACAATATCGTCGTCCGTGCTCCACTTTTCTGCTGTTGGTGGCGATGGGTGGGCTTTACAGCGGACTTAACGGAGTCGATGCTGGTGGTGTCCATACCGATGTGTACTGGCTACACAGCGTCCAGTCCTCGCAAGGCCCCTGCCAGATAGCCCTGTATGCCCTGAAGGCGCTGGAAAGTCGGAAGCACAATTAAAATAAGGTTATGCGCTACCCGCTGGTAGGCCCACTGTTTTTTGAGCTTTTAGTGCTTACCCTCTTTAGGAAAGCCGCCAGTGCAACAGCACCGACAGAGACCTCCCATTAAGTCCGAGTGAGTGGACGGAATCACGGCGTCACGGTCGTCAACGAGATTCCGGCGGGCAGCGCGTGTCACGTGCAGCAAAGTGAAGCCCGAGCAGACCTCTCGATGTTGAATGCAATAAGAAGCAGCTGAGTACAAGGGACAGAATCAGGACATGCAGACGGAGAGGACAGATTTGGAATCGTGACAAAAATGACAAAATTGATGACAAAAAAAAGACGAAACCAGGTCACGACAAAAGACAGTCTGCTATGATGAGGGTCGCAGGAGATTACATCTTCACCGGAGGCAATCTTCTATGTCCATCTGATTTCTGGTTTTGTCTGCTTTGCTCTGCTTGTCGTTTGCTGTTGACCCAGGTTGTTTTCCTTTTAGATGCTTTTTTATTGTATTAAATTGCTTTTGGTGTTTCCGCAGTAATAGAAGTTCAGTCTGATCATTTTCCGAATTATTAAAAACCGAACAAGGACAAAAAAAAAAAAAAAAAAAAGGAGATGAATATGAAAAAAATAAAATAAAATAAAAACCCACTCCTTACGGCTTGCAACATTCACAACGACAATCGCGACCAATTCCTGCCGCGGTCGTCTCCAGCTGCCGAATTCACTTGAATGAATGCAGCCTTCTTGCACTTGTAGCTCTTAATCTCCTTATGGCTCTTGTTCGTACGATGTACACATTTGCATGCATGTCAATTCTCCCCGTCTCTCGTCTCGCCGACTTCTCATTCTTCGGACGCCATCGGTTCGTCCGCATCGCTGTTTTGCCTATTCTTTCCTCGGTCACTGCCTCGACGCAATAGCCGACGCATCGACCTCGATGGTGTTGTGTTCTTCCTCCAATCGATTCCGCCTCGTCTCTCCTCGCCTGGCCAACGCAGCTTTTACCCGGCCCCCTCTTCCACGTCCATGCCCTCTGGTTTGGGTTGTTTGCTTGTCTTCTTGTCCGCCCGCACTCGCATCGGCCGGTCACTTTGGGCCGGAGATCAGTGTGGACAAAAACACTTTACACCGGACTTTGTGTGTTGCAGATGGGCTTGTTATGTTATGACGCATGTTATGACGTGACCATATTGTCCTATTGTCCCTTTGCATGTTTGTTGACTTGACCCCTCTTCACGTTCCTGTTGTCACCGAGATTAATGAGTCCACGGTCGCGATTCTCGAGAACCGACCCGTGCTGCAGTTTTTCTTACGTACAAACACAGTCCGTTCGTGGAGCGATGCATGGCCGATGCATGACAGACCCGGCAACATCAATAGTCCCTCATCTGGACCCGGGGATACACATGATGGTCATTACCGCCGAAAACCAAAAATAGAGGCAATGTCCAGTGCAATCAACACTCGTGCCAACGATCAATACAAACAGGGTCAAGACGCGTGTGCGTCCCACTATCGGCCGCACTGCTGTTTCGGACAAACGTCCACGATGGAACATGCACAGTTTTGGCCCGGTAGTCACAAGAGCGCGCGTCGTCGTCGACGGCTGTAGAGGGTGGACGGTGGAGACGATGAAGAAGTCGTCCATAAAAGACGGCATGTCCTCCTCTGTGTTGTCCACGAGATTTCGACTTCTTTCTCTCCCACCAGCAACAAACCATTCTACACATCGCTCGTCGGTCAAGAAAACGCCACCTTTACACATCGACCTTACAACTCTCCAAACATGAAGTTCCTTTACGCCGCCGTCCTCGCCGTGGCCGCTCTCGGTCAAGGCATCCTCGCTGTCCCTGTCGCCCCGGAGGAGGGCCTACACGCCCCTATCCGGCCGCCATTTGGTGGTCCTGGCGGCCCCGGCGGTCCTGGTGGCCCCCACGGTGGACCGGGTGGGCCGGGTGGCCCTGGTGGCCCTCACGGCGGGCCAGGCTTTGGTGGCCACGGGCCCCCGAAGCGCGACGTGGAGGTAGGCCCTGGCGGTCATGGTGGCCCTGGTGGCCCGCACGGCGGACCGGGCGGCCCCGGATTCCGTGGTCCCGGCGGTCCTGGTGGCCCCGGTGGTCCTCATGGCGGCCCAGGTTTTGGCGGCCATGGACCTCATTAGTGCGACGTGGAGGCAGGTCCTGCGGCGCCGGGAGATTGTGGCAGCCGTGATCCGTGATGGTCAGTCACCACCATGCCGGTGGCCGCTAACGCACAACGACAACAGCCACGATGGATTGGGGGTGGGGATACCGATTAGCAGTACTCCTGTTGTCGCCAAACAAAGATGTGGACGTCTTTTGTATTCACTTCGTTACGTCAAAAACTGTTTCAGACAATTCTTTCATTCACTCTGGTTCGTCGTTTTTCTCGTGACCTTGCGAGCCCCTCGCCCGCCTACGGTGACTCTGGCGGTGTTCCCGGATACTGTGTCACGCCCGCGGGGATGGGCACGACGGCGTACTCGGTGTAGATGTGCACGGCGCGGGTGTAGTCGAGCCCGGTGATGAGGCCGCCCTTGATCGTGACCGTGGTGCCATCGTAGACGGCCTCGTCGTCGAGGTCGACCGGCTCGGCCGGCTCGGCCGGGGTGTCGTCCGGACGTGTTGTTATTGTGACTTTGTCATTGTCCTCGGCCTCGACCTCAGCCTCGGCCTCAACCTGGTCGCCGCCTCCGCCGCAACCGCCACCGTCTTTGTCCTCCGCCCCCCGCCGCCTCTTCAAATACCGATGCATCACCCGCGCACCGCACCGCGTGCAGAAGAAGCACGCCATGTCCCGCCCCGTGCGCGACCGCTGGCCCGGCCGGATGTACACGCTCAGCGTGCGCCGCAGCGCGGGGTCCAGCGGAAACACGCCGGCCGCCGGGTACACGGCGGACGTGCCGTAGGCGGCGCTGCTCTGGCGGCGGCACTCGCGGCAGTGGCAGTGGAAGACGGCCAGCGGCTGGGGCAGGGGCGCGCGGAAGCGGACGGCGCTGCACTGGCAGCACACCTCCTGGGGCTGCAGGCGCGAGGGCTCCAAGGACCGGGACAAGGCGATGCCGCGATGGGAGATCATGATTGCGTCCATGGTCATGCGGCCGCGGCCGTTGTCAGCAGCGGTGGATGCGGCGGTGTCCATGGCCTAGGCGAGCCGCGTCGTGGCACGGAGACCAGCGTATACGGGGGTACACGTCCGTGTGGTGTCGGCACGGATGATGGGTCGAGGTAGGAGTGGAGACGAGATCTGGCTGGGCCTGTGCCTGGAACTCGGCTTGAACCTGGGCATGCAGCGGAGTATCGGGTTGTCGCACAATGACGGAGCAGTAGATACTATGTGCTTACAAAGTAATACTTTGTAATGATAAGCGGCGTCAGAGTTACAGCGCAATCGCAGTGGGCAGTGGGCGCGGAGGGAACAAACAGGCTGAATGTCGGAGGCATGCAATTTGGTACTCCACAGGGCGTGTGGCGTCGCGAGGGACTGGGGCTGGTGCGTGTGAGTATTGAAGGGCATTTCGATGGAGACAAAATGCAATGGAGATGGCGCAAGAGCGTGGCGACAGACTGCCAGCGGACGACGCGGCTGACGGGCCGGCGGGCAGAATCGAAATGGGGAACTCAGGGCACGAGAAGGGGCGGTTGGGTGGGGGGAACTGTGTAGTGCGCGCTGTGACACTGTGCACTGTGCACTGTGCTGGTGCGACTGAATCTGGTCTTTGCCTCTGGACGGAGAAAACGAGGGCGGCCGGATCTGGGAACCGGAGGAAGCAGGCGGCGGCTCCTCGTTGTCGCCTAATCTACGGAACTGGCATGGCATGCACGATGCAGAGTCGCATGACTTTGATGAGATGAGCTGTCGGTGTCGCGAGATGTGTTTTGTGGTCTGTCATTTCAGGACACCGTTTTTGTTCTGGTTGTTACATCGTACGAATTGCAGTGAGATTGTTTAGTGCCTTTTCTGGCGTCGTTGCGCCCAACTCACTGACAGACTGGCCAACATCCACTAACACGCTCAATTAGTGCATTAACGTGGCCAATCTATGCAGCGGATGGACAGGGGTGCCGGCTCTGGGCAGCCGCCGACCGTCCCGCCTTGCCGATCTAGAGCGCTGAGCAATGGGGAGCAACGGGGGAGCGAAGAGCGAGCTGGCAAAACTTCGGAAGCAGAGAAATTAGGTGGAATGGAGGAGCAACGAGCACCGAAATGGCAAAACGAAAAGACGAGGAGCAAGGGGAAGGGAGAGGGAGAGGAAAGAAGGAAAGTGAAAAGTGAAAAGCCGACAGGGAAAGACAAAAGAATGAGACTGCCGTGATGAAAGGAGCAAAAAGGCAGCAAGCGAGAGTCAAGTAGAGGACGGCAGTGGACACCGCGGCAGCCAACTGTGACGTCTGTACACTGTAAGATGCGATACGTAAATAATACAATGTACAACATACTGACGTGTATTTCGTAATTCGTACTCCCAGTGTGTGATCGCCTGGCGCGAAAAGGACCTCAATCAAGAAGAAACGTGGAGCAGCGGGCGGCTCGACTTGGAAATGGGGACCAGGAGAAAGAACGGGAGCGAAGCGGCAAGAAATAAGAAAAAGGTTGGCAGCAGCAGCAATGGGTGGGCAGGAAAGGCATCCCGCGAGCCGCGGTCCTGCAGGAGACGAGGCGATAAAGAGGGCGGAGAGAGAAAAAAAGGGAGAGGACAGAACAACACGCAGAAAGCACTGCAAGGCTCGACGGCCAGACGGCAGGGCGGCCAGGGCGGCTCCAGACAACTGGACTGGTCCACAGGACAAACGACATAACGGAACGACAGCCACATGGAGGGTGAGACGACTCTGCAGTGGGGATATTGCGCAACGTGGAGCTTTTCTCCTAGTGGCGCCCTTGGACAGAGAGTCCAGATAGTCCAGATAGCCCAAATGGGCCAAATGGGCCCAAATGGGCCGGCCGGGCCATCGTTCCGCGCATGTTCTGGATCTGGAACGAGCCCGAGCCGCGTGGGTGAGGCGTGTTTTCTGGGGAGGACAGGAGGAAATAAGACGAGAAGGGGCGACAGAATAGGGAGAAATTATAAGTAGAGTTTGGGCCCAGCGCAGGGATCTGTGATCTGCAAAGAGCAGTCTACAAGTAAACGAAGACAGAAACGAAAGAGACGAAAAAAACGAAAGACGAAAGACGAACGAGGAGAGACGACGTTTATGATTTGATTCAGGATCTTGGATTCACGCCTTGGAGGAGGGAAGGAGGACACAACTTGGCACGACTGAGGACGAGAACGACAAGACAAGAAGACGGCGAGACGAGAAACAACAGCAAGACGGCAGGGCTACAAGAAACAAGACAACATACGAATGACGAGATAGAAGAAGACGACAACGGCATCGACGGGATCGAACACGACACAATACCTGCAAAAAAGGACACGCGACCGGCGACGCCTCTGGATCAGAGTGGAGGACAACGAGACGAGAGAAGCGAGAAACGAGAAGCGAAAAACAGCGGCAACAAACAAACAGCAGCAACACAAATAACAATCCAGGCGGGCGACAGACAAGAGACAGGAGACAGGAGACACGGGAGCGAGAAGCGACAGCGACAGCGACAGTGACAGCGACAGCGAACAAGGCATCTGCAAAACGAATCAGCAGCACCTTGGGTCTCCGCTGACGGGCCGGCGTTGACAGGTACATCTTCAGGGCTTCCCCGCACTCGACACGCCCTAACCCGCACCAGCCAAGGACCCTGGACGCCCGCCCACGCTCTGTTTGCGCCCCTCCCCTCCTATATTACGGCCTGAGCGCCCGCGCCCAACGCATCTCGCGATGGCTTCTCTCTCCGCCGCCATCCTGGCACGGCCGCCACCACAAACCGCCGCCGACCCGTCGCCTCTGGCTGTAGCTGCGGCTGTCCACCAGCACCAACAGCAACAGCAGCAGCAACAGCAACAGCAACATCAGCGAGACCAAAACCAATCCTCCCCTTCGCCCTCCATCACACCGCCCAACCAGTCGAGCGGCCACAGACCACATCCCCACCATCTGATCAACAGCGAGAGTCTGCGCGACCACCTGTTCTTGCCAAGCAGCTCCGGCGGCGCAGGAGGCTCCAGTGGCTCCAGTGGCGCACCAGCGGCAGCGGCAGCGGCGGCGTCGACACCACGCAGCCGTCTCAGCAGTCCGCTGCGCGAGCTCGAAAGCGAGCTGTCCAGCCACGGTCACGGTCACGGTCACCACAGCTCCGTCGACGACGCGCAGGAGCCGCATCTTGAGCCCTCGTCGCCGACCAGCCGCAGCAACGGCGCGTCTGCTGCGGCCGACGAAAAGAACCGCCGGCGCCTCAACAAGCTGCGCTACCGCTCCAAGTCGTCGGTCGAGCAGGCCCCCTTCCCGTCCCCGTTTCCCTTTCCCTTTCCGCCCATCGCCAGCCTGGCCGGCTTTGGCTTCCCTCCCTCGTCGTCCTCCGCCGCCGCGCCCAACGCCATGGACCCGCCCGTGCTCTCCTTTTACGGCGCCGAGCCGGTGCCGCTGCCGTCCCGCTTCGCCCACATCAAGCGCCGCCTCGCCGAGGGCCACCACGACGCCATCAAGGCCTCGTGGGCCCGTCTCCTGGACGCGCTGGCCGCCGACGTCCGCCGCATCGCCGACCAGGGCCCCGCCCTCATCCCCTCCATTGACTTTGCCGCCATCGACGACCCGGCCGCCGTGCAGCCCTTCCAGGACGCCCTCAAGACGTGCGGCGTCGGCGTCGTCCGCGGCGTCGTGCCCGCCCGCGACACCGCCGCCTGGGTCGACGAGACCCGCCAGTACCTGCAGCCCGCCGACACCGACGGGTCCACCTACGACATCAAGCCGCCGCCGCCGCAGGACCCGACCTGCTTTGACTTTTTCTGGACGCCCGCGCAGGTGCGCGCGCGCGCCCATCCCAATGTGTTGCGGGCCATGAAGTTTGCCATGGGCTTCTGGGCGGCGGCCCCGTCGCCGTCACCGTCGCCGACCCCGGACAAGGACAAGGCCGCCGCAGACAAGAGCGCCCGCGGGCCGTCGGGCGACCCGCGCGTCGCCACGCGCTTCCCCATCAGCTACGCCGACCGCATCCGCATCCACGTGGACGTCGAGCAGGTGAACCTGGTGCACAAGCCGGAGAAGGAGAAGGACAAGGAGAACAAAGCAAAGGCGGAGGCGACGGCCGATGGAGACAAGGGGGAGGAAGCAACAGACGAGGACGAGACCACCGACAAGGCGGCAGCGCCGCACGCGGTGCCGGCCAAGGCCCCCGTGACACCCCCCACCGTCATGGCCCAGGTCGACGGCGGCTCCCTCGAGCGCTGGGAGCCCGACGGCTACGGCCGCGGCGGCACGTACGATTCCGTCTTCCGCGGCCGCTGGGAAGACTACGACCCCTGGGACCCCGTCGGCCGCGTCCAGGCCACACCGGACCTGTACAACGGCGCCGGCGCCTGCAGCATTTTCCGCATGTTCCAGGGCCTGCTGGCCCTGACCGACGTCACGCCCGGCATGGTGCGCCTGCTGCCGTCGCCCAAGCTGGCCACGGCGTATTTTCTGCTGCGGCCCTTTTTCAAGCCCAAGACGGCGGCCCCCAAGGGCGCTGACAAGGACGACGCCGCCTGGGCCGCCTTCTTGGACGCCGCCAACTGGGACATGGAGGAGGAGGCGTCGACCATCATCCATGGCGCCGTCCCCGGCCACGCCCAGCGCGTCACCGAGCTGTGGCACCCGCACCTGCAGCTGCGCCAGAGCCTGCTGACGCCGCCCAGCCTGCAGGCCGGCGACTACATTGTGTGGCACTGCGACACGCCCTACACGATTACGAGCGAGGGTGGGGGCCCGCTCGGCGAGAGCGGGTCCGGGTCGGACGTTGGCGCCCCCCCCGGCGCCTCCCTGGCCACCGCCCCCATGCTCGTCTACGTCCCCGCCTGCCCCCTGACCCAGACCAACGCCCTCTACCTCGCCCGCCAGCGCAAGGCCTTTTTGCGCGGCCACCCCGGCCCCGACTTTGACGCCACCGGCTCCGGCCTCGGCAGCGAGGCCGACCATGCCGCCCGCCTCGGCGAGACGGCCATTGAAGCCGTCGGCGGCCGCGAGGGCCTGCGGGCGATGGGCCTGTTGCCGTGGGACGTGGAAAAGCCGGCGGCGGCGGCGGAGGGGTCCAACGTGGACACGGACGTCGTCGCGTCGACCGAGGCGGCCGAGGCAGCCGACCAAATGGACGTCGAGCCCCCGGCGGCCACGTCCGCGCCGTCCACCGACGAATCCCTCTCCCAGGCCGAGCTGGAACTGGTCCGCCTCGCCAACATCATCCTCTTCCCCGATCAGTACGAGTTCTACATGCCGACGCGGCACAACTCGCCCGATCGGGAGTAGACAGAGGGATGCCCCCCGGTGTTGTGGGGCTTGTACATACACGCTTGCATTTTTTTTTCTCGTTTTGCCGTTTCATGTACTCAACTTCGTAATGCTAGTTTCTTGTTTGCTTCATTTGTTGCACAGTAGATTCCCATGAAGAAATTTATTTGCCCTGACTGGAATAAGGAACGTGTGATTTATAGTAATGCTTTCTAAATTTAAAGGAAAGAAATAAAAACAAGAAAAATAAAAGACATGAAAGAAAAAAATCAAGAAAATGAGAAAATGACATATTGCCTAGAGGCAGTGACGTACATGAAGAAAATGAAATAATTTACCGAAACCAAACCAACCTTCAGCTACCAATTTGACCGTATTGTGTAAAGACAGGTCAAACAGCGAGCATCATCAAGGGTCTGCATGTCTGTTGGGCTGCTATATCTTGTCGGCTCGGAGCTACCTGTTGTCACCGAGATGCACCTACTAGCGGACGCTATGGGCACCGGGCACCTGTATGGCACAACCTGCCCTAAAACAGTGGGACAAAAGGCTCTCCATCCATTCAAGGCCACGGGAGGGACGTCTTGACTGCCGAAAATGGCTCAACCAAATGACGAACACCGCACGAACGAGGGACGGGAATCGTACGAAGCGGTTGACCAGCATCCGAGAAAGTCTGGACCACTGTTCCGTTGCTCGTTGATTGCGCCGCCATACGGCGCAGTACTGCAACGTCTTTAAACAGCCATCCCCGCTCCCTACATCTGCTCGTCCTCGACACGACAATGGCTCTTTAGCCTTTCAATCGTCACTTACAACTCTGCAAAATGAGTGCATCGACCGCAGGCCGCGTGCCGGACGGACTCCTCAGCGGCGAGATGAGTGTTGAGGAGGGTGTCGAAGGGGACGTCGAGCAGGGCGCCGAGCAGCATGCCGAGCGGCATGCCGAGCAGCCTCCCCATCAATCTGCCGCCCCCGAAGCTATGGAGGAAGCCCCCGAGGACCCCCCCGAGGACCCCCCCGTGCCCCCTCCACCCTTTCCGACTGTTCTGGCCACGCGGCTGTACATCTCCCACTTTTTGTCCACGTGGAACTCGCGCGTCTTTGAGTTTGCCGCCGTCCTGTTTCTGGCCGCCGTCTTCCCGGACACGTTGCTGCCCATGTCGGTGTATGCCGTCGTGCGCGGCGTGGCGGCCATGGTGTTTGCCGAGGCCGTGGGTGCGTGCATTGACCGCGTGGACCGGCTGGTCGCCGTGCGCGCGTCGATCCTGGGGCAGCGCCTGGCGGTGGCCGTCAGCTGTGGTGTATTCTGGGCGATGCTGGCCAAGGCCACCGCCTCCACCGCCACGCGCGGTGGCGTGAACGATGCGGCACCACCAGCCGCCAATTTGACGACCGCGAGCTCCACCACGGCCAACGCCCTCCTGCTCCCCGGCAGCCTGCTGGATGCCTTCTTCTCGGCCTTGACCGGCACGTCGGCCACCTCCTCCGTGTCGTCCACGGCGGGCACAGCCCCAACACCGACTGCCACCCCTTCCACGCCCGTCGCATCCGGCCTCTTCGCTGTGGCCGTCATCGCCGCGTGCGTCGAGAAGCTCGGGTCCATCTTAAACTTGGTGGCCGTCGAGCGCGACTGGGTCGTCGTCCTGACCGAGGGCAACGCGCCTGCGCGCCGCCGCGTGAGCGCCCGCATGCGCCGCATCGACTTGTTCTGCAAGCTCGTGGGGCCCCTCACCATATCGCTGGTGGCGGCCGCGTCGACGCGCGCTGCGCTGTGGGCCACGCTGGGCATGAGCACGGCTTCCCTTGTGGCGGAGTACTTTTGCATCGCGGTGGTGTACCGGCGCGTGCCCGCGCTGCGGCGGCGGCCGGCCGCGTGGGACGACTCGGCTGTGGCGCCCAGGACCACGACGACGACTTTCTGGCACGCCACCAAAGCGGTCGCCCGCCGTCTGCTGCCGTTTGCGTCGCTGCCCTTGTACGTGCGCCACCCGGCCTTTCTGCCCTCCTTCGCGCTCGCCCTCCTGTACCTGACCGTGCTCTCCTTCTCGGGCCAGATGGTCACGTTCTTGCTCGCCACCGGCTACACCCCGCTGTCCGTCGGCCTGGCCCGCACGGCCAGCACCGTCTGTGAGCTGTCGGCCACCTGGATCGCGCCCCGCCTCATGGGCCGCCTCGGCGTCGTCCGCGGTGGCATCTGGTCGCTGTCGTGGCAGGCCCTGTGGCTGACGGCCGGCACCGCCGTCTTCTGGGGCCTGCCCTCCGCTGCCAGCCCCGACGGTCGCGTGGGCGGCACCGCCGGCGGCACCGCCTTGGCCGTCGGCGTCGCCCTCAGCCGCATCGGCCTCTGGGGCTACGACCTCTGCGCGCAGAACCTCGTCCAGGACGAGGTCGCCGACGCCCACCGCGGCGCCTTCTCGACCGCCGAGGCCGCCTTCCAGAACCTCTTTGAGGTCCTCGCCTACGCCACCACCATCCTCTGGGCCCGCCCCGACCAGTTCCGCTGGCCCGTCGTCGTCAGCGCCGCCGCCGTCTACACGGCCGCCGCGCTCTACACGGCCTTTGTGCGCCGCCGCCGCGGCCACCTGTTCCACTCGCCGCTGCCGCCAGCGCAGCGCTGGCTGGACAAGGCGTTTTCGGGGCGGCGGGGGGTGGACGTGTAGCCTGCGTGGTTGCATTGACGAATCACGATTGTATTGGTTGCACGACGAGATGACTGATTGCGTTTTACTACACCGGCCTTGCTTCGTTTGTTTATATGCTGCCATGTCTCGTATGCCTGCTGCTTGTTACGACAGTCTCCTGTGGTTTGCGCTCGTCGTTTGCCCGGACGTTTGTATTCTCCGTTTGTTTATATAGTAGACCTCCTTTCCTTGATTGTGTGACGCTCTTCTGCACAAGACGCTGCTGTGTTTTCGTACAATCAATCTGGCCCGGCACCAACTCCGTGTAATGTCTGTTGGTTCTCGCCTGAGTCTCCCTGCTGTCCTTGCAGTTGCCGCACGTGGTCTCCACACGGGAAGCAATCCCGGCCCTGTACGACGACACTGCGACTGCCAGACTGCGTCTTTCTGTGGCCAGGGATCGTCGCGTGCACTTTGCCAGGGCGGCTGCCAATAAGACGCACTCTGCTTGGCGCCTGCCCCGCAGCAAACAAAGAATCCTCGGGCTGCTCCTGCTCCAACTAGGCAAACGCCCTTTGGTTCTTGCCTTGGTAGCCTCCTCTGCACACGAAGCGGAAACGGACCAGGTACAAAAGGCCGGGCTTCGCTCACACTCTGTGTACAAACATAACTGTAGTCGTATAGGCCAGGCTGCCAGTCTACTTGCCTGCCCACCTTTTACAACTACTTACACCGATTTCGTCGCGGGTTGGCCCACCATTCGTACCTTCCCGTTTCGGCACTTGTCACACCACAGCATCGTTATCCATTCATCATCGTTTTCAGCCCGCCCTTTGCTCTTGCCTCTTCTTGCCCTTTCCTCTCCACCTTACAACACGGCGTCTCTCCACACATTTAAAATCGTCACCGCAAATCGTCGGATCATCATCATCAAACCTTTCTGCTGTTCCGTGCTCCACCCAATCGAAGCGAATTCTTAACTCGACTCGTCCCATCGACCTCTCCCCACACGGTCTAGCTCGACAACATACTGAGTACGTCACACCACCATTTTAGCACCCGCCCAGCCCGCTCACCGTTTTTTGCCTTCCGCCGTCTTGGCCGTCATCGTTGTGAACAGAGGTCACGCTTCCCTTTCATTCATCGCCTTTACTTTGCCTCTTAACACTCTACCGAACCCTCCGCGTTCCTTCCGTGCCTTCTCCACGTAAGTAATGTCCATATAAGCGGCTCGAACGCTCACGCTGGCCCCAGCTCGACGGTGTCGTAGGGCGTACGTCTCACTCTTTCATTGGATTGCAGCCGTTGTTCCAGATCCACTCCACAACAGCATTCGGCCTTGTTGTCCGTTCTCTGTTTCTTTCATATACAAGTCGACACAGCTTCACCTTCATGCTCTTACTCTATTTATGGCCTCCAATACACCTCCAAGAATATCTAACCCGAGGCTATACAGTATACGCACTGTCTTCGCACAGTATTGACGTCGACTCCTCGCTCCAGGCCTTGACAGCCGCAACGTGGCCCGTGCGTCTTGGAGCTGTCGCAGTATTTTGTACAATTTACAGAGCCCTGTTCTGGACGTTCCTTTTTCTGTTTGTAGCCTCTCGTGGCTCTGTGTCGCTCGTCCCAATTCAATCTGCATCGCTCCTGCCCGCTCCATTTTTTCGCACCTGCCGCTAGCCACCCTCGCCACGCTTTCGACGCGCGCAGACGAGGCATCGCGATCAATGAGCTAGGAAGCTGCGACTGGCTTTCACCAACCAACGCGCACCTTCCTCACCCTTGACTTTCCTCGCCGGCCGTACCTTCTTCCTCCGTCTCGACACGTTCCTGGCTGGCACCTTCCGTCTCTGGTACCGTCTGGGGCTACACAAAACAAACAAAAAGACACAAAATCACACAAAATCACAATAGACAATTTGGCTGCCGATTCTCTTATTCCTCTTTTTGACGAGGCGCAAACAAGACACCGTCTTGCAGCTATTTGCAATTGTCGGTGGTTCGTACACTTCAGCTTTCCTGTCAGCAGCCAATCGCCGCCCGGCCGCCCACACAACCCACAGCCAATCCTTGCCGCCATCGTGCGCTTAACCCCATTGACGGTTAAAGTGTCCCAAACCGGTCAACTCGGTCCACCGGTCGCGTCGTGACGTCTGCATCGCTCCTTCCTTTCCCTACCTCTCGCCTCGACGTTCGACCTCTTCTGTCTGCTCTTGCCAGCAGGTGCGATGGGCCGTCATCTGTCCTCGCAGCACCCACCACGCCGCCAACGCCGTCTTCTTCGCGATCCTTCTTTTTCTCTCTCCTCCTTTCAGCTCTCGCTGTCACCGCCTCCGACTCGCCTCCTGCGCCATCCTGTCCACGCGTGCGCGCGTACCACGGCAGCCGGTCCAGCACTGCTCTCGCTGTCCTTCTCCCTCGTGAGGTCCGTACCATTCTCATCACCAATGCGCCCACGCTATCCTACCGCCTTCCCCCTCCGTGGCTCCTGCCTACCTCTTCTGCCTACATCGTCTGGTTGCCGAGCCGTTTCCAGCTCTTCCGCAAGAACAACGACATCCGGCCGGCGACTGGCAAGACAAAGGCTTTTCCTCTTCGTCCTCTTTTTGTTTGCCACCCTGCAAGCCCCATTCTCATCGTCATCCTCATTGTCATCGTCATCACCATCTCCTGGCGTCTCTTTTGCTTGCCTTGCACCATTTTTTTTGGCTATGATTTATGGCCCATTCTTAGTTGCCGACATTGTGCATTCCCCCATCCATTGTCCAAACTATTTTACTAATATGGCTTATGACCACACAGCAGCGGCAGAGTTCTCTTTTGCGACTGTGACTGCGACTGCGACTGCGCCCGTGCCTACATCCACAACGAACAATCCATTCGCCACCGATCCCCGTGAGCCATCGCCAACTTATACGCTTCCGTCGCGGCCGCTGCACACGCCACCACCACTCCCGCTTCAACTTCAACCACCATCCTCCTCTCGCCCGTGGCCGACCGCCGTCTCCTACCTCACATCGACTCTTGTTGCCGATCCGAAGTCTGCCCACTAGGAAGCTTCTGCTTCGCGACCCGGCCCGCGCTACTACCCCTGTGCGCCCATCCGCCTTGTCCCGACGCCGCTCAGCCGCTTCTCGCAGCACATCCGCACCAAGTATCCCCCGCCCCCGGGCACCACCGCCGCCATGGCTACCGGCAAAAAGGGCGAGAAGACGCTGCACTTTGGCGCGCGTCTCAAGTACCCCATCAAAATCACAAAGCTCTACAAGACCCCCGGCGACACCATCCAGCGCCAGGAACCCGTCCTGCAGTACTCGTACGAGTACACCATGGAGCTCCCGCAGGACCGCGAAACCCTCGAGCTCCAGCAAAAAACACTCACAAGCATCACCGACTGGAACGCGCCCGAGGACGGCACGCTTCTCGCCTGGAACGTGCGCGTCGGCGAGGTGGTCGCGCGCGACCGCGCCTGTGTCACCGTCGAGGAGGCGTGCACCCACGAGATCCAGTTCCAGGGCCTCTGCGCCCTCTGCGGCAAGGATATGAACGAGGTCAACTGGGCCAGCGAGCAGCGCGACACCGACCGCGCCCCCATCAACATGACCCACGACCAGACAAACCTCACCGTCAGCCACACCGCCGCCACGCGCGCGGAAAAGGAGCTGCAAGAGCGCCTGCTGCAACAGCGCAAGCTGAGCCTCGTCGTCGACCTGGACCAGACCATCATCCATGCCTGCATCGACCCCACCATTGGCGAGTGGCAGCAGGACGCGTCCAATCCAAACTACGAAGCCCTGCGCGACGTGCAGCGCTTCCAGCTCGAGGAGGGCCAGCACGGCGGCGTCGCGCGCGGCTGCTTCTACTACATCAAGATGCGCCCCGGCCTGGCCGACTTTTTGGCCGCCATAGCCAACCTGTACGAGCTGCACGTCTACACCATGGGCACGCGCACCTACGCGACCAACATTGCCAAGATTGTCGACCCCGAGCAGCGCCTGTTTGGCAACCGCGTCATCAGCCGCGACGAGAACGGCAACATTGTCGCCAAGTCGCTGCAGCGCCTTTTCCCGGTCAGCACAAACATGGCCGTGATTATGGACGACCGTGCCGACGTGTGGCCGCACAACCGCCACAACCTGATCAAGGTGAGCCCGTACGACTTCTTCAAGGGCACGGGCGATATCAATTCCAGTTTCTTGCCGAAGCGGGACGACCTGCCGGCGGCATCGTCGTCTTCATCTGCGGCCGCCACCGCGGCCGTGCCCGCCGCCGCCGCCGCAGCAGCAGCAACCACCCCGACATCCACCTCCGCGTCCACCTCCACGTCCACCTCCACCACATCCACCACATCCGACGCTGCCACGGTCAAAAAGGACGACAACGAAGTGACCGCCTCCCCCGCGTCCACCGCCGCCTCTACAGCCGTCTCTAGCGCCGACGCAGCCTCCCCTGCGGCTACACCGGCCACATCTGTGTCCAACGGCGGCACACCGCCGCCCAACGGCGCAACGCCCGTCCGTGGCGACGAGAACACGATCGATGTAGTCCTGCTTCAAAAACAGACGGAAGAGCAGGAGCGGGCGATTGAAAAACAGATCAAGGATCGGCCCCTGCTGCATATGCAGGAACAGCTCGACAAGGAAGACTCCGCCAAAGCGTCGACGGCGTCCTCGGAGGGTGGCGAGTCCGATGCCCAGGCGACACAACGGCACTGCGTCCTCTTCGACGACGACACGGAGCTCGACTATCTCAAAGAGCACCTGACCAAGCTGCACCACGAGTTCTACGAAAAGTACGACGAGGAGCGCGGCGCCTCGACGTCGCTGATTGTGGACGCCGTCCCCGACGTGGGCGAGATCCTCGACCGGCTCAAGGGCCAAGTGCTGGAGGGCTCGACCATTGTGCTGTCGGGCCTGGTGCCGCTCGGCATGGACGTGGAGCGGTCCGAGATTGGCATGCAGGCCGCCAGCTTTGGCGCCAAGCTGCAACGCCAAATCTCCCGCAAAGTCACGCACCTGGTGATTAGCAGCGACCGGCCGCGGACCCAAAAGGTGCGCCAGGCCGCGCGGTTCCCGAGCATCAAGATTGTCAACCAGAACTGGCTGATTGACTGCTTCAGCCAATGGGACCTCGTCGACGAGACACCGTACCTCGTCGACATTCACCCAGCCGACCGCAACCAGCGCGGCGCCGTGTCTGGTACCGCCAACGGCGGTTCGCAGCTCGGTGGTACAGACACCGAGACGATTTCGGATGCCGATCTCGATGGCGATGCCAACGACAGCGAAAATGACAATGAAAACAACGAAAACAACGAGAACGGCACGCCGGGTCTGCGCATCCGTGTTCCCGGTCGCCGCCGCCGCCGCGGCGAGGGCGACGAAGACGAAGACGACGATAGCCACGGGGACGTCGACGAGTTTGACGAATTCCACAACAGCGACGGGATGAGCCCGATTGCTGAACTCGGCACGTTCGACTGGGGCTCGGCGGACGACGAGCTGGAAATGTTTCTGGCCGAAGGCGACGACGAAGACGACGAAGACGGTGACGGCGACGGCGACGGCGACGAGCGGGACGAATCCGACTACGGTGAGGACCATGACCACGACAGCGACAACGATGTCGATATGGACCGCAACGGCGACGCAGACGCTAACGGCAGCCTGCTGTCGACGTCGTCGAAACGGAAACACGGCAGCGGCAGCGGTAGCGGTGGCAGCGGCGGTGGCAACGACACCGACACCGACGGCGAACGAGCGTCTCTCCGGGGACGCACGCTCCTGGCCAAACGCCAGAAGCTGGCCTCCCGCAGCCGCAGCGCCTCCCAACGACGCGCCGCCGCCGCCGCCGCCGCCGCCCTGGCTGCCTCGACCGGTACAGGGAGTGGCAATGCCAGCGGCGGCGAGTCGACGCACCCTCTCCGGCAGCAGACCAACTCGTCGTCCGTTCCGTCGTCTGTCCCGTCGTCTGTCCCGTCGACTGTCCCGTCCAAGCCACCGACGTTGGCCCCCGCCCCGTCGGCCAGCGTAGACATTGACGAGGACGAGCTCGAGGCGATGCTGATGGCTGAGCTGGACGAAGAAGAGGCAGCCGCAGCCGGCGTCAGTGGCGGCGGCAGTGGCAGTGGTGGCGGCTAGATGCAGATGCCGCCGCTGGCCACGAAAGCGGGCGCCGGCGGCGACGGCGTCGACGACCTTGATGGCGCTGGTGGCGCGGAAACACCTGGCAATGGGCCCGAACCCATGGACGAGCGCGAGGACGTCGGCAGCGGCGGCACCGTGCCGGACCCCGCTGCCGCCTCTGCGCCGGACAAGGAGGACATGAAGGGCATGGAGGGCGTGGAGGGTCTCGTGCCCGACGTCAGCCAGGCGCTCGGGTCGTTTTTGATGTAGCTTGTGCTATGGGTGAAGAGGAGAAGCCTTTCTCGGCTGCCTTCTTCATTTCTTTTTGGTTTCTTTTGTCATCTGCATGGGACGGGCGAGGATAGGGCGGGTGTGTATACAAAGGCGGCCGTTCATGGCGTTGTATCTTTTATCCTTTTTCATCCTTCTGTTACGTTTTTTGCCATTCATGTTTTCATCTTCTGTTCTCTTTATCTTGCATTGGGCTCGTTTCATTTCCCGGTATGACTGTTCTCTACTTGTTTGCTCATCTCCTGTATGCACGGCGCTCGGTGGGAATACAAGCTGAACTGAACGTTACACGACGGCGGGTATATTGCGTGTCTCGTACAATGTACAAAAGTATACATGCCCCCCACTCGCTACATCGACACAGTGATGGTCGACGTCACCACCGTGCACGTCGACACCGTCGTCGTCGTCACGGCCGTCACCTCCAGGACCGTCAGCACCGTCCGCGTCGCCGTCGCCTCCACCGCTGTCCGCGCCGACGAGACGCCCTCCGACACCGTCACCGTGGTCGCCGGCAGCACAATCACGTCGGTCACCGCCGCGGGCGTGGCCCCGTACGTCGCCACCAGCTCCGAGCACGCCGACGAGACCACCGTTGCGGCGGGGCGCAGAGCCGAGACGCACAATGGTTCCGGGGCGCCAGACACGGAGACGGTGGCAGAGGAGGCAGAGGACGGCGGCGCCGCGTCACGACCCTGGATGGTGGCCGTCGCCCGCTTCTTCAGAGTCGTCACCGTCACCGTCGACGTCGACGCCGTGCACGTCTTGATTGTACTCGTCACCGTCACGCGCTTCACGACGTGAGCCGTGACGGTGCGCGCGTCGTCCCACGTGGCAGCAGCAGCCGCCGCCGTCACCACGGCCCGGTCTACCAGCACCAGCCGGCCACCGCCGCCGCTGCCGCTGCCGTTGCCGTTTCGCTTATCGTATACGTACAGCACCAACACCTGCGTGCTCGTCACCGTCGACGTCGCCGTCGAGGCAAAGGACGTGACGGTGCCGGTCGTGCTGGTGACAGTCGCCGTCGACACGATGGCCGTCGACGTCACCGACACCACCTCGGCCGCCACGCGGACGTACGCGGTCGGGCCGGGCTCAAACACCGTGTGCGTCTCCGCCGGCACGTAGAGGCCGGCGGCGGTGCTGCAGTAGTCGAGGGCCTCGTGGGTGGCGCTGAGGAAGCAGGCGTACAGGTCGTTGGCACGGGGGCGGCAGCCGCCACGGACGGGCGGCGACGAAGAGGCGGCCGGCGGTGCGGCCGGCCGCTTGACGAGGACGCCGGCCGAGGCGCCCGAGACGGCGGCCAAGAAGGCGGACACGACGGCGATCTTCATTGTGGAGGAGCGAGGAGGATGAGGCGTCGGAAACCGGTGATACGAAGATACGAAAAGCCGTTGAGAAGGCAAGAGAGAATAAGTAGTGGAATGGAAGGTTCTTCCTAGACGTGAAGACGATGAGGTCGATTATCATTAGGAGAAATAGCAGGGAAATGACGATCGGTTTCCAAAAAAAAGTAAAATAAAATAAAATTCATTACAAATAAACCATCACAGACCCTGCTCTACTCCACATCGTCTACATATCGTGCAACGGCTGCTCGGGTGCGTGGTTGCAGTCTTGCAGCATCACAAGACGTTGCTGTTCTTGTCCTCGTGTAATTCCTGCGATACCCAAACTCAACTATTTTCGTTCTAAATTTCTCAAGTGGGCTTTTCTCTCTTGACAATGAAACGAAAACATCACCGTTCTATTTTCTTTAGCTCGCTTGGCCCTGGTCCCCAGACTGCATCTTTTCCTGTTCTGGATTCGTTACCATCGCCAATGCACTCAAGTTCAATAAGACATTCAACAAAAAACAATAAATCCATCGTTTGCGACCAAAATATGCCCCAATCAGGAAATGGAGATATGAAAGGAAAGTAATGTCTCCACAGGACGAGACTAGACGAAATCAGTTTCACAGAGCGTACAACATACGACGGACGATGCACGGCGCAGAGCACATGCAGAATGGTCACAGCGGAGCTTTTCCTCGTCAACTCTGATTTTGCTCTGGAGCTTGCCTTGTTGCGGATGTGAGGTTTTTCGTGGACAGTGAGGCAGCGGAGAACAGTCAAACGTCGACACTAGAGCTGAGGTTTGGCTTATTTGGCTTGGCAGTGCATTGTCAAAATAAACATGCCAGCCACAGTGGTGCTCGCCTTGCCCACGAAGATGAAACGCCACCCGCATCAGCAAGCCACACAGCAGCCATCCACACACCACAGAACGCCGCACCTTGTTTTCTGCAAGCGAGGATCCATCCATGTCGCAGAGAGACACAACACACTCAGACAGTGCGTGGTGCCTTGCGTCGGAGAGACAAAGAACACGCAAACAGTGAAATCCCATGCAGCCTATTGCGTCCACTCCATCCCGGACTGCCGGCAGGGGATCAACTGGCGCGCCGCTGCCTGACTCGACGGACAACATGCTGTATCGCCAAACATTGTTTCCATCACTGTGTCTATTTTAAGACGCCCATGATGCTCAACTGCTCTCTGTCTCGTCCACAATTCAGTTTGCTGTAAAGCCGGAACAGGGCCGAGCTCATTCAAGCATTGGGATATATTGTGTGTGCAGATTATATCCGCGGCAAGGACGTCTTTTGCGACGATATAGGTCACCCCTTTTCGTATGCCACCCCAATCTATTTCATTTATGGCAACCGAATGTGCCTCTCTTACCCCACCTTACACTTTGTACATCAACTCGGTGAGGTCGACGAGAGTCGGATCTATCGCCGGCAGCGTCGGGCATCATTTGTCGAGGTTCAAGGAAACCAAAAACGAATTTGTTTGTGTTGTATTTATTGTACTGTTTATTGACGTTGTTTGTATTGAATTGCATTGTATTGTGTTGTATTGTGTTGTATTAACGAGGGCATGGTATACCCAATTGGATGGCCTCTGTTGCCCTTTTTCCTGGTCCCAAATGGACTACCCTCCACCATCACGACCTGGCGATCCCTCTTTTCCCCCTAGATGCTATTTCTATTCCAAGCGTCGACACATGTATCTCGTACCATCGACCGGCAGGTCGTTGCCGAGAAGACTCCACAGAGCCGTTGTCCAGGACATATGTCGCGAGTACGACGAAATCAGGTGAAAGCTTTATACATCAAGATGCGATACTTTGCGGAGCCGTGTTGGTGCCACTCAACAGTCTACCAATCCACCCTCCATCACGAGATGCCCCTGGCGGGTTTGGCCGGATCAGCGTCCTCCGCGTTACGTTTCGAGAGTGACTTGTGCCATGTCTCCAACAGGAATTTTACCATGTCGGCCACCATGTTGAGAGCATTTTCAAGGATCATTTGGAGCAATCTTTTGAATCATTTGAATTATTTGAATCATTGGATCATCTGCGTGAATGGATACATGACCGTCCACCATCGTCCAACGGGCATCCTTGTTTTATTAACCGTTAGACAGGATGCCACACCCTGGCACTCTCTCGACAATTGTGCTTGACATGGTTTGTGGTCGCTGTGAAAGGCAAGCAGGGCCCCGTTCAGCGCACACATAATTTTGTGCTCACCTGCAATAGCAACGCGAGCCGAGGCCACCGTCGCTGAGAACCACCTTTGTCGCGACGTCTTGCGATGCGTAAAACACGATGCAAAACACGATGATGTCACAAATGCGCAAATTGCATCCACTTCAGCCTCGTTTCTTGGTACCAAGACATGGCAAGCGATAAAAACAAACCGAGATCCACAGTCTCCATACAGTTTGCGTCTTGCCCGTTTTTCGTGTCGGTTTCTGGGGGCATCAGTGCTTCGATACCCCATTATTGCACTCTCGTCCGCTCCACAACGGCACAGCTGCCGGCCGTACCTAGGCGAGCGTGAGACGACGAGAGAGAATCCGTCCAAACGACAGACAGAATGCTCCCCGTACTCTACTGAAAGGGCCAAGACGGCCCATGGTGGACACTGCCAAGTCCCCCGACAGAGTGACAGGTGCGGCCTGCCCAGGTTTGTTCAGTTTAGAGTGGTGGCTTGCGGTTGTCCTCGCTTCTGACGGACGGCAAAAATGACCGCAAAATGACTGCAAAAATGACCGCCCTTTCTCCACGTTCGACGTCTATGCGTTTATATATCGCCCGGCAAGTGGAGACGGTGGCCACAGATGGCACTTGGGCCGACACGCGAGTCCTACCACGCAGTCGACCTGGGTCGCTTAATATAGCGATATAAACGGCCGTCCTTCCCCGCAAAGCTGCCCACCATCAAGACCAAGAGCCGACAACATCGTCGAGATACATTGGTCTACATTGGTCGGATACTCGTCGAGGGCAACGGGCTCCTATATGTCAAAAAAGTACAATGTCATCCATTGACAGACAACAATCATTCGAGCCTGACGTGAAGTACCGAGACGGGCCAACTCATGTACCTTTCGTGACACCAACTACCCATTCCATTATAATGACACAGATGGGGAAGATAGAGATGCACCGTCTGTACTTATCCAGTAGACGGAACAATGGCTTCCAGACCTTGACAAGGTCGCGTCGTCGTCCCATGCGTCGTCCATGCCTCGTCCACGGCTCGTCCCATGTGTCGACCCACGTTCCACGTCTCCTCCCACAGTCCGTCTCCTCGTCGGAGCCGTCGGCCAGCCGGGCCCTGACGAGATATTAGCATGGCCATATGAAGCATGGGACCGAGCAAATTGTGCCTTGTTTCTTGTCGCCACTCTGCTCTTGCTTTGTCTCGTCTCTTCGTCTCTCACGCCGTTTAGCCTTTCCTTCGAGTCATATCATCTGCGGGGAACGGCTGTTCATCCCGTCGATGCGCCTCTATGGCTATGCCGTCGGAAAGACAGTCGTGGTAGACTGGTCTAGAAGGGGCCGAGCGGGAAAGATCCGGACAGCACATCGACGAAGCTCCCCCATGGAGCACGTCTGCGAGTGTATAAAATCAAAGGGGTGTGCTGTTGGTCCCTCCCAGCTCGTCATCTCTCCCAGCCTCTTGGAAACCACCCTCCATCGTCTGTCCGTCCTGTTGTCTGTCTGTCCTGTGTATTTATTCGTTTGACCCAAGCCACCCACTAGCCCCTTCTTTTCATCTACCCACCGTCGTCGCCATGCATCCTGTCACGTCCCTCGTCTCGTCGGCCACGCTGCTGCTGTCGGCGGCCTCGCTCGCTGCCGGCCAGGGCGTCGGCACGCAGCAGACGGAGACGCACCCCAAGATGCCGTACCAGAAGTGCACGGCCAAGGGCAGCTGCACGACGCAGCAGGGCGAGATTGTCATTGACGCCAACTGGCGCTGGGTGCACGACAAGGGCGGCTACACCAACTGCTACACGGACAACAACTGGAACACCACGGCGTGCGCCGACGCGACCTCGTGCGCGTCGCAGTGCGTCGTCGACGGCGCCGACTACACCAAGACGTACGGCGCGTCGACGAGCGGCGGCGCCCTGACGCTCAAGTTTGTCACCAAGGGCGACTACGCGACCAACATCGGCTCGCGCATGTACCTCATGGCCAGCCCGACCAAGTACGCCATGTTCACGCTGCTGGGCAACGAGTTTGCCTTTGACGTCGACGTCAGCAAGCTGCCGTGCGGCCTCAACGGCGCCGTCTACTTTGTGTCCATGGACGAGGACGGCGGCATGAGCAAATACTCGACCAACAAGGCCGGCGCCAAGTACGGCACGGGCTACTGCGATTCGCAATGTCCTCGTGATCTGAAGTTTATCAATGGTGCGTCATTGCTTTTGAAGTGTTTCGGGTCGTGATGTTGATGGCTAACTCGAGATGTAGGAAAGGTATCTCTTCTCCTCTCTAGGACCCCTACCCGACAAGCCACGCACCGCAAATACTAACCCACCCCCAGGCCAACGTCGCAGGATGGAAGCCCTCGTCCAACGACAAAAACGCGGGCGTCGGCGACATGGGCTCGTGCTGCGCGGAAATGGACATCTGGGAGGCCAACAGCATGGGCATGGCCTACACGCCGCACCCCTGCAAGAACAACGCCCAGCACGTCTGCAACGGCGACGACTGCGGCGGCACGTACTCGGCGTCGCGCTACGCCGGCGACTGCGACCCGGACGGCTGCGACTTCAACCCCTACCGCATGGGCGTCAAGGACTTTTACGGCGCCGGCATGACGCTCGACACGTCCAAGAAGTTTACCATTGTCACGCAGTTCCTCGGCTCGGGCACGACCCTCACGGAAATCAAGCAGTTTTACATCCAGGGCGGCAAGAAGATTGAGCTTCCCAAGACCACCTGGCCGGGCCTCTCGGGCAACTCCATCACGCCCGACTTCTGCACC